GGAATACGCCTGCAGGTATTGGATCTTCTCCTCCTGTCATGAGAACACGGCCGCCATCCGCGCTTCGTTCCAGCCCGCCGTGCTCCAGCCCAGTGTTGCCACCGATGCCTCGAACCGACTCTGGTTTTATGAGTGGCTCTCTGGAAGACCTGTTTGGTGAAGATGCTGAGTTGGACTTAGATTTCTGTGAAGCTCGCTCTGAGCCCTCACCAGAGCTGCCCCGTCACCGACATCAGCAAGAACAGCCTGATTTCGACTCTATATTTGCTATCGAGCTCGTGAATCCAGGCCCAATGGAGTTTCTTCCCTCCACAGTGCCAAATCACAAGATGACCAAGACCCAAGCCGAAAATTCCGTTAGTTTAATAGCCAATCGAGCCCAGAGTCAGCAGGGCAGTCGCACAGGTAGTGTTGTATCCGATGACGGACAGCAAACACTCCCCCCACTTAGACGAGACACAGTTCTGCCGCCTAGCCAATTATCTTTTCCCATCGAAGCACAAAAACAGCAGCCGCAAATGCAATCTCGACCTCCAAGGGAGAGCTCGGAATTCCAGTCACAAGCACCTACACCACCAGCTGACGTTTCGCGCTCGACTTCACAAACCAAAGATCCTCAAGCCGTCTCAACTCAAGCGGCTTCGACTGCATCCGCCCCTCGGTCCCGGCCTTCTTCTAGGATGATGGTCCGTACAGCTTCGCTAGGTTCTCTTACTCTCCCCGCGATCCCCGCAAGTGAACCCATACTCCCACCCTCTGGTTTACATCGATCACAAACATGGTCAGAAGCGGACAAATCCGGGACGGAAGCGCCGAAAGATCTGACTACAGACGAGACCAAGGACAATGAGACTGTGAAGGAACCTACTATGAAAGAGCCTCTACCATTATCACATTACATGCAGCAGCTTACAGCGGATCTCGATCCAAATGAAGAAATTAATAGCGCGGAGCATACACGACTTACAAGGAAGGCCTCTATGAGGCAGAAGTTGGATTTTGCTATAGCAAATGGGGAAACGCCGCCCTTCTGTGCCAATTGTGGTGCAATCGAGACACCCACTTGGCGTAAGTTTTGGTCGCAAGATCACGACGGGCCCCCCGGATATTATGAATACTCGGATGCTCCAGGAAGAGTAACAGGTGTCAACGTCACGAGCCGGGACGAGGCTGGCAAGCCTACATCATTTCAAACCATCAAAAAAGCCTTGCTTTCAACGGAGAATAGGGCAGATTTCGAGCCCTATTTGCTTTGCAATTGTGAGTATAATACATTTTCGCCATATGGAAATAGGCTAACGAAGCAGCTTGTGGTCTCTGGATGCAGAAGTACAAAAGTCAAAGACCTCCTGACAAATGGGGTGAATCTGTCAGCCGCAAGGTGAGGTCTCGGCCACGCAGTGCTTATCAAAGTGGATTCTTGACCTCAGATGCGTATTGTCCACCTTCTGATACATATCCCTCCCATTCAGACGCTTATTTCCCCGTGCATCACAGCCAAGCAGACGGTGTGGGTGAGCCTCGACGTACCTTGCCAGCTGAAACAAACAATCAGGTTCAGAGGCAAGCATCAGAGTTATCGCAGCCACGCGAATTGCAACGGCGTAATTCTGGTATTCCAGCGTCGCAAACTCAAAACCCAAGTACTATCGCACCTGTCGTGTCTGAGAGGCAACGATCTACGAGTTCTCAACCCCCAAAACGTATAAAGGCAATGACATCCGATGCAGCATCTGCCGCATTAGTCAGAGCCATCCAATCGAGCCCGGCCAGGTGGCAGGGTACGAGAGAATCGCCTGTGGAAGTTGAAGATGAAAATATGGGAACAACCAGGAGACTACTGTTTCCATCTCCACGGAAGGCTGGATCACCAAAGGTCTTGGGAGAGACATTGACCAATATCGTCCAAATCTCAACAGATTTTCAGGTACCGGAGAAGGTCATTATGGACGCCATCGACAAGGAAAATCAACCACCAGCGATTGAGTCAGGTGACGAAGACTTGGAGCTCCTCCGGCTATTTGGGGAGGATATGGCACGCCCATCCACACCACCACAAAAGTCACCTCACACAAATGCTTTCAAAACACCAACAAGGCCAACACCAAATCATAGGCCAATCACACGGAGCGTGTCGAAATCAATTCGCTCTGCAAAATCATCTGGACGACGTCTTAACTTTGGACAAAACACACCCACGCCACGTCGATCCCCTAGAAACCGCGATGTCGTCTTCGAGTCACCGTTCACTACTACACTGAAAGAGCTCATGTCCGAAGCAAACAGTCAAACGCCCGCAAGGAATATTGAGCTTGATTTCAACAACATGCCGGATTTGCCTATATCTAATAGCGCAGTTTTCAATATGGATCATTTCTTTTCAACCAATGGGCCGTTGCCTTCTTCGCCACCAAGGATGTTCAGCCTTTACGAAGACACTACCGCAATGGATAATATCAATTGGCAGGAGTTTGACAATTACGTTCAAGAGAAGACCGTTGAGGTCGAAATCAAGGTTGAGCCGCGAGAGTCACCACAAAAGAGGGGAATAAGTGAGAGTCAGGAGCCTGCTGCAAAATCATAGCGCTGAGATTTTATTTCTTTTTTGCATAGCGCGGTGTTAAGGGTTAGGATAGGAACATGGCAGGCTCCCTCATGATTAACATGTATGGGTATATATGCGGAAGCATCCAGGATAGGTATCGTATCCACAGCGATTGGGTACGTATCGTAATGAAATAACAAGAATAAAATGTTTGACGAATCAAAATAAAAACAACATCAGTGATCATTGCTTTTTGTTTCAGTGGCTTCATAGACATACTGTTTCGTGAACTTACATATACACTGTAAGAACGCAATACTCTCGCCTTTCAAGGAAAACAATGACAAGGTGAAAGTAAGATTTTTTGATATGCGGGTAGCACAAGTAAGGCATATTTGGACTTTTGGTAACATTAGGTTCGGTCAGAGCTTATAGATCAAGAGCGAATCTATTGCCATGATTCAGATGAGCAATATCTCACTCGTGACCTTCAAATCCCAGGCCCCCGACAGAAGTTAGCCACCTCTTTTGGTAGATACTCTTTAATGCCATCCCATCCTAGCTTGCTTTCCATAATTTCATGCTTCGTATCATCATTCATTCAGACGCTTCTCCCAATTGCTTAACCAGTCGTCGTTCAATCCGCGTAGAAAATCTCCTTGTACCGATGTGTCGCGTCTACAACAGCGTTTACCGCATCGAAATCTGTATCTTCATTAGCCTTCTCCCCTTACCCCTCCCCTTCATCCCCGCTCTCTCCCTTCCCCCCTTCTTCCTCATTCCCTTTCCACAAAAGAAACAAAACTCACCAACACTCCCCTCCCTCCCCAAATCCGTCGCCCGCAACACGCGCACACTCAAATCCGGATTCACCTTCCCCACAATCTCCACCGCGTTCCCGACCGTTAGATGCGAGTCCCGATTCAGATGCGCAGTCATGTTCCCGGCGCAGTCGATGGTCGCTTGGTCGCCTCGGAGTTGTACTACTTTGCCGACAAGTCGGACGGTGCGGGATGTGAAGGAGTCGAGGTGGGGGGAGAGGATGCGGGGGGTTGTTTCTGACATTCTTGAGGGGAAATGGGTGTGGCGGATGGGGGACGTGTGGTTTGATGGGTTGTGGAGGGTGGTGGGAATTGATTGGAGTTGAAATCGAGGGAGGGTATGGGTTTCGTGGTGGTGTTGCACGAAATATGGTATTCAGAAGACGCGGTGATGTTGAAAGCTTGTCGCGTATCGCGCTCTCACGTGCCCAGCCGGAATCGTGCCTTAGTTCCAATTCTCACCACGACACCTCCATACGTTTGCCTCCCGTATTTGTTCTTCTTCTCATAATGGGAAAATCAAACCCCTAGGTCCATTATCCCCTGTTCTTCATATAAAGTCCCATAAGTAGTTTCGTAGTTAGCTGAACTCGTCTATTTGTAACAAGTATTATTATATGTTGCTGTAAGCATAATTTCATCATCCAATCAGGAGGCCAGATGGCGGAGTGGTTATCGCGTTAGCCTAGAAAGCTAATTCCTTCGGGAGCACAGGTTCGAGTCCTGTTCTGGTCGGTTGAGAAAAACTTTTGACCTTTTTTTGCGCGTGGGTTTCTTTTGATCTCATGTTACGGCCAAATGTTGAGTGGCGTATGCTTTTTTCGTTTCCTGCCAGAAGAGGATGATGGAAATTTTTGGCTTAAGAGGTTGTCTTCTAGTAAATTTTAGATGCTACATGCCTAACCATAATTTGACTGACAAATTATCCTCCTTGGGCGAGGGGTAGCTGACCTTTTGAATTGTCAATACACTACGAGGCAGAGTCTCCCCAATTTCGTCGACCAAAACATCCAATGAATAAATATTGGGCCAACACATCAGTTTCACAACTTCAGAGCATAAGTGAAACTGTCATTTTAAGCACACATAATACTTCTTACATTTTATACAGGACCCAAATATCGTACCGATATTCTACACCATAGCTCTAACCTTAGGAATCAAATCACTCTGATGTTCCCTCAACAGTTGCTCCAACGCGCTCTGCTCGATAATGAGCCTTTTCGTCGACAACAAATCCTTTACATCAACCTCAGCGCCAATCTTCATAATCCCCTCACTGCCCAGAGTTTCCATAGCTTTGAAAAGCTCTTCGATATATTCATTCGTGATGACCATAGACCTTCCATGCTTGCTTCCCCATTTATTCGCCTTGAAAATATCCTTCATGTACAACATGTGTCCGTGATCTGGATTGAGCCTTTCTGGGTAATCAACTTTCATTCCGTCCTCGCAAATCAGCAGTTCGCCCTTCTTATACCGATAACTCAGGGCTGTTCTCCATGCCAAATCATACATCTTCCTTGGGAGATCTGTAGCGAAATCTCTATGGCGAGGACCGAATGACTTTCCACCTCCTCTAAGCATAGGCGATTGAGCCGTGCCAAGACGTGCTTTACCAGTACCCTTTTGCGGTCGTATCTTTCTATGAGATCCGCGGACCTCGAAACGGGTTTTGGCATGTGCGGTTCCCTGTCGGGCGGCGTCGCCTTCGAAGATCACAGCGCGGTGGAGAAGATCCTTGCGAATGGGAAGATAAAGATATTTGCTTGAGTACTCGTGCAATCGGACGGGTTCCATGGTTGGGAAGTTGTGGATTGTGGTAAGGACTTTGGGAGCTGTAATGCGTTAGTCCATGCTAGAATCTGGCGCAAAGGCTACTGACGAGTAAACTCATTCTCTGTGACCACGCTGGTGAGAGCATGAAAGTTGTAAGGGGAGGCATTCGATGGCATTTGGACTTCTGTCGCCATCGACCGTGATAATACAGGAGCCAGACATTGCTAAGAGAGTCAGCGCGATGCAAACCATTGGACCATGATACATACAGTTAGGGGATCTCTTGATCCCGCATATGCTCTAATAGAGCCTAGACCCCTCGAGAAGCCTTGTAACCCTTTCGCCGCCATGGTGCTTGTGTTTTCGCGGACAAGTCGATGTCGTGGTTGCGAAACTTGAGGTCGAGGGCCAAAGAAAAGTGGTCGGCAAGTCCCGCCAAAATTTCCGCGCATCGAACCTCGATTATTTTCGAGAACATCAAACGTACAACATCACAACAACCATGTCGACATGTCAAAAGGCCGCAAGGCCACTGACGCGATGTATACGCGAATCACAATCGGCATCTCTATCTGCGCGCACGATTCGAAACTTTACGAGCTCGACGAGGCAAAATGAGGAAGCTGCAGCAGCTGTTGAAACGAAGCCACCGCGAGTCTGGGATCCAACGACCGTCACATCTAGGAAAGGAGAGAAGGCTCTCATGAAAGATGGAGTAATGCCAATTGGATCTCGTCGTCGTCGAGCTGCAATCTCGACTTCTGATAATCTTCCATTCGAGCAATTGCCATACCAGTGCTTCCAGGAAGCTCTAAGGGTGCTGCGAGCCGACAGAAAGGAGAAGCTTGAATTGATCAAGACAGAAAGACTACGAATATCGAACTTGGAAGCTCAGGATGTTACGAATATCAAGGGTGGACAGAAGCATAAGGATACGAGGTTAGAGAGTATGAGGAGGCATTTGGAATACTTGAAGATTCAAGCCGATATAAACGATCCACTGATCAAGAAGCGTTTTGAAGATGGAGAGGGTATGTCGAGACAATCACCCTTCTTAAAAACTATATGCTAATATGTATTCTAGGCGATATGAACAAGCCAATCTACCGCTACTTAGCAGACAAGCAATGGCGCAAATATCAACACAAACTCATCACCCAGCGGATTCATCAACTATCCATCGTACCCGATCTCTTGCCTCATTTCGAACCTACAGCAGATGTGCGCCTTGCCTTCCGCACTCGCCAAGTTTCCCCCGGCGAATTTGTCGACTCTCGCATCAGCGAATACCCTCTTCGCCTGAAAGTTCAAGTCTTCGACAAGGGCACCCGCCTCGTCTCAATCGTCGTAATAGACTCGGACGTCCCCCAACTCGAGACCGACAAGTTCGAATCGCGCTGCCACTTCCTCGCCACAAACGTCCCTCTCTCTCCAACTATAAATTCCATCCCTCTCTCTCAACTCTCAGACTCCAACGTCGTCATTCCTTGGCTCGCGCCTTTTGCCCAGAAAGGTTCGCCATACCACCGCTACTCCGTATTCGTCCTCGAGCAAGGCTCTGAGCTCAATGCGGAGGCCCTGAAAGCTATTCCGCGCGATGGCTTCAAGCTACGTAGTTTCAAGGACAAATATAAGGTTACTCCTATCGGTATGAGTTTGTTCAGAAGTGAGTGGGACGAGGGAACTGCTGGTGTGATGCAGAGATCGGGCGTGGATGGCGCGGATATTGAGTTTAAGAGAAAGAAGGTTGTTGCGTTGAAGCCAAAGCAGAAGCCTAGAGGATGGGAGGCTAAACATGCCAGTACGAAGTATAGGGCTCTTTGGAGGAGGAAAGACAAGAGCGCGTAGAACTTGGGGAAGTTGTAAGAGTGAAAGGGTTTTGAGAATTGGTTGTGTAAGTTAGAGCTTGTGTAGTTGAGCGGTCGTTGTTGAGGGACCAGGTAGTAGAGGGGTTACGTATAACACCATGTAGAGTATGTACAATGTATTAAAACCGTCCCCTATTGCTTTGTCACACTGCCCTCCTTCTCATCACAATCTGAGGCACATTTTTAGATAGTGAGCTAGAGTGCGCATCTCTAGACGGTAGATGTATGACTTGATGGTTTATAATTTTCTAGATTTAACAGTGATGAGGAGAAGAGGTGGTTGACTATGTAGACGATAGACAATAGACATATCATTACAACTCTTCCCTCCCAGTCTTCACTTCTCACAACTCTCGCCTCCTATCTCTCCATCATAATGCGAATCCAATAAACTCACCCTATTCTATCTCATCTCATCTCATACCACCACGCTTCGCAGAGCCAAACCCCCTTGCCGAAGAACTCGCCTTCACCTTCACTTCTCACCTCAACCACATCCAGCACAACCAGTGAATCTATCTAACTCCATCTGGCAACATTCCACTCCATGATTCACACCCTCACGTGTCCAGCCATGTCTATAAATTAAAACTTTTTCTCGCGATGTGCAACAAAACTTCTTTCCCACAAACCCTTTTGCAAGTGTGATTTGGGAATAACCTAATCTGGAAGGATAAAAGCTTCACGTGCACGCAGCCATGGGTATAAATATGAACTTTCTCCTCGCGATATACAACAAAACTTCTCTTTTATTCAACGCACACGACGTTTTTGGGAAGATGAACTGGAAATTCGAGGTTGAGATCTTGAGTAATGGGATATGAGCAAATCTAGAGATTATTGAAGATAGATATCTTATGTAGTTATCTATATGTATACATAACCTCGAGCCTCTCGACTTGTGATAAACCCTTTCTTCCCACCTCTCAAACAATGAATTCCGAAATATAACTTGAAACCTACTCCTCAACTCCCCTACACTTCAGTTACTCCATTCAAGATAACCCCTAAAGTAACCCTCCTTATACAACAACCTCTACAATCCCCCGACGTATTCTAAACCCATCCCTAGCAAAAACCACACAAAACTTTTTTTAATAACGCTCAAGGGTGAACTCCCCCCTCTCACATGACTCTCCTCACGTGTCCAATACCAACTATAAATACAAACTTTTTCCCTCGCGACATGCAACAAAACTTTCTTCGCACAACAATTTTGGGGGAATATTGGTATAGCACTTTTCCTGAAAAGAGTTGTGAGTCTATGGCTAGGATGTGTCCACTAATTGAATTATGCTACATAGATTATCAGTACCACTCAATATATGAATGATCATAATAGCATTTTTATTCCACGCGCGCATCGTCGTCGGCACACCATACTTTGTCTTTCCCAGCCCTGGAGACATGAATGAAATGTCGCACCTGTCACGCAAAGTCCTCCATTGCTTGTCGCGGCATAAGACATCAATATCTCGATGTCGCCACGATATCCAGGAGATATTGCAAAAGAAGAGCTTTAAGATGAATAAAAGATTCATAGGAAGTGTCTTCCTTGATTGATCATAACGGCCATTATATTTACATCATAACCTCATAAACACATGATAATAATCCAACAACACCCTGCTCAACCAGTCATGCCTAAACCACATTCCTGTGCCCCTAGAATCCTTATTCACAAAGTATTACTACTCCACCCATTATTTCATACACTCATTCATGTCAACTACACATAGAATCCCTTTCTTCATTCTCGCCATCACATCACCCTCCCACCAACAGCCTCCTCCTTCCTCCTCGCCAACAAACTCTTCAACGCGCCCAGACTCTTGTCAAGCTGATCCTCACCTCTCGCACAAAACTTGAAACTTTTCTCCTCGGTAATAACCTGCAAGCAATGTCGTTTCGTCTTGCTCAACGGATCAATCTCCACCGCATTGATAACCGAGCTTAACGGAATGAGTAACACAGGTGAGTACTCTGATTCGTTTTTATAAAGTGCGAAATTGTTGCGGCGGAGAACAGCCCAGAGATTTTTCCATTGGCGGACCCCGCCTTTGGATTTCAGATAGAGGAGATGGCCTTGCCAGATTACGCGTTCGGGATCGAGGTCGGGATTGAAGCCGCTTATTTGGCTAGAATTGCGGACGGCGAAGTCCGGTCGGGGAGGTGGTTTGACGGCGAGAGGCTCGGTGGGTTGGAAGGGTCGGGAGACTTCTGTGTCTGAGAGGTCAGAGTGGGATGCTATATCTGTGCCTGAGTAGTCGATCGTATGTGACATTCTGCGGCCGGGCGCGAAGACAGGACCGTTCTTTTTGGATAGTCTTATTGGAGGGTCCATTGGTTCTGGAGAACTTGAGCCTACACGTTCCTCGTGTAATCGCCTCTGCTCGGTGTGTTTGTGGAATGCTCGTTCAAAACCGGCGTATGAGCCCGAAATTACTCCTGTAGGGCTGGCTAACATCATTTCTTCCTCCTCTTCTTCTATTCGTGCCTCTCGTCGAATCAGCCCAACCCATTCTTCGGTATCTTTCTTCGACGCGGCTTCAAGGTGGTAATTTCGAGACGGCGAGAACAAGCCAAACACGTTGACTCGTTTGTGTTTAGGATCTTTGAGTTTGGCGACTGCTGTGAGGTCGGAGAGCTGTATCTTGTGCTTTAATTTATCTTCGTTCGCGTCTCGGTAGATGGAGAGAGAGTTTGGTCGTAGGACGAGAAATATTGGTTTCCAATTCTAAGTTGCCGTTAGAATAATCCATTACATTTCGGAAGTATCCAGTCTTACCTTCGTCTTGCGCGTTCGTTTCTGTACGGTCCCAGACTTTAACACCCGATCAAATTCAAAGCTGCCATTCTGATTTACCGGGGAGAATGAGTCCAGTGCAAGATGGGAATTTCGAATCCGACTAGAGGACGAAGGCGGTGGTAAAGCAACTCCAGAAGGTGGAGGTATCTGTAGGGCTGGGGTTCGTGGCGGTATCTGACGAGGCTCACTAGGTGACATCGATACAGGCTGCACATCCGCCATCATGATGCTAGATGTTTGTTCCAATTCTGTTGATAACTGAGTATGAAGGATAGTCCTGCGATATCGAGAAAGACTAATATGGTCCGAAGTCGTGGGCAAATTTGGCGCAGTTGCGACTTCCAGAATTTGGGCGGGTTCTCCTCACTACCAAGCTCCTAACGTTCAGCCACCAGCTTTAATTCGTGTGGGGGTTTTCCCGTGGCGCCTGACAACTTCTTTAGGGAAAGCCAAGTGCCCAAGAGCTGCCAGATGTCGGTCAAAGAATGGCGGATAGTGGAAGATAAATTGTTGAGAGGGGTTCTGTCGACATTATTATGTGATTAATGATGGTGGTGGTGGTAGCACAAGGGCTCTGGAAATCTGCCTGGATATATTCTTTTCGGCAGTGAGGAATGCGCGCTCTGGATTTGTATGGCCTGCGGACCCTTGGGATCGCCGTGTTCGAAGCTTAAAATGAGATACGAAAGGACGGTTGAGATGGACCAAAGAATGAGGGTGAAACTGGTATAGGCCGGGATGGGGATGGGGAAAGGAAGTCAACAAATGCGCCCAGCCAATCCTTCTACCGAGCCAGAGAAATGCTGTATCCGCTCTGGTTAGAGGAAAGATTCAGATTTATTTTAGGATCAGTGAGAAGTGCTGGATCCGGTATACAACTGAATGACAGTCAGCAGGTAGCCGTCAGGATTCACAGTATTATGGTCAGGTGGAGGCGATTGGATTCTGTCAGTTGTTACAGCAGAACAGGACGCCTGGACGAGACCATCCGCCATCCACGGGTGCTGACATGAAGGTTTCGAAAGGGAAGAGTGGCTGAGGTTCTGGAACAATGTTATACCGGCTCCGCTCGACCCACCCTCGCTCATGATGAGTGCAGATTGACAGACGCGACTAATCCTGGTAGTGCCACAGTTGTGACGCATTTTGGACAACGGCTCCTAAAAAATATCCGTAGAATTTATAGCGAGCTGCATTTCAACCACACCCTGGAAAACCATTATTCCTGCTTAAAGAGCTACTTTTTCTTCAAGTTCTCGAGTACTATGAAGTATCACATTCAAAATGCCTCTCGTAAACCCAGAGAAACTCGTTGCTTTGCAGCGAAACCCAGACGGAATCAGAAATGTAAGTGGTGCATGGAGGGGTAGTTTGGATCCTCATTTACACATTTACTAACAACAACTCTTAACAGATTTGCATCTTAGCCCACGTTGTAAGTTGCCTCACTGGAAGGTTTGGAGAAAGTTGTAATGCTAACAGTATCTTAGGATCATGGAAAAACTTCTCTTACCGACGCTCTCATCGCCACAAATGGCATCATCTCCCCCAAACTCGCGGGCAAGATCCGATATCTCGATTCGCGACCCGACGAACAGATTCGAGGCATTACCATGGAATCCTCTGCCATATCTTTGTACTTCTCGATGCTACGAAGAAATGCACCAGATGCGACCCCTGAGCATAAGGAATACTTGATCAATCTAATTGACTCGCCCGGGCACATCGATTTCAGTAGCGAAGTTTCAACCGCTTCACGTCTATGTGATGGCGCAGTAGTCTTAGTGGACGCAGTTGAAGGCGTCTGTAGTCAGACCGTCACAGTACTTCGGCAGACATGGGTGGAGCATATGAAGCCTTTGCTCGTCATTAACAAAATGGATAGGCTAATCACAGAATTGAAGATGACCCCTGGGGAGGCTTACACGCATCTCAGCAAATTGCTAGAACAAGTCAACGCCGTCCTCGGGAGTTTCTTCCAAGGTGAACGAATGGAAGAGGATTTGAATTGGCGGGAACGCATGGACGAGAGGATTGCAGCAGCAAAGGAGCAGGAGAACGCATCCAAGGACTTGAGCGGCGCAAATGGAACATCTGTGGATACCGATAGCATGTCTGCCAATGCTGGCTGGGAAGAGAAAGACGATGAGGATATTTACTTTGCTCCAGAGAAGAATAACGTTATTTTCAGCAGCGCTATAGACGGTTGGGCATTTACGGTACGGCAGTTCGCCAGTTTATACGAGAAAAAGCTTGGAATAAAGAGGACGGCCATGGAAAAGGTACTCTGGGGAGATTTCTACTTGGATCCAAAAACGAAGAAAGTTCTGGCACAGAAGCATTTGAAAGGCCGAGCCCTGAAGCCAATGTTCGTTCAGCTAGTGCTAGAACAGATATGGGCTGTGTATTCGGCGACGACTGGGGGAGATAACTGTAAAGGGTAAGTCCTTGTCAATTTCTTTCGTATCTTTCGTTCATGTGACCCCCGTCCAACAGTGTCTGACCGATACCAGCGATGCTGCCTTGACGGAAAAGATTACTAAATCTTTGAACCTCACATTACCACCATATGTCCTGCGATCGAGAGATCCTCGAGCTATTCTTACTGCTTTATTCACTTCGTGGCTTCCTCTCTCTACAGCACTACTTGTCTCCTGTATCGAGTCTTTACCTTCTCCTCCTGTTGCACAGGAGAGTCGACTTCCTGCCATGATTGATGCCTCTCCGGGGTCTTCTCATGTGGACCCTAAATTGCGACAAGCAATGGTCAAATCAAAAAGCACTAAAGATGACCCTGTTGTCGCCTATGTAAGCAAAATGGTGTCGATACCGGAAAGCGAACTCCCTGAAAATAGGCGCCGAGTTGGAGGGTCGCTCAGTCCAGAAGAAGCTTTGGAAATGGGTAGACGAAAAAGAGCAGAGATTGCGCGAGCAAGAGCTTTGGCTGAGAGTAGTAGTGAGGACCCAGTTGGCAGCCTTGCTACTGCGATGGATGGAGCAAGCTTAGAGGATGCCGATGCCGAACAAGAAAAGCCCCCTGAAAAAGAGCATTTGATTGGATTCGCAAGAATCTATTCAGGAACTCTTTCAGTTGGCGACTCAGTTTATGTGATACCTCCAAAGTTTTCCCCTGCGAATCCCCATAACGATCCCGAGCCACAAAAGGTCACTGTCACTGGCTTGTATCTTCTCATGGGTCGTGGACTTGAGCCTCTGACCTCCGTCCCAGCCGGCGTTGTCTTTGGAATCGCTGGGCTCGAAGGCCATGTGCTCAAATCAGGAACCATCTGCACCCAGTTAGAAGGCAGTGTAAATCTAGCTGGTGTCAATATGGCCGCTCAGCCTATTGTACGTGTTGCTTTGGAACCGGCATGGCCAGGAGATCTGGACAAAATGATTGCTGGCCTCAAACTTTTGGTTGCAAGTGATCCTTGTGCCGAGTATGAGCAGTTCTCAAGTGGGGAACATGTTCTGCTGACAGCGGGGGAGCTTCACCTCGAGAGGTGTCTTACCGATCTCCGCGAGCGATTTGCCCGGTGCGAGATCCAGGCTGGTGAGCCAATTGTTCCATACCGAGAGACCATCGTTCGCGCAGATGAGATGAAACCTCCGGCCAACAAAGATCTTGGAAGAGGTACAGTCATCGCAGTCTCGACTTCAAAGCAAATCACAATTCGATTACGTGTCAGGCCTCTGCCCAAAGAAGTCTCAGATTTTCTGATCAAGAATGCGAGTGCAATCAAGCACTTGTACTCTGAGCGCCAGAGTGAAGAGAAGAGCAAGAAAGCGGGAGAGGCAGCTCCTGACGATTCTGATTCTGCAGATATTGATGAAGATGTTACAGTGGATGCAGCCCAATCCATGTCTCTTCCAGAATTCAAGAAGCAGCTTTCGGCTGTCTTTGAAGGCGTTAAGGGTCCGCGCGATATATGGGCGAATGCCGTGGAAAAGATAGCAGCCTTCGGCCCACGAAGAGTTGGACCTAACATATTGATCGATACCACAGAACAAAACGTTTGTGGCAAATTGTAAGTCATTATCTACTAGCGTGCCCAGATAGTGTTAACAGTACATAGTCTCAGAGAATCAGGCACGGAAGAAGAGCGACAAGAGATTGGTGATACTCTTCAGGCACGCGATTTTTCAGACAAGATAAGCTACGCGTTCCAGCTTGCTACTGCACAAGGACCCCTTTGTAATGAGCCTGTGCAGGATATAGCTGTCTTCCTTGAAGAAGTCACAGTCTCACACTCGGCGGACGATGAGTCCTCAGCTCGAGACAAGCTAGGCCGCCTGACTGGTGAAGTCATCAAGACAGTCCAGCAAGCAATCAAACAAGGCTTCCTAGATTGGAGTCCTCGTCTTCTCTTAGCTATGTATTCTTGCGAAATTCAAGCAAGTAGTAAGCACATATCGCCCCCACAAACGAGCACAATATACTAACCTCATTTCCAGCCGATGTACTTGGTCGCGTCTACGACGTCTTAACCAGACGTCGTGGTCGCATTCTTTCCGAAGCACTCAATGAAGGCACACCATTCTACACCATCATCTCTCTTCTTCCCGTTGCCGAATCGTTTGGCTTCAGCGATGAAATCCGTAAACGCACATCCGGTGCCGCTTCCCCGCAGCTTATTTTCCAAGGATACGAGATCTTGGATGAAGATCCATTCTGGGTTCCGTTTACAGAAGATGATCTGGAGGATCTAGGCGAGCTGGCGGATAAGGAAAATGTGGCGAAGAGGTATATGGATAAGGTTAGAAAGAGGAAGGGACTTATGGTGCAGGGGAGGAAGTTGGTTAAGGATGCGGAGAAGCAGAAGACGCTTAAGAGATAAAACTTGTGCCTTTTATACCGGAAAGATATGACGCGAACCCGTCCTGGAGCCCGGTAGGACACCATCTCAACTTTACGAAAACATGATTAAAAAGGGATTTAAATGTCCGTTCAAGCATCTCGGCTTTCTCTTTACGGTCGAATTTTGCATGGTTGCTACCGTACAAAACCAAGGATTTCGGCCGCGGCGAAAAAGTCGATATGTAGAACGGCAATCAAGTGATGGAACAGACGAGTAAATAATGGGTTGAACTACTGAGTCTTCTGATATTGTTTCTCCTTCAACAAAAGTTTGTAGATAGAATTGGTCAGTATTCCATAGATCACTCCTTTCCCTGATCATCTTTATCTCAATTTATTGTTATTAGAAGTTACTCATACCCCTTATACGTCATTTCTCTTGTCTATCATACCACTTTTCTGCCATCCGATTCTTACCTTCAATTCAATAAGCAGAACCATTCCTTGTACATATTTCCAATCCGGCTGAAGAAGTCACGTTTTGCAGATGTACAAGTCAGCTGCTTCCAGTCCTATTCTGTTATCTACCACCCACATATGCTGTACAGCCTTGTCCACCCAACCACAACTTTCGATCACCTACCATGCATTTCATCTTCACGCCACCCCATTGGCAATTGGAAGCCACCATGCACATGGGAGCCACAGCCTCGGCGGGGTTTCTTACTCGGCTCGTCCAAGAGATGACGGAGAGTCGATACAGTAGTACCGGAGCCTTGTTTGAATATTCGACGAGCAGATATCAACTATCACATCGTTACAATCGTAAAATTTTGAACCAAACACACTGATAACCATACTGCTATCACCATGAGCTTTGGGGTCTCGATTGGCGATGGCATACTTCTGGCACAGCTCGCATTCCGCACCATCCAGGCAGCGAAACAAGCCGGTGGAGAACACGACGAGTTGGCCCGAGAGGTTCAGAGCTTGTATACTGTGCTCGACCGGCTTCGAACGGAAATCTCCAATCCACGGTCTCCAATAAATCGTGCCAACGATGACAAGCGGGAGGAGTTGGAAAGTCATGCTAAAGGGTGTAAGGCGCTGTTGAAGACTATGGAGTCGGCATTGAAACGATACAACAGAATGGGGCCCGAGGAGCGGAGGGGAAGAAGATGGTGGCATAAGATTCGATTTGGCGGGAAAACTCCCGAATTCCACGAGATTCGGGTTAAACTTTCCACCTACACCTCTGCCATAACCATGAGTCTGAACATGTGCTCTCTAGAGTCAATAGGTCACATAGAAGCGATACTGCAGCGAGTCGAAGCCAGCTCTACTGAGAGTGGACGGGAAATAAGAGACATGAGACGGTCTTTACATTGGGTCACTGCGAAAATGTCGGCTGTCAGAGAAGAAGGTACTGGGTCAGTATGGACGTCATATACGAATGATGACAAGACGTTTTGGCGAACAATGCGGAGGGAGATGGTGAAGAACGGTTGCACCAGTTCTGTGTTACACACAAATAGGAGTCTGATTAAGGACTATCTTGAAGAGCTGGGTAACCGTGGTGTGTTCGATGATGAACAGGTTGATGACGGTCAAAGTTCGCTTCTTTCAGAGGGACAGACGGAGCAGGATGACAATTCATCAAGCGCCGACTATGATAGCGACATCAGGGGGATGAAAAGCTTGGATCATTCCGAGCCACATGGAAAACCGGGGGAGAGTGCTTCATTGGAGACCGAGATTCTCACAGAATCAACAACACCAAATCCGGCAGCCACTAATCTAAAGGCAAGCATTTCCAATCCTAGTTTAGAAGATGTCGATGAGACTCCTGATGAAATCAACTCTGACGACCCCGATATAAATACGATTCTGTCTCCACCTATTCACTCTCAAGTTGCAACATTTCCATCGGAAACGGTCAATACAGCAGTTAATGAACAGGGGCTTCCTAGCTGCGGAGTTTTGCTAGGAGCTCGATCGAAAACATCACGGCAAAAATACCACTTTCCTTACATGGAAGACTGTATTGACGAATCCTTCCATACCTGCCTCATCTCGAGCACCGAAAGTGAGAGCTTTTGGCTTGATCCTATTATTGGGGTCGTCGAGGACGAGGCCAAGAGCGGGAAATATAGATCTGCAGACATCCAAAAAACAACTAGCTCTAGTCGCAAGGCACATTCAGCTGCATCAAAAAATTACAGAAAAGCTTCGATCAATCCAGCATCTATTCAGCAACTGGAAGATCATAGTCCTGCCGCAGACAAGGATCATTTGTATTGCTCGTGCTTCCATGACCAACTGAGAATGAGACGAAAAAATCCCGGTCTCTACAAAAGCAAAAAAGGGCCTGGTATTGAAGAAACGAGTACGAGCTCTTTGGCAGGTACGTGTCTGAGTGTCCAAGCGGAAAAAGGTAAGAGATCTTTGACCGAATTCGATTATTTGCATCCTAATGCTCTTACAGCGTCAAAAGATTTTATTACTGCTGAACAGTTGAAAATTCAACATAGGGCCGACCGGCGGCTGTCTGTGAACTCTGGGGATTCAGCTCAAAGTGACGGATCTGACAATACCGAAATTACAGTCAGAACTCAGTCGAGCTCTCCTATACATATACCCCAATACTCCGTGGATACGCATAGCGGTTATGGGTCGTCGAATATTCATAAAGACGAAACGTCATCGGAATCATCGAGTGAGTGGGGGACACGATCAAATGCATACTCTTTGTACAGTCTGTTCAACAATGCAACACGCCCAGGGTCTATCAAGGGAACTCCGGGCATCGCTCCAGATACTGCTCATAACATGACTAAACGTAACCAGGCTTACTGTTCTAGTGAAGGAATAAATTTAAAGATCTTTGAGCCATTCGACATGTCGGTACCCCTTGGATCGAGATATTCTCGTCTGGCTGGCCGCCAAAAGACACATTCCGATAGGTGCACTTCCGATATGTGCACGCTATATGCTCGATTTGAGTCATCCGATGCCGAGGCTTCTGGCATTCATGATTCAGAGGGCAGCGAGGAGATCAGCACAGACGATCACAATCGCAATGGTTTTAGCACGTCAGATTGTGATGAGTCTTCTGCGTGCGACGACCCTATGGCGAGTCACAGAGGAGATCCGGTTTATGAACGCTTCAGTCAGTCGACCGCTAATAATTTTACGCAATGGCGTCCAGAACAACTTCGCTGGATATTTTACCATCAATACCGAGACTTCAAGAAATACAAAAGGTTACGTGAAAGCTTCGAAGTGCTACCCACCGCAATACGCAATTCCTATATCTTAAATAGACCTATTCCTTCCAAAAAGCCAACCATTCGTGCTTACGAAACACGTAATCCCGCTGCCACATTAAAAGATCTCAAACATTGGCAAATCCCCGCAAGCTACTATCATTCCCTGTGGCACCCTAGAAGAGTTCCACTATACCTTGATGGGAATGTTATCGATGGGATCTCTTTTGCAATATGGATTGAAGGTTGGGCAGTTGCCCAATACCGCCATAATTCTCATCAGACGAAAACTGTTCAGAAGTTTGGCAAAATTGTCCGTAATCTTGGACAAGCTTTATCCGATATCAATAACGCATCTTATGCGGAAAAGAAGGATCTTCCTCGAAACCTTTATGACGAGGGATCTGAAATTCTTTGGAAACAACTAGAAGATGTATTGGGTTGTATCATGACGGATGCCCGAACATATAGTCCCTGGTCGTCCCGCAATAGCAAGCTAGAAGCAAAGTTTCTATTTCATTTGTGGTTGAATCTTGCAATTCAACCCGGAACATTACTTATTGACCCTGCCCACAGTTCAGAGCTTTTTGATTTCCAGCAAAATTCGCAAGATTGGTTAAGGCGAGTGGGCTTGCATCCAGCTTTCGACTCTCTTTGGGACACATTTACACCGAACATTCAGACTGAAGTAGACACGGGAGTCAAGAAGCCACTTTATGACCGACCCATCTACCATGAGGTTTCTTATTAGTGCGACTGCCAAACCATATCTAGGCTTTAGTCACACTGGTGTCTACGCTACGCGAAAACATCGAAGCCCATGTCATTCGCCTTAATTTAAGGGCAGAGTGGCAGACTAGTTACAGTTGATTTCACATCTTCATCTGCTCTCAAACTTCAATATACACATATCAATTTTTGAGATGTGACTGCTGCTTCCTTTGTCGGTATCTACTATATCTAACACAGAGACAGTTGCCACGATCGATACAAGATCATTCTCCTATAATCAATGATAGGTGCGTCCGAATTCCTCGAAATGCAGAGTTTGTTGAGGATGTTCGCATGCGTGCCGCTGCTGTATAACGATATTATGAACGATATTTTAGAACATGTATGCGGGGGAGTCTCTCTGGTTTAGATAGGAATTCGCCATCTTCTAGCGATAATGGTAGACTGCAGTTGCTGCGGTTAAGATTACAACATCTCAAAGCATACTTCTTGCTATATCAAACATGTTACAGGATATCCTCCTTTTGTAATTTCTTTTGGGCATACATTCAAACCTTAAATCGGCTGTGCTGGTCACTCAGCTAAGCGCTTACAATGATGCGAGTACTAGTATTTCCTAGATATGCCTGAAGTCAGAGCCAAAACATAATCTCTTATCCAAATCTCTCATTTCTCTATACGGCGGGTACTGCCGGGTTGATACAGCCCAGAATTCACTCGTGGTTGTTGAGATATAGTCATGGTTACACAAAACACTTAACCACCAGACCAAGTTAACCCACCAACAGGCCTTCCTTATGATAGACATACCATATTCATTCACACTGTCTTAAATGATGAGTCCCAAGTCTACAATAAGACACTGTTTTACCCCTCCTTCTCCGACTTCTCCTTCTACACAACAAAAACCTGAAAGAATAGTAATTTGACTATTCTTCAATTACAATACAAATCTTACAGAACAATAATTTGACTATTCTTCAATTACAAACACCTTCCATCATTCTACCAGCTATCATGCATCTCGCACTGCTCATCCTCGCCGCCACCTCCCTCCTCCCCATCATCATCTCCGCCGCTCCCTCTAACAACATCCTCACAGGCATCAAGTGTTGTATGGCGGGCTGCAACACCTGTAACTCTTGGCATTGCAAGAACTGCCATGCTTCCGTAAATTATTCCAATTATTATTCAAACACATCTTTTTCAATCAACAACACCCTCTCTCTCTCACTTGTGTATTACGGGCTGATTAATGTCTTACAGCCATATTCCACATGCTGTCCCACTATCTTAGCAAAGAAAAGAGATAGCGGTGGCAGCGAGATCTGGTATAATGAGCAGGGTGAGCGGATTACTATGGTTGATATGCCCGAACCACCGGAGATTGAGGCGAGAGAGGCGGAGGCTTTGAAGGCGGATAAAGGTGTGCTTTGGGCGAAGAAAGATGCTGATGCGGAAGCTTTGAAAGCTGACAAGGGAGTTCTTTGGGCCAAGGGCGCTGAGGCGGAAGCTTCGAAAGGAAATAATCCGGTGCTTTGGGCTAAGAATGCTGAGGCAGAATCTTTGAAGACAGACAAATCGGTACTTTGGGCTAAGGATGCTGAGCCGGAAGCTTTGATGGCGGATAAAGCTGTTCTTTGGGCAAAAGATTCTGAGGCGGAAGCTTCAAAGGCTGATAAGGCGGTACTCTGGGCATAAGAGAGAGAGGAGTTCCGACATGGACTTAGGGGATATGTATGTATTTGAATGTCATTGCTTGGGGTAAGCTTATGGGTCCGGAGTTTTGTGGGCTGAGTTGATTTTATGGACACTGTTGGGAAGTGTTGATCATTTACCTATTACCGGTGTTCAAGATAGTTTTGATATTGGGTTGATAAATGTAGAAGCTTCTCCACAATTTGGTTTCCATATTCGACTTTGAATTTTCTTTAATTTCATATGCACTTTGTGTTTGTAGTATATGGCTAATGTCTTTGGAACAAAGTTTCAAACGGGGTAATATTTACCGAATAAACTTAAAATTCACTATTGTCAATCAAGTCCAACTTTGTGTACGAATTCACAACAAACCCCTCAGTCCCACCTCCCCCCTCCTATTTCACATTCACCAATCTTTCTAGACCATCCCGTCCCCCTCCTATAAAGCATCAGAAAAGTTACTTCTCAGCCTTTCTTCCTCTCACACAACCAAAAGATCCATACACTCATTTCCAAAAGAATCCACTTCCAACCCTCAAAATGCACACCAAACTCATCCTCCTCCTCTCCACTCTCACTCTCTCTCTCTTCGTCACCGCCGTACCAGCCGAAGTTCCTGCCGCCGAAGTAACCACAGGCATCAAATGCTGCATCTCCGGCTGTACATCGTGCAATACTTGGAAGTGCCAGAATTGTTGGGCTTGGGTGAGTTTGCTTCTTCTCCTGTATCGACCGGGTATTTTGAACTAGTTTATGGAAGGTGGAAATGGGAATGGGAAAAGGGGAACGGAATATATGCTAATGAGTTGTTTTAACAGCCATACTCCGTCTGCTGCGCAACAATCCTCGCCAAGAAACGCGACGGTGACGGGAATGATGTTTTCTTGAACATGAAAGGGGAGGTTATCACGATGGTTGATATGCCTGAGCCTGAGTTTGGAGAGAATGTTGCTGAGGCTTAGATGCTGGGAAATAGGTGGTTTAAGACTAAGATGTTGGGTTTAAGGTTGATGAACTTTGATACAAAAGGCTGTAACTTGGGACTGGGTGTTTGCTTTTAAACTGCTTCTTGATATAAGCTGCTCCTTGGAGTGTAGGGTTAACTGTTGTTTTTGAAATAGCTATTGTCTTGCGCACGTATAGGTAGTAGTGAATACGAGATTTGTCGACCTGGAATGACTGTGTTTACTTGGCTGTGTGTTGTGTTTTGAACTTAATTACCACTCAGATGCTGGCTAATATATAACAAGATTCCATTGAGCATGTTATGCAACAGACTTGAAGTGAATATAAGTTTCGAAAAGCTAAATTGAAGCGTATAAAATAAGTTGATCTAAGTGTTACTAACTTGATATCGGATAAACACAAATAGACATACCAAAGATACATAAAGAGTAGTACAATAGAAGTTCATACTAGATAGCGTTCTGTTTTTCCTCAAGTAAAATGGGAAGACTTTTGATTTGAACTGACCAGGACGAAGTATTTGGCCATGTCTGACAGTTTAATTCACAGTTAATTATAAAAATCTTGAACACCCATGATCAGACCTATTGAACCATACAGAGTTCAAAAATAACAGCCAATATCCCCAAACCTATCCAATATCATTCACTTCAACCTCTTCTCCCCGGTGCCCATAAAACCCAAATCTTAACTCCCCATCCTTTCTTTCTTCCTTTTCCATACACAAACACAGAAAAAAGTCCTGTCCAAAAATCAATCGTTTTCAACTCCAGCTTTCAACTTTCCACTCATTTATCAAGATGCATACATTCAACATCATCCTCCTCGCCATCTCCTCCCCCTCCCTCTTCGTCGCCGCCGCTCCCCCAGCCGAGCTCGACTCTCGAATCCTCACCCAAGCCAAATGCTGTCTCCCCGGTTGTCGATCCTGCGCTCGTAACGGTTGTCGTAATCCGGATTGTTCTGCTTACTGGGTAAGTCTCTTACCACTCCCATTCCCATTCCGAAAGCGGCAAAGGGATCATGTTGTATAGTGATTTTATTTGGGCTAACGAGAAAATGAACAGCCGTGGAGCACCTGCTGCGGAACCATCATTGCCAAGAAGCGCGACGAAGATGGTGGTGATATCTGGTATAATGAGAACGGAGAGGTTATTACTTTCATCGATACACCTGCTTTTGGTGTTCCTCAAGAGGCAGAGGCAGCTCAAGAATAGATTGCTCTTCTTGGGATACTGGAAGGGTGAGCTTCTGTATTTGAGGTGTTGAGATACTGGTGCCCTTGGTACATGTCAATTTTCGTGGAGGGATCTTGTGCTAGAGAGTTGTCATTCGTTAAGGCGTCACTTACTGGATGGATGCCTCTTTCACATTTGTCAGTTGTTGGATCTGAGACAGCATTCAGTTGGCGTTGGAGGGCTTTTCTGGATGTTCTTGTTTAGTCAGTGCGGTTAGTGTAGGTACTAGCTAGACTTGCAGACTGAATACCAAACTACTTCAGCGTGATCAAATTTATAAGAAGTGTTGTGCAAGTCATTTCAGCGTGATCTATTCATACAGTATGACTATCTTGTCTTGCGAGTATTGTAACATGGAGTACTTAGAAGTGAATACAAAACCCTACATCAACTTTCTTAGCCCACAACCCTGGCCACCTCACTCCTCTTGGTAACTTAAAAATTACATATAAAACTACAAACCCAATAAAAAATTCCATGCCCCCCATCCCACTCCTTTCTCAATTCAAACCAAATCCAACCTTCAATTCCAATCAAAAGCTAGTTATAACTAACATGCACATGATCCCTAAACCCATTAGCTTCAATATCACCCACATCAAAGCAGTTTACTCACCAATGATTAGCAGTAATACTCCCCCGATCCTCCATCGGTTTCCAACTCTTCCACCCTTTAACACCATCATCCGAATTCCAAATCCTCTGACCCCAAATAACATATTTAACCTTCAACTCCGTCTTATGATGCATAACCCACTCGGCAATTTCCTGTCCCGAAGTCGTCGCTTTCTACGCTATCATCAGCCTCTCCCACCTAGACCAAGTAACAGAGGGAAGGAATATGAAAGAGAAATGGGACGTACTCCACCATCATCCGAACACATAATATCACTCGCCTTCCCACAACAATGATCACTCCCACTCCCACACTTACAATCCCTCGTACAATAAACCACATGCACCCTCCCCGGAAACGCCGCAACAATCCTCTTCGCCCCATTAACACTAACAGCCTTACACTCGCCCACGGGCGGGAAATCCGGCGCTTTATAGCCTCCCCAGCCAGACGTGTTCGCTTGACAGCACTTGAAGGATGCGGGGCCGGGACACTCGCCGGAGATGGAGGGACCGGTACAGTCCGAGGACCAGCGACAGTTGCCTTTTGGGCAGACGGGCTTGGTGCAGCATTTTATGTCCGCGGGGTCGGAGGGGCAGGCGCCGGGGATGGAGGTGCCGCCGGAGGAGGTGCATTCGGAGGATTTGACGCAGACGCCTGGAGGTGTTAGTTGGTGAGAGATGGGAAGTGGGTTGAGGGGAGGGTACCTGGGGCACCGCCGGAACCGACACAAGGCTCATTGACTGCTGCGTAGGCGATAGCGATGGTGAAGGCAGCGGAGAGGAGCGTTGAGAAGTGCATTTTGAATGAGTGTGAGTTGTTGGAAAGGAATGTGGGTGATGATACTTCCCAAAAACCAGGAAATATAGTCTTAATATACGCAACTCTCACGGCCTCGAAATTATACCGCCTTACTTTCCCAATTCCAGATCTCGAGAGCTGGGAAAAGCCTAACCTGCAACTCTCCTCTGCCCATCCTCAGCTGCTCTCTCTCCACAGTGTAGTGTAACTCTAAAAAGCATTCCATTGCCCAAATGTTTAGAACCAGCTGCACATGTGGAAATGACATGTTTTCAGTTAAGGATCATAGGAAGCTTGGCCTAGTATGATTTTCATACATCATGATATGCAGGTCCCTCAGCTACGAAATGCGGGGTGTTAAGCGAGGCCACTCAGGGGGGATGGTGATTTTGTGTAGGACAAAGAGGGCTGAGCCGCATCCTTTGAAGGAATTAAAGGTAGTGACTTTCAGATCCGGGCTTGATGGGAGGAAGTCAGAATCGGTGTGATACAGAGCCTTCGGGTAAACATATCATTTAAAGTTGAAAGATAATGGTATCGGGATGTGAGAACAAGCATCACTCTCCGTACCTGCATACTCACGATTCTCAAAAACAAAACCCAATATCCAATAGTCATATCAAGTATCCACATAAAATATCAAAATCATCAAAATAACGTTCAAACATCTTTAATTCGCCATCATTTCACTTCAAAGCGTTCCTAACTACCTAATCACAAGTCTAATCAACCATAGGCCCTCTTTCCTAAAAACACCTTACTCATGCAACTTCAATGGCAATGCGCTAAAAACTGAACTGTAAAAACAGGAGGTGGTGCAATGTATCAACACACGCGCGTACACAAAAAGTAAAAAGAAGTTGGCTGTATCTCTCAATCTGAGATATGTGTTACACGAAAAAGAAATTGTAAAGCAAATTTTTCTCTCGACGATCTATCCGCGAGATCTGGTATCTTCCTTCGTCTGAGTGATCAGTTTCCTATGTGTTATAACATGAGAACCAAATGAAATGTAATGCCCGCTGGGTGTAGTATGATTTGAAACGAAAATGTGTGGCGCAAGAGTCCGGTTGTCGAGCAGCAGGACAAGCGGCTGCAACGTGAAAATATGGACATGAAAGGACGATTGGGTCGCGACTGATATGTGAGAGAAATAGTGATCCTAGCGGCGATGTTTATTGAGATTGTCCAACAGATTGGTGAGCGTCTTGTAGGACCTCAAGCACGCGTGATTGACCTGCTCGATCTTCACAAGCAATCTGCAAACCTCCACCAACGTCAAAGTCAAGCAGAACACTGTTTGGTAATTCCTCCATCTCCATATCCGGAATAACAGGTCGCCTGAAGTCGCTGAGATGAAATCTCCTGGTAGCTCCGCCAGCTGCTGCTTTTCCATTGCCGCTTGCAGTCAAAGCAGGAGACAGTATCAAGAAACCCTGACTGTCCAACATCATAGAGCGACGCTTCCAAAGTAGAGAATCAGGAAATTGTACGTTCACGTCTCCTATGTTGATATTTGGGGTAGAAGGACCGGATTGGGGAGAAAGAGGTTGGGCGGAGTTTCCAGGTTCCGACTCTTCTCGGACAGTGGGTGATACTGCATGAGCCAATGCTTTTCGACCAGATGACAAAGAGGAAGACATCCTTCTCAACATGCGGCTAGCTCTATTAGATTTCTTGCTAGCTTTGTCTTCGCTCGAGGATAAATCGCCTGAAGGTGAAGGCGACATATAGCCATCATTCATGTCGCGATTCGAGGACGACGAGAGTCGACTGGTGATTGATTGCGATCGTGTATGTACAGGAGATGTGTGGGTGGAAGGCGGCCTGGAAGGGGACTTCATGGAAGGGGGTCGGGATGTGTTCCGAAGATTTGTGGATGAATTGTTTGGATCGAGGTTGATCGAGCGACGACGTTCGGCAAATGATGCCCGTCGTTCATTGATCAAATCCTTAACTATAGTAACTGACGACCTTCTGTTCTTGACAGTAGTATTTGTAGCATCAGAGGAATTTGATAATCGTCGCTCCTTGGACTGCCTCCTCTGTTGGATGGTTTCCTTGGCAGTAACAGCCCGTTGATGATCAATCACAAGTGGGGATTGCTTAAGATCCAATGGTGCATATTCCGAAGGGTCTTTCTTAAGCTCTGCTTGCGACGGATATGGTTGAGACGGATCGCGGATGATCCTCGCTGTGACCGAGATGGACTCTGGTCGTGGCCGAGAAGTGGGCTGAGGAGTCGGTACAGTGTCAGGCTCGAAACTACTGAGTCGATTCTTGATCGAACTCGACCGTTCGCGTGTTCTTCGAGTCTCGGGCGAGGAATCACGGGACTCGGGAGGAGGAGTGTTTCTAGTGATAGAGTTTGCTCGTTCAGCTACCGATGGACCGGGCGACCGAGAAGGTACACGGTTGCTAGCTTTCCTGACTGAGAAGAAGGCTGGAGTGCTTCCAGGAGGTGGCCCCGTTGATACTGGAGGGGTTGAAGGACCCGAGGAAAACTTCTCGAATGCCTTCATTCTCGCAGCAATCCCTGAACCGACATTGACCTTCTTCGTCGGCGCCGGCTTTGATGCTTCTTGACTGATCTTTTTGAGGTATGCTGCTGACGAGGATACCGACCGCGTAGGAGTTGGATTTTCGCTTTTCGGTGGTGTCAAGAGTTGGGACTCTGGTTCTGACTTCTTCATTGGGTTAGATGCAGCGCGTGAAAACTTATTCCGCCAGCTATCTGCTTTTTTTGGAGTCGGGAACATTGGACTAATTGGAGACTTCGAAACAGAAATCGGTTTCGCTTCTTGCATAACTGCGGATTGGAGTTCGTCCATAAACTCGTCGTCTGAAGATAAATTCGCATCATCAGCATTCCTCCGATCGGGTACTTCAATATCTGTTCGAATAGGCTCAAGTCCACGCTTTTTCTTCTTCGTCGCTGATTTGTCTCCTCTCGGACGATCATCACCAGAAACGGTTGGTCTCGAATCAACAGAAAATGTACTACCCACGGGTGACTTTGGTGTAACTACGACAGAAGGCTTGGTGTCTGATGCCGCGTGGAGTTCTGTAACGATAGGAGCAATAGTGGCTGTTGCCTTCGTATCTTCTAATTCAGATGTGGAATTTGGAGCTTCGCCCTTTTTATCGAGCTTGGCTATTAATGTCGACTCGGCAGCAGGTTCCGATGCCTTTTCTACCTCCGCTGGTTTAGCAACAGCACTTTCTTCCGAGACTTTCGGTGCCTGCTCGGTCAAGGCTGACGTTTGCTCATTGATTTCCGATACATCAATCGCAGAAGCCTGCTCAACTGCTGGAACTGCCTCCGGGGTCCGCTCTGGCACAACGTTGTCCGTTTTCACCATAGTGGTCGCTTCTGTGACCGGCTCAGCGATGATTTGCACTGGCTCTGGCGCATCCTTGACAACAGCGTTCTCTTCGACAACCTCATGCACAGTGTCATCCTCAGCAGGAACGCTGTACTCGGAATTGGTAGCATCATCATCCCTCATTGAGGTGTCTGGAATTACGTGGTCCTCGGATTCGTCGAATGTGACATGTTTATCGACTTTCGCGGGCTCGATAGGGGTGATGGTATTTTGGGACTCGTTTGGTTGTAGTGTGATAGGCGATTTCTCAGAGTTGACGTTCGTCGCAGCCTGTGCTGGTGTCGAATGGGCAGGTGCAGGTGCAGACACACTCTCTGTTGGGAAATCTTCCGCAAGAACATTATGCGACAAACCACTGTTTCCGTCCTCGACCTTCTCTACCTCTGCTGGTGCGAGACTATGTAGCTGTGCCTCAACAAATTCCGTTTGCAGCTTCTCGGCTGTGGCTGCTTGAGTTGGCACAGAGGCATTATCTGCTCCCAAGTCGCCTCCTGTTGTTCCTGCAACATAACTTTCCGCCGGTGTGCTATCTGGTTGACTTGATGATGGGTTATTCGATTTCGATCCCCGGCTGGCATTCTTCTCTGCATCTGTTACCTGCAACGTCCCGTCCGCAGACTCTGAAAGGGACGACGCGCTGGTCGATTCGGCTCGTTCCGATTGTGCAGTTGGAGAAACTGGATACGAATCCGATTTTGTTGCATCGGATTCATCAATCTTCATGGCTGAGTTGGCATCAAATGCAATTGCAGAATCATCGTCTTTGGCTAAATTATTTTGTGCAGTTAACGTGTCCGGAGCCCCCTGGATCGCGTTTGATACCTGCCTCGTTTCATGTTGCGGAGTATTAATTAGGTTATGGGGCACGCTTGGCGAAGTGGGTTCTGCAGCGGCCGAGGCGCTCTTCTTTTTCCTCATTTCTAAAGCTTTCATTAATCGAGCCTTCTCTGGTGTTATCGAAGGCATCTTTGTGGAAGTGGGTGATATTAACGGGTTCATTGGAACATTTTCTTTTGGCGGTGGCCGACCACCACTTGTATGTGGCCGTACAGGCGTCGAATTTTGGTAATTTTCAGACATACTGTCTGGAATTGGAGGTGGGGGTATGATTGTGCTAGGTGCATCTGTGTTGTATGTTGAAGTCGGCCGTTGCCGTGACCCCTTTCCAAATATCTTCAACCCAATCGGCAGGGTAGAAACTGGCCGATAATGCGAAGCTGCGCCAGAAGTGTGTGGACGGCTGCTCGAAACGTCCAGAGACGGACGCGGGCCTAACTTTATTCTCGGTCGCGTGCCAGTGCTGTATGTATTGTAGCTGTTGAGCTCCGGTCTAGTCAGCTGCGAAGATTTTCGAGATTGTGGCTCGTCGGTAGGTTTTGGCGGGGATTTCGACTCGAGTTCGAACCTCTCTCGGGGCGGAGGAGGAGATGTTTCCAAGTCGTTCTTGGTCGATTTGAAGGAGTGTGGATTAGGAAGTGTAAGAGGTATCAAACCATCATCCGTGTTGCTGGGCGCAGGAGGGGTGGCAGAAGAGGGTTCAACAATTGGAGCGGTTTTCCCAATGCTCTTCGCACTTTTCGCAGTACCTGGGCGTTCTTCGAGCACAGTCGATTGCCTTTTTCTATTATCTTCCTCTGCGTCTTCCGCAATTTCCATCAACCGTCGTCGTCGTAGAGAGCTCGTCGACGAACTTGTAGATCCCGAAGCAGTGTGTAGAGAGCATGCGGCAGATAGGGTCGTGTCTCGTAGCTCCTTCGCGGTAGCAATCGCGAAATCGGTATCGTAGGGAGAGAAGCGTTCAGTAACCGCGTTGAAATGAACAGCCACGCGAGCTAACTCCATGTTAATTTCTCCGGGGTGGGTTTCCATGGGAATATAGAATTCTGATGCGCACCTTGTACCAATCTCGAACAGTCCTCCGGAACGTACTTGATCAGCACATTCCTTCTCCTATACCGAAGAAATCCAAATAGAGGAGACGGTTCTTCGTAGGACGCTATCGCATTGCGTATCTCGACTATCCCGCCATTTCCCTTGCCCAGCAGTTCGACTTCGTCTCGGGAGATGTACTTGAGAAGGAACCTGCGAGAAAGAAAAAGCCATGTAAGTTTCCATCTGACAAGGTGCGCATCGCCCTCCAAAAGTGAATGAATGGGGAGTTTCTTACCATCCTCCTGGCTCGGCAACGGCGACATCATGAGCTTCTTTAAGCTTCACATCGTCCAGGCCATTCAGCGACATTTCCCTTCAAACTTCCCAATCTGCCAGCAATGGCTGTCGGTAGGATTCTTGTGCCTCAGTCGTTGGAGGTATCTCTGGATTCACTTTCAGGGGTCGTAAGCGGCTGCCGCAACATTGATCCTCCCACTGCAGCGTTTCTGCGACTGGCCGAAGCAGGGCATTGAACCTCCAAAAGCACGAATGGGATGATGAGAGTCGTCCAGAGTGAAGATATACGATTAAGTGAAGCGGAGATATCTTCTGGCAGCGGGAAAACAAAAATCCTCACTGTCGACTGCTCCTCTCCTCCCAAAATTGTGCCCCTGTTGCAATCCCGGCCTCCTGAAGTGAGCTTAGAGTTTAGCGTTAGCGGGCGGCTTGACCAGTTCGGTCGTTTTGGTGTCGCTGGCGGGTAGACGATCTCCAACCGGGCGGAAAATAAAAAGACAAAATCAGTCACCAACTGGCGCAGGAGTTTATCTTGAAAAAGACGTCGAGAGATGAGTGAGGGGAGTTTCTGCAGAAAGTTCTATGAAACGGCTTTTCCCACAGTCATTCATGCAGCACCAGAACGGCGAGGTCAGGTTTGTGAGTCTGGACATGCCCCAGAGCAGCTCGCTTTGACCATCCGCCCTCCCCGTCTGTTTATACGCACAGAGCTCTTTGCAATGCTTCCATCCGGCGGAGAGCCAATGACAGCGGATGTTTCAACATTCAAAGGGTCTGAAGGATGGACGATGGATGCGAGTTGTCAACAACCATGTAGGAAAATGCCAGTCCTCGGTCATGTGAAGAACTACCGCTTATCTTCTTGTTACCCAACCGCCGTTGTTGAGGGGTGGAGGGTATGGCTGCGGAGAGAGAATAACTTCCTGTTGGTAACTTCGTATAGGTCGTTGTACCGTTGTCAAGATCTCACGATGCACGACATGCTATTCGGGTTGTTGCAACATTGGCCAGCTCGATTAGGAGACGGTGATACCGTAATACCTCATTGGTAGTACTTTTTGTTCGTAAAGCCAGTTACATATCAGGCAATTGGCTCTTTTGAGATCCTGCACATGTCAATAAGGCTATTAATAGGTAAGTAAACCGTTGCTGATTCCCTGCGATTTATTAGATCTGAGGTTGGAGGCCAGTGTAATCACGAGTTACTCAAACTACTCAACTTAACTTAAGGCAACTCATTTAATACACTGTTGGAGGCACGCATCACCTCTTCTCTACCTTTTGTATGACAAAGCCTACCTCATTTGCATCTGGCAAGCATATGCATAACTTGTTGATGATGAAATCAGTACCCCTTCTGCCTGGTGTATCACACTCACATGTCATGTTCCTATTGCTTCTCAATACCTTTTTCTGAAATTTTGATATTCTTACTTCGTCATAATTTAGGTGTAAATTTTTAGGATTGAATCATATATCACCTTGTCAGTGAAAGATAGTAGGATTCTGCGGAAGTAGAGACAGCGGCACATGTCCGAATATATATAAATATACAGTACAAATCATACTAAGAAGATAATCATGTTCCTCTTTAGCAGGCAAATCTCAAGTCGAAACACAATATTGAGTTAACTCACATGAGCAATCTAGTGACTTTCATCTACAACCCATCCGAAACTCTAAATTCCACCTCGACCTCAAAATACTCCTACTCATACGCAGCAGTCCCATTCGGCGCCCCCGCCAACGCCGTCAAATTCCTCGCCCCAACCTTCAAATACGTCTTTTCCTTCGGCAGTCGATCCAGCACCTCCCTCTCTAAACCCAACGTATCCTTTACCACCTGGCGCGGCGTCAGCGCCAACCACTGCGCAACGCTCAAATCCGTAAAGCGCGGCTGATTCAACACCTCGAGGAACACCACGTCCACAGTCCCGGTGTTCTCGATATAATGGCTGTTGCTCGCGGGGATGTATCCCACGTCGCCGGCCGTGTAGTCGAAGGTGCGCGACATGGACGGCGCCGTGTAGACGGTGATGCGGGCGGAGCCCCGGAGGAAGTAGTTCCACTCGTCGGACGTGAGATGCCAGTGCATCTCGCGCATGGCGCCGGGCTGGATGGTGACGAGTGCTGCGCAGAGGTCGGTGGAGATGGGGAAGGTGGTTGTGTCTAGGATTTTCACGGTGCCGCCGGGAACGGCATATGGTTGTTGTTGCGACCAGTGGTATGAGTACGTATCGTTGGGTGCGAGAGCTCCGTATGGCGAGGTGACATTTTGCTCCGAGATGTTTGCTGGAGCGGGCGTGCCGTTGAAGATGTAAAGTTCATCGTCAGGTAGGTTGTCGAAGGATGAGACTGGGGTTTGCAAGTTCTTGGAAAGTACTTCTTTGGGGTTTCGAAGAAACATTTCGCTCACGAGAAAGGTTCCGTCTTCACTAAATGACCCATCGTCGAAGACAAGAAGAAATTCTACGCCTTGGTCGAGGGCCTGAATGGAGTGTGGGATGCCGGCAGGGAAGAACCATACGTCGCCTGCGACGAGGTCGTCGATAAAAGTTTGACCTTCTTCGTTCATGGATGATAGGCGAACGCTCCCTTTAAGAACGAGGGACCATTCATTTGCCGTGTGCCAGTGGAGCTCTCTGTAAGCATGAGGGGCGAGACGCATATCCACACCTGCCATTGCTGTTGCAGCGGGAAGCTGATTCTCATTTTGCTGTCTCGCCCAGCCTGATTGACGGCCGGTACCGAATCGATTGTGACTTAGTCCTAAAGGCCATTTGGCTTGGGGTACATCTCCATCGTCCGTTCCTGGAGGGGCATAGTGATCTGGATTTAGTTGTTCATATTCATATGTCCCTATGCCTGTTAGCATGGACCCCCGAACACGCTCAGGAGCACTTACTTGGACCCGGATCAGTCTGTCCCGCGTCACCTCTAATCGGCTGAGGAACCTCTACCCCATTGAAATCAAGGTAAAGTCCAAGATCACTATCTGCTTCTTGTCCGTTGACCAGTGTAACATCAGACACTATTGCAGAATCACCACCTGATACTGGTGCTGGAGGATAGACTTCTCCTAGTAAATCACTAGGTCCATACAAAGACCCAGATGCCGCTGTTACTGTCGGCGTAGGAGGATTCACACCGCCCACTGGCCCTGTATTCTCTCCGAACTGGCTCATCTGAGGGGCCGGAAGCCCAGCTACTAATGATGATATCCTCAAGACAGCGACATAGCGGAGTGTGTTGGCGAAAGACCACATGATGAAAGTTTCTTAACGAGGAAAAAGTAACAATAGCAGGTTGACATGGCGCCGCTCATTATATACTCAAGTGCCTTCCAGCATCAACAAACCCAACGGATATGTACAAGCATTAGGGTAACATCTGAAAGGGACATTAATCTATCACCGAAGAATACTAGCTGTTCCTTAGAAATAATACTACCAGCTCCACAAATCACATTAGCAATGACAAGCAAGAAGGTAACAAAATCGCATCAAAAACATACCGTGCGTCACGATCATCACAATATGCCTCCACAGACCAACCTCAAGACCTGCTAGCTCTATCCTCGACCCAAGAAACTACCATAGTGACCGACAAACAATTCTCAAATCCATATAACTCCTAGCCTCTACAAATATCACACCCCTACACCCCCAACCCCAAACAAGAGCCTCCACACAACAGCCCTACCAAACCCCATCATCAGTTTCTCCAGTCTTGACGTCTTCATAGCATGCCTGTTCCAATTCGTCATAAAAACGACCACTATACCTCCTGTAAAAGTATGGGTTGGATATCATCTGGGGTAGGTAGGCAACTGCCGAAAATGCCGCTCGGACCATTCGGCAACTTTCATGGATCGCGAGAATGGTGACTTAACGACAATTAGAATCCAGCGTGGTAACATGACAAATATTCGTGTAAGGCGAAGATGATTGCTTTTTTGAATTCTAACATCGCTGTGTTAGGAGAACGGTGGAAGATACCTAGAAAACAACCCTTGCTTTATTGAGAGAGCCCTTTTGATGGGCTCATTGTAGAATGGGGGACTTGTGATTCTTTTGTTAAAGAAGCTACGAAAAACTTCGAAGACGAATGTAGATTTCGAATTGGGGATGATTCGGCTACAGCCAGATGTCTGGGGCATGGATGATGACAGAGAAGAAGTAGACTGCCTCTTGAGTGCTGAGAAATATCAATACTCTGACCGAAACTGATAACGGTATGATACGTGTATATACAACCAACATCTACGCGCTGAAATACTCACTATTCTCAGTCATCGTGCCAGGACTCACGACACTCTGCATCCGCCCTCTCAATATCTCCTCATCGCCGAGTGTAGCATCATTTGCTTCACTTACCACAAACCGAACCTGGTTCCTCAAATCGCTTCCCTGCCGGCTCATACTACTTAGTGGACTTCTGGTTCCGCTTCCACCTCCGTTTTCATCTCTCACTATCCCTAACCCTCGACCGGGTCTACCAAGATCATTTCGGAATAGAGTATCGCTTGCTGCATCTAGAAGATCACTGTAGTACTCGCTATCATCATCGCTTTTCGGGATGGAACCTCCTCGAGGTCTAAATATACCTCCAGAAGATGAACCTTGAGTTTGCCAGGCCGTGAGAAGGACTTCCACTTCACGACGAGCGTCGTCGACTATGTCATCCATGTTGATGTCAATCTTCTCAACACCAAAAGGATCCTCATAAGTTGCCGCAATGCCTTCTATACCGTAAAGTGTGAAGGCTACAAATGCTGTGAGTGGTACAGCCCACCAATCCATCTCAGAGCACATGGCGAAGGGTAATATCCCACAAAATAAGGCAAGAGTTTGTTTGTGGTGGATTCTGGTAATATTAGCAGGAGCTATGATGACTCGAAGATAACTTACAAATGAGCGACCGGGATAGGTACTAAACGGATGACCTCCATGCTCCCATATGCCTTGGTCAGGTCATCTAGCGAAGAGAGCATCCTTGAAGAGGCAGCATTATGAAACCACTCCCTATGAGATAGTTAGTAGAACCTCAATTAATGACCAAATACGAACATACTTCCTCACTCCATCATTGACAAACTTCTCCACAAATGTCGCCAACTCCAGCGTCAATCCCAAACCCCTATGCTCATATCCCTTCATCCCCACAGGCAACAAATCCTTATACTCCTCATGCGTAGCCTCCTGGCCATCAGCCGTCAAGCTCGTTCCAGGACTCAGCGCCACACCCCACTCCGCCCTCAGATGATTCTTAATCGTATAAAGCATAGCAATCAAGATCTTGACTGTCTCAATGGTCCTCAGCTCGTCGAATTTGGACAGTCCTCTATCCACATCATTTAGATTAGAATCTCTTGGGGTTCCTGCAGTGGACTGAGTCCTACTATGAGTCCTACTATGAATCCTGCTATGAATATTATTCGGTAACATGCTATCCGTCGAAAGGACAGTATGTAAGCCCGATAACTCGGGAGGTGGAACGAGCACCAGGATTTGTCGCGTGATACATCTTATGGCTGTTGTCACTATATTGAGATGACATCTTCCGCCCCAGAAACGAGAATAAGCGGTCTGATTGCGGAATACTAGCATAAGACCAACGACAATTGAGAGCGAGGGAATCTGGTAGTACAATATTAGTCACGTGTCATCTTGCCTCGCTCGAATCTGAGAGCGGCATGCACTTACAATGCTGCTGGGCAGATTGAAGTCGCTATTGATATGCTGATTTACATAGACGATAAACGCGGCGAGGATAGCATGGCAAAAAACCGGTAGAGCAATTCCTGTTGGTGTGAGTTGGTCCTACATTGCGAATCAAGGGAGTGACGTACTGCCATGAATTGACCCCTTCCAGAAACGAAGAACCAGGGGCCATCTAGAAGCATGTTAGTCGGAGTCCAAATGTGTCGAAGAAGTTTATACCTTCTATCCTTCTTCCTAGAGCTACTGCTTAGAGGAAATGTATTGTGGCGGCTCCGTCTTCTACTACTATCCTGGGCTCCAAACACTGCGATTGGCAGAAGAGATACGCGCTTGGCGAAGGAAACGGGCATCTCGAACAATTTCAGGTCTTATGCGCTGCATATCACAAGAAAAATAAAAGGTTGTCTAACTTGAGGAATTATTTTGTGAATGTGGTTTTGCGCGTAACGTAATCTTTTGAGAAGAAGCAATGACACTGTCGTGGCTCGGCAATCCTAGGTGAGGCGTGACGGTCGAAATCCTGATTTGTTTGACATACAGCAAGGATCATAGCTCTAATTCACATTTGATTTCACGCAAATTTCAAGGCTCAATACAAAATTAGATGTGGTATTGTACATGATTTCGTGCGTTTAGAACATTACCGTCCTGAGTCGAGATAACTAAAATTACAACACAGGCTTGTACCTCAATGCCCTACCTTATATGCAGCCTGACCAAAACCTTCTGATATACAATGCAAGTTTCTTTGAGCTTGTCTGTCCCTCAATCTCAACGTCTGTTTTCGGATAGTCGCTGTCTTATTCGACCCTTACAAAGCTGGCTTGGCCTGTGCATTGAGCTGAGCTTGCACATTGCCAGCAGTTGAGCCTTCAGTGAAGATCTAAAATCGCAGTGTTAGTCAAGTCTCTCCCAACTATGTCAATCAGGAATAAGCGCGTACGTCTTTTGTGCCCTGCTCTCTCATCTTCATCTCATTCTCCATCTCAACCACCTGCTGCTCCTCCACAAATGCCAATGCCCATGGGACACCCAAAAGAAGTACGCTCGTGCTGACAATCCACAGTCCCTTACCACTGAAGAGTAATCCCGATTTGACCCATCCAGTACCGCTTTCTACTTTGCTTGCGATGTATGATCGAGTCGTAGGGGGTATTATGTCTTTCAGCGCCAATATACGGTCGGCGAGCGTCTCCTCCACCGGAACATCATCCTCATCATCGGTAGAGATCTCAGAATCTGTCAAGATGATTAGCTTGATGCTATTAGTCCTTTGCGCAAAGAGGCGCACCAGTATCGGTATAGTAGTCATCCTCATTCTCTTCTGGGCCGGCCTGCTTGCTCTCGAAGGACTCGTCCTCGACTTCAACTAATTCGACCATTTTGAGGGTGATTTACGCTGTATATGATTTAAAAGGTAGGTTGAAGAAATGCGAGATGAATGGCGTGGCAGAAGCTTTGTTGTCTGTTGTGATGGTTCTCTAGGAATCGGGTTCGTGCAACTATTTTTTGGATCCCGGAACTAGCTCTTACCCCCTGCAGCGTCATCACGTGATAGTAATGAGCTCTCGGCCGACTCGTCACCAGCGCTTCTGTCTCCTCTAATGGACACCCAAATGGATCGACTTTACGACAACTTTCTCTTATTCAGGACAATTAGCATTAAATAAGTGGTTCACTAAACGTGGGTCTGGATTGTTTCTTTCTTCCGTGGATTGTTAGAGCAATAGCGCTCCGAGTACTATTCATAATGACACATTCATCCGGATCATCACAGATATTGAAATATGCTACTGGATACTAGCAGCCTAGCATTGGCATTTTTGATAACGCGGAGGTAGCTCCACACAGTAATACGCTACAAATATATCCCACAACAAAACGCCTTCTATGCAAAAGACAGTCATCAACAACAATCATTACAAAAGACATAATTCATATTCTCAGAACATCCACCCTCGCTCTTTCATACAGCTTATGCCCAACCATCTGTGTAGAGTTTCTTTCTTCTTCAGTCAAGCTAGCCGGATACACGGTAAGTCTGGCATACGTCCCTGCCGCCTTTCGCTTGGAAAGAAATCCAGGGTTAATAACAATTACACCGTCGACAACCTAGAGGCTTATTAGCAAAAGAAATTCGAATAGCAGGAGTACCGGAATTTACCTTTGCAAACGGTGGTAGACCACTGGGTACAATTAGAATATCCGGCCTAACATTTACCATTTCACCCAGTTTCAAGTAGCTAGGATCCAACATCGCTCCTACAGGTCTACCATCGGCAGTTCCTGTTTTTGGTAAGCCCTCTCGTTCCACGGGTGGAAATAGAGGAAAGAAATTTCGCTGTTCAATCAGATATCTGGGTAACCTGGCAAGCATAGAGGGGTCTTTCGGCTTCCCTCCGGTTACTTCTGCGTGCCGTAGTTGCGTCAAGATATCTTGAGATGAGACCCCAACAGAAATCTCGTTAAGAGAGAGAGTCATAGGGTTGCCAACGATGGTGACCGTTTTGGGAAGGCCAAGGTCTTTCCTCGGGAATCGATCTTGCGGCCACGAAACGTGGTTGCTTATTACATCCTTGACTGACGGTACTAATATGATGAGGATGTGAGGGTTGGCGGCTGCAAGACTGATGAAAGCTGGTGAAACGAGGTATTTAAAGACTGTCGTCATGGATATTGAATCTGGTTCTGTCATAGCTTCCTCCGGGAGGTCGAAGTCTCCAGTGGCAATCAAAGGATGATCGACATCGAGGAAAGGTCCAGCTAATACAAGGGCATCGGCATAGGAGTCGGCAGCCTGGCTACATATTGCATGTAACGGTTCGAAGTCCAGATTATCATCTGCTGTGTATGGTCCTGAACCAACAAGAATATTCAAGGGCGCAGGATCTGAGTCCGTATCCATAGCGTCCGGTCCTCCTCTCAACCTTTGAATGTACTCTTCGATTCTAGATGGTGCTGATGCAGCACCCCGCAAGAGTGGCATTTCCAAGACTTCCTTCACCAAGAAATTCTCCCTGGTAGTATTGATACCTTTCAACGCAACAATTTGGCCCGGAAAGAATTGGTAGCCCTCCAAGGCGTCAATTTTCAAGGGTACTCTCAATCCTCCACCTGTCCGTCTTGACGTTTCCAGTACCAGCGACGAAGCGTTTAGTTTTCCTTCCAGAGAATCGCAAGCTATTCTTCCAACAGCTACAATTTCGTTAGTACTTTGATCCGCGGCACTTCCAAAAGCCGAGTCTTCTAGGTTGTGATGTTCTTGAATCAGCGTCGTAAATTCTTCTATCCGATCGTCAAATATTTCTGAAGCTTCGGACGACTTCATAGTCATCGTCTTATACGCCAGAGCTTTGTAATCGGAGTTGGCCACTGACTTGACTCTTGGCTGGCCATATGGAGCTATTGGTGGTTCTGGAACCTTTAGATTATCGTTCAATACCTCGACTGCTTGGCCAGCGTTCTGGCGATCGTGGAAAGAAACACTACTCTTATCAGTAAGAGCCCCGAATAGACAATTGAGAACCTTACGGTGCGCCTGTATGTTCCGCTGGCTTATAAGGTGTTTTGAACTCTGGGGGACTGCTTGCAGGCTCGGCTTTGACTCTCGATAATGGCGTTTCGAACTTCCGCTTATTCGAACCATTCTGCCTACTCGCAGATGAGACTTTAGGGGTTCTCGGTACAGCTCCTCCAAGACTGTATCATCGTTAGACTCGTTCTAGGTTTTCAATAAGCTCACTTACATCCCAAACATGTCGCCATTGTTCGTTGCATTTCGTGGAGTTGCACCACCCCGCTTATTTGTTTGCAAATGCGCCTTACTTCTGCTCTCACGCTCTAATATGTCCTGTACGTCTTTCTTGAGAGCATTGGCAGTCTCTATATCCAGTTTCATATCTTCCAATCCCATCTTCATACTGTAAGACTCCCATTTGTACCATAATTCATCAACACTAATCGCGTGTAGCCGAGTGATCGATTGTAGTTCCGATAGAACATCTGCTTCCAGAGGCTCTTTTGATGCGGGGGCAAATCGTTCCTGAATCTCTTCAATTGTAGCGTCGGCCATGATGCAGTATATAGTTTCTGTCGCCCAGTTTTAATGGCCTTGGTGATGCAAAGACAATGTGTCGCACTGAATAAAATCTTGGGGAGACGCGTCTCGCGTAAAGTGGTTCCTCCAAAATCGCGTGTTTCGAACCGGGGTGTTAATGACACATGACTTATCACAACACGAAAGACTGTACATAGGTACTTTGGAGCAGTAAAACTAGATCGTCTTGCTTCATTTTCTGGAGAAATTGATTTTGTACTATTTTAGATATCAGAATTGTACATCGGGCTTGTACTTAATTACGTTTCCAAGAATAGCCCATCTCTAACCTACAAGCCGCTGAACATAACAAACCAGGACCTGCCCAATCACCTCCACCAGATATTTCCAAATTGGGTTTGGGTTTTCGACTTCCGTTACAGAGTAATGTTGTTATTTTTGATTTCCCATAACCTTTGCTATGCACTGGTGAAATATTGAAAGCTTGAACGCTTCCAAATGGTTAGATGTTTCTTATCGAAGGCAAGGCAAATCAACCGGAGATGCAGAAGACCATCATATTAAAGGCCGTTAAATATCAATCAACCTACCCTCCGCCGTTTGTCCCCAACAGGTACACTATTCGAACCACTAGCTCCAGGCCCGCCTCTTTCCCCAGGACCATCCGGCCTGAATCTCTCATCTTCCCCATATCCTCGCCCACCACCCTTTCTGTCATTAAATTCTCCCCACCTCCCAGTATCCTCACTCTTTAAATCTTTGTATTTTGTTGCACCCCTCTTCCCTAATTTCGTCATATCTCTTAATTGAAGTGCCTGAGGTAAGAGATCCCGATTCTGAACGTCGTCCGCAAATCTGGAGCCCATAATATCTCTTTTATCCAGGCCTTCTGCTTGTGCATCATCTTGATAGAATGCACCTTTGTGGAACCACTTTTGCATATACGCCATTTTCCCTTTCCCCTCCTTCTCTTCTTTCTGTTTTGCAATATACTCCTCGTCTTCAGCTTGCCTCTCTTCCTCTGTCAGGTTTTTTCTCCGCTCCACCTCCTCTAACTCTTTCTCTCTTTGCTCGATCGCTTCCCTATCTCGTTTTATTCGTTTCAATTCGCGTAGCTTCCAAGCAGCATACTCTGCCTCTGGATCGACATCATCAGTGTCATCAACCTCGTTGTCCGAGTCCTCCTCGTCATCCCAGTTTCGCTTTCCCGCTTCTTTTGCAGCTAGATCTTTGCGTATCTGCTCTTCCACTATCTCATTTGCCGCCGCTATGCGCCTCGCCTCTTCTGCTGCTGCAAGTTCCTCTTCACTTTTCGCATTCGACGCGGCAGTAGATAATAGCTGGCCACGTTTTTCCTTCTTGACAAATTTTGGGCGCATCATGACTCTCCTCGGCGCTTCCTCTTCTGACGACTCCTCTTCGCTGCTCTCTTCATCGCTACCACTGCCATCCTCACTGCCTTCTTCATCTCCCTCGCTCTCTGTCTCAAATCCTTCTTCTATCTTGGCTATTAAAGCTTTCTCCTCCGCTTTGCGCGCCTCTTCTCGTTTATTTATTGCATTTATATCCGTTTGTTTTAATGCGCTAGTGATGCCTTTCGCTGTCGTAACCTTGGGAGGCGGGGCAATTGCAGCTGGCGCAGCCTCATCTTCAGAACCTGCTTCGGAATCCGAAGAAGAGGCCTCTTCTATTACCTTTCCAGGTCGGTAGCGGGGAGCTTTGATGGGGTTCGCGGTCATGCGCTTCGGCGGCATTTTGAAGAAGTCGCAAAGTGTTTGATTGTATTCGAAATGAAGGAGATGGCCACCCGATCTTCAATTGTGCCAGTTAACTGTAATTTCTAGACTGCGTAGATTGGAAAGGGAGACGGTTAGCGAAGATGATCGGGAGCAGATTGAATTAGAAGTCGTTCTGCAAGGCTGAGAAAAGCTACCGAGCTCGTTAGAGCGCTCCACTTGTTAATTTTATGTTGTGCATGCGGGAAGAAGCCCCACTACAGCCTCACTGACATGTGGCGTTGCAGATACAGGTGGATCCACGGAATTAAATGTTCACGAATATCTCAAGTCACTTTCAACAAGTTTATGTTGGTTGGAAGCAAGCAACAGTAGAAAATTCTTGTCAGACCATATGTTACTAAGCACATAGATACATGGAACAGTCAAGTTACTATGTCGAAAACAACATTTGAAATACATCACCTCAGGTCTAAGGGGCAATAGTGTATCCAAAAATCAGTGCTTGAAGCCCAGTTTCATTTTCGTCCAACCCTATCTCAATATCGTATTGTGAAATGAATGATCCCGACAGTTGGACCTTCCCATAGGCTTTTAGTCATATAGTTTGACAATTTTTCTATTATCAGTGGTATCCAGTGTGCAACCTTTGAATTTCCTCTTAACCCAAAAACTCCAAAAATGCAGGGTCTTAACCATTCCTCATAAGTCTTCGTCATCTGGCTCTGGCAGAGGTATCGGTACAGCGTCAACCATCTCTTCGGTGGCCATAGCATCTTCAGATACCTCTGGGTCTTTTGATTTCACATCTTGCGAAACAGTTTTCCCTAATTTGCCATTGACCGGAACCTCCTCATCACTCTCCATAGCCTGCAATTCCGCCAGCGCAGTCTTGTTCATAACCTCCCAAGCTTTGCTCCTATTCTGAATATTTCTAGATCTCTCCTTGCTCTTCTCAACTTTCTTTTCCTTCCTGTCCATGAATGCTTCCGCGCGATCCATGCCCTTTTCTTTCCGGCGCGCAGCCCTTGCGCTCATCACAGCTTTTCGACCATTCTTGGATTTCTTGGATATGCCGGCACCTTGGTGAATCGCTAAAACAGAGGGACGAATGTCTTTGGCATCGCTGGGAGGTTTAACGTCTTTCAGAGACTTATCGAGATCGATTCCAGGCGACGAGGCTCTTTTGGCGGCGCGGGAATGTATCGAGGCAGCTGTTATTGATCAGAATGTACTCAGCGCCTGCGCGTGATGCACTTACGGCCTTTGACCTTTTTGGGCGCAGTTTTCCCCATTGTGAGTTGCCCAGGTGTTTGTCGTGTGCGAATGTGCGGTTTTCGACAACAATTTTGAAACATGGATGGAAGAACTCCGGAAGCACATGCCATCACCCGGCCTTCCCTCTCCACAATCAATTTTGTCCACGACAACTCAACAGCTCCGGGTTAACAAATAGTAACAACAGTCATCCTTCACTCTGGGTCATATATATGAGTCGCAGCGGCTCAGAAACCATATAACAGTGCTCATGGGTTACCATGCCTTCATACCAGGCATCAGAGGACATTTTCTTCGACCATGATCCGGAAATCGAATACCACCAAGATTATCAAGACGGCATATTGTCCCCTTATGCGCGCGTCGGCTTTGTATTACCTTTCTTACTTTGTCTCATACCATTCATATACCAAATCCTCGTAGTCCTCGATTACAACGTTCTCAGCCTCCCAGAGCTGGTCTGGAATATTCTCGTCTATATAACACCTACGCGACTTCTCGATGCGATTGACGATTATCAGAATCCTTTGAGGGTACGGAATCCCGCTTTAACGGACATACCTCGAACTCATGCGGCGAAAAGCGAAGCTATGCGACGAATACTTGGGCTGGATACACCGGGTGGCGTGATAGCATCTGTAGCATCGGCGTCGAGGAGGCGCCTGTCGATCCTGCCTGGTGTAAAATTGCTGACGGCGAGTAATGATGGAGGGCCAGCGGGTCTAGGGAATTGGGATAACTCTTGTTATCAAAACAGTGTCCTCCAAGGGCTGGCGTCGCTGGAACCGATAACAGAGTATCTCACCAATTCGAATGTCGATACCGAGTCCGAGACTGGGCTAGCCGTACCCGAGACGAAGATGGCAGAAGCGCTGAAGGGCCTCATAGCGACATTGAATGACCCTAACAGTAATCGCAAGACGATATGGACTCCTGCGACACTGAAAAACATGAGCAGTTGGCAGCAGCAGGATGCCCAGGAATACTTTTCAAAAATACTAGATGAAATCGACAAGGAAATGGGCAGTGTCGCCAGAGCGGTACGAAAGAACAGGGGATTCGAGTCGGATGACGCCAACAGCTCCAGTACTTCTGGTGGAAGTGACTCTGAAGTCTCGTCAGCGAACATATACCGTAACCCACTGGAAGGTTTAATGGCGCAAAGGGTCGGATGTATCACATGCGGCTACTCTGAGGGCTTACAGATGGTGCCATTCAACTGTCTCACTGTTCCGTTGACAAAGGCCTGGAGCCAGAGTATTAACGACTGTCTTGACGAAGTCACAAAGCTGGAGCACATTCCAGGTGTTGAATGTGGAAAGTGTACCTTATTGAAATCGAAGCACTTGTTGTCAATGGTCTCGGAGCGTAATAAGGACGACGAGGCTGCTCATGCGCGCACTGTAGAAAGGCTGGCAGTCGTCGAAGAAGCCCTTGAAATCGATGATTACGAGGACAAAACGCTCATTCAAAAGTGTAAGATTCCAGCCAAAAGTCGTGTCACCTCAACGAAGACAAGACAAGCCGTCATTGCTAGGCCACCGCGATCACTGGTCGTCCACTTTAACCGTAGCGTGTTTGATGAGATGACTGGAGAGCTTCGCAAGAATCACGCTGAAGTTCGATTTCCAATGAGATTAGATCTAGGTCCGTGGTGCCTAGGTAGTGGATCATCATCATTAGAAGAATGGCAACTCGACCCTGAGAAGCCCATGGTAGCGAGCAGTATCCAGCCGTCAAGGATAAGAGGTCCTATATATGAGTTGCGGGCTGTTGTGACGCACTATGGCCGTCACGAAAACGGGCACTACATATGCTACAAAAAGCATCCTGTCGTCAATGGGGATCCAGAATCCGACGAGGCCTTACTAGACGAAGACAAAAAACCACAAGAACAATGGTGGCGGCTCAGCGACGACGATGTGATGAAATCAAGCGAACACAATGTCCTCGGCCAAGGAGGCGTTTTCATGCTTTTCTACGATTGCATTGAACCCTGTTCCATAATCGAACCTACGACGACAAATCCTGATCCTCTCACCAACTCACAGCCCGAACACGAATTTCACGGCCCGGTACTCGAAGCCTTCGCCTCACCACTCCCTCCAGACCCTCCATCTTCCCTCCTTCTAAACTCCAAGGAAGCACCCGCAGCCGCTGAAATCGCTCTCCCAGCCCTCGACGACAGCGATCTCTCCGATTACCACGAAGGCAGTACCAGTGTCTCCGACGACGAAGAACACGAAGTCTCAAACGACGAGACTTCATATAAACCTACGCAACCAATTGTCGTTTCACCGTATGTGCCGCAAAGTGGCGGTCAAGTTTCAAAGGACGGGGCGAGTCTTGAGGGGTCGAGTAATAGTTTGTTAATGGTTTGACAAGGAATTTGTGGCCTAAAATGTGTACGGTGTTTAATGGGAGGGCTGTTTTTGGGCATAGCGATGGTGTTTCTGGATCTTGGGTGGTATTTGTTTGGGATTTTTTGGGATGGTGTATTGTAATATGAGATGGATATGGCTTAGTGGGTTTAAATGAGTTGAATGGGCTTGTGGAATGGATATCTGTGGATTATCAGTGCCATCTAGTTGATGTATTATTGAAACATTGAATTGAAGGCCACTGGAAATTAGATATAAAACTTCGTATGCGTAGAAAGTGATAGCAGGCATGAAAGAGCTTAGAGGTATTGATTGACGTTTTGCGCCATGGTTCAACATGTCTAAGCAATTCGAATTTATACTCGAAGTCAACATATATTTTATCATATCTTCTACCAAAGATAAGACAGCCAGTCATGTATTTGCGTAACATGCAAACTTAAATGAGAAGGGCTCGCTTAATTCGCCCCTAAGTCGTAGATTCCACAGCTGCTTTTTCACAGGTAGATGTTCAATATCCTTGACCCTTACCCTTTAATGTTAATACACTAATATATAATATCTATATTCCCTAATCCCATCTCCAACACTAACCTACCTCCTAGACTCCCTCCTATCATCCCTCCTACTCTCCCGACTCCGACTCCTCTTCCTATCCCTATCCCTATCCCTATCTCTCTCCCTCTCCTTATCCCGACTCCTACTCCTCTCCCGTCTCCTATCTCTCTCGCGATCACGACTCCGATCCCTTTTATCCCTCCTCTCATAAGTCTCTCGACTCCGGCTCCTCTTGCGATCCCTATCACGACTACGATCCCGTCTACGCGATCTAGATCTCGAACGTTTCCGCTTCTCCTCGTCTCTCGGCCGGCGATCACGGTCTCGGTCGCGACTTCGTTCGCGAACAGTACTGCTTCGTCGATCCGTGGCGCCTGGGACATAGCGATCAATATTAATAGGGCTTGTGGAGCGTTCTATGCGGCTACCTCTCCTACCTGTCGGGGGTCTTGATCTACTTCTGTCCGCTCGGGAGCCACGTCTATCATGCGTACGATCATCTCTAGGATCGCGACGTTCCTCCTTGGGGCGGTCAGATTTGGATCGGTCATCTCGGGGATCATGGCGGTCGTCCTTGTGATGTTCGTCTTTTGCTCGCTCATCTCTGGGTTTTACGTCGTTCATCCTCGAAGCAGCGGCTGCCGCTCTAGCAATGTCTTTCGCTGGTCCCGTTGGTATTCCGTCTTTCTTTGCAGGCGTTGCTACCGATGTAGATGGGGCCGGCGATGATTTCTCTACTGCAGCAGCTTGCTTCTTCCTATCGCGTGCTTTCTCCCATTCATTCCAGCTCAGATTTTCATTCTCTGACCTAGCAAGCGCAAACTCTCGCGAATCCCTTTCTCGATCTTCCCTGGCTTTGGTTTTCTGTGCCTCGAGTTCATCTTTGGTGAGACGAGGGCTTAAATGATATGGCTTTTCCCTGTCGCGTCTATCACGACTGCGACTACGCGATCGCCAGCTTCGTCTTCTATCTGTACGGGATATCGACCTTGACCGATCACGGTCATCTCTACGACGACGATCCCTGTCATCTCTATCTCTTCTATCTGTATCGCGGCTGACGTACCTCCGACGTTCATCTCGATCCCGGCTTTCACGACGAACTCTAGTAGATCTATCCCGTTCGCGGCTGTCTCTTCTTGCAGAGCGGACTGACCCACGATCCCTGCTATCACGGCGACGACTCCTGCTCCTGGACCTTCGACTGGATGCTCGGTCTCGGCTCCGGCTTCTGTGACTGCTACGCTTCTCACGGCTCTCTAGTCTTGAATCCTCGGTCTTGTCATTGGATTTTGGAAGTGGTGTCTTGAATCCATCAGCATCGACACGAGCTGCTTTTGGAGCTGTAGGTATTTTCTTGATTTCTGTGCTCTTTGTAGGTGAATCCCGAGAAATAGGTATGATAGCTGAAGCCGGCATGGTCTTTCGAGGTGGTGGGGCTAGGCTTTCATCGATCTCGATTTCTAATTGATGTCGCGAACGCTGTGAAGTCCTTTTACTTTCTTTTAACAAATCGTTGAGAGCCTCCTGCTCAATTCGCTCCGCCTCCTCTTTTGAAAGCTCTGGTTTCGAAGAAATGGCTGGCTTAGCGTCTCTGGTAGAAATCGATGCTCGTCGTGGTGAATGGCTCTCACGTCTTCGAACTCTATCCCTATCATCTCTGTCGCGGTGACGATCACGGTCACGTTCCCGTCCATAATCCCTATCTCTGTCTCGGATTCTCTCACGATCTCGCTCGCGTTCTCTTTCACGCATGGCTCGATCCTTTTCTTCTTCGCGGTCATGCTCAGCCTTGCGCCTAGCCTCGCGCTCCTCCCGTCTCCGTTGCCTCTCTTCGTCTTCCTTCTTTTCCTGTTCCCTCCTCTTATCCCTAGCCGCCTTTCTTTTGGCTTCTTCTTCATCCTTGAGTTTCTGGAGAGCCTCTTTTCTCTTCTCTTCCCTTTGGTCTCGTCTCTGTTTGAACTCCTCCTCGTACTGCGCATCAGTCTTGCTACCCTTAATGCGTTCCGCTTCTGCAGCTTCTAGTCCAATATCATCAGCCCGTAGAGCCCGTATGCCCGACTCAATACCAGCCATATGTTTGTCTAACAAAGCATCGATTTGCGCTTCGGCATCCTGGTAGATAGATGTACGTAGAACAGCTCCACCAATCAACTGTTCAGCCTTTGCTCGTTCCATTCTAAGTAAAGATGGATTCTTTTCGACTTCTGCTTCAGCGATTCTTAACAGCGACTCGTTGAATTTGCTTTCAAACCCCTATGTAGCCAAACGTCAGTCCACAGTATTTAATAAGGAGCATTAACCATTGCGAACGCCAGACTCACATCCGCCTGCAGATTTTGCCAGATATCCTTCCGTAGAGAGTCATATTGCCCTTTCTTTTTATACTGATGCGCGAGCTGATCAATGGAAGTCCGCGTCGCGGAAGTGAGGGGCAGGTCCGACGTTTTCAGCTTCTTGCGTCCGGTCGCAGGGTCGACATTTGATGCTCTTGGTGGCGCCATGGCGGTGAAATGTATCCAAATGATGGTTATGTACTCCGAATGTTGCGTTGAGATGTAGCTTCGTTGCAACGTGGTTTACAAGTAGAGGCCCCGAGGGATGAAGACGACGGCCCGCTGATGGATATTGTCTTTCAAATGTCGTACTGTGTTCAGCTAGTAGTTGACACTTACATACCCAGATCTATGCATCATGCGTTACTGCGCATAAATTGAGCGACTTCTGGACAGTGTATCTGCTATGAAAGCAATTCGTTGGCGACGGTCACTCGACAGCAATAAAGTTATCGCGTCCTGTACCGCGAAGCTACATGTGATAAATCCCAAAGGGTGTGTCGTTATTACTTTCACCACCCTCTCGGTGACTTAGGCGACTGCATCTATCAAAGTACTTCGCGGCCCAAGTAATGATTTACCCCACGAACCCAGACGTCCTCACGTGTTGTGAATCTAGCGCGGCTCAATTAAGCTCAAGCTTCAACCTCACCTCAAGGCACATCAATACAATTCGAGCCATTGCGGGCAACAACCAAGTCAAGAAACCCAGATCACGCCTCCTTGCAATCCGAAAGCCGCCATCTAACGGCCTCCTCTTGTCCAAACGTCACAAACCCCACAAAACACCTCACAATGCACAAAATGCTCCTTTGGGGCGGCTTCGGTACCTCTACCCTCCCCCCTCTCGGTCCCTACTAATCACCCCAGGCCTCGGTGTCCGTTTCTTACAACTCTCAATCGAAAAGCGACCTTACTTCAACCGGGGCTCGCTGTGGGCGTGGCCTCTGTTCGCGGGCGTAGGAGGCACTTTCGGGTACTGGCTTATGGGGATTGAGGAGAGGCAGTTGGCTATTCTTGGGGCGAGACGAGCGTCGATATTGGAGAAGAGGGCGAGGAGGAAGGAAGTTGTTGAGGAGGAATCGTGAGGGCGTGTCAGGGAACGCGAAGGTGGGAGGGGGGTGGGCAAGGTGCTTGTACAAAGTTGGACGGTTGAATGGAGTGTTTACAATGAGGCGGCAAGCGGGATTGGTCCAATAGCTCACGCCTTTTCAATCGAGATTGTTTCCCGCGGCCCGCATGTTTAGTTGTGAGAGCGAACGGGAGCTGGAGACGTTATAGGAGCTGTACATGCCTTGAGACGACAACTGCTTCACGTTATCCTACAAAAGTAACGGCATCCTAAGAATTGTCAGCAGCTTTGAATAGCGGTTGCTTCTGATTGCAAGCTGTTCAAACTCTCATGATCCGTTCCGGAATGTTTGAATGGTGGTGCTTTGTATGTGTTGAAATGATAAGTGCTGCGTCCCACTGACGAATTGAAACTCATGAAGTTGTCAAGAGTTATATCCAGCGATGGAAGCCGTAATATCAAGGCCAGGATTCAGAGAATAGCAGACATCATAATGGCAACATAGCTATTCTCTAGGCCAAATCCCATTCTTTTTTCACACTTCACACAGGAAGTACACCACAACCTTTAATTCAAGTCCTAAAACCCTTGCTCAAATTAACATTACAGAGTTCAAACGAACTTTGACGTAAACATTGAAGCCCAGACGGGCAAGGTAATAAAGCCAAGTCCAGCTGCAGAATATATATATCTATTACTATGCAAAGCAGGTATCATAAATCACGCCAACCAACCCCCTCGTCAAGCCTGACTTTCATTTCCCAATCGATGCAACACCGGCACCGAAGTTGGCGGCACATTCCCAGACTCACTTATAATCATCTGTAGAAATTCCGCCGGCGTAACATCATACATAAGATTACACAACTGCAGACCCTTAACATCTCGCCAATTTTCCAACGGCCCGTCGGGAATGACCAGCTCATCAGCTGGTGCAATTTCGTTGTGTAATATTGAATCGAGGGCCACCTTTTCCGTGAATTTGATCGTTTCGCAGAGTACTAAAACTGGCTTGTCGTATGAGTTGGCTTCCATACCTACGAGCGCCGTTCCGACTCGTGAGAATAGCCGGCCGTTACTCATCATCGCATGTGCGCCCAGGAAGACCTTTGTCGCTCTTCGAATACTATGACTTAATCCGCTGATGAGAGCGTATCTGACTTCCATTCCCAGATTTGCCAATGCTGCCGCCATGTGTTTGCCCTCATATAAAGGACGACTGTCAATGACAATGACAGAGAACTTCTTTCCCGCCTCGAAAGCTTGCACGAGAGCTCGTTCCACTACGCTACTTTTTGCGTATGTAAGTATAACATCTCCATCTCGAATTTTTTCTGCTGCGCTTGAAGCAATAACTTGGCTTGCTAGGGTGACTCTCTCTTGTATAAATGAATCAATAGCCGAACATAAACCTTCTTTTGCTTCATTGTCTGGTACGTCAATGTCAACTTTTGAAATTTCCAACTTCAGCCACCGAATCGCGTTGCCCATTGATATTGAAAGGGGTCGACATGACGCCAGAAACTCGATTTGTGGTGAGAGGACATGCGACGTAAAATGCCGCGTTAATGTATTTCCAGGAGGAGTAGTATATGATTGAATAACCTGAAAGAGTGTCAGTAATGTTTCATACACACACACAAGTTTTAGCTACCTTTTTGAAAGCTTGCAAAGTCGCAACTAATCTAGCAGAACTTCCGCATATCATGTAATTACTCATTTGTAAACCCAGAACCTGGACTGCTGGATGTACATCTTTATTCGCGCCCTTTAAGCCTGCTGGATACGCTTTCGTTTTTGTCAAATGTCTAAAAAACTCGATAGTCTTGTCTTCCTCCTTGGGCTCCTCAATTGGTGATCCAGACTTTTTTGATCGTGTAGGGATGTCCTGCTGGCTCGAGGATGATACAGCATTGGCTCTTCTCTGTTGCCCTCTTGCCGCGTTGGCTGCTTCTGGTCTCAACCCAGCTGAAGAGGGTCCTGCTGCGGCCGCTGGTGGTGGCATCACCGCCTTTCCTATCACTGTCTGCGCTCTTCTCGCAGCCTTCTCTGCCTGTTTCTGCTTTTTTAATTCGGCGCCTGTGAGTTTTGGGGGCTCAATCGTCGGTGATGGAGCTGGCGGTACTACAGTCGAAGGATCCGGCGAAGGCGCCGAGTCGGATGCAGGCATTTTGGCAGATATTGGTGGTGGGAAAGGTTTTTTAAATTTATTTTGATCGGCGCTGGATGACTCTTTTACAATCGGGAAGGCTGTGGTTTTGCGCCAGGCCTCGGAGGGGCAGACTTGACAAGGATTTGAGTCACAGAGACAGGGGAGAGCTCAGACCATAACGGTGCGAGAGAAGGCAAGGGAAGAGTGCTCCTAGTAAATTGTTACCACACCATTGAAATCTACATCACTCTTCGCATCTTCCTTATATCAAAACAACACATCTTTCGGATGCATACCTTAAGTACTTATTTTGGTCGGTGATTAAGGTTCTAAAAACTTAAGGTCCTTTCCGAAAGCTTTCTCACTTCCCAATTATACTTATCCTATACTGCACGACATCTCCTTCAACTTTGTTCTGCCCCCAGCTACAACTCGTCGTGTGGAAATTGATCAAAATCCCCATAGCATCTATCCTCAATTTGGAAGTCATCTGGGTACAGCTTACGCAGCCGCGCCAATCTTGCAGCCCCAACGGCACCTGCCCACATGGGCTCGTCTATGCTGACGAATCGATCAGAGAATTCCGGCACCGCCTTGATGATCAAGTCACGTATTTTATCATATTCCGAAGCAGGTGCATCTCCGCTAAAGACTGTTCCTCGGAAATCTGACATCTGAGATGGTAGACCGAGCGTGTTTGAGAGTTCGTCTTTGATTAGTCCTCTGATACCTGTTGCTAGATCACCGAGCTTCTCTTGCTAGTGAGTAGTCATTAGCTCTGGCGATCTAGTTCTTTAGAAGGATTGTCTTACAGAAGCATCTTGTTCCATGCCTCCAAAGTCGCGAATTCGGAAACTTCCCTCCACAATCGTGATCATGACACCTACGGAAGCAATCGACACTTCAAGCTGGCTACTTTGATAGTCAAAATGTAAGAGTAGACTACCCTTCCGGTCAACGTTCGTTCCAATAGGATACCCAAGCGACTTCGCGTTGTCCAGCTGGGACGCTTTCCGGGCGCTGTGGATATGTGGCCACATGAAGGTCCCATCTTCGATACCAGGTAGAGTTTGTATAGCGGCGTTCACAAAATGAGAGAGATATTCGCTATCTCTAAGGTACCCTGGATAGGTCATTCCCAATATCTCGGCATCAAGATGAAGTTTGCTCTTGGTTGCTCCAAGAATAGAGGCAAGAACTGTGGCAAATAACCCTTCTACTTCAGCGTCTGTGTATTTACGGTTTTGTCTGCAGCAGTGTTAGGAGATAACTTTCTTCCACCCCAGGAAGTACGGAAGATACATACCCAGCACCTCGGTTTAGCTGCAAAAGCGAATGTGAGAATTCCTTCCAATGTTGTGATAATTCGACTCTGGCAACAGTCACAAAATCGTGTTACGATTAAGCGAGAAGCGAATCTCTTTCAACGATCGGAGCAAGTGCACAAGAATTTCGACAAAGAAGTTTTACGGATCAAGGAACAAGTTCTGGATCCAAAGCAGGGTGGTTTATCTGCAGAGTGTTGTAAACACCTCTGAGTTTGCCATTCAAGATGGCCGTGTGGGTTACTACTAACTTTGGAGTTCCGTTGCGATGAGCCGGTTCTTTGCTAGCCAGATGCCAAATTGCAGTGTCGCGGATGGGCAGAACGAACTTGGTGGGGTGAACGGCAAACGAGGTATACATACCCGATGCAGAAGTGTAACTCTGGATCTATAGTCCATCATCAATTGATATAACGGATAGCATTACAACTGCTATTCAACTAAATGTAACACCTCCTAGACCAAAGGGGAGAAACATTGCAAAATGTTTTACCAGAAGCTTACTTCATTTACCCTTATTTTCCTTCAAGTTCCTTTCGCTTTGCCTGCAACACTACCTCAGGATTACTCTACTACTCTTGACAAGGGTGCATCCAACATCACCCACTACTGCAGAGATAGTACCCATCCCATTACGCCGGGCGAGATAAAAATGCTCCAAGAGCAGGCTAACGCATACCAAGGAATCTTTTGGGACGTAGCATACCCAGGAGGAAACGGTCTCTCGGGATCAAAGACAGATGGGGGGTGCGACGTAGGCCAACAGATTTACTCTCCCCACTACACGAATTTGACAGTTCACTAGCTTGACTCGTACGATATTCTTGTCGAAGCAACACGAAATGCTGTTAGTCTTGCTGATTTCCGCGGGACCGACTTGATTCGAGAAGACAGATCTTTCAATAAGTTCTTTGTCCGAAATAGTGTGGCCCCCATTGGCGGGCGATGGACAGTAAGTTACGTCTAGTCGAATACGCACGATTTTTGGTAAGAGACATTGAGATTCATTTAGTCGAGCGGAAATGCTCAGAATGTATACGCCTCGATGCTCCACAATATGCTTATACCTTCGCGATTTGTAGTCGATGGAGAAGGAAGAAAAAAACAGACGTGATCGTGTCACGTATCAGTGTAAAGATGTCGAGTTTTCACATGCCGGTTTTCATGGTTGTGAGGGTGGAGCGTAAGTTTACCAGCTCTTGATGTAAAATGTGAAGCTTATTATCAGAACAGTACTGCATATACTTCAAATATCAAACGAAGTTTTCTCGGTAAGTAAAATCTAGTTCATTTCCAAACCATAATAACATTATTTTCTATAGGCTGGACCATAGTCTTTTGTCCCAAGTTCTTCTCTCTCAAATATCTGAACGAAATCCTCGCTCGGTCCAGCGTCCCGGAATCATCGCTTGGTAACTTGGACTTGGTATCATATGAGCAAGTACTTCTCCACGAAGTAAGAATCTTGCTTCTAATCATTCTTTCATCAATCCTGACAGGATCTTGGAATAGTGGTTGCACAATGATATCATGGGCTACACTGAACATCGTAAGTTGTAAGAACTTTTGTAGTTCACAAACATGCTAATGATAAGCCTCAGTCGTGGATGTGATCGATTCAATCGACGATGTCAGCCCGAAACGCGTAAGCCATTTCCCTCAAGCAGTCCTACGGTTTTTTGACCGTTTTTTAGAAAATCTACGGCATGAGTGAAGCGCGAGACTATGCATGGAAGTTTATGAAAGGAAGGCTGAATACCATGAAAGTCAATCATGTTGTCGCTTCTAACGGTCAGCACACCAGCCATTACTCACCCTTATATTCACCAATCTGACCCATTCTCAGTCGAGAACTATGTCTGGTACTTCGTCGACAAGTTATACGGTGCCCGGTGGGGATGGAACGGGAATGGCAACGCATTCCAACTCAAAAAAATACAACTCGCTGAGATCAAAGACGCTATAGTTGAACAAGCGCCAGTCCAAGCAGACACCCTCGATGTGGGCGGTGAAACTCCAGACCCAGCTACTTTACCACCAGCAAAATGGCCCGCTGATTGCCATGGGGATCTTCTAATTGATACCATCGACACGAGTGCGCTTGTTTGCGACTACGTTGTCCCACCAGACGATGAACCTGCTCCTACTACCACAGCTTCTCCCTCACCGCTGCCAGTTGTGAAGCTTCCACCTGATCCCAAGAATTGCAGTTGCAATGAGAGCGGATGCACACCTGCATCGCCTGATTGTTGTGCTGATGGAACTTGCTAGACTTGGAAGCCGTAAGAGACATACTGCATTATGGATTTAGTGAAGTGTTTGCATCGTTTTGCTTTATAAAGAGACGGTCAAGAATTTTGCTTTTGGCAATTGGACTTTTAGTGGGGCAAGACAGTTATTCTAAGCGTTTTTGGGGAGTTGTAACACTTATTAGCTCAGGAGCTGGCCAGTTGAGAATATCATTTGCTGTTTCACTGCAATCTTGTCATCATATGCGGTTAATCAGTCGTGGATGAAAGAAAAGGCTAAAAGTTTTCTGAGAACGTATGAGTCTCATCTATTCACAGACGTCTGGGAAGCCTTACTTCCAGGGCGCGTAAAACCACTTGTGTCAGCTCCATCATTGCGCATGAAACTACAAACTCATATGGCTATACACCAGCGGAAGATTTTTTGGAATATCACAGTGACTTGGAATCTAAGGTTTTTGTTTTTCAAGTATTTACATTTGAAGATAAATTTCTCATATTCTCATAAAATTAAATCTTCCCACAATCCCCTCCACTTCATCTTCCATCTAACATCCAACAGCCTTGAAAGTAAAGGCAGTGCAAGTATCAAAGACAGCATCTCCGAACACAACACCAGATCCAAAACCGATCAGGTTCTGGCAAGTCTGCCAGATTGTGAATCTCTGGTTAGTGCAGAGAAGAGTGCGATCAGCACCGAGTCTGCAAACGTTGTAGGTGAGACCCTGGGACGCGATGTCGGCGGCGCTGTTGTAGTAGAAGATGGCTCCGTCGTAAGCATCGGAGGTATCGGTGTTACCGAATACAGTTCCGGTGCTGAGATATCCCTGGGAAGTGAGGGACAATGGGGTAGCGGCGCTGATGTCGGAGTTGAAGACGTAGACGTAGTTTTGGAGGAAACTGCCGTCATCGATGAAGGTTACAACGGCGTATTGGCCGTTGAAGGTTCCGCCTTGGGCTTGGAGCTTGAAGCATGATGACAAAGATGAGGTTGCAACGGCGGAGGAGGTGGTGGTGGTTGTTACGGCGGTGGATTCGGTGACGGTTGAGACCAAGGTTGTGAGCTCAACGATGGTGGTCAAGGAAGTTGAGACGGCGACAACGGTGGAGACAGCAGTTGCAGTCTTTTGCGAGTGTTAGTAACCGGATTTAGAGATCAGCTGAGAAAGACTTACGCTTGTGACAGTGACGGTGCTAGTTGGGACAGACGCCGTGACGGTACGGGCAGTTACACCCAAGCATGAACAAGCTGAGGAGAATCGAACGACACCGGAACATGGTGTAGCGTAAGCGGGGAGGGAGGTTGGTACGACGGTGACTTGTCTCTTGGCGAAGTCGCCAGCGCCTCGAGGCTCTGCGATAACGAAAGAACCTCGCTTCTTCAAGACTGTGACGGTTGAAGATACAGTGGCAGTTGCAGTCGCCTATACAAAACGAGTTAGCCAAAGTTTCTGGCGTGACTTTCAAGGAAGAGTCGTCTTGACTCTGAAATAAGAGAAGTTAAATTTACGGTGTCAGTGACGGTGATGCTCGTGATGGTTGAGATTGTCGACGACAAAGTACCTGTGAGCGTAACAGCCGTGGATGTTGTCGTGGTGGCAGAGGCGGTTGCGGACGCGGTTGCAGTAACAGTGCTATAAACCGTATTAGGAGGGTCTCTCAATGATCACTGCAATTGTCCTGTAGAAGTTCAATTGGAGCATGAAAGGATTGACATACACAGCGGCTGGTGTGACTGTGGTCAACAGGTAGCTTGAGCAATCCGCTGCACCTGTTCGCGTAGGGTTGAGGAGAGCTCTCAAGCAGTTGTCCTCATTGCACCCAGCAACTCTTTGCGGAACAGCAAGGACACCGGTTGCCGCAAAGGCGAGAGCGAGCGTGGATTTCATGAGCATCTTGACGGCGAGGTAGAGATGGAAGAGACGGGCGTGGATCAAAGGTCGAGCATCCCCGAAAGAGAAGGGAAACTTTCTGCTTTAAACATTGTAGCCCTGACGAGTCCAAGATAATCGGGAAACAGGGATCAAAGAAGCTGTGCCATGTTGGTGGATGATCTTGTACCGAGATGCGTGAGTAGCTTGCCAATAGCCTCTCGAGTCAAATGCGGAGAAGGATGGAGATTGCGATTGCAACGGGAATTTGCAGACCGCCATCGTATTAACGGTAGCATCCGATCGTGGCTTTAAAAAGCCATGTTTATCACAATTTTAGACGTCAATTGACGGATTCTTCCGCCTCTCAGAGCGGTAGAAACACTTGTGATTTTGAACTAAAATGTTTCTCTACCCCTCATGCCCGCACCCGTACCTGAGGAGCTCTGCAGAAATGATCAAGGAACACAAACTGATTTAGGAAGGAAGCAGCACAATACCTATTACCAGTTGCTCGGCGTGCTAGGGTCTGCTCTTGATTGTGAAAACTAATGCAGGACCGTGCCTTCGCGTACCCCTATCGCGAAAATTCTAGCCCCTTTCAGCCACCAAGCTGTCCTCGATTAGGCATCTGCCAGCAGCCAGTAAATAATCGCCGGATGCAACGTGCTTGCGATTATGTGCTGTGAGTGCTTGGCTCTGATACGTCGGTTACCGGAATGCTTGGAGTCGTGGAATTCACACTGCAATGTTCGCGTGGTACCGACAGTGGGATTGGGAAGTCGTGGTAGTATCATGACATGATGAGAGTAGAAAGGAGTACAAATACATACTTTCCTCTTCAGGTAACAAAGGGTGGGATGTCATGCATGGGCCAAAAGATTTAGCGAGGCAGCAACGCTCGCTTAGTCACGTTCAGGGGTAGGTAGCGACCGGAATTTAGGATGAATAGGTGAGAAATGAGGGGAATTCCTCCGTTCAGAGACATTATTGCTGGAGAACGAGCCTTTGATGCGATGTCGCTTTTCAAATTTGTTAGTCTTTTTCTAGTTTGGACGCCATCTTGTTAGAACGTCAGTGTTCTTGTGCTCAAAACTATCAGTCTCCCACACGCCGTGAACCTTTCGTCCGGCGGATCTTTACAAAGACGGGAGCTTTCGAACCAGTCAATCTCATGAAGATATATGCAAACGTCACTAATGAGCCTCTGACTACGGTCTTTGTTCAGCAAATATCCTGACCAGGTTATTTATTTGTATGCAGAACTATGAGGTGCCATGCGAACCTATCACTGGTCCGCAGCACTCCCACGTTTACCGATCATTAAATCCCGGTGAGTCCACTGCGTCGGGTATTGACTTATAGAGCTGAAGCTTGTGTTTCTCACAGAAGGTCTATAATGGCAATCTAAATTACTGCAGGAACGTGGAAGCTGTGCTCTTCTGCAGCGTTATGCTGCAGTGCCAGCCACGTGATTCTAGGGTTCTTCTTTCTTTGATCAACGATTTATTTTCTGAAACATTTTAATTATTTTATCAGTATTTGCGCAGTAGCCCAAGTTGCGAAATAGCCACCATACGTGCTGACTACTTTTGTCGGCTTTGACAACATGTCCAGCGGATATTCCAATGTGTTACCACTGCTCTCAGATTTCTACACAAATGTGGAGCTGCTAAGTAGCTCATGGAGAATCCCAGCAAAAGCTGCTACACTTGATCGTGGATAACATTTTCTCTCTGACTGTATCTCTACTATTCCCATTCGCCTGAAGGAGATGTAGGTCAAATGAGATGGGGTTCACCATTTTTCAGTTGCACGTCGCTCGCACCTCACTTCATCTAGCCTCATATCTTGCCTGATCTCTCATCTGGCTACGGGGAGACTTTACAATTGAAAACATAGCCTTTTTCTTACAAATCCGAAGTAAAAAACATCAAAGAGGGATTTGGCTCTCGGCACATCCGCCAAACGATCCGGAACTGCGGACATGTCCAAGTTTGAAGCGACAACAATGCGCTGGTACTTCGAACACCCTACACTTCAATTCATCCAATTCAAGTCCAAGGACTCTCCAAAACAATTGGCGGAGCGGAATCGCTCGTCTCAATTCCTACCACCGAGGCATTAAGAAATGTTCTTTGACTCAAGCCCCAACTCTGCCCAGAGGAATTGATGGGAGTGAACGAATGGATTTCGGACCGCGTCGCTGTTAAGCAATATCTTAACGTTCGAGATTTTGATTTGTTGGGCGTATTGATGATATTGGGGATTATCGGTTACAAAAGGTGTCATTGTAAGTGTTTTGCTTTGGTAGATCTCCGAATGGATATACCTTGGGCGGAAAGTTTTGGTCGCTGAATGAGGAATTCGACAGCGTCCAAGGCCAGATCCATGAATGCGTCTCAATGCGCCTTGACCTATGGCGTTAAATCAGGGCAGTACATTGCATGGCATTTTTCGAGCGTGCAGGTTAAGATAGAGTTGGGAGCTATCTGGCCGGTCATACGTTTTGGAACCAGTCGTGGGACATTTCCGACGCTAGCTCTTCAATTCGAACCCTGAATGTCGCGTATCAATATTTCGCGAGGATCTTGGTGATAATGCTGGGCTGGAAGCATGGAAGCACTGCACATGGCATCTTTCTGATGTCTAATTGGAGGTCAGAAGTCCCGGAGTGGACTGGTGCACACTTCTTCACAATTCCAGAGCGTACTAGTTATGTTGAACTTTTTCTCTTTATCTTTTAGTTGAGTAGTTTAATTCTCATAGAATAGGAAAATGCTAACCTTTGAAAGCAGGTACTCAATCTCGATATCACCTCAATAGTTGAAGTGATTTTACGCTCATAAAAGCGACTTGCTTCCTTACCACAAGTCAATGGGCAACAAGATGTCATAGTGGCCGATAAGTGAGACTAGATCTACCGCATAAATTTGATCTACCTACGCAATTCCGTTTTCTACCGAGTATGCGGTTGATGTATTCTTTCGTCACTTCAGCAGATGAATACAAACCAATTTTGCATAGGTTTGATCTTGTCGGATGACTTGACTATACTCATACGCGCGGTCTGAGCAGTTGACTCGTACATGCCTACGTTATCATCAACAGATACTCTCTTCTGTGACGGCTCTGGAATGGCTTTTTCAAACAGTGCCCAGGTGGCGGAGAGCTAACGGCGGTAGTTGGTTGTGGGTCCCGGTCCTCGCCATGTGGTATACGAAATCCGAAAGCTTAACCGAAGGCGAAACACTGCCTCAGCCTTCGAGACCACGAAAACATGTCTGAGACTACCTATAACACGGCCGAATTTTAATTTATTTATGAGTCGCTGTCCTTCATCTACATTATTTATTTCTCAAAGGTCCCAATTACATTTATCGAGTCGACTCCCTTTGAATTTCGTCTGACAACTCCTCATTAGTTCCCGAAAGACTTCCGCTAACAATTCTGCACGTGTGGCTTGCACTAGTCCTGTCTACTTTCCCCCGCCTGGTCAACCATACTTTTTATATGTACAAAGCACAGCAACATCTGTAATTCGAAACCCGGCTTTGAGTCCTTTGTTTTCAGTATCATGGAGAACGAAAAGGGTCGAGGAGAGAAATACGGGTTTCACGACGAAGGACACTCGAATACAGAACGCCACGCAAATAACGAGAACGAGAGACATTCTACTCTTGGCGGCCGCCATGAGGAAGATAACGCTTCACATGCGTCACAAGAATTCGATTGGGAACAACCACCAGCTTACGAATTTCAGGGCTCAGGTCCTGATGTGCAAACGAAAGTCACTGCTCAAGGTAATGAGATTGAACATCTCTCAACGATAGTGTTCATATCATTAATCTCTCTTTGTTTAGATGATGGAAGGGTTGCTATCGATTTTTCTCAGACTGAGAAGTTGAAAATTCCCATTCCGGACGAGCCAAAACCTTACACGCCACCCAACATTAACAACTCGAAACCTCCTTCGCTTAATATTGTGATTCAAATTGTTGGTAGTAGAGGTAAGTCAGCTGGTGCTCCACCAAGGAATATTTGAATTTATCGCCAGCTTTCTAAGTCGATGGGCCTAGATTGGGGCAGGGGTTCTCATAGTATCTGAGAATCGATTTCTGATCTCTTCTCTCCTAATGCTATGTCCTTCAAGATTACGATGCAACAAAAGCTCTTGTCGGAATTGCTTTGTAACATACAATAATATCATTACCCAGTCGCTAATTACTTATCGCGTAGGTGACATTCAGCCATTTATTGCTTTGGGGACTGCATTACGATCAGAAGGACATCGTATCAGAATCGCAACCCATGATGTTTTTCGAGATTTTGTTCGAGAATCGGGTCTGGAGTTCTTTCCTATCGGCGGTGACCCAACATCCCTGATGGCCGTAGGTAACACGTTCTATGCATTTCATTCTTCGCTAATTTACGAACAGTACATGGTCAAGAACCCAGGCATCATTCCTAAATTCAAGACCATCATGAGTGGAGAGATTTCGCAAAAACGAAAGATGATATACACTATGCTTGATGGCTGTTGGAGATCTTGCATCGAGCCAGATCCAGAAACTAACACACCATTCGTTGCTGAATCAATAATTGCCAATCCACCAAGTTTTGCTCATGTACACTGTGCTGAGGCGTTAGGTATCCCATTACACTTGATGTTTACAATGCCTTGGAGTCCTACGAAAGCATTTCCTCATCCTCTGGCGAATATTGAGCGCTCGAATACGGATATGACGACGATGAATTTCTTGTCCTATGCACTTGTAGAGATTATGACTTGGCAAGGGTAGGAAATATCTCCGCCGTGAGAATGAACATAATTAACGTTTGATTTATAGACTTGCGGATGTGATAAACTTGTGGCGTAGAAAGACGCTTAGTCTCGATGACATTCCACTGTCCATGGGCCCTTTGATCTGCGACTCTCTGCAGATCCCTTTTACCTACTGCTGGTCTCCAGCATTTGTTCCTAAACCACCAGATTGGTCAAATTGTCTAGGTTAGAAATGCCATTGAAACCATTCGAGTTCCATACTGATGAACGCCAGACGTGTGCGGTTTCTTCTTTAGAGAGGAGCCAGATTACACCCCGGATGAAGAACTGGATCATTTTCTAAGAAGTGGCCCGCCACCTGTGTATATTGGCTTTGGCAGTATCGTCATTGATGACCCAAAGAAGTTGACAAGTATCTTGGTTGACGCTGTTCGAGCGTGCGGGACCCGTGCAATCATATCCCGTGGTTGGAGTAAACTGGGATCTGGTTTGGATGAGCGTGCCAATCCCGATATACTTTTCCTCGGCGACTGTCCTCATGGTGAGATTGATTTCGTTCTTTTTAAATTCTGTCACAGTTGGACTAATAAACTTTTTTTCAGAATGGCTTTTCAAGCATGTATCATGCGTGGTCCATCATGGTGGCGCCGGCACTACAGCATGCGGACTGCTAAATGGATGCCCGACAACAGTAGTACCGTTCTTCGGAGAGTATGTTGTTCTCATAAATTTTCTCGATTGAATGCAGACTCTTGAATCTTTTTCATTGAAAATTAAGCGCATGAGCTAATTTTGTTAATCTGCTAGTCAAGCATTCTGGGGCCAGATGATCGCAGCCGCCGGCGCAGGACCGTTACCAATTCATCACCGAACTCTTGACCAAGAGAATCTAACCCAAGCCATCCAATACTGTACGACACCAGCAGCCAGAACCGCAGCAGCGGAAATCTCAGAACAAATGCGACGCGAAAATGGCATCCAGACCGCGGTCCGATCTTTCCACACAAATCTTCCAGTAGAGGCTCTACGCTGTGACGTACTTCCCGATCAAGTTGCCGTATGGAGATACAGTATCAAGAGCAAAAAGCAACCGAAAAAACTTATCAAACTCTCGGACGAAGCGGCTTTTCAACTCGTCGAGCGCAAGAAAATTGACCCAAAACGTTTGAAACTGTAAGTGTTACTCATCATCGTTTACGAAATTGCTCTACTAACAATCACTCAAAGCTACCGCAGCAATCCACTCTCCCTCGAAAACCTCCGCTGGGAACCAATATCCGCCGGCACAAATGTTCTCCTAGACGTCATGACGAACTTTACTGTTGGCTTTAGCGAGATCTTCACTGGTCCCGCAAAAGCATTCCAGAGCAAGGAGAATGGCGGTGGTGGAAAGCAGGCTGCTAAAACTTTTGGGATGGGGTTTGGGAAAATGGTGGGAGTGCTTCCGAAAGCTACATTAGTCGATTTCCCTCTCGCTTTGACGGAGGGATTGCATCAAATGCCTAGATTATACGGGGATACAGTTCGAAATCACGGTAAAGTTCGAGATTGGAAAAGTGGTGGTGTTGTCGCTGGAAAGGTACACTCCCAAAATTCTCCACTTCCTCATCCTCACTAACCCCTGTAGAATTTTGGCTACGGATTCATGGACGGTCTCTCAGGTACCATAATCAAACCGTATAAAGGTGCCAAAGAAAACGGCTGGGCCGGCTTCGGCACGGGTCTCGCAAAAGGCCTCGGGGGTCTAGTGGCTGGACCTGGCTCTGGCATGTTCGGACTATTCGCGTATCCGTTTCTGGGTATGTATAAGTCTATTACGACATCGGCGATGACGCCGACGGAGCAGAAGATTATGTTGGCACGGCAGGTTTATGGGAGTTATATGGCTAGGGAGCGGGAGAAGGGTGGGCAGAGGGAGGAGAGAAGGAGGATGGTTGGGGAGGGGTGGGAGAGGGTTGGTGTTGTTGAGAATGTGGGTGTTTGATGTAGGATCTTAGGAGGTGGGAAGCGCGGTTTGGGTGAGTAGGCATGAGGAACAACTGTTAGAGAAGTTGAGGTATAGGCAGAGATCGGTACACTGGGCGTTTTATCGATGCCATTAGGATGTTTCAAGATTTTTGACTTGCAAACATTCATATTCCGTTTATATTCTTGAGTTCTTTGGGACTCAAAGCCAGCATAATCAGGAGTTCCATGTTCAAGTTGACTTAGCTAGTAAACCAAAAATAGTTGCTTAGAAGAAGGCCACAATTTCGTGATAAATTCTCGTTTTGTCGATTTCCACGGTAATCAGTGTACTTGGTCTCATTCTATTATACACATGACTTTACGATCAAGATGAACTGACATGGTCTATCCATTTTCCTTTTTGACGTTTCATCCAAATTCATTTGCACATATCAGTACACTTCCATTCATCCATTCTCACTAGCATTTCATCCAGATTTATTAACATATATCAGTGTACCACTTTCTTTTATTCACTCTCCGTAGCAACCCTTTCCACAATGCTACAGTCCCATCATCTCGAATTACTACTACGCACCCTCACCTCCAACGCTATTCTGCACAACCCAGGATTCCAATCTCCCAACCACCAACTCCAAGAGTCCCTCATAATGCTTTCCTGGAAAGAATAATCCGCAATGTGCGTCTATTTCATCTACTCCCTCCATGAAGATCCGAGGCCAACATGGATCCGGCTTCCCATCTACTGTGCTGGGTTGGATGCAAAAGATTTTATCACGGATGGGTTTAGGATTGTGGTTTGTTGGCGTTGAAGGTTGCTGGAGGTAGGTTGGGATGGCGGCCTGTGATGGTAGAGTTTGAGTGCTAGTATCGCTGCTACGAGAGTGTTTCTTTCTCTTGATTCTACCAGTACTAGCGGTATAGATATTCAGAAATCGTAGCCTCGGATCGGCAGTTTTAAATGCAGTTGCGACGTCTTCTAAGCCACGAATCCTAGCATACTGTCTCTTCAGACCTCTGAAATCGCCTAGACATCCGCCAAATTCAAGATGCGAGATAAAGTACTCTTTTGTCGCCGACCGAAGAGCACCGGAATGCTTGTTGGAGAAGTAGATGAATCTGTCAAAACCTGTTCTTACTGGTCTGCGGATATCGTTTTGGAAGGGTGGGTTGTAGTCTGGATCGGAGATTGGTAGTGAGTGGACCGAAGGGGATATCGAGGACGTGGAGACGCCCGGTGTACTGACTCTTTTGGGGGTCTCGTGGCTTAGAAGGGAAGGAGTAGAAGAAGAAAGCACCCCAGAAGTGTTATAAATAAGTTGCTCGCTTGCAGGATGGTTTTGAAAGCTTTGAGGTTCTGGCGCTGGTCGAAAGAAACTGGCGATACCGCTTCTTATCATGCCCAAGTGCATTCCAAGGAACGGCGTATCAAAGTTCAAAGTTCCAAGAATCCGATGACGGAAAGAGTGCTCAAAAACTGTGCCAGCTGGTTGAAGAACAACTTCGGCTGCTAAGAGTCCACCCATACTATGTCCCAGGAGCACGATATCCGTATGTGCATTTTCCTGAGGTTTTAGCCTACCTCTGTGTTAGAATATGTGATCGAAAAATCCAACGAACTGCCATTTACCATTTGCTGAACTCATCACGCGCATAGTCAATGGCTCGTCGTGATTTATACCTTGGATATATCTTCGTTCGTACTATATGTGTGTCTGCCACACGAACTTTTAACAGGTTGTGGATGTGAGCTGGAAAATTCTGGAAGCTGTTGTCATCGCCCAAGAATCCGTGGATGTATATCAGAAGAAGTATTCGTCTGCTGTCATTGCTAGTGACTGATGGTGCAAGCGATTGTGTACAGGTCGATTTTGTATCACAATTCGGCGTTAGAGTTTCATCGGACCAGGACATGTCCAGGCATGGAGGTAGAAGAATATTGATTTGAGGAAATAGGTATTGTTGAAATCTTGATGTTTCTTTTGTGGCGGAAAGCTTGCTATCATGATATTTGGTGTTAATTCAAAGTCACCCAGAATCGTGCTTGCCGCAATTAGGACCTGTCTAAGGTCAATAGACATCTTTGATTTTAACCTGTGAACAAGCATGGTTTACTCGATTGTGTATCATTTGGCGACCTTTGTGTACTCTGACCATTGCGCTTCATGATAGAGATTTAGATAGTGCTAACCGCAGCAAGACACGCACGTAAGTACGCGTCGAACTGGTTTTGTGTCGCGCTGCCGCTGGCAAGCCCTCGTTTAGCAATGCCGCATGGTTCTTGGTGGAATGTCGTCTCAGAAAACTTCGAAACGAAGTGTGATTGAGGCTGAGGCTATGCCCATCAAACTGACCAAGATGTCCTCAGTTGGTCGTTAAGAATCTTTGGAACTTTCCGGGTTTCGTATACGTATTCGCTTACGGATCCGTATTCGGCTATGGAATCAGTGGGAAAGCCGACGTAATGGATATGCTATGCCCTCGGCCAGCCCCTACCTCAGGCTATCCCTTTATGTTCTCCAACCTCTCCGCCTCTGCGCATTTCGCATCTCGCATCATCGCATGCAAAATTCCGAAGTTGCCGCCAAAAACCTGCGAATGTGAGAATGCCCGGAACTCGACGAGTACACACAAAGTCACGTGGTGGATGTTTCACGTGCAAGCAGAAGAAAATCAAGGTGCGGCAGCCGTCCTGGATTGCAAGACCACAACTAATATCTTCTCGCATTTAGTGTGATGAATCCAAGCCCGGATGCGAATACTGTACCCTTCGCTCTCTTCCGTGTACATATCCCTCTGCGGCATCCAGCCGTACTAGCTCGACGCCGTCCACTCCTCAATTGCATACCTCATCTATTCAGTCGCAAGCTCATCCGCAATCATCACCCGGATCGCAAGCCCAACTGCACCCTCTCGCTTCGAACGGACTCTGGTCGTTAGCAGACTTGGAGCTTTTACACTTCTATACTGCATCGACATGTTTGACCTTCAGCAGTGACCCTAAACGCCAACATGTCTGGCAGTATGTGGCTCCCCAGATCGCCTTCTCAAACGAATTTCTTTTTCGTGGTCTTCTAGCTGTTGCAGCACTGCATATGTCAACGGTATATCCCCATAGGAGGGAAAGCCTTCGACAAAGCGCATCGACGCATCACGCGGTCGCTCTACCCATGTACAGAGAAGCAGTTGAGGAAATGAACACGGTCAATTGTCATGCTTGCGCAGCTTTCGGGTCCATTATTGCCATGTTTGAATTGGCACAGTCCGAAGAAGTCGATAACATATTCTTTCCCGGCGCCCCAGATAGCTCGACAACAACCACGTCCGAATGGATTCAGCTACTTCGAGGGACCAGTCTTGTCATAGCCGCTTATTGGGAGGAGCTTCAACAGGGGCCGTTGGAAGCTGTGCTTGCTATCGATCTTAACGCTGAGCGTGAGGCAGATTTAAATCCCGTAGAGCCGTCGAAATTCTCTGAACTGGAAGGGCTATGGAATACTGGGCTAGTTTCAGCTCGCGAGAGTGAAATCGATGCGTTGAGGGAAGCGCTCAAGTGGCTGGCAACTTCGTACACCATGTTGTGTAAGCCGGCAGACATGGAGCCTTCTGCCATCGCATTATCTTGGCTCATCCGAGTGCCTGATCTTTTTCTATCGATGGTGAATGGGAGGGAGCCCGCCGCCCTGATATTGTTAGCGCACTACTCACTGCTACTAAACAAGCTCAACGATACCTGGTGGACACTCGGTATGAGCAGGAGGCTTTTACGGGAGGTTCACAGAAGCCTAGCTGAGGAGTGGCGACCCTGGATTGGCTGGCCACTTCAGGAGCTGGTCAGCAATGAGTTTCGAACGTGATGCAGTGTTGCAAACATTATTCATCATTTAATAATTATGAGCGACGCCTACGAGACGGGTCCATTTTCATCCCATTATTACGAACCGTCCCGGAGTAGCCAGCTTCCAATCCAACAATACGCTAAAATGACGGGCACCAACACTCAAAAAGTCCAATTGATCTTTCCCAACCGCTGCATAACCTATGTATCGGTGAAAACGATTATCCTCACCTCGATACTTTCACGTGGCATTGCTGGTGTCGGTGCATTTTTCAGCTTAAGCGATGTATGCGGGCAACCTAGCTTTGTTAGCAATGATCATTAGCGAGGCCGAAGATAAACTTACACTTTGCCTTGACACTCGATGAGGAGTCGTACATTTTGATCAGAAGAACTTCGTCTTTTGTTTGATTACTGAGAAAGTGCCATTTATAATAATTTCTGTATAGGGGTTGGAGATTCTCCCCTCGATAGCTGTCGACGATCAGGTCGGAGGCAACTAGATCATCTGGGTGGACTGTGCTGCCATCGCAAAGGGCAAGAGGATATTCTTCAACCGTGTTCAACAACGGCCTCCAGACACTACACGAGAGTCAGTCATAATCAAATTGCGATTTGAAAGACTAGACTTACTTCACCACACGCAGGCGGCTGGCAGAAAGATCTTTTTGTTGCCCTTGGGCAAACATGGCAGCGTGCATTCTTGCCATCGCTTCGCTAGTATCTACGGCTATATCAGCATTGTTATCTGACAAACGGTACAACCGCACGAACCGACATGGACTCCGTTCACGGGTGCGTGGAATTGGGAGCTATCCCCAGCTTCATCCCTTGCATCGAGATCGCTTAGCTGTTTTCGCTCGCTACTTGATCGAAGCTACGAAGTTAGCAATGTCATTCCGCTACCACAAGGAATTATCTTACCCTCCAATCGAATATATAGCATGTTGCTTCTGGGCCAAATTCTTCCCTTAGGAGCTCTTTGACTGATGACAGGTAGTTTTCTTCGACTGTCTGTTTGTCGAAGGCACTATTCAATAGACGGTGCTCGCGCGCGGCAAAACCATGATCATCAAGATTAAAACCAGTATTTGAACCCCGTATGTCGCGAATGATTTCTTCGTGTTGATCCTCATAGGTGAAATTAGTTGTTGGCGCTTTCTCCTGCCCATCGTTGTATGCTACGTAAGGCTTTTCGTGGTTGAATTTATCGTGCCAATCGATATATCGCAGCTGAGAAATCTCATCTCGAGAGACGGATTCGAAAGTTTCTGAAATCATACCGAGTTATATTTGAGTAGAAGCACAAGAGCAATCTCTTTATTTGTTTCGTGTTCTGATAGTTCTCCTATTTGATCACGAATGAATGACGCATCAAACGAAGCATCTATATAGCCACCACAGTGGCGATGGTGTGTACTACTACATTCTACTCTCTCTTTGTGTCCCATGACACTCCCCCTCTTGCATGAAGATATGCGGGTACTAAACGGTAAGCGAGAAACAGAGAATAGTTCATGAAGAATGGTTGATTTCTCTCAGTTCGCGAGAGAGAACGGTGGCGAGATCGTCGTGATATAGCAAGTTGGAAGTGATTAGTGGGAGCTTGCGCCACTGTTTTGCTACCTTAGCGTCCAAAAAGCCTCCCGTCGAACTGCTTCTCGCTTTTCGCTTTTCGCTTACCGTTTACCGTTTATCGTATATCGGAAACTTTAGCTTGAGGGCACGTCCAGCTTGTCCTATTCGTCAAGATGGCATTAGTGCGGGGAGTCTGGGGAACCCGCAAAACGTCAGCGGTACCTGAACAATGGGACTGATATCGATGAAATATTGGATGAACTCCTATTTTCAAGGCAATGTCGACTGTGGAAGGCTGTTCTCGGTGCTATTAGCTGCCCCAACGGCCAAATAGCATAACCTTCAATGACATCTTCTGAAAATCTCGACTGTCAAGATGGAGTGTTTTGCCAATGTTGGGGAACATGATATCTCATCCAGGCTTTGGTCACGGTTAGCGTGTGTTCCTGGCTACAGCTAGCAGTGTGCCTGGCAACAATCGATGCCAGTAACAGGTATATATACTTACACATTTCTCCCCGTCGAAGAGGAACATCAGCTCATCCAGTTTCAATAAGCTTGAGTCAATGACAAAGCAATGCTTAGCCTCAATTCCGGCATGTATTCGCTGCTAGCCCATATTTTCTTGGGATTTGCTACAGCAGCCGACGGCACCCATTACACTAGCCCATTTGTACCACCACGTATGCATAAAATTTCAATGACCCGATTTCTCTCACGTTGACTTCAGCTAATATGATTTTCTTCCACAGCAAACGCTGAAGGTATTGGATGGGATGCTGCATTTGCCAGAGCTGAACGCCTTGTGTCGAATTTGACGCTGGAACAGAAAGTTTCGCTTGTGACTGGCTTTTATGGTCCAGGCGGGTGCAATGGGAATATCGCAGCCGTTGAATCTATAGGATTCCGTGGATTGTGTCTTCAAGATGGTCCAGTAGGCATTCGTCTCGCCGATCTGACAAGCACGTTCCCTGCCGGCTTAACGGCAGCTGCAACCTGGGATCGTACTCTTCTCTATGATCGTGGCAGAGCTATCGGTTCTGAATTCCGTGGTAAAGGGGCCAACGTGATGCTCGGGTATGTGGTAGCAGCTTGCGAAGTCTTTTCGCCCTCTTCATATTTTACGTACTTTTACTAATTATAATATCAGGCCTTCGGCGGGACCAATGGGTAGACATCCATTGGGAGGTCGTAATTGGGAAGGCTTCTCCCCAGACCCATACTTGACAGGTGTAGCAATGTCTGCTTCTATCCAAGGCATACAACATGAAGGTGTTCAAGCATGCGCCAAACACTTTATCGGCAATGAACAGGAGACAAATCGAGGAGGTGTTAATGTTGATGGGAAAGCTGTTGATGCAATTTCATCAAATATTGATGATCGCACGATGCATGAATTGTACCTGTGGCCATTTGCTGATGCGGTAAAGAGTGGCGTGGCGAACGTCATGTGCAGTTACAATCGCGTCAATCAAACTTACTCGTGCGAGAACTCGAAGTTACTCAATGGACTGTTGAAGACCGAACTTGGATTTCAAGGCTATGTGGTGTCTGATTGGTATGCTACCCATTCAGGCATGAAAGCGATTGAGGCAGGGTTGGATATGAACATGCCTGGCCCCATTACCGATGCCGACCCCATGGCGTTGACGAGCTATTTTGGAAAGAACACCACGGCGGCGGTCAGAAACGGCTCTCTTCCTCTCACTCGGGTCAATGATATGGCACATCGAATCCTTACCCCTTATTTCTACCTCCAACAAGACAAGGACGATTTTCCGACGGTCGATCCCTCGACTATATATGTTCTGTTACAAACGTATGGTTATTCCCCAGAGCTAATCGGTTTGCCTCCAGCACCTCCGGCACGAGATGTGCGAAGCGACCACAAAAGCTTCATCCGCAAAATGGGTGCCGCTGGTGTAGTCCTATTGAAAAACACTAACGGCGCGCTTCCTTTGCGCAATGTGTCCAATATTGGAGTTTTCGGTAATGGCGCTGGCGACCCTTCAGAGGGACTTTATTTCGAGGGTACTAAAGCTGGTAGTACCGGGCTTGGGTTTGAGTACGGTACTCTCTCCGTGGGTGGAGGTTCTGGCACGGGTCGAAGCACTTACATCCTCTCACCGCTTCAAGCGCTTCGAGAACGGACGAACGCACGCATTCAACTGATTCTCAACAACGAGTTCATTGCCGGCGGTGATTTGAGCAGTATCTTTCCTATCCCTGAAGTCTGTCTTGTTTTCCTCAAAACCTGGGCTTCTGAAGGTTATGATCGCTCTGAGTTCGAAAATAACTGGAACTCCACGGCGGTAGTCAATACTGTAGCAGCTAAATGCCCAAACACTATTGTGATCACGCATTCCGGAGGCGTCAATACTATGCCATGGGCATCCAACCCCAACGTCAACGCTATACTAGCAGCTCACTACCCCGGCCAAGAAAGCGGAAACTCAATCGTGGATATCCTCTACGGTGAAGTCAACCCGTCTGGTCATCTTCCATATACCATCCCAAAGAACGAAAGCGACTACGACATCCCTATCGTTAATATCACCGGTGACGCGGCGACAGACTCTTCAGCTTGGCAGTCCGACTTTACTGAGGGCCAGTTGATTGATTATCGCCATTTCGATGCTAAGAATATCACTCCGTTGTATGAATTCGGGTTCGGACTGAGCTATACCACTTTTGACATCACTGGGCCACTTGAGATCAACAAAGTCGGCAGTATCAATTCCTCGTTCCCAGATCCTACTCGGAAGATAGTCCCAGGTGGAAATCCAGACCTTTATACCACCCTATTCGAAGCCAAAGTCAACGTCACTAACACAGGCAATCTTACCGGTGCGACGGTGGTGCAATCATATCTTTCATTGCAAGGTACAGATGTTCCGGCGGGCACACCCGTACGAGTGCTCAGAGGGTTTGAGAAGTTGGCCCTTAATCCGGGGGGTTGGGCGGTCATCAATTTCCCGTTGACGAGAAGAGATGTTAGTTATTGGAATGTGGAAAGGCAGGATTGGCAGATTCCGAGGGGGCAGGCTACTGTTAGTGTTGGGTTTAGTTCGAGGGATTTGAGGGTGATGGAGAGGGTTGGGTTGATGTGAGCGATGGACTGCTTAAGTCAGAGTTTTGTCGGAACCTAGACGTTGAAGATCGCGTAATTTCCATCCGATGTGCATATACTCTAGGTCGTAAGTATAGAAGTTATCGTTCAACAAGTCGCGTTTGCTGACCGGAAATTCGAAGTATTTACAATTGCCTTGGCTCGATCCAAATTAATTCGATTCAGCTTCTAGGTATAGCTCGTTTAATGATATCGCTCGATGGAAAAATTTGAAGTCCCTTGAGGCTTGATCACCGTGGTTATTCTTCTTTCCTTTCAATACACAGAGTGATGTATTTTATGACACCTACCAAATACGGCATACGAGAAGGAAAAATGATGTAAGATGAAGTAGATATTTGGCAGCCTAATATTAGTGTTGAGAACAGAGAGGGGAGGGAAGGAGAGTGGAATACGTTCTCGACTATCGATTCGGCTCAGCTGATGAGAGTAAGTGACGGGCCAAAGCTAGGGTTTCTGTTGTACTGTTAGTTATAAAATAGGTGGAGGATACTATTCAAGTAATTCAAATAATGGGAATTACTTTTGACTTTGATCTAACTGAATTTTAAGTCAACTTTAGTCAACAGTGATGAGTGTAAGGTGTATTACCACATCTATTAAACCAGATGAGAGATATAGGGGTTTGTATTTTTTCAGTCGAAAACCTGGAGAATTTACTAGTCGATCGTCAGGACTCGGAACAGGGTTATGTGAAATCTTTCATTATTTTGAGGTTCCGACTGCCTTGACCTTCCGAAATGTTTGTTGTACTTTTTACACGTTTGTAGAAAGAGAGAGCGACAATGTTCGGTTTAGACTCCTCATATGACCAGATTGTTAATGAACATTTTGAGCAGTCACAGTAGGTCATGAAAATAATTTTCCAGCGAGGCTCGCGGACGACGAAATCAGTGGCAGTTACCTACCCGCAAAATTTAGACTAATTAATAAGTCGACTTCGAATAGAGATTAAAGTCTTATTTACTTAAAATAGTTAACGAAATAGTCTAACTTAATCCACTAAATTACGATATTTCGTTATTTTAGTCGAAGAACTATTCTAATTCGACTGCCACTTATATTTTGTCCTCTGCGAGCGAGGGTTGTCGCCACGTGACGAAGCACGCTAAAAATCCTCCATTTCAAGCGACCGTTACAGAGTCAACACAAGCCTTACTTGGCAATCACCACCAGACGCCAATGCTACAAACGACAGCTTGGCTACATTACAGTCAACGCTTCCAACCAACACGTCGGTATGATCATGAGAAACACGACAGAAGGCCACGACAGCTTGCAGCCGGCCAGGAACCGCGAGACGGAATCCTCTGTGTGACTGGCGTTTAACATTCTCCTGTTGATCGGTACGGAGGTACTTGTACAGGAACGAGGAACGTCAACAAGCAATCACCTCCCTATGCCTCGGCCCTCGACCCTGAATACCAAGAGCTTCCAAGACTGTGGGCTGATGAGAACACTGCGTGTTGGTGCTACAGAAGGTCGATGCGCTGAACGCTGGGCGCCAAAGGTCTAGAATCGCAGACTTCAGCCGGCCGAGAACATCTCCAGCGAGGATGATTCTCGAGGTCGTAGGACACGAAGTCGTGTCTCGTTTCTATGCAGCGACTTTGCTATATTTGCGCGCTTGTTTTGTTCATTCGCGCGCCTGCGTTGCGTTGCCGCTATGCTATTTGGGTTTGTTTCTGCGCTTGACTATGGCCAGATCACCAAGATTAACAGTTCCAAGTGGAATGAACCAGCAATTCTGACAGCGGTCGAGCTCAAAAGCTTTGTTTGAATTGGCATTTCCGAAGTTTGATTATTCTCCAATTTTTAAGCACGGAAACATAGGTCTTTCTCCATTGCTGGGCGGCTCGCATTGACCTGTCAGAGTGGAGAATTTGCTCGTTCGTCTCAAAACATTCTGGGGAAAACGACATGAGACGAATCCATGAAGAAACTTCAGCGCATGTGGGAACCGATTTCGCTCTTACAGATGTAAACATCTGGCATATGTGCCTGCAGTAGTGCTAGAAGGTCTCTCGAACGCTTGCATCACGTATGAGAAAAAACGGAAAAATGGGAGAGATCGTCTTGCTTTTTTGAGACGCTGTATCATGTTTGCTATGCATTTACATAATCCAGAGTTTGAGAGACCTTCAGATCACGAGCGACTGCCATGTTCCATCTTGGTATCGTACGATATGTAGCTTGGTTGGTGGTGGCTGAGGCAATGGTTCCTAAACGGGCTTTTCCATGTTCCGCCTTGGAGATTTGTGGTTCGTCAGAAATTTCAGTTGAGTGAACCACCTCGAAATAATGCCGGGAAGTTGACACTGCAACTCACTCAGACCGTTGATCGAGTCTCTTTACCTACCCATTTCTGTGCTACTATGCTGTAATTCTCATATCATTAGGACATAGATTCTGAGTGTGTTCTTGAAGCATTTGTCGCATCTGTATGCGCCTTACCGGCTTTCCCGGCCTCTTCTTCGTACATGGCCTCTATGTCGCTTGCATACAACCACCTTTTCATTATCAACCCCAGCTCACATTCTAAGAATCCGGCTCCTGCTCTAGCACGACTCTTAAGTTTGAAATGCTTTCGATCTGAATGTTCGCTGCATAATTTAGATGCGTTTCCTTACATTTCCATACTGTATTTTCTATTTTAGACCCCAAATGGCTTCCTTCTCACTGCCGAGTAAGCCACGCCGCGAAGGTGGTATTGGTAACCCCTGCAACAGCCTCAAGGGGCTTTTCAGGAGTCGGCTTCCAAGACGTCAACCCTCTTGGTATTTCTTAATCACCAACAAGAGTTGTGCTACAGACGCAGCCAAGTGAAGGAGGAGGTCTCTTGGAACGGGAGTCAATTTCGCCTGATGGTCTCGATGAGTGATTGCTCGCCGCTCGGTTTGAACGTGGGTAGAACAAAGTTTCACTCACATTTGTCCCTCGTCTTCCAGACCAGGTACTCGAGTACTTGTTATATAATGGAGCTGACGCCCCAAGTCTTGGTTGCAGCACTTCTGGAAGTCCTCAGCATTCATTGATTGTTTTCTCGGTTCTCATCTTTCCACTTACTTTTCAAGTTATCTTTCGTTTTACGTTCTTTCTACCACTATCTTTGCATTATCTCGTTCCTTGCTAGTCAAGATAATATATATACACTCTCTCGACAGATTTCCGCGAAACAGTCAAACAACAATCATGAAGGCCTCAATCCAAAATGTTGCACTTTTGGCAACTCTCTTCCTCGAATCAGCATCGGCCTCTTGCGGTCATGGCACATCTATGATGAAGAGACATGTACACATGAAGCGTGATCTCAATGGTGGATTACAAAAGCGTGTCGAGGTAGCGACCTTTGGTTATTTGGGTGAAACCGGACCGTATGTCTTACTTACCTCTCTACCTTTACTTGATCTAACTTGCGTAGAACCAACTGGGACAAACTTGCACCAGAGAATGCCGCTTGCCGTACCTCAAAGGTCCAGTCACCTATCGATATCAATCCCGAAACTTCCACCCTCGTCGAGGCTGGAAAGCTGAAGATGGACTTCCCTCACTTGGAAGGAGCTGAGTTTGAGAACCTGGGGTCAACTATCGAAGTTATCATGGAGGGAAAGAATGCAACGACCACTGTGGATGGAAAAGTTTTCAACCTTGCCCAGTTCCACTTCCACACCCCAGGAGAGCATGCCATTAATGGAGAGTACATGCCACTCGAGATGCACATGGTTCACGAAGCTGAGGATGGAGCTCTTGCTGTCATCGCCGTTCCATTCCAACTTTGCGAAGCTGGTGGATCCAACCCTCTCTTGAACGCTCTCCTTCCATCCATGGAAGCCATCAGAGAGCCAGGAAAAGTCACCGAGACCGGTCCAATCGACTTCTCTGGTCTCATCGCTGCCCTTGAGGTCCAGCCACTTCGAACATACTCAGGATCCCTCACCACTCCACCTTGCGCCGAGGGTCTTACATTCTTTGTCGCCACCCAGACTCTCCCTCTCGATGTCAAGACCTACAACTTGATGAAGAGCATCATCGGATTCAACAGCCGCTTCGTTCAGAACGCTGTTGGAGCCGACAACCTTCTCGCTCTGTAATCAACCCTCGAACACTGTTGTTTTTCTTACCGCACACGCACCACTTATATATATGATCGCGCACGAGTTATTGTAATTAATATTCCTATGGAAGAGACAAAGGTTGATGAACGAGGAAGAAACCCATAAGAAAGCGTGTCAACTTCTTGTATATGCTGGAAATATCAGGCGGGGTTCACGTTTGTACACAATTATTAGTTCTTCTTTTCTTTGAGATGGAGTGGTTAGATGATATTACCTTAGATGATAGATTAAATGATATGCTGATAACTTATTTATCCTTCTCCTCTCCTCGTCTTTTCCCTTCGAAATCTCAGTCACAACTCTACAGACGAATCAAGCTTTCCCCCCAAAACCAAAATCACGAAAACTGCCACACGAACGGCTCACCAACGAACCGAGCTTGAGCGGCCGCCGCGTATCTTGGCTGTAACAAGGTGACAGGAGCTTGAGTTTTGAGCTTCGCCGTCTTGGTTTTTGCTTGTGAGGGCTTGGTATTTGTATGCTGGGAGAGAATGTCTTGGACTCTTGGTGCGCCGTATTCAATCCCTGGATAAGTTTATGCTGGGCTGGGTATGTGGAAGTGGAGTGATGTGAGGGGCGTGCGGAAGGCTTGGAGGAATATGAGATGCCAAGTGTGAGGGGGATGAAACGAGGACGGTGGCCTATTAGAGGGGGAAGGTCGAAATCTATTACCTCCGTACTGTTGTTGGGTTTGGTCCTGGTTTTTTGGTTTTGATTGTGGAAGGTCGTTTTCGGGATGGTTGAGATGGGATGGTTGATCGTGAGGATGATAATATAATTGGAACACGAAATTTAATTACTCTAGCTACAACACAATTCCAGTATTTGTCGTCACCTTCGTTTGACTAATCTCATATATTGCCAGAAGCGCGATCTTTCAAAATACAAGATTCTTGACGTTGACATTTCTTTACCCTGAAGTCCATTTTGACTTTCGGATCGCTCCGATGTCAAAGTTAGCTTCTCCACAGAACTAGTTGTCAGCGACTAGTCCTTCCAGGTTTTAACGTAACCCTAATAGATTATAATGTGGGTTTTTTGTCTCCAGTGTAAGTGTTCAGTCGTAGTATTGTCCCCGCCAACGTGCCACGGATGTTCCGTGGTAACGCGACGGAGTGGAGTGTGGTTTGGTCAACTCAATACCCAGTTGAGCGCGATTCGAAGATCACTGTAAAAGCATCGATTTCATGATATATAAAATGGTATCGTAGGAGATATGTGGTAAGATACGTTATTCTAAATCCAGTAGTTTGCGAGGAAAGCATCGCATTCAAGGGTATCTCAAAAACTCCCAGACTCCACCAACGCCAGTAATTTCCTATACCGAATCCATAATGTCATTGTCATCGCTTCCAAGTTTCTCAACTTCATGAAGAATTCTTGTTGCCTATCCCCAGCGCCCACTACTCCCACCGTCAATTTCACCCAACTTGCTGACCGATTCGTTATAATCTCGGTACAGGCCCTTCAATTTACCATTATTTTCCCATCTCTCGATGATAGCTTCGACTTGGTCTCGTTTCTCCCAGGGTTTGAGCTTGCGGTGCTTCAAGACACGTTCGGGTGCAAGTTCGGGTTCGTTTTCTAGCTCTCCGCGAACCCAGTCGTAGAGATGATACCGCCAGTGACTGAGCAGGTGAGCCTTTTGGGCTTTAGCACGACAGAATCTACCAGTAAGAAATCTAAATAGCGTCAGTTGCCGATGTACAATAATTTCTGAGAATCACTTACTCTTTGTCTTCAGGGGCAATTCGACGGCCCAATCCGTCAACACTCCCAGCACGTCCACCGGAATCTTGCTCATCTGAATCATCACCATCATCTTGTTCGATCTCTTCTAAAGTCTCCTTGTTGTACGTCTTTCCTGTGAATGAGATTGAGAATTTCGGAGGATGTTTCGAGCGATTACATGCCTCGCACCTCCCTTCTCCAAATTCCGTGCCCGATACAGGTGTTTCCACATAATTCGGACGAGCTTCTAGAGCCACAATGAATTGAGAAGTCCACTGCGACGACTTGTACTCGCTATGCATAAGGGCTTCTGGCTTGGAATCGAGTTTGTGAAATGCGCGCTTGAACAAATCCTGTTTTTCCGTATATGTTGGATTCAGTTCTTTATGAACGAAGAACTCTACTGCGTCTCTGAAATGCTCTTTTATCGGCTTATTGTAATGAGATGTGAACTCTAGAGGAATGTTCGAGCTACCCGGAATACCGATCGCCCCATCGTCATCTTCAATAATGAAGTCGTCCTCATCTTCCTCTTCGTTATCGTCGTCTTCCTCATGGATCTTTGACGGACCGCGCCCCTTTTTGGATGGCCTGACCTTTGGCTCTTCCGGTTCCTCATCTTCCTCCTCATCTTCGAACTCTGATAGATGCTCTAGCGTTTGTTCCGCATCAGATTCTTCTTCAGATGACGATTCGGAATCTGGTAAAACTGCGTTCTTGTCTCCCGCTCTCCTAAGCTTCATAAGTTCAAGCTCCTTTTCCTTCTGCGTTCTGTGACGTTTCCTTTGCGTGATTTTTCGCGTGACATGAACAGGAGAACTTGGTGTAGAATCCACGTTACTTGCGGAATTCGAAGGGCCGTTGGAGGTGTGTCGGCGCTTTGCAGGTGATGCCCTGATATCTGAATCTGAGCTAGATGAAGAATCGACAGAATTTCTCCTCGCACGCTTCCGAGGGCTCACAATATCCTCTTCACTACTGTCTCCTAGTACTGTTTTATTCCTAGCCGGCTTTCTGACGACGGATGAGATGACCACGGGATCAGAATCGCTCTGATCTGCATCAGGAACAGGCTCAGACAATGCTTTCGAGCGTCGCATTCTCCGAGCAGGTTTTAAAACAAGATTTGACTTGTTCAATTCATCCGACGAGTCCTCAATTGTTATGGTAACGGGTTTCCTTTTCCTTGTGGCCAATTGAATAGTAGGCTCGTCTGAGGACTCGCTATCATCGCTATCATTGCCACTCTTGCTAGCATTTACGCCCCGCGATGAGGAGAACATGCCACCTTGTGTGCGCGGGGGACTACTAAGTCCATCGCCACCGTCAAACCGGTTCATTCGTCTTCGTGAGCTTGTAGAAGTAGGTTGCTCGTCGGAATCGTCATCGAGGTTGGCTACAAACAAAATATGAGTATTTCACATGGTACGCGTCAGAACATGCATACCGGCTGTAGCATCAGATTCAACGGCGAAGCTGATCTTTCGAGGTGGAGTTCTGACTGCGAAGACTCCATCTTTCCCACGCGTCCCATAACGCACTTTGGCGGGGGTGAGTTTCGATCCTGGTGACGAACTGGCAGCCGCAGTCGGATCAAGTTCGAAGGTCAATCTTGTTTGCCTCTTTTTGCGCGAAGCTTTGCGCTCTAGGTTGGAAGGCATAGCCAGCTAATGAATAGCGAAAATCAGCGGGGTGGTTTTGGATGAGTAGACGTAAGTTAGCTATCAAGAGCCTGGAGAAGTCGAGAAAAGTCCCACTTACTTCGCTGACGCGCTGTCACATGACATCCAATCCACATATTTTGCCACAATTGAATGTCTAACAACTTGACCTTCATTTCCCTATGATCTTTCATGGAATCCTGACTGGATCAACTGGGTTGCGACAAATAAAAATGTCTACGAGCTTTTAATTTGAATTCGAAAAGCTATAAATTATCAATCAAAGCCAGCACATCTGCAACAACTGAAATTTTCAAACGGTTCAACCTTTCGAAAGCCAGTCTCATTTGTCCATTCTAGCTTAATATTCGGGGGAAGTATGGGTCCAGCTTACTTCTAATAGAGGTGAAAACAAACGGGGAAAGAAATCTCTTGGAGCATGTGAAGATCACTGACGAGTGATAACTGGAACGACACCAGTGGGTTGTGGCACCAAAATATCTTACAGTATCAAGGCCCAGGTGAGTGACGTGAGATCTACCTATTCAGGAAATGTTCATTGCATAATAATTGGATCTAGTATTGGCATTGCAATTGATTTATCCCCACCTTCTGCTTCAGCTTTAACCCAGTGTAGGATTGTTCATGGAGAACTTGTACCAAAGAGGCTTTCAACTTCGTTAACAACGATTCATTAGCACATTTTAATGTCCATTTGCACCTATGTATACACTGTTCTAACTCACTCGTAAATATGTAGCAGTTCGCCAATTCTCGACTCCTGTGCAATCTTGACATATTTGCCTACTTTACATAATTGATGGCTTTTTCCTGCGCGAAATAACACATTTTCCAGAGACTGACCGCCTCATTTTCCTAGCTCGGTGATCCTGCAACAAGTTCTAGTAACCAGCCATGGACCTTGGTTAGTCAACCAGTTCGAATGGCATCTCAGACAATGTCCCCACCGCCCATCCCAGCCTCAATCCAACAATATACAAAGTCCCTCGGACCGCAAATACAAAATTTCAATGTCCTGTTCCTTTTCATAGGTATCTTCGATGACACCCATCATGTATGACTAGCTTGAACGTTTGGGGTGGCGGGTGTCCTTCCTCCATCATCTCTCAGAAAATAGCGATAGAACATCACCACGTGAAGGATCGAAACCAAACCAGCAACTACACATCTTCCCAAACAAGCCCAGAACGAGATAGACGGAACTTTCTTGACCTCTCCAGTAGAGTTAATTCGAAATTCAACCATGATTTGTCGGCACATTGGACAGGTATTCCTCCTCCTACCAATCCACAGGTTGATGCAGTCCAAGCAGTATTCATGGAGGCATGGGTGGACAACTACACTGTTGGTCGTTTCGTCCATGCAGATAGGACAAATAATTGCGGGTGGCTCGATTTTTTCTGCGACCGGCGCTGGTGTCTCTGGTTTTTCTGGTGTTTGCTGCCGCGAGAATTTCTTTTTGCCGAATTGGTCCAAACGACGAGCGTTGTTTTTGATTGGGGCTCGAAGACGGAATCTCATGATGTTTGGAGACGTTGTTCCGATGGAGGATTGTTGAAAAGCTTCAAAATGTTGTGTTTTAAGAGACAGGAGAAAAGGAGAGGAAACGGGCGAGCTCTCTGGTCATGAGAAAAATGTACCAGTTAAATATGTTCATTGGTTTGCTGTAGTGGAAGTGAATGTTTCGAGTTGTCTTGTCTTGTTCACCGTCGTGTAAAATGCAGCAGCAGCCTCATGTAAGCAATTCATTCAATCGCAGTCTCGGGCTCTCTATTTACTGGTTCATAGGCGTGCCAATGTCATTCCTATGGCGATTCGGGGCCTTACCTATTCAGGTGACAGAAGTCGCCGGTGCGATAAAATCATAACTAGGCACGCCCCTATTACCACACATTGGCCTCAGTACCTATAGCCTCGCGATCTCGGGAGACCGCATAGTGAGAAATTTCAAGTCTAAGACATGTTTTTGAGTGCTAAAAGATACTACGCGAAAACTGGCGCCAAAACTCACGCCAAGTTGTACCTAAGTCATTCGGCGACGCGATACATTACCTAGGTACACTTCAAAGTCTTAGGGACAAGAATCCGGTAAGGTGAATTTCTATGACGTATGACTTCCATTAAACATCTCCTGCACTCCTGGCTTTCCTCTGAAATCAATTGTGCATATGAATTACTCATTAGATTTCACGTGTGCTTCTCTGCTGACGAGGTATAGTGTCTTCGTCAACAATATGTGGAGGATTTTTATCATTGACAATATCTCTTGCTATCAGTAATCCCCCCTAACACTTCGGAAGATTTGGGTGGAGCCAGCGGAAAGTTGTTAAGAGAGTAATAGATTGTACCGGACAAATTCCTAAGCAAGTTTAATAAGTTTGTAGAAGCAACGTCCGACTGCCGTACATCCGAATCGTGACTGATTGCAACTGCAGTAGCTTATCATCTTGCTTTAATAATCTTCTCGTAATCCAAATTCTCCACCCATGATAGTTTGAAGAAAAGATTCTTCACCATCCCACCAGAGGAGGCCATATAAATATCTACTACTGGCTGTGGCAGCAAAGTAGATGTGCGTCCTCCGTAAATGGGCCAGTGACCTTGCTAATCATACAAAGATATTTTACAGACTCTAGAGCTTTTTACCCGTATATATCGTGTTTTAACTGAGTTGCTTTTCGTAGAATTTTCGAACATACATTGAGAATGAATTCGACATCTCACAAAACTCATTTTTCAATGGGAAAGAGAGGGGACGCGAACTTCCATCAATTTTCTTTTTGTTTAGAGAACCACCGTGGCTGTACCAGAGTGCATAACACATGGTCAACTTCGGTTCAAGGGTATGTTCGTGATCTCCTGCCTTCAGTATTACGCCCGTCTCAGCGAGTAGGGCTCACTTTGCCCAAGCGTACAAATCCGTGAATCTACGCATCTTCGAAATGAAATTCGTCGCTTCAAGTGGGTTCTTGAATGTCTTGACTTCTCTACTCAAAAATAAGTCAGATCTTAAAAGAAGGAAAACATTCAACTCTTACAAAATGTCTTGTTCATTCCGCCGAATCGGTAGATTTCGTGTGCCAGATCTGGAGATTTCTCATCGACAACCAAATGCTTTCTTATGTCTAAAATGATGTGGAATGAAGTCTGATTCAGTTCGGGGGACTGAAAAGGCTCGACATGGGCGTAGTGTTTGTCGATTTCATATTCGTCCGTCGGAAGTCCTGCAAATGCAAGATATGCCTTAATGGCATCAAAATATTCCGAATATCCACGATCTTCAAATTCACTGACTTTGAGCCTCAAGACAACCCTTTTTGGACTGTGCTGTGAGAGGTCGCTGAGGGTGCTGAGGCCGTATTCCTGGTTCGCTGTTCTTGAGTAAGTCTTCGAGTGGGTTGGATGTTGTATTGTCAAGGAAGGAGAATGCGGGGTCCTGCCAATTTGTAGCACATGTTCCTGTACAACATGGGTCACTGTAATACGCCCACGTGTACTAAGCCTAAGCTCAGCCCTATGAATATCCCAAACGCTTATGAGTGGCGACGTCTTTCTGTTCATCCCACTTAAAAATCACCAGACCTTGCGAGAATTTGTTAGGTAATTGTTTTGTACAATGATGTGGCATTTAAAGGTATTCAGATAAATTTGGTCGCAGGAGGTTAAGAAACACCCGCATTGTGAATCCACAAGACAAGTTGCCATTTGGCTACTCAAACGAAGTCCCGATTTAACAGGCTTCTAGTATTACAAAAAAGCCAAGAAGGCTTCACCATTTGACAAACATACAAAGTCCTTTATACTTTGTAACGACTACCTTCGCAATCCGCACCTTCCCAGTTTCGCATTCATTTCGCTTTTGGGCCTGTGAACACCCCTTCAATAAAGTTCATTAGGCGGGCTGTTATAAAAACCCGGGTTATGTAAAGATTAGAGATCTAACTATATATCTACAACTAGCTACCTTGAGAGCTAGGAGGAGATGTACCATTACAGGCCGGGCACTGTCCTGGCAAATTATCTTGATCTTGCACGTGGATAGATCGTGGAAGGTCCCGAAGAAAACCACTGGCAGCAAGATAAACCTCCTGTTTCGGCTGTGCAAAAGATCAAGTACATCGCATATAGTCATAAGTGTAATGATGAGGGAGATGTTGCTCATACATTACTACGAGGATCTTATTAGTAGGGAAGCCATTGTAAAAGTGTGTAACTTCCTGGAAAGATAGACGGTTATAAGTTTTCTCTGTGTAGAGTGTTGGTAAGCTGCAAGAAATTATCCCGCAGGATGATAGATCGGAACTGTGAAGTGTGCGATTGGGAGAAGTAAATAACTGTACGCAGTGATTTTTCGAAAGTGGTTTGCTGATAATATAATAGAAAAAGTTTGGATGGCGAGCATGATTGAGATATATATACTCCTACGAAATGTCTATTACCACTCGCCGAGTCTGCCAACGGTCACCAACAGTCCAATTCAGCGGTGGTTTCAACACCGACCCAAATGCCCCTTCCATATAACGAGCGTCAAATATTCAGACGAAGCTATCTTGAAAATAGAGGTCGCTTATACATTCCTGAAAACAACGTGTAAAATTTAATTAGAGGCATTTCTTGCTAGTTGAACGTAAAAGTTAGACTTTTGTTTAAAGGTGCTGAGTTTGAAAAGGGCCTCACCTTCGGCGCTGTGACCCATCACAAAGTAACTATCAATCCATCACAAGTGGTTACGCTAACGGGTCGCTTATAGTAATGATGGCGAAGCTTCTTACCCAACACCAGTGCACTGCACCAACTTTCTCCACCACCCCTTACGATCTCCGTTTACAGTCTCCCGACTTTTCAAATTTCTTGATAAAGACCAACACCATAGTCGAATGAAGACAGACATGTAATCACGCATGTTATCGAGATAGCGAACTTCGACGTCCTTTCGACAAATTGGAGCGCGTCCAAATTGCAAGTCGATAGATCTCACCCTCGACCCCAAGAAGAATATTTTCAGCAGCTAAATTTCTCAGTCTACGCAGTTACCAATATGCCAAACAAAAGAAAACGAGATAATGAAGGCCCCGAAATTGAACAACCTACAACAGTCAACAAAGACGATGAAGTAAAGCAAAATACCCTGCATTCCAGAATTTCTGCCAAGTTAGTTGTCCCTTACAGAATCTGTTTCTGGTTCTAATTGAGCGGTTCTGATGCTTGAAAGGGTCATCATGTTCAGCCCGACAATTTTAGTCGTTGTGGGCAAAAGTAAAGAAGGCTTTACACTTCACAAAGACCTATTGTCGCTTCATTCTTCATGGTTCGAAGAATACTTCAGCGCTATGGACAATGCGCAGAATTTAATACTCACTACCGTTGAAGCCGCTCCTTTTGAAACATTTGTTTACTGGCTTTACAGCGGCGAAAAACCTATTAAACTCGGCTTGTACGACAAGGGTTCGAGTTCTGTAACGGAATCTTTGATATGTGCAAACATTCTTCGTTCTCCAGCATACAGCAACATCATCATGAATGCTTTGATTGAAAGCATGCCCAGAGCAGCTATGACCGGTACAGTGCGGTTCATCCTATGGCTTTCGCATGTTTACAACAAGACTGGTTCAACTTCAGTCCTATCAAAGTTTATGTACAACTACGTCAGCCATAACAACCCCTTCACACAATGTACTCCGGGAAGTGAACCTTTTGTACTTTGGGAAGGTTTTCTGAAAGCTTACCCTCAATTTGCCTTCGACTTGGCTGTCGCGGCTGGGAAGAAGTGGAAAGGTGCTACTGGTCCATGCGATATTGAAGTTAGGTCCGAATTTATGGAGGAGGAATTTGACTTAAATAAGCGTTGGGAAGAGCTGATACTACAGAAGCAAACAAAGGCTGAGATCGAGGTTGCTGCAAAAGCCAATCGCCTTCGCAGTGTGGTTCAATTGCGTCATCTGAACAGAGACAAGGCAAAGGATTGAGAAAGAGACAGTGGGGCAGATCTTACACACGGGCGACGAAAGAAACAAGCAAAGCGTTCTGTTCCAAAGTGGGAATAACAACTCAGACATATTCTCAGGTTCAATTACTTACATTGCAGTGACAGAAAAGCTAGTGCTAGCGGGCGGACAGAACCAGGAGGGAATGATGTAGAACGATCAGAATTGCAATAGCATCCAGACGAGCAGCAGCGAGTAAAAGAGAAAACGTTCCCATCTCTTTCTTGAATTCCCGATATGTTTTGAGTAACTGCAAAATCTCTTTGATTCCATCTTCAGTTACGTACGAAGGTACCTACCTAAGGTATCGTTGTCGCGTTAGCTCCTCGCTTATGCTGGGCACCCTTTTCGTTCTTTCCACCATCACCTCCAACTTCCATTCTTCCATTTTGCCACTCTTCATCTGTCTCTATTCTACCTAACATCGCCAACAACATCCAAGATCAGCGGCGCCAAGAAAACGGTATAAAGGAGCAAAGAGCGATTTAAATTACCCAGATCAAACCAGGCAATATGCCACCCAAAAGAAAACTTGCGGCGGCTTCAAAAGACGAATACAAGGATTTGCGCCAGAAAGAGAAGGACTTCCATCGTGAAATTTCTTCAAAGTAATAAGTTCCAAGAGAAGATTTTCCCGTTCTATCAGGATAAATCTAACAGACAAAGGGTCATAATCTGCAGCCGAAAAATAAAAGTGTTCTTGGGGAAAGACACAGACAGTGAAGTATTTACGCTCCACGAGGATTTACTGGGACTCCACTCCAAATGGTTTAATACCCATTTTTGGAACTGGCCAGGAGAAACAGAGGAAGACAACTGGGTCTGTCTGTCCCACGTCGACAGTAGGCTGTGCACCATGAGTGCTGCCGTTTTTTCGAGGTATTATCATTGGCTTTACAGCATAGATGTTAAGCCTACCGGCGATTTCTGGACGATCTTGACAGAAGATCTCAAATGCGGTTGGTGCCTTTGGACTCCTGCATATCTCAATCACTCTATGGACCGTTAAGGGTTGAGCTGTCTTTAGGAAATTTGATCCTCTCTCCCAGCATGTTCGAGCCAATGTTAGATCAAAGAAATATTTTCTCACCATTGTTGGAGAAATTTCTGGCACATGTCACAGCACATCAAAGCCCATTTGAGTCTTGCGCCGAAGGAAGTGAGGAGTTCCAGTCTTGGCTTAAACTTTTAAAGTCGCACCCACAATTCGCTATTGATATGGCTATCTCCGCTGGAAAAAACTGGAACGGAACGAAACCTTGGGACGAGGAGCATAGATCTGCATATACAGAGGAGGAACTCGACTTGAATGAGATTTTCGCTCAACAAATATTAGAAAGAAGAGAAGAAGAAGAGATCGAGGCGGCCGCAAAACAGCATTGTATTCGTAGCTTGATTGAACTACAGCATCTGAACCGTAAGGACGAACATTGAATTTGGACGAGGAGTGTTTGGCAAGATTGGGAGTCTCTCGAAGGGAAAATAGAAGCTGAAGCTCTCCAATGCACCAGAGTTGACATATACTCGATTTTGAAGGGGAAATCTGGAGTTCATCCCTGGTGAGCGGACAAAACTGATCTCACATCAGTGTCACCCAAGAACTTTCGTGTGCGAACTGAAGGACTAGACAAGAGCTGACATCTCACTAAAATCCAGGAAGCAAGCGATCATTTATTACCCGAAAGAATCGCAATTAGCATGGAATTCTGGCTCTGTATCGCTGAAGGGTTGTGGAAGAAATCGAAGAGCCACTTCAAGGAGTCAAATAATGAAACATTTCGAGCAGTTTTATGAGATAGCATTCAAATCAGATACAAAAAATACAAACCCAAGTGGATTACCTGACACCTTGCTCCGCATCACCCGTGATACGTACCGCGTTTTATTGCCAATAAATTCCCTCGACCCCAAACCAAACTAACCATCTGTCCACCTGACCCTCGTACAAGCTATCACCACTAAATAGAACCAAGAAGCGTTACATACTATCTTTCTCAACCGATGTGCAAAAGCTTCAATAAATAAACAAAATCAAGCGTCCTCAAGGACTACTGTAGCTGGCCACAGTTGTAGGAGTAGATTTTTCAGCATAAAGCTTTCTTGCTTTTCATTTCTGTTGTACGTCGTCCTTTAATACTTGAACGAGAAATTAAGCGGCCAGCTCTCCAGTATTGCTTGCTCTAGCTTTGGAATGGACAACACCGATTTGGAAGATGAAGAGGTGTGGGATTTGGGGTTGAGTTTGGGGCAGATGTTGGGTTGATCGTGGTGCTGGCCTGAACGGGTGGCGGCAGGTTTGTGCGTATAGGTAGGGTGGTGATGTAAATTGGGGTACTAGATTTGGATTCTGGATGGAAGGGTTCATATGTTAACTAAAGATGAATTACTTGTTCTGCACGAAACTGCCTCCGTGTAATGGACAATTGTATCAATACCTTCTCCATCGCGAATAGCAAAATACATAAATACATCTCTGTTCCCACCCACCTCCTTCTCTTCACGCTTCATTAGACACCAGTCCCCATTAAAAATCCAAACTCAACCCCCCAAAAACCCCCTCGCGGAATTCCGCCCCAACTCTCCCGACACAACATCCAACTTCACAGCCACCAACACACACTCAACGCCCATCTTCCCCGCCCTGCCGTTATTTTGAATGCGTAACCGCCACTGTCCCGTCTTCACGATCCAAGATTGATTCGCTTCTTCCATTATGCCCATCCCGCCACCCACTCCACCAATCCCAGCTTGCTCAGTCATCCTCCTCTTCTTCCTCGGTCCCTCCTCATCCTCCTCATGCGCAATTGAGTTAGGATGTCTCCAGTCCCTCCCATCTAACCTTACGTACGCGTCTTCAGCGAGATAGCACCTCACCAGGTCTCCCTCATTCAACGGCGTATTCCCGGGACTAGCAGGTTGACTACTCGCGCCTCCATTCTTCATTAACAGCCCCAACGGCTGGGTTGTAGGTAAGTTCAATTTCGTCGCCACGACCTCGAACAAACGACTAATCCGCGTCTTTCCATTCCCAAAAAACTCTGCTTTCATCGGGATAGGCGACTGCGTAAAGTGCGACTGGAAATGTAGTTTCGTGCACTCATCGCCAATTTCGAGTACGAGCTCGTAGGGTTTCGGGTCCACGAACGGACGCGCGTAGTTGACGTAGCGAATGGCGGTAGACTGGGGATCGGGAGGTGGAGAGGTGCGGTCGAGACCGATGGAGATGCCGGATTGGCGGACGTCTTCGAGACGGAGCGTGATTTCGTCTTTTCTACGCGCGAGATTAAAGGAGATGGAGTGGCGGATGAGCTTCTGTTCGAGTCCTTTGAGGTGAAAGTATTTGCAGTCGCGCAGGAGCTCGGCGCGGTGGTCTTCGTCGCGAATGCGAAGGGGGTAGCCGCGGAGGAGATGGAGGATCTCAGCGAAGGTGTCGGCTGAGCGGTTTGGGACTGCTGGGGGCATGATTGAGGGGGGTCGGAGGAGGCCATCTCGATTTAAACCGGGAAAGACCTCAGTTGGGGTGCTGAAGAAGACGGCGAAGCCTAAAGAGAAGTAATTTGGGCTATTGCCAGGGTCGGAGAATAATTCTTTGGGGATTTGGAAATCGCGATGCCCTATTGAGATGAAGATGTTCTCTTCGTATAGTTGTGAGATTAACCGTGGTACTCGATCTTATTAGCATAGCTCTGGTGCTTGAGACAATTGACTTACAGCTATAGAACTGCGCATCCGCAAACAGTTTGACATAATGACTTCCATCTCTAGGCTGGACATGATAACCTTGTAAATGAAGTGAAATGTCCCTAAAGGTCACAGGATCTCGATCGATATAAAGCGTTCGTATGGAGCCTATATCCTCGCCGTTCTCTTCGGCCGCCTTCAATTGACATTGAAAGAATTGGGAAAAATATGAGGGTGCTCTAGGTTTCTCAGTTCATGTTTCAAATCTGACTGTGCCATATCGACGGCACATAGGAAGGATACATACCATCAGAACTGATACTGGCCCCACTCAAACGGAACAGCTCGCTTCCTATCTGGATTGGGAATACCCTCTCGTGTGGTAAGATGTTGGGGATATCCGTATTCATCTTCCTCGCAGGCGCCATTGCGACGAGAGGTTCGCGTAATATGCCTGGTATGGGTGGAGGTATTGTCTCTTCAGAGGGCAAAGTCATGCCATTCGTAGGCTCTCTTCCTCCTGGCACTCCATTTCCTGTCGCCATAGTAGCTTTCCCCCACTACTGTCCGCTTCAATCTATCGCAATTTCCCTCGCAACTCCAGCTGCCCTTGACGAGCTCGTCGCAATGCCTGAAATCCTTGAATTCTTCCTTGTCGTTGGAAATTCCTTAGTAACCGTCACACGTGACTGCTCTAACCTTGTTGATATGCACGTCTCTCACTCAGCAACTTCCGCATCGCCCACAGGTCTCATCGTCTTCAATGTTGACGAGGAGTGATTGAATTTGCCGCTTGAAATGAACAAACCTAACACGAATATGAAGAATGTCTGATGGAATAAAAAGTTCATGTGTCGAGGATGAGACGGTTATCGAAGAAGATGCCTCACAAGAAAATTGCCGCCCTAGGCTCGTCTAAGCACTAACCGCATGAGGAAGTTTACTCGAGTTCTTCTCGAACACTGCGCGTCAGTCGCCCACCCTAATCAGGTTACATGCGGCGATGCGCATGATGGCTATGAATACATGACATGGTAAGCTCTTTGAATGGTCAAATAAAGTACATAATTATAGATAGCAGCATATTATCATTAAATTACCGTATCTCGCCGTACTATCTATCATTACCCATGTCCACTTATAGGAGGTACAGCATTGCAGCCCCCATGAGCACCGCGCTTAAAGATGCCGAGGATTTTGTTCCTGCATTGGTACTTGCAGTTGGTGGAGCACTCCCTGTAGATGACGGCGTACTTGAGGGTGTGCTTGAAGGTGTTTGGCTTGGAGTGGCATACTCCGGAATCGCCAAAAAGCCTGCTGGATCCGTACTTGAAACGTTGGCGTATATACATCTGGCGTCGTACAGTGACGGATTAACAGCATTGGTACCAGTCATGTTTTGGTAGGCCAGTCTGACTAAGCTGTCAGAGGTACTGCTGTACGATGGCCATCCGTATTTGGTCAGTCCTTCAACGGGGTCTTTGGCAAACGCAGCCCAGGCGCCACGCATGTAGTTTCCAACAGCAACGTATTCCTCGGATGCTGGTGGGTTGGTTGGTGCGGTATTGAATAGGACTGGAATCTCGGCGCCGTGGTAAGCTCCTGATTGAGGAGAGAGCGCAGTGTTGTCCCAGACTCCCAAATACCGATACCTCCACGTAGGGATCTTGGCTGCTGCAGAGACGTTGGCTCTGATACCCGCGGGACAAGTGAACTCTTGAAGATCAAACGCGTTCCAGAAACGATCAGGAAGTGTGAGGTTGTTAAGACCGAACTGGACTCTGAATAGGCCAGCCTCGTAATCATTATTTCCGAGCAGCACAGGAACGTTGGCAGGTGTTCTTCCAGTGTAATTCGAGAACACAATAGTATTATCCACGGTAGGGCCAAAGTAACCAAGAATTCCGGCGGTACCAGTCGCTGTTGGAATAGCAGCAAGCAGAGCAGTACTGTTCTTGGAACGCATGCAAGAAAGTATTGCGGTAGAATCGGTCGAGGAATTACCACAACCTAAATTGTTTGCTACCGTATACCAACCTGAAGCAGCAGCTGCCTTAGTGTTCGGTAAGCCCCAGCTGAAAACGGTTCCCGACTCAGGGATGAAGCCAGCCGCGATAGGGTCGGAACTGTATGCGTAGGAATACAGATCAACCGAGACACCTCCTGCGGATTGGCCGAAGATGGTGATTCTAGACTTGTCGCCTCCGAAGTTCTCGATGTTATCTCTAACCCATTCAATGGCCATTCTCTGGTCCAACAAAGCGACATTGGCCGTGCCATTAGGGTTTCCAGGGAATCCAAGAATGCTCAATCGGTAGCTAGCTATGTCAGTAATTGGGATAAAAATTGCGTTTCCTAGGGCGCTTACTTGAAAGATACAACAATAACGTCTTCCTGCTCCGCAAGATTTGCGCCATTGTATCCAGAATTGGCGGAGCTTCCACTTGTAAACGCACCACCGTATATCCACACCAAGACCGCCTTCTTCTGTTCCCCAGTTTGCGGCTTCGTCCACACATTCACATACAAGCAATCCTCGCTGAAGGTCGAGTTGGGCGAGCTGAAAATGGTAAAGTATTCTATTCCAGTCGCCGTGACGTTCGCAGACGCTAAAGACGCTGGAGTAAGCTGGCGAGTTGAGCTCGCAACCGGACAAGACGGTCCCTAAGATGGCGATTAGCTTAAGTACGAAGTTCGTTCGAGTGCAACTTACATAGCTCAAACCGCTCAATTCAGTATTTCCGGTGTATTTGACTGGCGCCTCGAATCTCAAATCTGCAACCGGCGGCTGAGCGAATGGAATCCCTAGGTATTCAGACACTTCTGTCTGATTCAATGCGGCATGGCCAGCAACAGATCCACTCGTTGTCTTGACCGTTTGTCCCACTGTCCAATTCGACGCTTGACGTGATTCGACTACTACCGCTGCATACGCGGTTGACGCAGCAGCGACGCTGAACAGTATTGAGGATTTCATGGTCAATCGCGGCCGAGTTGAGGGATTGAGAACGAAGGAGAGGGGAAACAAAAAGAGGAACGAAGGACCCCATTCACCAACAGGAGGATCCTTTGTTGCAAAGACCCAACCGCTTAGCAGCTTGTCCCACCTACCTAGTTTGAGAGCTATCAGCTACTATCAGCTTCCTACCGGTATATCGTGAACTATCAAGTGGGAAAACCAGGTACGAATCCGAGATCCCAGTTGATGGCCGTGAATTGGGGTGTGGGGACAGGACGGACTGCCCCTCCTGGTGATAAACCCGCGGTCTGGCGCCGTTAGTTGCGTCTCGTGCTTGGGCCGGCTCCCGCGAATCTGCAGAGCGCTTGCGAGAGGAACAATGCCAACACATTTGTGCGCGCGAGAGAAGGCACGTCGACGGCCAGCACAGAGTGATATTGAGTAATATTGAATGAGGGCGACCCAACACGGACTGACTCTGACGTGGAAGCAGGGCGAGTGCAGGCAGCGCGTAACGGTGGCCATTGATATCTGCAGCAGAAATCCCAATTGAACTCGAGGCGGGGAACCATGGCCATGTGCGGCATGAGCAGGGGAAAATCGCGAATCGGCCCCGGACGGGTTAGACAAGGCCCGCCGACATCCCGGAAGACTCTTGGGATCTTTCTGTTCTTGTTCGAGAAGGTGCTTTGAAACCACCTTTCGCCAGCCAGATGCTTGACATTTGCACTTTTGAAATCTTCGATGGACGTATGATCGGTCGGTAAAGTTGGTGCAGGTTTCCAGGCGCTGTTGCCGCGTTGACCATTCTTGGCTCAGCCCTGGATTTGTCGGGGTGCAACGAGTGAAGATTCGTTTCCATTCTGCTGGGCCGAGGCGCGGCGGACGGATTTAAAGATCTTCCGGTTGTCAACGTCAACAACAACGCGAGACGTGCTTGACAAGAAATTCTTCATAATCCCTATGTCTGAACCGGAATGTAATTATCTCCTCTATGACCTCTCGTGGTGAGGCACTCTCGGAGTCGGAATCTACTGCCTCTGATGTACAGCTCACTGGGCCTTGCGCGCACACGTCACTTGGTATCTTTAACAAGGCCCAAAAGGACTAAGGTTATCCCCATTGTAAACAACTCCAGTCTCCTCTTTCGAGCTGATCTCAGCACCCTGTTGTAGGAGAGTGTCACCGACACAAACGTCGGATCACTCGGCTATACATTTGAGGTTCAAGTAAAATTATATGGCTGAAGTATTGTGGAGATGCCGAGACCTTTTACCGATGATGAATTTGGCGTCTTGCGGGAATAACGTGGTTTCGATCCAGGTACTCCAAACCAACGAATTAACATTAATGTTCTCTTATTGATGCCACGCTAAATCACCATTTTAATCAAGGAATTCGCTCCTCCTGTTCTGTCGGAGGTATCAATCATCCAGCTCTCTTCCCTCCTTTTCACCATCTTCCCTCCTTTCATTAACCCTCCTCACACCCTAACACCACTTACACTCCGGCCCTCGAAACCCATCAAACCACCACTCCACCCCATCGAAAACCCTTCTGGCTCCAAACCCCATCTCAATCAACCACTTCAACTCTTCAATCAGAAACGGATTTTCGAAATCAACTATTTTGCCCTCTGCCCCCATCTTGCTGTCCTCCTCCTCCTCGCTCTGTGCCATCGTACTTGGAGTCGGTAGGCCATTTGCGGGAATTCCACCCTTCTTCGCATTCGAATCTGAGTCGGAGCTTTCAAGACTCTCGTACGCGGAGTCAGTGCTGTAAAATCCATAGCTCTCGTCACTCTCCGTTCCGTGGCAGCTGTCACTTTGTTGCTTATAACTCGGATCACTAGCGTCACTCCCGAACGTGGCGTGGATGAAGAAGGTGCTCCTTTTCCTCGCTTTATCGCACTCGATAATCTCCTCATCAGCTTCCCCCACCTCCTCCACGATTTCGCCTTCTTCAATTCCATCCGAATTCTCACTTCCCGCATCATACGCCACGTCCTCCTCCTTATCTTCTATTGTCTCTTCCAGCACGCTCTTTTCCCTCCTTTCCTCTTTCCTTTTCTTCTCCCCAATATATCTTGCAAACAAGTATAACGGTCCATCCGCAGCTATGAAATGCTGTTTCCTTGTTATGAGTGTGGGAATGGTATACGGTAGCGAGTCTTCGAGGATTCTGTGGCTAGCGAGGATGTAACTGAAGGGATACCTTGGCATTACAGCTGGCGGCCACGGGTTTGAAGGTCGAGCGCGCGGGTGTTATTATCGATGTTGCGGCTATTTATTGTGAAGAGGGCGGGTTGATTTGAAGATTGGTTCGTTGAAGTACTGATCGAGCAGTTCTCGAAAATTGGGCGGAGGGATAGGTCTGATGATTGACTTATTGATATCGTGGATATAATTATGTTTTGGGGTGTTGCAATGGTGCAATCGCCAACGAGCAGAGCAGTGAATTCAGACTTGACACGGCGCAAAGGTGAGCTCCTTCCACAACAACCTTATAGGAACATCTCGGCTAATTTTCAGACAGCAATTGTCAACACCTCGAGAGCAATCACCAAAAGCACCAATAATCAAGATCAGGCAGCTGATTTTACACTAATGAGAAAAATCATTCCAATCCATCTATGCAAATCAAAATCATTCGACAAATCACATTCAAACTAGCCACATCTGGAGAGAGCTTGAAGTGAAGCCAGACGCTACTGAAAGGTCTTTGCGTTATCTTTCGTTGGAAAAATTCCCATGAGGAAGCATATTTACCTGCACAGTCTACTTTCATGGACGGATGCCATTCAGGAAGGAATGTTTGCTGCTGATATCTAGGTATCATAAACACTTCTAGTCGGATTTCATTCTCGAAAGAATGTTTGCTGTTCTAGTCTAGGTATCAAAGGCTCATTTGTGAACGACCTTTTGGAGGCTTTTTTTGTCAAAAAGGTAACGCGAAGAGGTTCATCAAGAAGCCGGCATTCTGGTCTCTTTGACATGACTAAGAATAATGTTTGTACCATGATTTCCTGCTCATCTTCTTCAAAACTGTATTGAACAGTAGATTGTGTGCGGTAAGTATGAGAATCTTTCTCTGAATTTCTGATCACCTCAAAGAGTATCTGTTTGCGAGAGATAGACATTACCAGACGTCGCGATGAAAGACCTGGATTATACTTATAATTCCGCTGGTGTTGGCCACAATATGTATTACTTCAGATCATTCAGCAAGATATCAATCTTCTCAATACTCCCAAATCTTCCAACACTTCTTCAACTCAAATTCCGGCACAGAAAATCAAATGGCCCAACAAATCTCGCTTCATAACCCTAACTCGGTACTAAGACTACAACGCGTAACACACTCCACGGATAAACTTACCAACGAGCAGTTCAAGGCCGCTGCCAATCTCACAATGGCATTTCATCTCCAGGGCCAAACGGCTATCCATATCCCACTCGATCTCCAGGGCCAGAACAATTTTCTTGGTCCAATTCGTCTACCATGGGTCATCCAGGATACAGCCACCCGAATGACTACGACCGACGACAATGTTCACAAAGTACGATTGTTTGCGCAAAGCATGGTCGGAGGCCCCGTGACTTTTGATCCATGGGCACAGATTACTTACAATGGTACAACTGGAAAACTGTGGGAGTTCCTGTCGGCTTTAGCTATGCTTGGGTGGGACCATTTTTGGGTGATCGACAGAGTTGTGTTTTGGTTTGAGGAGGTTCACACTTAAGCACGCGGGGTGATGTGATGTTGGATTTGTGCGTAAAAGAATCATCGCTGCCCAGGATATTAAGGGAGTCAATTATATAACTCTCATAGTAGAGCTGCATGCGAGAGTCATCGAAGTGCAAACATCGTTAGAAAATTACGATTATCCGTCGATATTTGATTGCCAAACTTTCCCTTGATTACTGCATTGTGACTACCTCAATGAAAGTTTACCATTAAAGGAGCCAAAGTTTTCCTTTTATATATACTCACATACTCTGCATAACTCACTTACCACATGTAGTCCATCTGAAAATGAAGAAACTCAAATCCTTTCTCACCCCAACAGATACCCCATCATACACCCAAGAGATCCAACCATGCTGGCACAACCTCCCTCTGCTCTCACCCCATGACTTTCCAACCCCACCTCCAATCCCGACCATACCTCTTCCCTCAACCATTACCAAAACTCTCAATACCCCAAACAACAACGGCCTAGCCAACGGCGAATTCATCCGCGAAGCCCTCGCCACACTATCTCAATTCTTGGAACGCTATCCACACAACATCATCAACCCACCAGTGCCTGGATATCACGATACCTAAATCATAGAAAGCGATCCAGGGGTTACGAAAGTGACTTTATTCGCAAAATATTGAGAGGTAAGAAGGAGAGGAAGGGCCAATGTGTTTTTGCGTATGAAAGTTCAGAAGGGAGGAGTTGGACTGGTAGGCGATGTTTGGAATTGTTGGCTAGGATGGGGCCGGGTGGGGGGTGGGTGTGTGAGGATGTTTGTTATTGGTTTCAGGTTGTTTAGGGGTTTGGTGGAATTGGGTGGGATCGGGTGATCTGGGTTGCTCAGGATGATTCAGGAATTTATTGGATAAATCTAGACGTGAAATCTTTGTAATAAACCGGTCTTTCTTGCTGCTCAGCGAACGGAATGGAGGTATAAATTGTCGGTTTAGAATACCTTACTCATGGTGAAACGTGTTGAAAGAACACGAAGAACGAGAAGAATGAAGAAACACATTTTAAGACTCTGCTAATATGGATGGTTTGGATCAAAGCGTCGCTGATTCCAAGTGGCGAGTTATTGAGCTTTTCATGAAAGTCTAAGCCAACTCTCAAAGTGGAGGATGAGTGGCAATCGACCATGTTATTTATTCAACGAGATTGACACATTCCCGACAGTTCGTCTATCATTTTCAGGAAATAAGAAAGTGTTGGCAACTAGTTTGAAAGACATCTATCATCACATTTGAATCTGTTTACAAATTGATTTTGCCATATGAAAACGAACCTTTTCGTCTCAGATATCAGTGGTCTGCAATCAATCTTTTGTAAGAAAGTTCAAATTTAAGCCAAATCACACGATTACCAAAGGAGCTTCCGTCGAACACGACGAAATACAATTCCACGGCTGATTTTGATACGAGGCATCGCTTATTGTCCGCGCAAATAGAAACCAGCAACGCCAATGCCGCAGTTTTTCAAACAAACACAACTGTTATCTAAAGCATATTTTCCCAAAAGAAAATTTCTTTCGATCCGTGTAAGGAGGCTTTTCCGTAAACTTGGAGTGGCAAGTGTCTAAGAATCTCGCTTGACTGGATCCGTGAGAATTGACGAGCAATACCTCAAATTCTTTTCATAGATTGATTTAACATTACCAGCCATTTTCGATCAATCTATTCTGCAAAGTCGAATGTCTCATTTCCGGTGACTGATTGTAATTCCCCATTCTTATAGTTTTGCACATCACTTTTTCTCTCCAGCGGCTACCAAATTCATTCAAGAGACGCAAAGTATCCGTTTTCTGCAGCAGAGATGAAGCCTCTGAATTTAATCAAAAGTGTAGGAACATTTGATTCTTCTCAAATGAGATAAGATGTATCATCCTGAACTTTTCCTATGTTTTCTTTTCGCCAGATTTTCTGGTGAATAAATCAACAAACCCCGTTTTCTGTACAAAATCGCGCCTTCCTCATTTACGCTTTCAGATAAAATCGATTCTGCGCGATCAATCTTTGCGATTCTGATTTGCTCTGTGCATCCCAAACAATCAGTTGGCGATACCAACTGTCTTGTCGAAATGCCTTCCAACTCAAAAGTAAATTCAATTCGCCTCAAACATTCAAATAACGAACCCCGCTTACAGATGCCAGAAAAACCGAGCCAACAAGGCTTCAAAAGAATCAACTCCGGTATTTTCAAAGCAATCCAACCATTCAAATAGATACAGAAACTCACATCAGCAGAAACCCCGAATCAAAAAGCCGCAACCTCCTCCGGTAAGTCTCTCAATCTAATTCAAACATTATCTCAACTGAGCAATCCTCAATCGAATTGAAGAATTGACATTGAAATAGAAGACATACCCCTCCGAGAGCGAATTCTGGCAAGTAAGTGACACATTCCCCCTTCTCGATTGTCTCAATCGAAAACAATTGTTTTGATTGATTACTAATGCGTGTTTTAGTCACAATTAGCAACGGAAACCAAGGAGCAGGAAGCAGCAAGAATGGCTGCAGACCTCGAGGTCTTTGTAAGTTCATTTCCTTCTGTTTTTGATTCTTGTTTGATTTTCAACTTCCTATACTGACGTCAATATTAGCGACGCGTCGAGTTTAACGCCGCTCTTGCGGAATTGGAGGAGGAGGAGAAGAACGGAAAGTTTGTAAGTATCTTACTCGATTCTGTTTCTTCGATTTCAGTGAGCAATCATACTGATTTGAGAGTAAGCGCTACATCGTTGCCGCTGAAGCTGCTATTGCAGCTGCGAAGAAGAGGAGGAAGAAGAACAAGATGTGAGTATTTCCTTTTGATTCCTTTCTTCAACTTGGGTGGGCAATTATGCTAACACATATCCCAGCGGCGCTGGGATACCGCTGCTAATTTGCAGCTGGAGAGGGAGATGGAGGAAAGAGAAATTGTAAGTTTTGAAAGATCTTTTCTTTTTGTTTAATTTTGTTTGTGTTTGGTTTATTGAATCTCTGTGAGGAATTGTACTGAAGCGTGATATAGCGACGAACCGGTAATTGAGCATACCGCTCTGAAGAGAAATTTTGGAGTCTATTGAAGTGTTTATGCTTTTTTTTGGTTACATAGCTTTTGGACGCATCAATCATTAATAAACTTTTGGTTTCGGAATCATTAATCATCAACAAATTTCATCAAACTATACATGCTACGAAGTGAAAAATCTGAAACGATGGTGATGAGTTTTGAGTCTCCAAAGTACTGGAAAACAGGATGCCTAAATGAGTTTGAAGTTTTTATTTAGTAGTAAACAGTTTCTATGAGCAACAAAAGATCAGAAACTATAGAGTTAGACAATGCTTTTTGGATCTATTGACAATTTTTAGTATTTGGTAGCTAGTTGCACGTTTAAGCGGCTCATATTGTAGGAATGAACTAGGCTGTCAATAATGGTTTTGCGTTTGTAATACAAGGAAAGGAGTATGGATGTTGAAGAGAACAAGAATGCTTTTCCCGAGGTCAGAAAGAGGCCCGCTGGTGTGTGAAAAAGACACTTGGAAGAGTTCAAAGTGGAAGGACAAGGGCGATGTATGGTGACACTTCTGTTTATATTTCTCGTTGAACCCCCGTTTCCTAAGGCCAAAGACTTAACGCTGTCGAAAAACTCCTGAATGTCATGTTAATATCAAAGATATTCATGTTTTCACAAGACCCAGAAGGATTTGGAATTACTCGGCCAATGAAAACGAAGGCGTGTGTCTCTCATTGATCAATGCAAAAGCGGTATAGTGTACAATCATATTTCTCTATCAAGTGCCGTAAGAAGTTTTCCAATCATTGTTCCCAAAACATGAATCCGCTTTCCAACCAAAGACACTTCCCAAACAAGATTCGCTGTTCAACCACAACATTGCTTCCTCCCATCGACTTGTTGCTGGTTGTAGGACATACACCACAAACCCCAAAGCTTTTTCCAACCCCCTTCTCGATTGCCCATCTTCCACTGTTACTTCTCTACTATCTCTCCTTCTTTATCTCCCCTCCACTCCCATATTCCACTACCACAGCCTCCGAAAAAGCCAAAGATTGTGAAAAAATGGGTGCTTATGGCCGAGCACCCAGCGGGCCTCGGGCGGATGAGAGCGAACTCTCACCCGCCCCTCGTGGTGACTGGTCTGGATCCTATCAAAGACAGCAATTGTGTTAGCAATAAGACTTGGAAAATTGTTTGTGTGAATGTGTGAAGAAGCCTTCCTGTAATCAAAAGGCTCGAAGACCCGCGTGGAAGTACCTGGGCGACCCATGCGTTTAAATCTATCAGGCCTGACTAAGGTAAAAGCAGTTGGGGGTACAAGATCGATGAAACTTTCATCTTTGATCAAGTCCTGCTAGCTTACAACATTCGAGAGAAGAATCTCAAGACGGTTGATAAGAACGACTGCGCAGTTTGAAGCACCTGATGAGAACCATCATTTGCTCTGTAGACAACAATCGAATAGAAGGAATCTGAGTTACAACTTCTGCCAACACTTATGAAAGTGATGTCGAATCGCCAGGAGTGATTGCTCTGCTCAAGGTTGTTTGGTCTGGCTGCCCTCTTCAAGTAAACTTACAGGTGTGCTCGCTAGCCGCGCAGGAGAAGAAGATTAGGCTTTCTTCTCTTGGTTGGATAGGTATCGAGTGCAAGAGAGTAAGGAGGGCAAGGAGTGGAGGATGAAGACTGAAAGAGAACATAAAACTTACGTTTGTGACCGAAGAAGTTGCGATCTGTTGATTGAATCGTTGACATTGTTGACATTGGTGGAATGTTGTTAAGGTGAGGAGCTGAGGAAGATTGAGGAAGATGTTTGAATTCGAAGAATACGTTGAAATGAGCCAGAGGTTTTGACAGTTAAGGAGGATGGGATTCGAAGACAACGTTGATGTTGAAGAAGAGGGGAAAGAGGGGGATGTTCGGAAACGAAAAGAAAGACCAGTGTGGCAAAAAGAGCGAAGTGGCCGGGAGTATGACGTTATGTGGTGGATGCTGCAGTTGGAGTAAACAAAAGGGAAGGCACTCAATCTTGACCCCGAAAGTGTATTGTTTACACTCGAGACTTAGCCAAATAGCGGAGCTATGCGATCTAGACCGTTCCAAAATCGAGAATTGTTAGCTTACTATGAAGGGACGAATTGATGGATGGAAATCTGATGAAAACTAGGCTAGTGGATGTTTTTTATCATGACCCCCTCAGACTAGAACTGACGCTAGCTAAACAGGACCAATCAACTTAAGTGTTGCTGTGACTACAACAACCTAGCTGCAAAGCTAGACCTCAATCGCCGATGGGTTTATTCCATTATGCTTAATGTATGCATTGTTTATGATCAACATAAGAAGATAAATTCACATTAAATGTTATGTCGCGCCAAGACAAAAGCGTTGAAGACGCAGCTGAAGAGGTAGAAGGAACGATCGAGATAATCATGAAGTGGAAAGAAGTTGCAGGTACTTTTGGTTTGTGCATTTATACTCTTCGGTCTTGTCGATTTGAGATGATCTAGGTTCACCGAGACCATGGGCTTATAAATTAATAATATTTCTGAGGTATAATGCCAAGATTCTAGTAATAATCCTGGGGGGGGGGGGGGGAACTCCATATTTAGCAACTGTGGTGAATGTCAAGGCAAAATCTTTTGCAGCACTGCCTCTTCCGAGAAAAGCTTCATGTTCTGCTGTATCCTTAACATTGTGTAAGTTGGGCCCCCAGATTTCACTGGATAACGCAATTCCGCTCAATCATCTTTTCAAATCCATTCTTCCTCATTTACGCTGTTGCTCTCGATAATGGCGCGCCCCCCAAGAACCCGCCTCCCAATATCAAAAATTGTAGGTTTGTTTACCTCCTCGACAACTCTGTTGCCGGTGTTAATGTATCTCTGTGCATCTCTAACAGATACTCCAGAAAAAAGGACCCACCAAGGGCCAAATCCACAATCGACTTCCAAAGGTACGCCCCCAAAATATTTGAACAATTTCCATCTCAACTGTAAGTAATGATTGTTTAGACAGAATGGCTTGTAGTGAAGAAGCACAGACTGCGATCCCAAGCGACCGATGTTGGTAACATGATTTCCATTTGTTTTTGCTCAAGTTACACAGCGTCTGATGTTTGATATAGGAAACCAGGGTCAATGATATGGCTCAAGAGAAGAGATTAGCGGAGATGGTGGAGGAGGATAAGGCTGAGGTAAGGCACATGTTTCCTTTTGGTTCACGGTCTTTTATCAAGATTCATAATGAATTTGTGCATTATTTCTGGGGACATCGGGAGACAAGCTGACGCTGCATGTAGATTGAGTCCTGGAAAGCCGCTGCCACCAAGAGACTAAAAATGGTTACTTAGCGGACCATACCTGCAGACGAACATAAGAAGCGGAACAGAATCTACAGAATCGAAAAGGCGGCGAAAGCTTTGGAACAGGTGATTGAGTTTGAGAAGAGGCAAAAGAGAAGAACGGAAACATTGAAAAGAGCGATGATGACGATGTGTCTCTCGAGAAGACTCACAAGAAAAGAAAAACACACTAGCCACAAATACAGGAACGACACAGAACTGCGAAGGACCAGCCTCGGGATAGACAAATAAGTGGCAGTCAACGCATGATATTCTTTGGATTGAGTTGATGGAAATGTCGTTTCGATATCATACGCTTTTGTTTACAGTCTACTTTGTGCCATATTGGATTTATCGATAAATATTTTCTCAAACATCTGAGAGTTTGGACATACATATTACAGCGATGATGAATATTCAATTGTTGCACGTACAACGACTACCAGCTGATCCCTCTACCTTGGCGGTAGACAAACTATACGACGGTTGAAACGGGACAATTCTTCAATTAATATGGCAAAGTATCACTTATTCTTTTTATTGTAAGCACACAGTTTCTCTTTAACCTCAACGAAGAAATATCGTGTTTCGGCTGCTATTTATTCGCGGGCATGTCCAATCGTAAGCGAGATCGTCAATGTCAAATAGCTCATCCCACTCTTGTAGAACCAACTTGTCATACGCGCGGTTAACAGGTGAAAAGGGTAAAATGTAACGTTGTAATCTATTCAAAACAAGCTTTCTTGTCAGACCCGAAGTTTGGTGGTGAAATGCAACAAGCTAGCCATTTCGATGCTGTAAAACGGCCTTGCATCCGCTTAGGCCTGCGTTCAGGGCCACCGCGTATAAATGATGGAAATAAGCAGTATCTCATATCTTCACGATTACTGTTGATCCACATGATAAGGTTGCCCGTTCGTGTTATCATTTTGCCTCACGCCATTCAATAGATAACGTTCAGCACATATGTAAAGCATCAGCTTCTCGACTTTGGAGTTTGGACTCTGTAATGGTTCTGACCCAAACTTTTCCAAATTCAACAATTATGGATATCACCAGCGAGGCCGCGGAAGCTGACAGGCAATCGGAAGTTCAAAACAGCGCAGATGTTAAAAAAGATGGAGGAGCGATCGTTTACGACACGGTGACGGTTGATTTGAAGAAAGGCAACCTTCTTGAAATCGATGCAACCAAAGACATCACCGCCGCCGAACACGAGCTAGGCTTTTGGGATGCCGTCAAGCAATATCCACAGGCTGTCTTCTGGGCTCTGTTCTTCTGCATTGCTGTCATTATGGCAGGATTCGATGCGCAGATCATAACGTCTTTCTATGCTCTGCCGTCTTTCCAATCTCATTACGGAAGCTTGTATGAGGGCGAGTATATCATTACTGCACCGTGGCAAACAGGTACGCTATGACCAGAGTCACCTCTCACGACCATGACTGCCCAATATCTCCGGATCAGATTGTGGAATTGCATGGAAGTTATAACAACTAACCTGTCGCAGCTCTTGGAATGGGAAATCCCATTGGTCAAATTGTCGGTGCTCTTGCAGCGGGTTGGCCACTTGAGCTATTCGGAAGAAAGAAGACCCTAGCAGCATGCTGTGTCTGGTCTATTTGCTTTGTGTTTGTCCAATTCTTCTCAACATCCTTAGGAATGCTCTGCGCTGGTGAAATTCTGGGAGGTTTAGCTTATGGTTTCTACGTCGTAATTGGACCAGTCTACGCATCTGAAGTTTGTCCTTTAGCACTTCGAGGTGTTTTGACGGCATCCACGAATTTGGCTTTCGTCATTGGACAATTCGTTGCTCAAGGTGTTGCGGCAGGAATGTCAAAAAGAACCGATACACTCGCCTACAAACTCCCATTCGCTTTGCAATGGGTTTGGCCTGCGATTCTTCTTGCCGGTCTCCTCTTTGCGCCAGAATCACCATATTGGCTGGTTCGCCAAGGTCGAAAATCAGATGCGAAAGCTTCTCTTACACAGCTCACATCTTCGAAACATCGTCCAGATCTCGATGCAGTGCTTCTCATGATCGAGCAAACTGACCTTCTCGAACAAGAACTAGAAGCAACTACAACATATATGGATTGTTTCAAAGGCGCAAATCTCAAGCGAACAGAAATCTCGGTAATGGTCTACCTAATCCAAGTCATCGGAGGAAATCCTATGATCGGATATGCAAACTTCTTTTTCATCCAAGCTGGTCTCAACACCAATGATGCTTTCAACATGGGGGTCGGAAACACCGCGCTTGGATTCGTAGGAACTTGTCTTTCCTGGCCACTGATGTCCTACATCGGTCGCCGCTCGATTTACCTTACTGGAATGGTTTTCATGACAAGCTTTCTTTTCATAATTGCTTTCCTCGATTTTGGTCGGAGCCATTCGGGTGTCGTCTGGGCTCAAGCATCACTTATGGACATCTGGACTTTTACGTACCAGTCCACCGTTGGCCCCATATGCTTCGTCATCATTTCTGAGATCTCTGCCACCCGTCTTCGTGGTAAAACCATCGCAATCGCCACTGCCGTTCAGGCTTTCGCATCCATCATCTTTACGATCGCGATGCCATACATGCTCGGAAGTGACCAAGCCAATTGGAGAGGAAAAGCTGGGTTTCTTTTCGGCGGAATTAGCTTTGTTTGTTTTATCTGGTGCTGGCTGCGGATTCCAGAGTCGAAGGGGAGGACGTTCGAGGAGCTGGATATTCTGTTTGAGCGGAAAATCCCTTCGAGAGAGTTCAAAAAGCACAACCTACTTGAGACTAGCGTGGATGTGTAAATTGGCAGCGGAGTGAGTGTGCCTAAAAGGGGATTTGGTTAATGAGATTGTAATAACATGTCACTATCAAAGACAGCGAGAATAATGCTTGAGTTGAGGTCTTTCGTTACAGCCCATGTTTGTTTGAGAATTGTTGATGAACGTTGATGAACGAAACATATGTGACCCGGTAAGTGGCAATTAAGGTAAGCCACTTAGATTTGAAGCGGATACGCTCTACACTAGTTATTTTCGGCTAACACCTTGTCAATCACGAAAGGGGGTGGCTCACGTGACCAAGTTCCCACTTCATACAATCGAACATTGAGCTACTTCATAATGCTCCACATAGCCAGACCTACAACCTGCAATTCTACTACTAAGGCAAACTTTACTTTTTAAACAAAATTACCAATACTACCGATCTCTTCTTAAGCTCCCCACAGATATTCCTGCCTCAGGCACCAATACAAAATTCTTTCCGCAACTTCATTTTTATGCTACATGCATCCTAGCACTTCACGAACTAATAACCAGATACCAAGATGTCAGACGCCGCTTCTTCATCCTCTTTATATCCACCTGACGCAACCGCAAACGGCGAATCCTCAGCTTCACAACCCATTTCAAACTCTGGTGAAATCCCATCTCATCCACAATATATGACCCCGTATCTGACATTCCAAACAGAACCTCAAAAATGCGCGCACTGCAAGAAGACGCCTCCAAATAGCACATCAACAGAAGAATCACCCTTAAAACCATGTCCAAAATGCCACACAACACTCTACTGCTCACGACAATGTCAAAAAGACGGTTACAAGACCCATAAAAAGGTATGTGCGTCTCTAGCACAAGAGTATTCCCGGACGGCGGATTTGAAGATGGAGAGTGCGGGGAGCAGAGCTGTGAAAGAAGGTCATAGGGGCGGGTTGCAGAAATGGCAGTTTGATACGTGAGGACGAGGAGGTCACGTGAGTGGGTGGAGAGAGGATGGTTGGGAGATTGGTATCTCTACTGGGGAGTTGTAAGGAATCTGCTCATGGAAGGTCTGGAGACTGGTAGGATGGGATGGTTAGGATGGTCGAGGTCGGAGTTTGGGATCTCCTTGCAAATTTGATGAATTGCAAAACTCTTCACTATTGACCCGCAAGTCAGACACAGTTGCGTTGGAGAGTTCAAACGATATTCATTTATACAAAGCAACCTTCAATTCTCGAAAGTGGCTCGCTATCAAAATAATCGACAAACCTTCAAGGTGTCATTGCTTTATGCCAACCCAACACCCCATAACACATACCCAATGATGTACTCCTACTCAAACTCCGTTAACACTCTAGTGCGATCTGACAACCCGCCAGCTATCCATAGAAAATCCAAAACAAGCCATTCGTAAAACAGCTTCAGTCAAAAATATTGTCGATAACTTTATCCATTATCATCTCTTCGAGACAGACATGCTCTGCTTTGCCATATATCGATCTATCCGGGATACCAATTACGTATACGTAGGGAACTTTCCATCTCTTCAATGCTGGCTGTCAAAAGTTTATGGTCAGCAATTATAATTTCCTTTGCTTTAAGCTAAGCAGGAACATCTCGCTGATCTTACCTCCCATTTAACAATAGGTGGAACACCTCCATATCTAAGTAAGGGAGTACGTCTCGTCGAAAGCCTGAACAAACTCGTATAATGATCAATATCATTCCAATTCTCGGCATAAAACTGATAGACAGTCCTAGCGTCTGTTTGGGCGTATCTGTGATCGGCCTTGCACTATGAGCATATTAGTAGCCGCAATTTGGGGCTTAACTCGATTATTGACTTCTCCGTGATGTACGCAGTTGAAAGAAGAAAGAAGAAGCCGTATTCCCAAAACTCACAGGAAGCAGGGGAAACCAAGATTCTTGGGCCCACCCTTTGTCAGAATGTTAGCCCAGCCATAAACACAAGCGTATGGATTTAGCTTACAGGGTATTGGATCCGTATACCCCGTGTACACGACAATATGTATTTGTAGATTAGGGTAAATGTTTTTCAGCAAGCCGCAAAGCCCGTTTCCATACCGAGTATGTTGCTTGCCAGGATCATGCCACATATTTCTCCCCCAAGTCAACGCAGCATCTACCGCAAGATTCTTCAACCGAGCCAAGTCCTTTGCGTCACATTTTGCGCGGAAGAATTTATAACTTTCGTTGTTTTGCAGACCTACTCCCAGAAAAAGCGTATCCAGATCGAAATTGAAGCGAATAAGTGGTGGGTCGCTGTCAACTGAGAAGGAGAGTGGATAGTCTATAAGTGCTTGAGACCGTGATTCTTGGCATACTGCAAGATTAATTATTTTGTTCTTATGTAGGCGTCTTGCGATGAATCTGCAAATGAACCAAGTTAGCGTGTTCCCATGAGTCTGCAGCGTTTGAAACAAATTGATAATGGTAGAGACTTCCATCATTGCAAGAGGAGATTCTGCACTTACTCTCCGTCCTGCTCTAGAACTTCGACCAGACGGCGACTGTAGCTCAGAGACCAGATCTTCTGGCGGATATGTTCTGGTAGCTTTGTAAACCGGCCGAACAAGACAATATCCTCTGGCACCGTGGAAAAACGCGCTCGCTCATCACGACCCGATTCATACCATGTTCTCCGAGAATTATCCTCAGACGTGACTTCCATAGTCTCGTCGTCACCGGCCGTATCCGTAGATCCTGTTGATGGCCGACTCCATGGTATTTCTGTCAGTTTATTGATAGCGTTCATTACGTCTTGTGGTAGGACATCCTCATTGAATTTCGGTTCTATATGTGATGAGGGCATAGACTCATCCTAGGGACATCTCTATCGCTTTGGCGATTTGTGCCTCTTCGTCGATTACTGCTGATAGAGTCAACAGCGCATCGTGTGCTTGTTTCATTTTCGCAAGCTGTTCGTCGTCGTCCTCGCTCTCGTATTCGCTTTCGAATTCAGCTGTCGATATTTAGCAAATGATCATGTTTGTGCTGTAAAGGATGTGATATGGGAGGTGTTCCCGTTCTACCTTCCTTTCCATTTATGTCCATGAAAGGAAAGGAAGAGTCATTCTCTGGATTCTTTTCATCCCTACCTAAGACCAAGTATGTGTGATTGGCCAATCAGACTTGAATTGATGAGACTATCTCTATTCAAGGACGCTTCTCAATAGAAAGCAAATGGGTTGTGCTTACCTGATACCGGTATCTCCGGCAAAGTAGCATATTGTGGTCTGGGTGCCGGCGGCGGTTTGATCTGATTGTCTTCTAGGTCGGTGTCCTGAGTATGGCCCTGGTTCCCAACATCTTGTTCGATTTTCCCCTCAACCGTTGTGCTGTCGTTGCGCCGTCCACCACTTTCATGATTCCTGAGACTCTGCCCGCCAGAATCGCTGGTCGTTTTTGAAAGCTTCAACGGTGTCAAATTGGACAGGCGTCCACCAAAAAAAGGATTTCGAAATGGACAGTTAGGCGTCTCCGTGACTTCCTTGATAGTTAGTTTGTTATGAGGTCTCCGTCCTTCGTTGGTTGGCTTAGTGTTGCTAGAGGGTGTACTCGAAAACAGATTCGAAGGGCTCTCAGGAGGACAGGCGGCGGTCGCGGGCTTGTCATGTTTTCCTTCTTCCTCGTCGCTTCGGTGATTATTCGTGGACCGTGGGCCAGTTGGATTGCTGCGTGAAACAGCCATTATTCTATATTTGGTTATAATTGGTGTTGTGTTGCGGGATAGTTTGCCTGCGCAGTGAAGCTAAAGGTCAGGCACGACCGAAAACTTAACGACCTGACTTGAGCTTCGCTAACGCGAACCAAAGCTCATTTGCATCCCGGGAAATCCGGTTAATGCTGTCATAAATTTTCTCTGAGACTGTAAATGCCAATGTACAACTGCGGGGGGACATATTGGTTCATGCTCTTAGACTATCTCATAGTCCTCTGCTTCTGATGGCTTGATACCCGCCAGACCTAGAAAGAACTGACTGAGACCCCACGCTCCTGGATCAGGAACCTGCTCATACCCGGAACCTCCGATATATACAGTGCGGCCTAGACTAGCTTTCATACCTTTTGTACCTTCCGCGCCCTTCCTTGCTGCTTCCGCCGCCTTCTTCAAATCACCCGTCGAATTGAGAGTGTCTACAAAGGGCTGCAGCGCATCTACCAATGTCCTATCTCCAGGTTGTGCTGGGGTATACTTTGAAAGTGCTTGTGATGCTTGTTTCAAAGCGGCTCCCCATACCTTGGAATCTGCTTCCCCTGCGGACTGTTCCCTCAAGGCATGTGCCAGAGAATTAAGGTAGATAGCATAGAGTGCGCCACTTGTACCATCCATGGTAGTCTCTACCACCTGCACAATCTTAAATAGATCCACGACGGCATCTCCTGAAAGAGGCTTATCACTGATGAATTTCTTGACAGCTGAATTCGTTAGCAGGGTGCCAGAGTGCCACCTACGTGGAAGACATACCTTCAGCTCCTCTCTTGAGTCCAATTCCACAGTCTCCATCGCCTACAACCGTGTCATATCTTGTCACTTCGGGTTCCACGTCAATCACTCGTTGCAGGGCGGCTGTTAAAGCAGCTTTGGCGCTTTCTGGGTCTAGCTTTAAGCCACTTGACTTGACATTTTCATCTGCTGAACTTGCTGACTCTCTCGTCTTCGTTGACTTTGCTTCCCATGTTTCCGTGTTAATTGGAGCAGTCCATCCTGTTGCTTCGCATGGTGCATCCAGTAGCTGCAACATACTGGGACCACCAATATTTGTATTGACCACATTCAAGATTGATATGCTGAAACCAAGGCCGTTGAGACTTGTCATATAAGTACCAGCCAAAATTCTTACTGGCTTGATATTGTACGACTTCTCCAGCTGTCCAACCACCTCGGCTGTGATTCCACCAAGTTCCAATACGCTTACACCTCCGAGGTTGTTGATCAAAAGCACTACTTCGTTCGAGTTGACGTTCAAGAAAGCTCTGTCCTTGTCTTGCGAATCGAGCAACTGAGAGAGCATTTTCTTGACTAATTCGGGCAATTCAACAACCGCACGTCCGCTGCCTGGCTCGTTATGAATTCCCATACCAATCTCGACTTCTTCCTGTGCCAATGTTTCGTCGGAGTTCGGATCCGGAAGAGCTCGACCGGGAACATGTACATGCTCTAAACTCGCACCAACGCTAATGATATTCTCAGCTGTCAGTTTCGCAACTTTGTAGACGTCCTCCAGACTTGCTCCTCTTGCTGCCAAAGCTCCAGATATCTTGTGAACAAGAACTGTTCCGGCGATTCCCCTTCGGCCCACCTTTCCAGCAGCTGCTCTGCCTACGCCTACATCATCCCCCACCACTAGCATTTCGACCTTCAGCCCAGCTGCCTTTGCCTTTTCGACACCCATTCCGAAATTTAGCACATCTCCAGTGTAATTCATCACCGTGACCAATATGCCCTTATCCGCGTCGACTCTTGACATGATTGCTTTTCTTATCTGCTCAGCACTGGGTGAAGCAAAGATAGTCCCAGCTACACCAGCAGCGAGAAGACCGTCACCAACAAAGGCTCCAAAGCTTGGTTCATGTCCACTTCCTCCACCAGATATTATGGAAACCTGAGATGCGCCATCTTTGGGTCGGCGATAGACAATCTTGTTCTCAACATCGAGCGCGACGGACGGATTGGTGATCGTCAGAGCATGTAATGCTGTGTTGACTAGATGGGTCGGATCGTTGATGAAGTGCTTCGCAGACATGTTTGTATGTTGTGCTAATGGGTTGGACGGATGAAGATTGATTGTTGTAAGTGGTCCCACTTCCGAGGGGATGAGGAGGATTATATCTTCTCGCTATCAGATGCTTTCGAGAGACGGGACAAGAGCTCTAGGCTTGTCATAGTGAGGGGTTGCTGCAGCGCAGAGGGGAATTGGTGGAGTCTAATCAACCAACCCCGCGCTTGCTCCAATAGCTCCCAGCCCGAGATTTTGGGAACATTTCGAATTGTTTTCGAAATATTTCCACTCACAGACTGTGGAGCTTGGTGTAGGTAATTGCATAGTGTGCCTTGAAAAATGAAAAGAGCTCTTTTGGCAGCGTATTTGTCTCGTTGAAAAGGGGGGATTTTGGCAGTTCCATGAGGCTCAAAAAGCAAGCGTGAAGCTGTGGCTTGTAGCCCCACATGAATTGGGCAAACCCCTGCAATAATTCTCAACCTCAACTCCTCCAACATCGACATCAATAATTACAATGGCGCAAACAATTTCTGTCGCTGTTCCGGGCCAATTGCTGGGTGCTGCAAGCGAATATCTACCAGGCCCTGGCACGCATATCCACGACTCGAAGCTCTTTGCCTCAATCCTAGGACCTATTAAGACGACCTCTCCTCCTAAACCAGCTGGACCGCAAAAGAGGTTGACGAAGATAACTCCAGCGGCGCCGGCGGTATTACCTACGGTTTCAATCGAAAGAGACATATCCGTGGGAAGTGGACTTGATGGATCTGGGAAGTCAAAGGCGGAGATCTTGCCTGAGGTCAATAGTACGGTTCTTTGCCGAGTGACGAGGATTCAGCCTAGACAGGCGTCTGTAGCAATATTGGTTGTTGGAGAGACTGTTCTGGATGGAGAATGGCAGGGTCTGATACGTGTGCAAGACGTAAGGGCGACGGAGAAGGATAAAGTCAAGATTTTCGAGAGCTTCAGACCAGGAGATATCGTGCGCGCTGTGGTGGTAAGTTATCGTTGTGCTAGCTGCTTCAGAAGAATTCTCGCTGATCCCGTGGCAGATATCTTTGGGTGATCAATCGAACTACTACCTGTCAACGGCGAGTAACAATCTGGGGGTCATCATGGCGACAAGTGAAGCTGGCAATTCGATGTATCCGGTTAGTTGGAAAGAGTATCGGGATCCAGAAACGGGAGCTAGCGAAAGTCGGAAAGTTGCAAAGCCATTTTGAACATCTTTGGATCCTAAGCATATGATGTGATGCTTTCATGTGATTGTCAATGGTAGCCTTGTCACGCGACTGTCAGACAGGCAGCACATTGGCGATTGGACTTCGTTACAGGCCATCAAAAACGTTGCTCACCCAGTTACGATTCCAGCAGCGTATGTAAACTACTGCACTGAAATAGCTCACACGATATCCCACTCCAAATTTGGAATGATGCCCATTGGAGCTGGGCTTTCATGATACAAGTCATATAGGGGTGCAGCACACCCCTCGATCAATACTGAATGCTAAATCCCACTGAAGGATGCAACACTGAAGGATGCAAAGCGATATCTATTTAAAGGTGGAATATCTTCAAAATTAGGTCTTTAGGGGCATTGAGGGGCTCTAATGTGTCGGCGCGCGTGGTGGGCTTAGTCGCAAGTGGCACCGGGGATCCTGATGAAGTAGGGTGTAGATCGTTCTTTCTTCTATTCAATCCAATCTAGATCCACGCTGTCAGAGTCCATAGCAATAATACTGTGTTCTTCAATTCAATCTCATCGAAGTACACTTGCAGAATCACTCAAGCACTAAGCTTTATCTTTGAAAATAGGTAGCATCTTCTCCACTCACTAATTTGGTTCTCATTCCGCAGACACATTTATCAAAACATGATAATCAATACTGCATGATGAACAAACTTCAAAATCCAAGTCCCTTCTATGTGAGCTCGAAAAGGGGAGCAGAGAGTGGTGCGCAGTTTATGAGAATCCAACAAAAGTACAGCTAGAAAGCAAAACGGATTTTGAGCAATCAATGCATAACTGCCCGCTCTATGAAGAGGGGAAAGCAGTGTATTAGAAAGAATAATGCACGCTAAGACCAAGCATAGAAGTGTGCGTGTCGGAGACCGTACAATTCACACGCCAAGATTATTAGCCTGTAAATACAGTTTCCTATGATAACAACCCATTGCTTCATACATTCTCATTGGGTTAGATCGGTTCTCGACATGCTATCATACAAATCCACCTACCCCTCTCTTGCAAAATCTCTTCTTTGTTTTTGCGAACACTTCCCCTCTTTCTGTTCACATTCACCACGACAAAACAACACATCATACGATATCTTCTGCTTTCCACCTCAAAACAACTTCTTCGCCATTCAACATCTCCTCCTCTCTTCAACTTCAACAACATCTCAACAATTAGCGCCTTCGATCTCTTCCGCCTTCAAATGTGAGTACACTTCTTCCTTTTCGTCATCCATCCCAATCTTCTCCCTCAAATCGTGTTGATACCCAAAACAAAAAGGCGAAGGAGAAGAGACCCATGGGGTCTAGTTTTCTTTTCCTGGGCGGTTGGGGTGGACAAAGATATATGTTTGTTTGCCATGGGCTGTCTGGAGTAATCCATTCGACATCACTTCAAGTAGTGGCAGAAGTGTGACTTCGGTTGCCTTCTCCTCAGAAGTTGAGATTTCTCTTTTTTGAGATTTCTGCATCTTCACAAGTTGCAGGCATGAGCTTTTAGTCTTCGGACCGATTTCTCTCCATATTATCAGTCCAGCTTGCGGGTGTAGTCCGCTCATGTAGGTCTTCGATTCGGTCGAGGATTGGAAGACTTCTTCATTTTTGCACTTCAAACAACTTTTCTAGTTCACCTTTGCTAACACGCGTGGTATTTCATAGGAAAGAAACCCAAATTTGGGTAGGCGGGTGAAATTCTTATCATCCGCCGATATTCCCGTTTCATTGAGTGCTCAGCCTTGTGCTGGGCCTTGAAGAAGCGGCGCGACTCGTTCACCATTTCCAAACTCCATTCGACTTTCCAGTCGCGACAGATGTCGTTGTTTACGCATGAATTTTCTTCGCTCTCGACACAATGAGCCTTTTCTGCAAGTCTCGTCACGATAAATCGAAAGTGGACCCCAACAGCCATAGATCCAGATCCATAAGATAACAGATATGATCTTCTGAGATCAAGATCGTTAAGTCAAGTATTTTGAGGCATTTGACAAGGCTAACTGGAAGCTCAGTCGAGAACTTTCTGATCGCTCTATTTTCCGAAAAAAACACAATCTTGGATTTCTCTTCCTCACTGAAACAATTTACCGACGCTTTGAGCATTCATCTGGTCTCAAAAACCTTGGAAATCTACAGCATCTCAAATCGATCACTCAAGCATTTAAATGGACAAGATAAAAGCAAGCGGAATCGTTCAAAAATCAAAACTTCATTTCAACTTCAACTACCCCCAGAAAGGCTACCTCTATTTTTGCTCAGCTTCCATTTCCTTCTTCATCCGCTCGATCATTCCTTCCACCTTCGCCAGCTTTGCCTTCAACTGCTCTCTCAGCTCATTCCTGTTCTCCCTCGCTCTTTCCTTCTTCACTTTCCTGGCCCGGATTCTTTTCTTTCGCTCTTTCCTCTTCTCCAACTTCTTCAAGCAATTATCAGTAAGATTTCACCCCAAAAGTTGACAATACTCACCTCCTCGGTTGGAGGTTGGTGCTTCTTCTTTGTTCTACGTCGTGGTCCCTGTTTTTGAGTCAGCGCTGAATGTGTGGTGCAACTTGACACATTTTGTCTGGTGATTGCATTGGAAAGAAATGCGTAAGACTCACAGACTTGCCAGACTTCTTGTACACTGTGTGCACAGTCTTTCTCTCCTCCGCTGTGGTAGGCTCGTGACAGTTGGTTTGAAAGGTGACCTTCCTTGTATCGCTCGACTGGCCATCCATTGTGATTGGATCGAATGGTATTTATGCGATTTTGGTGTTTGTTTTGATGTGGTTTTGTGAACTGAGGCTGAAGTTGAGGACTAGACCTACAAATTTTAGGGGAATGGCAACAGATTCAAGGAGTATTCACCTGAAAGCTTCACAGTCTGCTAAGCTGGCTGGGAAAGAAAGCTCTAGTGAGAGCTGGGAGTCCGATCCACTTATGGGTCTGAACTCTCCGTCTGATTGTGATATGTATGGTCTGATTTGTTTTCAGGGTCTTCCTAGCTGAACTCAGGACCAAAAGGATCCGCAATTCTGAGATTGCTCGTCCTTAACTCTTGACTGTTTTATCTCCGGGGAAGGACCACTCACCAAAGTTCCCCTGACCAAGCGAGCAGGTTTTCGTTGGAGTTCTGACAGCAGGAGTAGGCAAATTCCGAACGTATCTATCCAACAAGCTGGATTTGTGTAGACTCTCATGCATTCTAACCCTTTGAATCCTTGTCAGGACCGATCAAATTCCCAAATGCCATAATGTATGATGTCCGGCCTCCAAGGTAAGAACCAATGTAGGAATCCACTCGTATCAGAAGGATCCTTTTGCATTGTCTCTACAAAGCTGGCTCAATACCTTTGTCTCTAAGATCAACATCAACCGGAGCTTAATAGACAAGTGTAACCAGTATCTTCAGAAAACGATTCCGTATCTCTTCTGCATCCTGAACTTGCACATTTAGCATCAACGCGACGGACAAGCTACTAGGTAATCGAGGGGACTCGACATATTTATTTATTCAATCACATTGACAAAACATCGTGCATTTCGTCAATCGTTGTTAGTAAACAAAATGATCTCTTTGCTCTTTCGAAAGTCTCTTACTAATCTAACGGACGGAGCGACATTTGATTCAAATTCGGATTCGCAGAACAGCATGAGGTTCTCGGCGATAGCAAGAAACCCAACGATATTCTTGAAAATCATTTCTTGTGATTAATAGATACGCAATGTTTGAGACAATGGCATAAAACTCTAGAAACCCAAGTTTTTGAATGTCAATGACAACTTGTCAAGAGACATCCGGAAATTACCACACTACGGGTTAAAAACCCAAGCTGAAGAAAAGCTAAGAGATGAAAGGTTCTAAGATTTTAGACCCTCTTCTTTTCTAACCGTGAAGCGTCGTGATAGCTATAGGTATTTATTTTCCGAGTATCTTAGTAACTGCGTGTGGATCGCCTTACCAGCGGACAGTGAGATTTAATCGCAAAGCATTTTCACTACTCAACCCAGATACTTTGCTAGGTAGTCAGCGTGACTTAAATGATGAGGATTATAGATAGCCTAAAAGATCCTTGTGAGTCACTTCATTTCCAATCCAGCTCTTTCTCTCTAAAAATGAACATGTACAGCAAAGCAAGCACAACTATTCGCAGCTTCGCTATAGTTGTATTCGTAACATTGATAGAAGAGTCTTCATAAACCTAAGGTGTAACAAAGCGCTGTTTCAGTGAGCCAAAGTACTATATAGCAACTGGATTTCCTGGCCTCCTTCTTCAACTCATCGCCCACTGATTATTTCCATTTCCATATTCCTCGTCCTCAACCTTGATCTCGACCTCACAGGACTTCAAAGGTCAAGCAACAGAAGGTTCCCGCCAGCTTTTAGATCTTTTCCATTTCTCCTGTCCCGTTGCATTCGCGCTCCCCGCTCCATTCGGTTGTACTGTTCCATTCGCATGTGGTGTCCTCGTCTTGTCCAAGGACTTGTGTTTCCAACGGGCTGAAAGTGAGCGATTCCTATCGAGGTTGGATTCTGTGCTAACGGACCTCTCATCACTTGTTCTCTCCGGACGTCCACGAGGTCGGCGCTCTTGTTTCTATCGAACCGTTAACCAGTGTGCAAAAATAGCACTTCATCCTATGACATACCGATTCTTCTGCCAACTCCTGATCCAACCGCCTATTGATCTCCTCCCACATTTTCACGTTCTTTTTGAAATAGACAACCCAGTATATATCATAATTCTTGTTGATTTCATAACGCCAAAGAACGAGCAAGGCCACATTGACAATCACAAAATTGACTGTTCACATTGATTGTCAGCAAACATCATCTTTTGCATCTTTTGCATTACTGGCGTCAAGATCAGGAACAAACAACTGCGAAAATTCACCTCTCAAAAACCGAATCCCAACCTCATAGTCCCAGGTCCTCAGGGCAGTTCCAAGAATCACAGTTTCCCACCAAGCCATCGGAATAGCACAAAAAAGCCACCAACTCACTAAATAATCGTTAGCACATGGATAAATAGGTCCATCTCACCCCATATAGCGGCTCTTGATATTTTCCGATCTTCAATCCATCGCCTGACCGTCCGCTACCAAATTCCAAAAACTAGTAACGCAACATACCCAGAACAACCCATCCCCTCGAAAAGAATGATTCTTTCCCAGGAACCGGAAGTGGCTCAAACCCATATCTCCGCATAACTTCTAGCTCCCTTCTAGATCTTGCATCCTCATCGCCTACGTCTTGCCTAGACGAAACAGAGGCTTGAAAACTGGATTCAGAAGTCTCCTCGCTGAAATCTCGTTCAATCGATGGTGGAACGTTACGAAGCTCATCATTGTCTGAACGGTAGATAGGTGCCATTTGTTCGCGCCTTCGCCAGGTATCGTTCGTGGGCGGATAGGTTTTAATGAATGCAAGAAAATTGTCGGCGTGGTGCCTTTTCGCCGATCGCACCAGCTCCTTCAATCGATCAAGCTACTAGTTGAGAGTATGATCGATAGGACGAAAAGGCTGCAGTTCAAAGATCTGTCTGATGTGTGCTGAACTCTCGAAGGTGCTTGCTGGGTTGACGAGATGAAAGAAGGTATTCGAGTAAGGGTCTATCGGACCTCACCCAAACACTTCGATAACGCCCAATCACATTCACCTTTGAATTAAAATTGTGAGCATCGAGCGGCGAGACACATAGCCCTTACGTACTTGCAGCGCATCAAGAGTAACGAACGACTTGTCAAGAATATTCAGAGCCTATTCGTGCCCTAATAGTAATTTGAACAAAGATACAGCGTCAATACAAAAAGCTAATACAACCAACCCGTTAAACTCATCCAACCCACCATAAAGATGAAGACACGATTAAACCAATTTTCCCCTTAACAAAACACCGAAATTTCTCGCAGTTTCTCAGCTACCAACGTCATCCATTCTCTCCATGGCTTGGGTCATCCAAGCACTGAAAGCCTTTGCTGCGAAATATCTTCAATCTCCACGATTTCGCGTACAATAGTCCCACTACTGTCATCTGATTTCCAAGAACACTCAGCACCATCAAATCCTCGCCCAATTTTACTGCTGCGACGAGCATTTCTACCGCTGTCTTCACTTCGATCAGTATTGGATCGGTAGATTTCCATTGCCGCCTCAGATGACAATCTGCTACTATTTACTCTGCCAGGGGGCAGAATTGAGAACATCTCGACTTGCTTCTCTGCAATCTCCGCTCGAGTTTTCCACATTTGAACCTCTCTTTTGCACTCTCGAAGCTGCTCACTCAACGGGCCAATGTCGAGAGTTCCCTTCGCAATTAGCTGCTGTTTCAACTTCGCAATCTCTTGGTCTTTCTGTTCTATACTCTTTTGCAAAGATCTGACTTGGGTGTGAAGTACTGAGTTACTGCGAGTTATTGGAGGTGTACCTGGACAGCGTAAAATTTCTGGACTCGCTGTGGGACTCAATGTAGGAGAACCGCGAAAGATGTCTCTAAAAGGTGAGTCTGGGTGCACGAAGTCAGCCATCTCCCCCAGCGAAGACGGAGGCCGTGGGAAATGAACATGCTGAGCAACAGGTGGTAGCTCTGGAGCAGGTAGAACAGTTCCAATGGAAGGCAGGCTCCCCGGATGACTTCTATGACCATCCCATGACTTGATCGTGGTATTAGCGGGCTCGGCAGATTTCAGCACGTTCGAATACGGGTTAAAAGAATTTACAGCAAATGTACCCCATTTCTCCTCCGAAACCTCAACAGATTTACGAACTGAACGTAGAGACACTGTTTCATCTACCGAGGGAATCAGAATTCGACGCGGAGGGGAAGGGTTGACAGGATTTCTTTCGCGGTCTCTTATTGGAGAGCTTGGGTTAGATGCCGCGATTGCTGCAGCCACTGATTTGCGATTCGACTGCGGTGTTCTTTCTGACCGTCCTGACTTTTGAGACTTTGTGGGTGAGGAGTTAGTAGTGTATGGAGCAACTAAGCTTTCCCTGCGACTCGTGGCAGTTGGTATCCACGTGTCTGCAGAGACTGATTTCCGATGGGCATTCTTGGAAGGAAAGCTAGACTCGTTCAGTTTTGTAGGACTTTGACTGTTGAACTTTTCAGCAAGAGCTTTCACGCTTCCACCCGATGGCATAAGAGTCTTGTTGGGCTGCCTATCCATAGTCGCCGGGTCACGAGTCTTTTGTGTGGTAGCGTCTCGGACTATAGATGATACGTTGAGTGGTTTTCGTGGCTCGGTTACAGATACTTTGGGGCTCGATAGAGAAGGCGAGGCGGCTGATTTATCTTGTCCTCGTATTAGAGTGCTAAGTCGTGGCAAGAATGAAGCGCCAGGTTTGGCTTTTGTGGCCATAGGGGGATCTGCTGATGTGGACTTCCTCTTTGCCTTACTCTCCTCTGAGCCTGTCTTCTCTGAAGAACCTATCGCCCTCTTTTGCAAAGTTGCTGGTTTGGTAAGTTTTGTAGGCGTTACCTTGTCTGAGTCGATAACACGAGCTAGAGCTGCTAGAGACTTCACATCATCCTCGTGAGAAACACTTGATAATGGATCTCTTGGAGCAGTTCTGAGAGTTAAAGCTGGCTTTGCCGTGGTTGAAGGGCTCAGCAAGGGTTCATTATCAATCATCGTTGTTGAATTTGCTGCCATGGACGAGTGGCTTCCTTCTAAGGAGCTGCTCTCCACCAAAGGTCTGCGCGGTTTGTCTTGCTGGGCTTCAGCGACCTGTGCTTTAGCGGTGTCTCTCAGGACCTTTCCCATCTCCGTCAGAGATGCAATGTCATCTTCGTGAGATGTGGTAGTCAAAGAGTCTCTTTTGGTGTGGATGTTTGCTCGAGAGGATGATGTAGGAGGTGTTGGTTTGGCATGCTTTCTAAAATGTTGAGGAGCTAGAATCGTGGATTCGTTCGACCTCCCTGGCTCGCTTTTTACAGTCCGTCTAAAAATTGAAGAATTCGATTGGGCAGGCGTAGTTACTAAAGAACCGGGCGGCTTCAGATCTGGGTATAGCATATTTTGGGCGAGTGGAGGGTCAGTGGAATGAGAAGAATTGAGCGTACCCATGCTGTGCTTTCCGTGCTTCGAAGGGTGCTTCTCCATTAGGTGCTGATGTGTCCTTCTTTTTGTCGGTGTGGTCGGTGGGATTCCACTATCTATCAAACTATTCCCCGGTAATTTTCTGTATTTGGGAGATATCCTCTTTGCTGATGGTGTGCCAGGTCGTGCTTTAATCTTTGCCGCACTAGATTGTGCATCAGGAACTGCAATCTCGGTATAAGGGCTGGGGTCATTGATTTCGGAAGAGGTGACGGCGAGCGGTGCAGCTGAATCTTCACTTGTAAGTTCCTCCATAGTCGGAGAAAGCTGAAGTAGAGTTAAGGAACGGGATCCAGAAAGGAGTTGGCCAGATTTGGGACGTGGTCTCGAGCGAGATCTTTGCTTTTTGACCGTCAGATCCTCCTTTTGGGACGATCTTTGGTTGAATGTTGACTCATCAAATGTGCTGGCGCCTGAACAAAAACGTTAGCTCAATAAAATCTACAGCTAAGGCATTTTGTGGTTCAAGATAACTTACGACCATTCGGAGTTGGGGATTGACTCCGGTCATTTCCTTTCAGTGGGAGCGGCCTTAGCAAATCCCAGTCTGGGGGTTTGCGAAGCGAAAATCCTTCAGATACAGATGGCCGTAGGTACGGCTGCATGGCCTTCAACGCCATTTGGCTTTCGCGTGCCTGCAAAGAAGCTATATTCTTCATGTGACGAACCACCTCCCTCCAGTGCGTAATCAGCATCTCGGTTATGCTATTCGCAACTTTTATCTTATCCACTTGTGACATAAAAGCTGTGGATTCTTCAGTGTTCGGGCGTTGCCTCCTTTTCTTCTCTTTTCGAGACTTTGGTGGGCTGACTGGAAGCAATACAAGTCCTCCATTGGGGTTCGCAAGATGCATACTGTAATGATCCAAAAGGTCCCCAACGAGCAAAGGACCAAACACGATCCCAAGTGCTGCGTAACCCATTAAGTCAGTGATAGGCAGAGGTCTTCCCCGCTCGTCCTCCCTCGGGGCAGTCTCAGCAGTTCGCCCGACCATGGATAAAAGACCGAAGACAGCGCAGATAAGCTCACGTCTATAGTGCGAACGCAAGGTGGAAATTGCCAAAGCAATCAGACGTGCCCGGACTTTGCTCTGCTTTGTTTTTGTGAACTCAGCATCTCCGTGTAGCTGTCCTTGGATGGCGACCAGGGCATCGAACAACGGTAGAGTCCCAAGAATTCCACCAGGCAATCCTGACAAAAACCGTTTGAAAGCAGAAGCAACATCATGTACGTCGCACCTGATATGATCTGTTAGTGTAGGGCAGCGCACTGTTCCAGCTATCACATCACCATCCTCGTCGACAGAGCAGAAATGATTGTACAAAGCTTCGACAATGTTATGTGCACCAGGAATCCTGAAGATACCTCTCGCTGCAGGGCCTGTAAAGATTAGCAGCGTACATATCAATAAAGTAAACAGCTTACCATGTTGAACAAGATACTGAGCTGTGGCGCGAAAACATGTTGGCACAGTCAAGCTTCCAGAGCCATATTCTGCAGGCAGATATAGTATGCTGGCACCGCAAAGTCGAACCAGTTCCTGTAGGTCTTTGTCTTTAAGCTTGTCCTTTCTTGATTTCAATCTCATAGAGATGTCGCTTATGCTTCGTCGGTGTTTGAGACCTCGATCATGACGCACACTTGTTGTTGATGAAGTTCTGCGGAGTATATTTCTTGAGAACCAACTGGGCGGTTTCGTAGAGAGATTGGCGATATTACCCTAGAACCAAAGATCAGAACAATAGCTCAATGCTTGGATTTGACTACGAACATATTCATCATAATCCTCAAGTACCATAATTCGAACACCATGCTAATGTTAATATTAGCATGCCCTGGTCATCTCCTAATAGTGCTCAATGTGTACCTTCTTGGCCAGTCGATTATATTCGTCAACGAAGACGGACCGGTCTTCAATCTCATCCTGCTCAGAGAGTAATTCGCCACTCGAGGATGTCCAGGTGTTGCTGCTCTGTAAAGCTCTTCTGGACCTGCTGGGTCCAATCGAGCCATTCAAATCATCTTGGAACTGTGAATCCTTTAGGCTCTGTTGTCCTAGTGAGGTTCCAGAGAATGAAGTCTGCCTGTGTGGAATTCGAGGCCGGGTGAGAAGTTCCGTCGCGATGTTGACGTCGTCAGGATTGCCATCGGGCATGGATTGCTGTGCGGCTCTGGAAAGACTTGTTAACGATGAGTGCGACGATAATGCGTGGGCGAGTGGAGCCATTGGAATACACTCGACAGATTGCGCCGACGCGCCTGTGTGGTTCTGCAAAAATGGCAGACGTTGTTGTGAGGTCTCTGGCACTTCCAACACGCAAAGATCATCCTCCCACAAGAAGTCGATCGTCTGTACCTTCCCATGATTGCGGCTGTTTGCACCTAGTCTTGCACTTGCTTCGTATGAAGATTGAAAGCTAGTACCGTACCTGTTACCATGTCTCACAAGGAAAGAGTGACCAGTGGCCCGATCTCCCCAGTTCGTAACACCTAGGATCGAGACGACCTCAGAACAAAACACAATGGTATTATCGAGAAGTTAAGTAAAAAGGGATCTATATGAGTTTCGCACGCCCTTTACGCCCAAAATATCATACCTAACGCCGGATTCCGCTGAGATCGCTATGCAACGCCCCCCCCCCCCCCCCACTCGTGACAATCCTCCAATCCGTATCTCGTATCTATTCTCCTTCCGCGCCATGTAAAAGAACGTATTTCAAAATATCTGACAGTGATATAACCCCTTTGAGGCGATTCTCTTCGTCGATGACTACTAAACGATGAACCCTGGACTTTCGAATTGTGTCAAAGATGGAGTCCAGGCGATCTTCTTCGCTGCATGTGTATATCCCAGCGAAGTCGTCAGCTCTCTTGGATAATGCATCCCCAACTCCAGTCGTGAGATCATCATATACCCCTCCCTTAATGATTGAGATGACATCAACGGCTTCGAACACATTCAGCACATGGCCTTCCTTATCCAAAATCGGTACACTCGAAATACTATATTTGACCATCATATGAATAACATCAATAACTCTGGTATCCATGTTTGCCGTCTGCAAATCGCCGTAGGAGCCGAGCCCGATCTCAGCCACACTCTTCTTCAGCATTTCTGTCTGGGCTACGTTGACAGAGATAAATTTCAAGATTCGATATTGTGTGATAACGCTCACAACCATTTCACGGCCGGTCTCGTCGTCGATATCTACAAGGGGAATTCTTCGTGCTCGGGTTTTAAGCATCTGCGTGCATGCTTCGTACAGCGGCCGCGACGGATGAACTGACAATGTCTCGAGGGGGAGAACACCGATCGCCTTCTCAATATCTAGCAGGTTCAGCCTAATGTTACGGTCATATCCTCACTCGTTTGGACCTACCTCTTAAGCTGCTCAGCCGGAACTGGTCTATCTGATTGAACGCATCTGGATTCTGCCAATAATACTGCACAACGTTTATATAGTCGGAAGTGGTGAGGAGCCCAGCGAAGGTTGAAGTGTGCGAATCCCATAGAGGGGCGGAAACGATTCCTGCATACCCCTCATTAGCATCGTCCCGAGCCAAACTCTTGGGACAGGATTTGTACCATTTTGTAGAAGAATATTTAGACTCTTCTTAACAAGAAGGTCGGTATTAAGGATGATGAGTCGAAATGAAAGCGGTAGCACATCGTAGCTCGTGCGGATTTTGAGGAAATCCCGTATTGCTTTCTGTTGAATGAACCGGTGTCAGCCTCGCAGATCGAGAAAAAGAAGCTTGCCCTCCCAGCCCATAAGATCATCATGCTCTTGCAGCTATCCAGCGTGGAATACTAGGTTCACTTACCAAGCCACTCTGTTGGTCCCTGTCCACCGAAGTCAACGGTCTGTCCTGCATCGCGCGATTCTGGGCTGGGGATAGGAAGGTCGAAGGTTGGGCAATCATGTTCGACTCGTGACCAAGTCTAGCGATGCTTGTTGGCGTTGCGATGGACCCAATAAGACCATCCGCAGGCAAAGCTGGTCCCGTGCCTTCAGCCGTATTAGACATTGGCGTGGATGACGGAGTCGGCTGGTGAGAATTAAAGGTACATTGAAGGATGACTGGAACGGGAGAGCAGCAACGGCACTGCTTCGTTCTCGTCGCAGACTTGTGCGCGTAGAGAATGAAGTGACAGCCGAGCGACTACAGAATATCCGCGATAAGCTTTAAACGTGGTTTTGTCTCGTCTATTGGATGGTTGAGGTGAAGATTTACGAGGGGTTGTAACTTCACGTGTCGTCGCGATGTTGTACAGGTAAATGGTCTGTGCCCCACCCCACCAAGTTTTGACCATACGGAAGATTTATCATTTTGCCCAATCAGAGAAGCTAGATTGTATGGCGGTAATTGCCGAATGGGGCTATTTCCCGAAAGTGTATATTTTAGCGGCTTGAAGTCTCACCAACCTTTCTTCGTTATAATGATTAGCATCGAAAGTTATCTTTATAAAATCAGACAAAACTTCCTTCCTATATACTAAAATTCATGATTGGCGTACGATTGTAAATTTTAGGAGACGGAGTGCAATTCTGGCCAATGAAGCACTTTGGCCTATCTAAAATTAAATGGATTCTAACGATAAGAATAAACAAGAACTCTGAATATCCATTAATTACTTTAACTTAACTCAGTTACGACGAATATAATCTAAAATACTAGGTAAATATACTTCGTGGTCGGTTGGCCTTTCCTTGGTGTCACCTTCCACAACTCAAACTTCAAAGACATCTTCTTAGAAATTATGCACAATGATAGAACAAAGACTAAGGCTTATTAGAGTAACACTAGAGTGACTTATTATACACAAAATTTTGGAAGATGTTTCGCTATGAGGGCTAGAATCTTTTGTCTCAACTACATCTTCCTAGAACTAGACTCAAAGTTCAGATAGACAAGGTCGCTTGCCATGTACTTGTTTGATCATTCTGCTTCGTTGGGGTGTCAGTCGAAAAAAAAAATTGGTCTGTTTAATTTGTAGTTTGCTATTTATTTATGACTCTTGAAACCTTCTTCTCAATTTGATGAAGTTCTGGGTTACCTTAATCTGCTCTGACTCTTTGAAAACTACCAAACTCCAATTGAGAATCTCCAGTGAAATCTTCCTCCTTAAACCAGTGAGGAGCCTCAAATCCAACGTAGCGTCTGCTCATAATGGAGAGATCTGCTTCCGGGTATAATTCTTCGCGGTCTTTGCCCACCACTTTCCTCGACATCAGGGACTCAAGCTGACCGAAACATCCTAGTTCAAATTTGATATGACCAATTCCGTCCAGTACGCATAGCGACCGAGTGATATCACAGTAGATATTGTATATATGCCGTTGGACACCTTCGTCACTCGAATGTGGATCCATTCCCAAATCAAATGTGTCGGTAACCACAGTAATTGACAACGCAGGGACGTTAAGACGCGCTTTTATGAATTTCACCAACGAGAGCCACTGCTCGCTATAGTTTTGGTTACCCCAGTGTTTGACCCCCGATTCGGAAAATCTAAACTGTATCTCTCGGATGTACTTTAGCCTTCCAGCAGGAAATTGAGACAAGAATTCAATGCTTTTGTCCGGATCCTGCTCGCAATCAAAGCAATTTTCTCGTAGTAATACCGTGAGAGCATCTTGACGCATCTCTCTATTAACATAGACTAGAGCGGAAGGGAGACGTCGACAAACGCATGTAATTGAGTAAGCCGCGAAGCTCGAAGGACAGCAGCAATCTATGGCAATGTGCGTACATTGCCTGCAGCATTGATTGCCTTTATGAACGGTTGATCGGCTTCCTCGGACTAGCTTGCCATCTTGAATACGAATGAGTTCATCTCTTTTTAGATAACCGTTGTGCCGACCCAGGTGTGTGTATCCCAGTACATGGAGGCGCAACTCTCGAGGAAGTCTGTCGAAAGGAAACGGCCGACTTGGTAGAACAAGCGACTGAGTAGTTGCGACGGAGACATCGCGAGCCAATGAGTTCAGAGCATAATTCGGTCGGTTGTTTAAACGAATAGTGCACCTATTTAGAGTGGGAAGCATCAATAAAGGCTCGACTACAGCTTTTCCAGAATTCAAAGCCGCAACATCACAGATGAAAGCAAAATTGAGTTGCTTCGGTCTGATTGACGAAGCAAGGTGGGTCGATATCGTCTTCCATGCCACAAGAAGACCTGTTCCAGCAGAAGTAGCCATTTCCAGAGCATAGTCAGGGGATGGCGGCATAGATAAGCAATTACTGCATCTGAAACGGCCGACTTGTCTTCCTACAATGTGAGGGTGACCTCTAGCGCAAGGCCACGAGTTGAACCTGACTAACAAATCCTTCACCGTTGAAAGTATGTGATGGTTTAGATTCAGAAATATGGGTAGGTCATCGGCGCTTTTATACCTCATTATGAACTTGTTTCTCGAATAAAAGACCGGGAAAACATCCTCATAAGACCTTCGGGAGACATAGAGCAGCTGGATTGGCAATCTAGGGCATAGACAATCGGGCTCCGAGTGCGCCTGCGCCAGGTGTCTGGGTAATGGGACAATACTTCGATCACCTCCGCGTAATCTGATGACATATAAGCATCTCTCTTCTGTGGAACGATCTGTACCCCATGAACTATCGTAATCCCGGAAACAGTACCCTTCGGGCACATTTAGCTCGATAGGACACAACCGAATCAAGCCTGCGTAGGTGTATATCCTCAGCCTTATGTTTTCTGGCATATCCAAGAATGACGCGGAAGACATGGGCGCGAAAAATGATACTAGAATTTTTGAGCAGGCTGATATATGCAATTGTTGTAAAATGTGAAGTATTGGTACACCTGAAGCCAAATTGCAGAGAAAACTGAATACGCAAAATGGTGGGAAAGGGATGAAAAGCCATTGCTGTGGGGGAATATGAGGAATCTGACTTCGCTTAGGTGTTGTAGACGGAACTTTAGGTGGGAAGTTGTGTTGGTGTTTCGGTAGAAAGTGTTGGACCTTGAAAGAGCTAGCGGATAACAGGGCTAGGTGCCTACCTACCTAGCTAGCAGTTGGGGTCCCGAATCAGCCAGGCTCTGTCGCAGACTGTGTCCCTTTTTCTGTTTGCACTTTGACAACTTCCCGTCAACATATAGCGGAGACTGCAGCTGCCTACCCATGTAGGTAACTTTGGTGTCGATTATCCGCGTACATTCCTCCCTGAAGATGAAAGCTCAATGCGACCATAATGCTGGAGATCTCATGAATTTAACGATTGGATAATGCTATAAGTAAGCCTCAAAATAAAACAGAACTAGCTTGAAAGGAAGGTCTCCTCGGAGCGAGCTTGCTCCTTGCAAACATGGGTCTCTTTGCCAGTCAAATCTATATTTCCTAGCTTGCAAACGTAAAGAGATAGAAACGGACCAAACAGCACCTTGTTCAATAAACAGCATGAAAGAGACCAAATGCAAATTCCCGTTAAATAATGTTCCCAGGATGACGAATAATCATTGCGATAATGACTAGAAGCAATTATCTTGGCGAAGTCTTATCGCCTATACGGGCTCTTCGTAGATCTCGTTGAACTTACACTTCCCCACCACAACACTAAGGAATACGGCCAGTAAACCATCTGGAAGCAAACCGAATAGCTATCTTTCATCCGGACTACAACTATTAGATGAGTCGAGGTTCATGTCTCAAAATCAAAGAAAACAATCTGGGGTAAAGGTCTCGCCTAGGAGGTGTTGCGGTGCGTTCAAGGCTGCAGATACAACAGATTGTATATCTTGCTCCTAGCACTGTCCGTTCTTGGTATTGTGGCCTGGTAAAGTATTCGCGTTCTACCTGCTGGTGGTTGTTAATTCAAATCAACCATCAGTCGTCTGATTTATTGTTGTGACATGTGATGAACGTCGACAACCTTCCAAGGTTGGGAAAATGGAACCTGCCCAGGTGGAAAGCGTCAAGTGTGGCTCACTTGTGGCTGATGCATTTGTTTTGCGGGTCGAATTTCTTACTGGGATTAGGTTTCCCTGGTGGCCTCGCAGAGTCGCAGGACGAACTCTCGCCAGCAAGGCTCTTTCCTTGGCCTTGGCGCCCTACGTATCGACCCGACCATTTCAAGCTACCCTCACAGCGTCAGGGCGAGAGCAGGCACGAAGCTTGAACTTCCGTTTTGTTGTGAATCAGCTGCATCGCAGAATCACCACCACACCCAGCCAATACGCAGAGCCCTTCCACTTCTTCTCTCTTCTGAATGGTCTCTCGTGATTCTTACGGTCTTCTGTAACACCAGCTTCACCATCTTCTCGATCCTGACTCGCTGCCCAGCACGGCACGACTCCTCACCACGCACGACTGCCTTGACTTGCTTTCTTCAACCGTTGACCTACCTTCCGTCATCACAATTGATCTCGAATAAGACTACAGCTTGGTCCTGCGGGACTGACCTTTGGAGATGGGTGCTTGCAATTCTTCGTGTTGTGGAGGTATGCGGAGAGAGCTCGTTGTATTAATGGTACCGAACGCTGACGATGCCCAGGCAAATCTCGCGATGGATTATACGAACCCGTTTTGGCTGAAAGTGAAAGGGAGGCTGTAGCAGATCTGCTTCAGTACTTGGAGAATGTGCGAGATACTCTTGATCCTTTGGATGATGGGCGTTGACAATATTCCAGAGGGGTGAAACCGACTTCTTTTCCGGCGAACCTTTACGGGCTTTAAGCACACTCGTGTTTTCCGATAACGTCGATTTACAGCGAAGCGCCAGCTTGACCTTCGCTGAGATAACAGAGAGAGGTACGTTCACGGTCTACAACGATCACAAAAAGATGTCACATGGATGGGATGGTCACTTTAGAGAATGCTGGCAGACTCTTACTGGAAATATGATGCTGCCGGGATTTTGCTAGACTGCCTCCTTCGGGTCGCAGATTGAATAGAAAGTGGCAGGATGATTATGCTGACATTTTACTAGATGTCCGAGAAGTCGACCGAGACACCCTGGAACCAATCTTGTTCCTTCTTCAAAGCCCCGATATCGAAGTTCAGCGAGCAGCTAGCGCAGCGTTGGGGAATCTTGCTGTCAACAGTAAGTTATGCACCAAGCTCCAAAAGCGCCATGTTCCATCTGACAGCATGTAGCCGAGAACAAGGTCGCTATTGTTCTCCTCGGAGGCCTTACTCCTCTGATTCGCCAGATGATGTCGCCAAACGTCGAAGTGCAATGCAACGCGGTTGGATGCATTACGAATCTAGCTACACATGAGGATAACAAGGCAAAGATTGCCAGATCAGGAGCTTTGGGGCCACTCACACGGTTAGCTAAGTCAAAAGATATGCGAGTCCAACGGAACGCTACCGGGGCTCTCTTGAACATGACACATTCTGGTATGTCTTCGCCATTCATGGTGTGAACGTAAAGGCTCATACTGTGCAGATGAAAACCGACAACAGCTCGTAAATGCAGGCGCTATTCCTGTTCTTGTACAACTCCTGTCGTCTTCCGATGTTGACGTGCAGTATTACTGCACAACCGCCCTTAGCAATATTGCGGTCGATGCCAATAACCGAAAGAAGCTCGCTCAGAGCGAGAACCGACTTATCCAGTCTCTGGTCAATCTTATGGATTCTTCATCTCCGAAAGTACAATGCCAGGCAGCTTTGGCCCTTCGAAATCTTGCATCCGATGAGAAGTACCAGCTCGAAATCGTTCGCGCTCGGGGCCTAGCTCCCCTCCTCCGGCTTCTCCAATCATCATATCTCCCTTTAATACTTTCAGCGGTCGCCTGTATTCGTAACATCTCTATCCATCCAATGAACGAATCGCCGATCATAGACGCAGGATTCCTGAAGCCTTTGGTGGATTTATTGGGTTCCACGGATAACGAGGAAATACAGTGTCACGCAATATCGACACTTCGTAATCTGGCGGCTAGCTCTGATCGCAATAAAGCTCTTGTGTTAGAAGCTGGTGCGGTTCAAAAGTGTAAGCAATTAGTGCTCGATGTACCATTGAGCGTGCAATCGGAAATGACTGCCGCCATCGCAGTCCTTGCCCTGAGTGATGATCTGAAAACGCATCTGTTGAATTTGGGCGTTTTCGATGTTCTCATTCCGTTAACGGCTTCCGAAAGTATCGAGGTGCAAGGAAATAGTGCCGCAGCTCTAGGGAACCTCTCCTCCAAAGGTTAGCTACACTTATTATCTAAACTCTATACTTTTGCTAAAATTCTCTAGTCGGCGATTACTCGATATTCATCCAAGACTGGACAGAGCCAAATGGAGGTATTCATGGATATCTTAAGCGATTTCTTGCAAGCGGGGATGCAACCTTCCAACATATTGCTATCTGGACTCTTCTTCAATTACTAGAGTCTGAAGACAAGAAGCTAATCAATCTCATTGGAAAATCTGAGGAGATTGTCCAAATGATCAAAACTATTGCAGATACTCAAATCGAATCCGACGACGAAGCTGAAGAAGATGGCGAAGGAGAAGTTGTTCAGCTTGCACAAAGATCACTACAACTCTTGGGCCAGGGAAACAAGACCTCGCATATTGAAGGATAATCTCGGCCCTCCCTTCTATGTTTTCGAATAGATCTTTCGCTTTGTTTTGCATCTGGGACGTGGGAACGGGCATGGTGTTAGGCGTATCGAGCCAGGAAGTACATCATCTGTTACTAGTAGCGAGCATTGAAAGGAGTGCCGGATAAATTATTTAACGCTTGCTTGAAGAGTGGGATAAACCTATGATGTTGATACTGGGAGACGGTGAGAGAGAAAGAGAGAAAAAAGGGTATTGGGGAAGAAATATTGTCCCGCTGACCACATCAAAGATTGCATCTATTCCGTTCGGATCATCTCCCTTTTTGGACTCTTTTCTGGCTTTTGTTAATTACAGGTTCATACATGGGATAGTAACTCCTTATTTTGTTGGAAGAGGGGTTGTTGGTTCTTTTTTTATCATTCTCATGTAATTAGATAGGTTTGGTGTGAGGTGGAGGACGATGTTTTACTCCTTTTTTTTTAATGATATCCCACTGTTATACACCTTATCGTACGCTCACGGACTCTAGTCCTATGTGAAAATGGCATGAATGATACAGCAGCCCGCTTCCCATATACATTATAATACATCATTAGAATCCTTGCACTTATTCTTCGGCCTCGTTCACTGGTACTAGTCCATTTTCTAACCACTCCCTCTCCTTCCACGGAAATACTTTTGCGATTACTTTTCCTTTGATTAATCCCATTGGCATGGGCCCGAAATGACGAGAGTCCCGGGAGTAGGGCAGGTTGTCGCCTGTTACCCAGCAGTGTCCTTTTGGTACCTGGCATTTGTTTTTAGTATATTTGTGGAGCAGAGTGAGAGGGGGAATTGGGCGCTTGAAATTTTGTATTGGCCTTGAGAAGTGATTTGTGATAAGATTTGGGGATTTGAGAGAGCTGTAGTGATTGATATACCTGTAACATTTCATTTCGTAATGATCCGGGGGTATCTCGAAGAACGTAGTCACCCTCAAGTCCCATTACGCGTTTTATCACTGTTTCTCCCGGGTTTACTACGCTAGAGAAGACGACTATATCGCCTACCTATTGAGAGTGTTAGTGGGTTTATGATGTGTGAGATGATTGATGAGCAAGAGTCGATTCGATTTGTCAGGTTCTAAGACATAAGTGACAGATTTTGAGTGCTACTTTAGACCGATAAACCTTCATAAACACAGTCTTACAGCCATAAATCATTGCATTGAGAAGTAGCGAAGAAGTGCTGATAGAAAATAATGGCGACGTACTTTTATATCTCGTCCACGTCTATAATATTTCGACGTTAAAGCATAATCACCCATGACACTGAAGGTAGGCAGCATTGAAGGACCCAACGTTGCTGAGATTGTGTATGCATGTGTCATGAACAGATGGGTGAACAGTAGACCGCGGGCCGCCCATGAGAGTACATAGAGGGCGTTGCGGATCGAGTATTGTGGTGGTGGATTTTCGGCTTGAGGTTGGATGCGAGGAGTTGTGTTACTTCTTGGGAGTTTAAACAATTTGGATATTCGTGGGAAAGATCGTAGGAGGGTCATTGAAGAAATTATCGTGATTGCTGGCTTTGGCGACTGGATGGGAGATGGAGTTGGTGTCGATATCACAATCTCATGAGGAAGTCGATCACATGACGAATATTTACTATTGCAAGGATATTTGCGATAGCTTCAGACGACATCTCAAACTTTACAAAGCTTCGATTTCTCCAACTCGAAGCTAGCCACAAATACAACTTCTACCATGCGGACTGCGAAACACATATCCAGTACAGCTGCAGCTCTGCGAACGGTTTTTCTTTCCCAATTCGAGACCCGCTCTCTTCAATTTTCTGCGCGACAATGGCCAGCCCAAAGCAATCAACATCGTTCTAATCCATTCTCAACGACCACTCGCCGCAGTGTCTATGTTGTAACGCCCAGAGATGCTCCAATCAAATCGCGCAATGCGAAGAATGAAGAGATTACATCTTATGAATGTGTGGTGGTGATGCCAGACGGCACAATGAGCGATGTACAATCCACATCCCGCGTCCTCGATTCAGTCGACCGGCGAACCGAATACCTTATAACCGTTTCCGAAGTCCCTGACCCGCGAGAAGCACCACCAAGAGACGATTCCCCATACAGCTCCTCCCGGTATGATGCGGAGCACACCAGCAGGTTGCCCCTGGTAAAAATCGTCAACAAGGCAGAGCAATACAAGAAAGAGAAAGAGGCGAAGAAGAAGAGGAAAGAACAGAGTGCTAGTAAAGTACGCAAGACTATAGAGATGAATTGGGCGATTGAAAAAGGCGATGAGGGTCATCGAATGGAGACTTTGAGGAAGTTTTTGGCGAAGGGTAATAAGGTTGATGTGGTGCTGGCGAAGAAGAGGAAGGGGAAAGAGGCCACGACGGAGGCGGCAAATGCGTTGGTTCAGAGGATTCGGAAGGTCATTCAGACTGAAGGGAAGGGTTGGAAGGAGGGGAAACCGGCGGAGGGGAAGATTGGGGGCACATTTACTCTCTATGCGGAAGGGAAGGCCGAGAAATCTGCTCAATCTGATCAACCAGAGGACGGCGAGGACGGTGAGAATTCCGAGAAATCAGTGACGCCCGAGAAATAATGATGCGGAAAGCTTGGTGAGTGTATGTTTGTATCTATGTATTAAATCGCAAATGTTCAAACCTAGGCCAGTGGCTAGTCTTTCTTGCTCTGCGCAGTACGCAAATTCTGCTTCTAGCCCTAGAACCAGTCGCGGAATTTTTGTATCTGCGGTTCTTACGATTATTACCATGATTAAGACCAAGGAAGTTTACAATGAGACCTTCAGTTTTGGCGATTTACAAGTTTTCATTGTGCAGTGTACAAGTTCTAGATACATTTGGGACGCCAGATCCAAACTCAAGTTTTGTCACAATATCTGTCGCTTTTTTTTTTGCCATCCTCCGACTTAGCCTGTATGCTAAAAAAACGTTTGTAAAACTCATTACGAAGCAGAGACAGACTCCTCGCATCCGAAAAATAACAAAATACCTATCGCTCAGAGATCCCAACAGCACCACCCGCTTCTCTTACGTCCTCTAGCTAGGCATGGAATACAGCTTCGGAAGAGGCTTATTCAATGCGGACAACGACATGAGCCTTCTCAAGAACTACTCCTCTCTTGCGATTTTCCTCTGGGAAGTTTATCAGTGCTGGAGAGAGAACGAGGGAGATGCGCTTGTCTCCTCCTCTGTTCATAACTTCTTGGTCTTGGATTGCTACTTCATTCAAGTCTGGAAAAGCTCCAATGTCCGGGGTGCGAAACACATAAATGCTCTTGGTGCCTCGAACCATCAATGCAAACTTGAGTGCATCCTCGCACAGCTTTACCAGCAGTTCTGGATACAACTTTTGGTCTCTAGGAGTATCGCGATCGTATCTGAATTTATGAAAAGGACTGAGCAGTTCATACAGTTGCTTCCCGAGTTTTGTTGCATTGATGCTGTCTGACAATAGAAGAGAAGCACATTTTACCGTATGTCTTCTCCACTCGACGATTTCGTCAGTATGATTGGCTAAGATTCAATGAGCTTCTTGTCATACATCCAAGGGTGAGCCTCTTACCGTTCAGGTTCTCAAACAACACTGTCTCAAGCTGACCCAAAGTCGTCTCAAAGTTCATATCATGATCATTCTCAAATCCGAAACAGCGTTTATTCAATATCTGCTCCAAGATGAAGTTGAAAATATACGAGCGAGCTCTCTTGCCCATTTGATCATCTGTATAGCCATTTGCATACAAGCTGTAAAACTCTTGCTGAAGTTTCGGAGAGTCGTTTGTTGCAAACCCTTTTGGCTGCCACTCATCATCGAGATCGAAGTATCTGGAAACGATGAGCTGGATTTGTTCTCGTAGCTCAGTGTATTTTCCGATGATAGTCCCGGCGTGGATCGTCTGGCCGTACTCGGTCGCTTTGCTCAAGATAATCTCCTTGAGCTTTGCGTTTGCTTCACCTGCTTCGCGGACCATTTGCTCCAGGTTCTGGATTTTTTCGGTTGCATTTGTTGAGTCATATTTGGTTAACTTGTTTGCGTGGTCCAATGCTGCTTGAACCTCTCGATTCGTGGCCTTCAGCGAGGAAATAGTCTTCTCCGCACTTTGGACCTTTCGAAGCAGCTCTTGTTGACTTTTCTCCATTTTTCTCTTTTCGTCAAGCCACTTTCCTTGCGCGCTCGAAGTCGAGGAGTGATCACTTGACCTCTTAGAGTGATCAGAGACCTGTGATCCGCCAAAAGGAAGCATTCCGGACAACTAAGGGGGGTTTGGTTATTTTCTTGCCTTCAATCATTTACAACCACTTACATATGACGATGTTTTGCTCACAGATGAACTGCCGTGGCTGGTGCTAGATTCTGAGAGAATCTCCTTCTTGAGTGTAGAGATGATCTCGCTTGTGGCGTGCTTCAGAGCCAAGTCGATGTGGGTGTTTGTTTCAGAGAACCCTTTTGTCATCGAATCTTGAAGGCTTCTGCGGTCATTCTCAGAGTCATACTCCGAATGCTCACTTGTGTCGTGATGAGAAGTGTGAACGCCCTGATTCTCTTGGGTCTGGTTTCTTTGGCTTCGTCGGCATGGCTGCTGCGTGTTCTGCGAGAAATAACCCTGCTGTCCATGGCTTGAATAGTAGTCTCTATGGTGTTGATCTGACATTGCGAATTGGGTGGACGTTTGTGGTCTTTTATTTCTCTAACTGCGCTAATAGCGATTGAATGAGATCGTGGCTGTGGTTGAGTTAGAAAATTATTCTCTGGTTATATCATCGATAGAGCAATATTTTGCGATGTTAATCGTAATCACACTCACCAGTGAAAGAAAGATTGTCGGGTGCACCAGTTTGCAGTGGTAGAAATCGTCGCCACGTAGGCTATAATGCTAACAAAACAATGACCTCGATGCTGCCTCTTGACTGAAAGTGTAAGCGCCTGATGTCAAATGGTATTGTGCAAACCAAATTTCCGAAAAAAAAAATAAGGCCAAACCTTTTGGTGTGAACTTATCTGGGCCAGAGTTGTGGGACGACAGGCAGAAATTTTGAGAATTTTCAATCAAGTTAGAGAAAGTCTGAATTCACAACCTTCGAAACTACAACCTTCGATTTCGATCCTTCTTTGAAAAGCACAAAGTGAATGAGCTGTAATTCATTCACTTAATCCAATTTAGAAAGTTCCAATGATGTTAAAATTCACTTAGGGAAGCAGCGCTAGGAGGTTCCAAGGTTGGCCGTTGTATTTAATAGAGTCAAACCGTCAGCCCAATGTCTTTCTCTTTCCTTTCCTAAAACTTCCAAACCTCATTTCAGGATCACTTTGATGCGATCCGAAGAGCTCGCGTTTATTTGTTTCATACTTCATTTTCTTCCAAGTTCCCGCAGTCGCAACAATGGCTGACCTTAGTAAAGGCCTAAAAGATATGAAGATTGATGGTGATCGCCTCATCGTTGGTTTTGACTTTGGCACGACATTCAGTGGCGTCGCTTTTGCTTTCAATTCAGGCGATAAACCAGATGTGCATTCAATCGTTGACTGGCCCGGTAGGTTCTGTTCTGCCACGATCCCATTTCGACGATGCTGACACCTTGGAAAGGTATTGAAGGGTTTCCCCAACCGAAGGTCCCAACTATCATAAAATATGACGATAGTGACAAGAGTAAATTCACATGGGGAGCACAAACGCATGCTGCAAATCCTATTGTGGGCATTAAGCTTCTGCTTGATCCAAGCCAGCCAAGACCTCCCTATCTTCCAGATTCCAACGCGCAGGACGACCTCGACGAAATTGGCAAGCCGGCTGTTACAGTTGCTGCTGATTATCTTGCGGCGCTTTATAAGCATGCTATGGAGAGGATCAAGACGAGTGTTCCCACAGACTACTTAGCGAAGTGCAAGAAGGAATATGTACTCTCCGTACCGGCTGTTTGGTCTGATAAAGCTAAAGATTTGACTTTAAAGGTATGAATCACATTACTCTATTGATGTAGCTCTTTAGATATTGATCCTGTTATAGGCAGCTAAGCAGGCTGGTATTCATCCCGTTACCTTGATCAAAGAACCGGAAGCTGCTGCATTGTATACTTTGTACACGCAGAAGGACAAGTCTCTTGCTGTAAGTCTTCCTCGCTAGTCTATAGCTCACTCTAATTGTTATAGGTTGATGATGCAATCGTCATTGTCGATGCTGGTGGTGGAACTGTTGACTTGATCTCATATGAGATCGCGGCGATGAAACCCCGATTGGAACTTAAAGAGCTCGTCCCTAGCAAAGGTACCTGATGGTTCCCAATCTCGATGCAATCTCTAACCGGCATATTCTAGGAAGCATGGCTGGCTCACTTGGACTTAATAAGCGATTCGAGCAAGAGGTTCAACACATCATCGGGCCGGCTGAATACGGTCGTATATACCAACAAGTCGGTTATACGACAGCTGTGAACACATTTGATAAAAATGTTAAGACTGCATTTCGAGGTGATGTAGACAAAGAGTATTTTGTTGCATTTCCGTGTGCCGATCTGAAAGACAATAAGAAACGCAACCTGAAGAGGGACGTTTGGACTATGACAGGGTGAGATTACACTTTTCCCGATCTTATCCATAAGATCCACTAATAAGTTTAATCCTGCAGATTTGACGTAGCAAAGATCTTTGAGCCATTGGCTGCGGACATCGAGAGTCTGGTGGATCAGCAAGTCAAGGAGGTCATTACCAAGAGATCTTTGGACAAGCACCCTAATGCGACAAAGATCAAGGTAAAAGGAGCAAGTATCTGAGAGAGAACGAAAGCTAATGGCTGCGTCTAAAACTAGGCTATATTCATGGTTGGTGGTTTCGGTTCTAGTGTATACATTAAGAATCGACTCCAGGACAAATATCCCGATATTCAAGTAATCCAACCTCACGATGCCTGGGGTGCTATTGTCAAGTAAGTTGTTCAATCGAAATTTCTTATGCGATTATTATTGATTTACCTTTTAGGGGTGCTGTGCTCAGTAAATTACATCAACAAGCCTTTGTGTCCTCAAACATTTCCCCACGCCACTACGGTGTTGTAGCAAGCGATTTGTTTGTAAAAGGAGAGGACGAGGGCCAACATACTTTCAAAGGTCTTGGTGACGGCTCAATTAGAGTTTCTAAGGTGACCAATGTTCCCACGAAGCTAGTTCTGAATTAACACATGATATAGTGTACATGGCACATCAAGCGCGGTGACGAGTTGGTTAAAGGAAAGCCTATTGCATTTCCATTTTATAGAGTTCTTCCTGGGAATTTCGAAAAGAAAGATTTGATCTTCAATACCACTCTACAACAAAGCGACGAGGTCGCTCCACCAAAATATCCCGCCAAGCGTATCGTGAAGCCTTGTTGCAGCATGGCTGCAGATTTAAGAAGTGTTTCTCGCGATATGTTCAAGCTCCGTAAAGGTGCTGATGGAAAGAAGTACTACACTTTGTCGTATGACCTTGTAGTCCGAAGCGAAGGGGCGGTCATGAAGTTTTCACTTGAGATTGGGGGCAAGGAGATGGGGAGTGTTACTGCGAAGTACGAATGAGTACGACACAGCAGTCGAAGGCATGGTAGTAACACTAGATGCTCTATTTGGATAGCGTGTTCTAGCGGTATGACATTGTCTTTCGGAAGTCTTGTTGTTCAAGTTCTGGTCTGAGATTGACATGACATTTTGTTGTCGAAGGATTCTTAACTTCTGTAACTCGCTCCTCTCAGTGTAGAGCAGACTTTCGGTTTACATAGTTTACACAGTTTACCAATCAATATATCTGTTCTCAAATTTGTTTCCCAGAAAGTGAGCAAGGGTGGTGCAACGCACAAGATATTTCTGTTTATTACCGCTGACTTCACTTGCAATCTAGAATTTTGAAGGAATGTGGTGTACAAAGGTCCTGTCATCAACCTGGAAAACTAAAGCGACGTCATTTCTAATTCCCCTGATCTTATTACTGTGATTCATATTTCTCTGAATCACCCTGCTGTGAATCATCACGCTGTGAATCATCATGTTATAAATCATGCTCTAAATTACAATCTCTGAATCACGGCGTACCATTGTGTTCTTCTACATTGAATCAATCTCTATAGTATGCGGAAATTGTTGGAATCCCTCACGCTTCGCCTTGTACGTACCCAGAGTATATTGTAAATGAATATATTCCATAAATTCCATATTTTGGCACGAAAAATACGCTATTATCAAAGACAGAGTTATCCACAGATTAAGACTATGATATGCAGAAAGACATTTCACCACTTCGACATTCATTCATTGGACCGTTGGCAGCTGCTTATATCAACGGTCCTGTACAGTAGTCGGCTGTGACAATTATTCTTCCTGGTGGGATTTTCTAAAGTTTAAAAGATTAAGATTGTTTATTCAAGTTGTCATTATTCCATTATAGCGTGCGTTTGCCACGTGTTTCCGTCGCGTTGTCTGGCAACGTTCGAGGAGGAGTTTGTGCGATATTGCTGTCGCTCTGCTCTCGCTTAGTTTAAGATCGGCTCAGGTATGCTACCAACTTGCGTATCACTGTCAAGAATATCGTGATAAAGACTGCTTCTTATCATTATTGACGTTCCTAGATTTTGAAGAACAGTCCCATGTCATAAGTCATATTATATATCTGCCTGTTTCTCGTAGCTAGTCTGAACTCCTCTATCATCTCCATCTACATGTAATTTCTGACCTTCACATGTTTTACAGAAAAAGTTGTTATGATACAAATGTCTGAAGTCGCGCAACTAAGATAATTCTCTTCCGACAATGATCAATCGAGTATTATTACAATGTCTATTTTCAAGAATTAAAACTAATCTCTAACCTCTAATAAGGATTCCCAATATTTTAGTACGCCCCTCCCAGAAAATGCTTAAACCTTCGACCCATATATACATTCCTTGGAAAAGCTGGAGAGATTTATGTTGTTGCTCTGCTTGTTATATTGCCAGGGCACTTGAAGTCGTCGTATGACCAGTGGTTTCCAATGATTTGTTGAGAGTCTGCACCTTCTGAGGAAGGGGTTTGGCGACTGGCTTAGCGAGTGGTGTCGTGTAGAATTACTTCCGGGTGCTACCAAATGAACTGGCCAGGATAGATAGCAGTGTTTCGAATTTTCCCATCTCTGCAAATTGAGGATAGCCTTAACAGTTCTCACGCTCGACTACACGATAGTCGGGTCCGGACCGAATTGGTATACGTTCAAACGGTTGCCAGCCCCACAGAACTCATTGTTGTTTCCTGGGCAGACGAAACTACACTCAGAAGTTGGTGCAGAAACACTTCCAGAGTTAAGACTGGCACCGCAGTAGCACTCGCGTCCATATTCAACCCCGAACATCGCAAATCCCGAACAAGCCGAGGCACAAATTTCGACTGTCATTCCGTTATTAATGTAGGTTGCTCCAGATAAGGCACGCATGTTAGTTGCTTCGGTGTAGCAGCCGGTTGTAGCGTATCCAGGATAAGGTGTCGGCGTTGGAGTTGCGGAAGTAGTGGAAGAGCTGACTGGAGTTGGCAGAGATGAGCTGTCACCAAAAGCGTAAAGGTTCAATCGGTTGTTGGCACCACAGGTTTGGGTCTTGTCTCCTGTGCATGGGAATTTACAGTCGGTCGAAGCAACCTGGACACTGCCAGGCTGAAGACTGTTGCCGCAGTAGCATTCGAAATAATATTCAAGCCCAAAGTATTTGAAGCCAGCGCAATTCGCAGCACACTTTTGGGTTGTCATAGCATCGTCACTGAAAGACTTCTCCTTAAGGGCGCGACCGTTGGTTGCTTCTGTGTAGCATCCCAATGTCCCGTACGAGGTGGGTAGAGTAGGCGACGTTGTAGAAGTAGGCGATGCAGAGGTCGTTACCGTGGAACTTGGCTTCATGTAGACGTTTAATCGATTCCCAGCTCCACACGTTTGAGTGCTCGAGCCTGAACACTTGAAGTTACAATCTGTGTCCGGGGCACGTACACTGCCAGCGGCAAGAGCGCTTCCACAATAACATTCTCGGCCATATTCAACTCCAAATATTGGAAATGAAGAACAAAATGTAGCGCAACGGTCAACTGTGAGTTGGTCACTAGCCAAAGACGCAGCACTTAAAGCGCGGGCTGATGTCGCTTCTGTGTAACACCCTGAGTACTCCCAGCCTGCAGGTGAAGATGGTGAAGTTGAGACTGAGGATGTGGTGGATGAGCTCACGAGGCTAGTGCTATAAGGTATAAGTTAGAATATCACTGAATGATCGTTGCATAAGAGAACGAACCTTGAGCTTGAGGGAACCGTAATGAAGCTGCTCGATGAAAAAGACGAGCTAGAAGAAACTGTCGTAGTGCTACTTGATAGAGATGATTGCGTAGATGAAGAAGTGTCTCCAACGCTGGTAGTGGAGCTGGAAGATATTTGACTTGTGGTACTTTGGGTAGAGGAGATCGAAGGCGACGAAGTTACGAATCCTGCGCTGGTACTGGTAGATATGTCGCTTGAACTTGTCGTGCTTGATGGGACAGAAGAGGAAGTGGTGTCCCCAGTGCTTGTTGTGGTGCTCGTAAAAGACCCACTTGTAGTTGTTGTGCTCGATGATACCAAAGTCGTAGTCGAACTCAAGCTCAGCGAACTAGAGGTTGAGCTCGCGGCTAAGCTACTAGAGACTATGGTACTTGTCGTGGAGGGACTTGACAACGTGGATGAAGTTGATAGTGTGGATGAAGCTGAGACTGTCGAGTCAGCGGCGGAAGTCGGCAGTGTGGATGAAGTAGGAACGGCTGCTGATGTTGAAGATGGCGGAATAGCATTAGCACATTGTTGAGGGACAATCCGAGCACTGTTCAAGGTGATGGAGCCACCGAGAGCATAGAGCGCCCCATTCATAGTGACCCCTGAATTCACAGTTATGGAAACAGCAGCAAGGACGTTTCCAGATATTTGTGACGCGACTCCAAGAGTGGCAGAAGATCCCACCCGAAACCATACATTACAAGGCTTAGCACCACCTGTAAGAATGACATTCGCGCCGACTGAGGTAATTAACGTCGACCCGATCTGAAAATACCAGGCATCAGTAGGAGATCCTGTCCCAGCAAGAGTTAAGATTCCAGTAATCTGGGCTGAAGTCGCGTATCTGTAAGTTCCAGGGCCCAAGACTCGATTGCCTAAGTTGCCAGCCAAAATCGTTGCGCCGCCCAGTGCACCGAGGGTCTGATATGCAGTCAACGCATCGTTTCGAGCTGCCACTGCTTGACTACCCAAGAATTTTGTTCCAGTAAAGACACCAGGTGGAAATCCCGTAATAGATGTCCCAAGAGTACCCACGTCGCCAGAAATTGAGGTTGGCCCGGTGTTTGTAATTGTCGCATAGGAAAGTGCTCCAAAGCTTCCTGCTGTGCCTAGGTCTATCTTTACAATATAGGTTAGCCAGCGTACTCGTTAATTATCTGAAAACGCTTCAACTTACATATGTGTATGCGGCATTGACAACAAATGCATGTCGCAACGCTACAAGGAAAACACTAAGTCTCATGATGACCGATGCAGCAATGTCAAAGAATGGAGGACAGAATCTTGCATGCAACGAAATGCAAAGATTTCGAGGAACCACGTCCCCCTATAACAGACATTGATGGGGACGTGGGCGGCCGAAAGTCCAATTTCATGTCTATCTAGAGCGATCTTCAACTGTTGATGCTAACTATATGTCAATAATTGCAATCGATAGTAGAGTTTCAGCTGCTCTCAAAGCCCCATCTAGTCCAATCTGGACTTACGCCACCTCGCTTAATCGCCTTGACAGCCAGAAAAGAGGTTAGCGGTGCACGTCAAGCGGCTCCAAGCTTAACTAAGTGGACTTAGACTCTTCAGCTCCGTCCCCACGGGCTCTCCGCTCAGGCGGATAAGCAACTCCCGTGCTGTCTATCATTACGGTCACGTGGTTATTACCCCTTTTATCCGCCAATCGCAATTTTGCTTGGGACGGCAGACAGCTATGATTATGCCAGTCCGACATTAGTTTATTCTTAGCAACTTCTAGGAGAATATTTGGGTTTTCTGTGTGAGTAACCTACTTTTCAGCAATTTGGATTGCCGCGTAATCTTCTCATCACCTTCTCCTACAGGTTGGTTCAATAAAGAAGCATTAGTTGTGGCGTTACTAACTACTTCCAGAGCCTGGGAGGCATAATATCTGGATGTTCTCCGTTCGCAGACCTCTAGATCTTATTGGATGGTTAGTCGCAAAAATCTTTAAACCTTGTCTTTCAGAATATATAGAGTACATATTTCATTGATCGTAGCCTTCACGCTCACATTGGGTGACGGCTGTCGTGGCTTTGACCTATAGCTCTGAAAATTAGAGTACACTGCTGGCACATAGGCTAAGGTGCTCTTCCTTCTCTAAGAAAAGTCGTCGCGATTTTGAAACCAAAAGGAGATAACTCCCTTTGGGTAACGTGATCCCCATCAAAGTAACAATTGAAGTCAACATTAGGTTTCTGGTGCATCCGATCCACCGTTCTTGGGCCCTTTTGTTCGTATATAGTGATTCAAAGAGATTACCTGACATGACCTGGCTATTAGATGAAATTTAGTTTCAACAATCCCCTCTATACAAAACCAGGACAAACTTTCCTGACTGTCCTCTTCTGCTCTCCGCTTTCTCTCCTTGTCGTCTCTGTCTTTATCTTTTTTATTCTGGTATGCCTTCCTTTGTGCCTCATTATGAAGTTCTTTATGTCTGGTACACCCGGGCCCTCGTTCGTTGCGGTGCTCGATTGCTTCACAAATGAAACCTCCAAGTGCGATTGGGCACTTTTCTAGGCATGTAAATTCGCATTGGCAAACATAATAAGCTTTGAAATATTGTATGCACATGACGACAGCGGAAGTGAGCGGCGACTGTGTTTTCGTGGTTGTTCCACTGTTTAGTGGGTATTTGGACTTGAGATGCAGAGCGAAGTGGAAATGTGTATTTGATATCGTACTTGTCTGAGGTGGCGTTATACTGGAAGATCTGTTTTGGCACTTGGAGTTGTTTGATGAAGAAGCCAGATGCTGACGGTTTCGAAGCTTTTATACTTGAGACCAAGTTTGACAGTCACATCCAGACATACGATTTGACGGACTCAGCATTGTCTTTGCACGGAGTTTCGACTCAAAGGCTGTAAATTGCTTGATCTTCCTTGTCAACTCTCGAGATTTAGGGATATTCATATCGCTAGGCTTGAGTAATCGTCAAATATCCTATAGTTTCCAGATGTCACCACCGTGTCACCCTTGACAACACTCATAAAGCTAGGAACCGTGATCGATAAATCCGCTTCAGCTAGACACTCATCTGAACTGCCTCAGCACGCGACATATCCCCCGATTCATATCTTGACAACACGCAAAACTAGACATATTCAGCTCGATAAAACCACATACTCTTTGATCACCCCAAGTCCCACACATGTCACATCTTCTGAACCTTGGCAAGAGTCAAGATCTCTTTATTTACCGCGCTAAAACCGAGCATCATCCAATACTCCAGAACCTCCACACATCATCAACTTCCCACCTCTGGACTTTCCAGACGACGTGTACATTCCACTCGTCAAAACCAAGCATTACTCAACTATCAAAAACCTCGAATATGCCATTGCTTCAAACCCTTGCCCACATTCGACACCTCGAACATTCATTTGCTCGAAACCAAATCCTCGACTCCTAGAAAATTTGCACGTCATAAGTTCACTCTTGAAAACAACACCTAGAACAATCTGAATCATTCAACTCGCGCAACCCAAAATCGTCTTCAACATCTACCTGAGCACACATCACCGCCACCTAGAGCAAGGTTAGTGATTATGATGATGTAGGATTCTCGCACGCAACTTTGCGGCAACGACTTCAGAGTAATGAAATGTGATTCAAGTTTGTGTTTTTATTGAGATCATTCGTACATATGTATGCCGCGAAACATAATCAACCTGTAGAAGTCTGAAGCCTTTCACTCCACAATTGATCTTCAAACTTCCCAAGTCCAAAGATGCCTAAGACAACACCATACAGCAGCTCAACACGATAACACGATTCTTCCACTTTCCTCAACACCCCTGCCCGTCTAAACATCCACCAAACTCTTTCATCACCATAAGACCCTTCAACGTCCTTCACCCTTTGCCTCTTCACATCTTCTTCTATTCATCTCTATCCTCCATTCCACCCCTTCCTTTCATCCCTCATCTTCCTTATTTTCCTCCCCCATCTCTCTCCCGCCGCTCTCCAGCCTCCCGACAAGCAGCACACCACAAATATTCTTCAGACTCTCTTTCTTTCCTCTTAATGGTGCATTGTTGTGGATCGTCGCACTCAATCATAATTCCTGCATCTTTATGACGACAGTTTCTGTATTTTATGATTGGCCATTCACACATAGCTTCGAGGTGTGTTAGGGTCGGAGGCTTGAAGATCGGGTGTTTGGGGTTATTTTTCAGGGGGCCTGGGTGCTTTGTTTTGAGATGGAGAGAGAATTTGGCTCAGGTGTTTGTGCTTAGTGTAGGATGAAGCTTTGAGGTGATTTGAATGTTAGAATATATTGTTAAGTGTTTGGTGAAGATGTCTAGAACTTCAAGACTAGGATCTTTTATACCTGAGAAACAGGCATGCTTGAGACATACAGTACTTCTTATGGGGTTCAGCATGATATAAAATGAGATGGTTGAACACGAAGCTAGAATTGCCATGCAACTGCTTGTTGAAACTTGATGATTGGAAGATTCATATTGCTGGCAACGAGTATTGTTTTGATACTTCTAGATTTCCCGCGTGTCAAACCCCTCTTGGTTGATTGATACCTGAGTCTTGACCATACTTGGTGACCTGCCATACTCATTCTGACGATCAAATATCTTCGAACATCCCAACATTATTCCCTCTACAATCTCACTTATATCTTGCTGACAAATATCCACTCATAGAAACGAATATAAGAAAGGAGAATAGCGTGAACAATAATAGATGTCAATTTAAACCAAAACAATATTCAAGCTTCCAAAACCCGAAAATGGTATAACCATGCACCAATCCCCATCCCAAAATGCCCAACCAAATACCCATAACCCAAATACCCATTCCAATTTCCCAACCATGCACCTCCCCAATGCCCTTACACTCCTAAATGCTACCCCGATACAATCCTTCTACTCCAAACAAAGCATCCCAGCTCACCACACCATCAAACCATAGCCGTCTTCCCCTCACCCCTGCCCCTAGAGATTTTGGCCACATCAACATCCTTCCCTATCGCAGCTTCACTACTACCACTATAACCCACGGCACGTCGCATGCTGCCTTGCGCGTCGACGCCTTGACCGGAGACAAGACGGATGGGGATGGAGAAGTTCATGTTATCACCTCGCTCCTTCGTTACTTGTAAAGGTTGATCAGGGTAGACGTTGGGATCTATACCTTCGATGTGGTCCGGCGAGGGTGGAATGCGTAGGTCGCGAAGGAGACGGGATAGCTCTTCTTCGTGGGAGATGGCGACAGGTAACTCGGTTACTGGTGCGCATGCAGTTGGGACGATGGTGGAAGACTCATTGTCGAGGAGTTCGTCACCTCCTGGCATGGACATGCTGGATGCATTCAGCGTCTCGCCAATATCTTTAAGGAGGATCTCCATGGGACAGATATATGCGACCTTTTTGCGAGAACTCCATGCTAGAACGTGACCACAAGCTCGGCCGTGTTCATTGTCGACAACCCAGGCGCCCGAGTCACCTGGTACACCGAGCTTACCAGCGACTTGATAGCTGCTCGAGGGTGTCTGGCGCCCGTAGATCTTGACAATTGTCATGCCTGGCAGGATGCGACCTTGTTGCAAACCTGAGGTGCGTGCCATGCAGTGGACTTGAAGATCGGCGAGATCTTGGTGTGGAGCAACGGCAGTAGGATATTCACCCTCCTTCAGCTGACAGAAGCGTGCGCCATTCTGAATGTTATTTTCTTCTGGGCATCGGTCGTCGTTAAATTCGAATAGCGCCCAATCGATTTCGTGCACAACGCCCTTCTCGGTACGACGGCGAATACCAGATGAAGCATAAACTTCGCCAAGAGAGAAACTTTCCAAGTGATCTTCATCTCGGGTCTCCTCATCGGGGTAAAAATCCTCTTCAACATCATCCATTGCCGGTTGAGTAATAATATAACCTTCACCGCATCCCTCTGGCACACCCTTGATATCTCCTGGTTCTTCCTCTCCATCGCTTTCGTCCTGATAATCATCCTCGTCATCAAATTCAGAGTCCGTGGGAGCTTCAGAACCAAAGTCAGATTCGTAGTCCGATAATTGATACATGAACTCTTCATCACCACTGCTATAGACCGAGGAGTCGGAGTGAGTGAGGTCGGGTAAATCCCCGGAATGTGCGCTTGATCGCAAGATAGGCTCTCGAGGAATAACATCGTCTTCCTCCTCCTCCTCTTCCGGATCGTCAAGCATATGATGGACCGTCATGCCATAAGGCTTTTCATCAACCATAATCAGCCCCCCGAATGAGACCGGTGGCAAATGTCTCTCGCCTATATAAGCGCCAATGGAAGCGCCATTTCCAGGTCGCTCTTGATGCTCCGCATTAGCCGGCTTCTGTTCTCCGCTAAACTCCCTGGCCATCGATCGCCTAACACCCTTACTACGTGACCTCAACACTTTTCCTCTGCAAACCTTCAGACCGTAAGACTGTTTATCATAAACCAGATGCTTTTTCAGTATACTTCTAACTTTCTGCACACTTGTGCAAATTACTAGTATAGTCGGTTTAGTGGTTGTTGGTGACTCCCCAATACTCTCCAAACTGATCTCGACCGATTCTGGATACTTCCGATAGAAGCCACGAAGGACGTGGTTGATATGCGGCATCAAACCAGTATGCCAGAAGTTGAGATGGTCTTGACTTATTCGGACGGCAGGGTATGTACGAAGTTTTGGCTTAGGCTTCTCGACTATTTGTTGTGGCGGTGGAGCTACAATATGTAAGCGAGTAAAATAGGGGATATGGCAGGGAAAAGACTAACCAGTGATCTTGGAAGCGGCAGTAGGTTTCTCAGCCCAGTTGATGACTTCTGGAAAAGTTGGTGCAGGAGAAGGTTTTGTAAACGAATGGCTTTTCTCGGTCCAGCTAGGACGGACAGGGGGTGTAGGCGCAACAAACGCTTGGCTCTTCGATTCCCTCAAGCCCCTACGGAGTGGTGTTGAGGATCGCGATGTCCTCTGTGGAGTTGAGTTGTCTTCTAGCTCGGAAACCTCTTCCTCAGCATCATCCAAGGCGCAGCAGGTCTGGAGTGCTTTGGAAACTTTCCAAAAGGTCTTCTGGTGCATGACATCGGCTCTCGCTTTTTGTGAAAGCTCATCCTCTGGGGCTCTCCAACAAGCTTGCACAGCTTTCATATAAAGACTTCCGCAACGCGTTGCTAATTGTTTGAAGACAGCAGTAGGATTCTCCGGAATAGCGTTCATCGATGGGAAGATATCGGACAATGATGTCCAGAGACCGATCTCGAGAAGAAGCATCGCCAAGCTGTATAGGTCCAATGACTTGCTATCCGAGGTCAAGTGTGTGTATCGAGTATTTCGAGGATCGAGAGGGTGTTTGTAAAGGGAAGTGACTGTGTTTTCATTACCATCCGTGGCGTTATCTGAAAACAAGTCGTATGACGAGAGGAATGATTGCCGCATATTAATTTGACTCGCGTCGGTTCGACTCCTCGCCCGCGATTGATGTTCGATAAAAATGACGTTAGAAGTAGAGATATTCCCATGTACTATACCCTTCGAATGTAGTTCAAAAACCGCTGTCGCAATATTCTGCGCTAATCGATATTTGATTTCCAAAGTCGGTTCAAAAGGGGTAAACAACATATCGGATAAGAATGAGATGGAAGGCATCCTAGGACTTTCAATGTCCACAGGTCCAAAATGTGTTGGTAATGCAAATAAGAGACAGAATCTTGAATTATCGGCTTCCTCGAAATATCCGATAAGATTGAGCAGGCCAGAAGGTGCCTTGCCAGTTGAAATGTAAGATTGAGAAAGAGCACCGAAGAGTTTTTCGAATCGACTGAGAGATGGTGTAATACCGGTGATCGAGTATATAGGATCATAAGGAGCATGTTCTAAAAGTACAGGTAATAATGGAAGTTGTTGACCATGTTGTTTTCTTGGGTCTGGAAGCGAGGTAGGTCGTCGCATGAAGACTATCTGTCTACGTGCCTTCGCTGGTTGCAACATACCGGACTGAACTCCCTTGAGATCTCGGGGCCATATTAGTGTCGCTGGGTTAATTTGTTTAGGTGTCTGAATTCGATTCGACTCGAAAAGACGTTCCTCAACAGCATGAACCTTAGAAAGCGAGCTCGAAGAATCCGAATGCTTGATCGAATGAGGTTTCCGAGTCGACTGTCGTGTTCTCGAAAGATCATAAAGCGTATCGATCGACATGGTCAAATCCCTGACCAAATCCTGAAATCTCGACTTATCCCACGTAATCAACGACGTTTTTCGGTCCAAATTCATCTCATGAACCGCACCCTTCTCGTCACTCGACCGCTTCGAAGACTGCCATAACGGTTCCGCCTCGGCTAATATCTCTTTGATCGTAGACATCACACTTCCCACCAGCTCGCTCAACCCAGCCTTGTTGATAGACTCGTCAATGTCAGGTGACTGCGAAGGATCCGACCATTCCAAACCCCAAGATACCAGTCTATCCTTCTGAATGCGCAACTTGCGGTGCAGAGACATCAATTCCGGGTCTTCGGCCGCTTGAACGGGTTCCTTGACGAAATCATAAGAGCTCTTGGTATCCGTGTACATCTTCGTCAGGCGTCGCTGGAAGGGCAGCGGAAGACTGAAAAGCGACTCCATGATGGCCCGATATCCGTACTGCAAGCTCGATGCAGGATAAGAGTTGCAAAGACGAGGGTCCGAAGCGTTGATTTTACATAAGTATAGAGAAAGGAGATGAAATGGAGAATGGAATGTTGTGGGATATCAAAATCTTTCTGCCTACTTGGTGGTGTCAAACCCAACCGTAACCGTGAAGTCCCAAAAGTTGCTGCCTTGAGAGGGAGTCGTTTGCTGGCTGGTGTTTGGTTCGCCCCAAGCTGAGAAGTGGGGCAAATCCACTACCGGCTTGGCATCACGTGGAGCCGAATACGCAAACGAGCACTTCGTACTGAGTACCTGATTGGGATACTTATATTACACAGTACTTTGTCGATCTCGTATTGATTATTTTCATTTTTCCACTCTAATCTTACCAGACAAGCTTTCTTCATTACATTTTCGAAGTTTCTCGAAACCGTTCGACGCATTTAGGCATATATTTGCTGCTTATACTTTTAGCCACCTTACGAGATTAACCACGAACTCTATGTTCCACGAACAGCAATCTTTCGCACAATCATTTCACCGGTCATAATCCCCAAAAAGTTTTCCATCAGAAACCTGACCTATCTCCAACTCGAATGAGATCTCAACAGTACATGCTTTGGGTTCAAAAGTGGTGGACCTGGTACTAAAGAAAGCTGCCGCCTAGTTCGACTCGGCCCGGCTTGTCAACTACGAGTCGATAATTAGCTGGACCCCAAGAGTAGACGCCTAACGCGCTTTTATTGACTACCTAAGCACTAATAATTGATCCACCTGGGCGGCTTAGACGGGCACAACGTGTCGTTTGAAGTATTGTCTTACTGCTCGAGGTATGAACATGGAAATTTGTATGTGACTGTGGCCAGAATTGTTGTTTAAGAGACCCTAGGGAATTTGAATCGCTCTTCCCGAAGTGAGCTGATTAATAAAGTCAAACAGTATGCAGGTGCGTTGACATGTTGCGTTGAAGTGTCACCGAGTTCCACAAAACCCAAAAGATGCTTGGAGTATGAAAACCAACGACTCAATAATTTTTACATACTAGCTGAAAATCCAATCTCCCGCTCTATAATATTTACAATATACATCATCTAGTGTATTCACAGCACATCCTATTTTCCTTCGATAATTTGGTATCCTCCCATCCCTTCCAGTCATAACGCCATTATAGTATCCAAGTGTGCTCTATCTTGAAGCATAAAAGTTTCATGGGTCCAAGCCCTCTCATGTAAAACAAAAAGGAGAAAGAAGAAAAGAGAAATTAGATCCGAGGGCGGAAGAGCTACCACTTAGGATCGTAGACTTGTTTCTTGATCCATTGTTCAAGAGCAACATCTCCCCATTCCTCCCACTCGACCCAAGTTTCCTCGGGAAGTGTGGAAACACCTTCGCGACGCGCAGCCTTCATGACCTCGCGAGCGACGACCACAGAGGCGTCACGCACACGTTGGATCTTGGGGTAGATGAGACCCATTTGGATTTCTTCTTTATTGAGGCAGCCTGAAAGAGCTGCGGCTGACGTGTAGACCATTGCATCAGTGACACGGGTGGTCTTGGCGAGAATGGCACCTAGACCGAGACCGGGGAAGACGTAGACGTTGTTACCCTGGTTAGGATAGTAAGTGGTGATGCCATCGCCAGTCTTCATGGTGAAAGGAGCGAATGGAGAACCAGATGCGAAGATGACTGTACCATCAGTCCATGTGACGGCCTGCTCGAAGGTACATTCGGCTTTGGTCAATGGGTTGGAGAGAGGGAAGAGGACTGGTCGGCGACCGAGACCCGATGCATCGACTGATGCCTTCAAAGCACGGACAACTGACTCGGTAAATACTCCGAAAGTTGCGGTCAATCCGATCAAGGCGGTTGGCTTGACATATTCGATAACTTCCTCGAGGGTACGGAACTGGTGACCGTTGTTATCTTTGCGGGCAAAGATTTTCTTGTGTTCGGCAAGCTTATCTCCACGGTCGTAGGTTACGAGACCCTTTGTATCGACGAGGTAGAATTTCTCGCGGGCTTGTTGTTCGGAAAGACCACGACGAGTGTAGTATTCCATAACTTGCTTGGCAACACCAACACCGGCAGAACCAGCACCCATGAAAACGAGCTTCTGGTCTTCCATTGGGACGCCTGAAAGATTAACGGCACCAATGTAACTTTTGCATTGTTAGCTTTGGAAATATCGAGTCAATTGGATTGACTTACCCAGCCAAGACGACAGCACCAGTTCCTTGGATATCATCGTTGAAGCACTTCTCCATCTTGTATCGCTCGAGGTATTGGAAAGCCTTTTCGGTCTCGAAATCTTCGAACTGAACAAGCATGGAAGGGTATACTTCCTTGACGGCAGCCATGAACTCGTCCATGAATTCCAATGCAACCTCAGGCGAAACACGCTTTTGTCTCAATCCGAGGTAGAGAGGATCGCGAAGATTGCCTTCGTTAGCAGTACCACAATCAAGCACAATGGGTAAGCACTGTTCTGGGTGAATACCAGCAGCACCAGTGTACAAAGCAAGCTTTCCGATCTGTAGATTGTTAGTATGATAATCCTCATGATAATGCTCGGTATGTATGACTGACCGAAATACCAACACCGTTTACACCCAAATCACCGAGACCAAGAATACGCGAGCCATCAGTGACGACGCAGATGGAAGGGTTTGGGTATGGCCAGTTTCGGAGGATGGTAGGAATCGACTTTCGCTGCTTAATGGAAATGTAAAGAGCTTCGGGTCTGGTATATATAGTTGAGTATTGTAAGCACACATCACCAATTGTTGGGGTATATACGAGCGGCATCAGCTGCTCAACATTATCAATTAAAAGGCGGTAGAAAAGATCGGTGTTGCTGGCTTTGAGGGAGGAGAGGTATAGGTATTTGTCGATGTTGGTCGATCGGGTGTTGATCATTCGCATCGCTCGCATAACTTGTGTATCCAGCGTCTCTAGGACATGTGGTATGAGGCCTGTGAGGTTCTTTGATACTCTGTCGTCTGGAGTGAAAGATGTACCTAAAATACTATTAGTGCTGATCTACCGATCTACCATCGTGGCTGATGTACCTTTATTCCATGCTGGTTCCCTTAGTACTTGATAACCTCCAGCATGGGATTTTGGGACATAGTCCGTTGTCCGATATTGCTGTACGGTACCATATGTGCTTGTGGAGTACCCTCGAAGGGTATCGAGAGATGAAGCTTTCATAGCAGCTTCAATTGCTGAGGTATCGACCGAAGCCATTGGGTTGAATCCAGACATCCTTCTACCTGAGAGGGATAATCGTTGTCTGCTGACGGTGGTAGCTGAAGAGCGGCTGGTGACGGAAGATGGAGATGCTGAGCGTGGTGTGTGAATCTCTGAGCTGTTGTTGCTTGAGTATGAATACGAGGCCATTGGTGAAGGTAATGATTAAGTGAATAATTGTTGCTGCAGATAATGTTTCTTGAGGAGGGGAGAGCGTACACATTATATGGCGATCCGATATATAAGCTTCGTCCGACATACTTTTAAATGGAGACACCTTTTTGACATGCCTGGGCGAGAATGATCCTGGTCTGATATTGTTACAGGGCACCATGTCTCGTTTCGTTGGGGTTTCAATGGTCCTCGTGGGGTCCCGGTCCGGATGTGGACGTGCCAAAGTCTTGATGTCGTCCCAACTATCCCCGGCCTGCATCTACGGGCCGCGACGGGCATGTATCCATTGGTCCAATTCTTGAAAAGGGGGAGGATCGGAGGAGAAGCAGTGAATGAACGAGTGCTGGCGGCGTACAGAGGATTTGTTTCTTCTTCACTGCACGAATCACATCATGCGAGAGTTCCTGAAGGGGGATCTAGAGGAATGTCCGCATCGAAACGGCCTGTTGTACTCGCGGGGAATAGCTCTTTGCGTGCCCTTTAGCTGCGTAAAGTGCCGTAAGCTTGAGGAAGAGGTTGTGGTCGAGATCCGGGACCTGTCACAGCAAGCAGCTACTAAGCGAACCGATGGTTCGGGGCTTTTGGGCCGCCACACGTTCTGACAAGGCCACCCGCAGCGAAGAGCGGGGATCTTCAAAAGTGTACATTTCATACGAGCAAAGTGGTTATTGTGAGCAGAAAATAACCTATGGCCGTAGCAAACTATCAATGACTGCAAACTTTTTACGATAACAAATATCGGAATCTACAAAAGGAAATGTTATAAAGTGTTGCCACATCTGCAAAGGCTCATCCTTGAATTGGCAATCCTCAAACAGTGAGCTTTGGGACGATGCCACCAACTGATCCTGTCAAGTTCTCGCCGCTCGGGTCTCAGCCCAGTGCTTGAGTCCTTGTTCAAAATCCCATTGCACCCGAGTCCGCCCGATATTCTTTATATTCAGCCAATCCAATCATTTAAAAAGCAACCATAAGTGGTATTGAATCTCTGCTAAATTCACAATTTAATGAGTGGTGTGAAGAAGCTCGTTACGTGTCGGCTAAATGAGAACTGTTGACGGTATTTGAGTCCAGTGTGGATTTTGAAGTCTAAGCTCCTGGAGCCAAGCTTCCGAGCGCTTTTATTCTAGAAGGACTTCTCGTCTTCCCATTTCAAAAAAGAAGAAGATCCGACTGCTATCAACGAACGACGGTGGGCTGATTGAAGCTTCGCACATCGGCGACATCAGGAGACTTTGTTAATTCACGCAAGTCTCGGTAAAAGATAGGAGAACTCCCACTCGGTAATCCCGCAAGCTGCTGTATCTTTCAAAAAGTAAAAGTTACACAACAGAAAAAAAGCCAAAAACACGGAAAAGCCATCACAACTTCCTGCAGGTGTCAGATGGAGTAATCGGTCTTGCGAGCGGGCATGGGGGTGTCGGACGGAGACAAACGGACCACGGCAAGCATCACGTGATGGGGATTCGAAATCTGACACGGGTTTCAGAATCCCGTTGGTCTTCCCCTTTTTCGTGAAGCTTCTTTACTTTCAGCGCTTCCATTCGACTTCAAACCACAGCACAGAACTTCTGGTTCCATCTAGCGATGCTTGATCGTTGATTTCAATGCTTGAGTTCCCGCACAAAGTCTTTGATACTGTGGAGCTGGAACTGGCATGATTAACCTTAAACAGGCCAGTTCTTGGTGTTCTTGGTGTTCTTGTCGTCCCAACTCACTGATTTCAAACGAACTTGGCGAACGCAGCGCATCGAGATGCGGTACGACGCGTGGTCGCGATATGAGGTGCGCTTCTGTCGCTTCTGGAAGTTTCAGTGTGCGCCGTGCACATCCAGCGAGGCTGAGATCTATAAAGATGTGGTTACCTTTGAAGGAGTGGAAACAAGATTATCCCCTCAAGCGAGGTGTGGGTGAAGATCTGAGGATTTGCAGCTTCGCAGGCAAAAGGGACATGGTATGCTAACTTTGTTTCAATTTGTTTCTTGATCTGCAGTCATGAGGCTGGAAGTAGTAGCATGAGGAATATGATATGGCGAAGTGCATTTCGGGTTTCTTGCTATCAATTGAGCTTCTGTATTCAGTCGCGATGTCTCTTCGAACTGCGCACAAGGATGGGTAGGCTTTCCGCGAATGTTTCATGATTCTTTACTGGTGTTGCAGGTACGATGTTTTTCATGTTTTATTTTTATCTGACGCTGAGGGTAAGAACCTCTGTATTTATTCGCTCAATGGGTCGCTGAGTCCTCCGTGCTGTCAATCCTGCCAACCCCAGAATTCCGTTCACTCGTGTATAGGATTGTTCATCACCCCCACCATTTGCTTGCTGGACAATCAGACTTAAGGCGTATTCCCTGCTCGACGATTAAACCAATTTCTAAAATTCTGACGCCTGTTTAGTCACGAGCGCCCCTCCATCTTCTGAGCTGCCTCCTCACTCCCAGCTTCAACTTCTCCAATTCAAATTTCAACGAACCATTCCAAAAATGATGGCCCGATACAAAACGCCATCCGAAAGGGCGCCAGAAGGATGCGGAAAGGTACCAGTATGACTTGTCCAATTTGTTGCACAACTACCGCCGCGTTTATACGTCCAGCAGGCCTTGGTCTCGCAAGCCTTGGTCGCGCAAGCCTTAGTCTTATAGGCCTTGGTCTACGGATCCCAGGCCTTCGTCTAGGAGGCATTGGTTGGTGGTGCGAATTTACCTACACCACAGTCATCATGATATTAGCCTATGTACGCTTTGGATGGCTCTAACAGACTCACTATAGTCAATGGTGATTCTGTAAGGACTCAAAATTCTCACTTTTAGCAAGCCTGAAATGACAGACAAATTGATTTCGTGGTAAGTCGAATTTGATTTTGTGATAAAATACCGGCCAATTATAACTTATTTTTGGGATTTTTGAGTGTTCTGAGGTTGTATTATATGAACGTCGGTGGGGATATTTGTTAATACTAGAAAATGTTATCTCATGAAGCCTTATCCGCGATGGCTCAAGAGACTTACGGTTTATGCGTTGATATGTGGTGTCGACAAATGTCCGTAAAATGTTGCTGGAGGATGAAGTTGGTCGCGGGCATCGTGGAATGATATGGGACGCTGCTGGCGCGATCACAATCGCTCCTGCCTACCACCTGAGGAAGTCACGAAAACAGTGAGTATCGACTTCCTTTCTAGCTTGATAAAGTGCGACTCTGTTGGCGATTTGTTGATTTGTTGACTTAGAGCTGTGGAGTAGTGTGTTGTTACGAGCATCCTTCCTGCTAGTGCTACTAAGAAAGTGGTGTTTCTTTACCTACGCAGCATAAAACCATATAAACAGGGATCTCAGTTCAATCGACTAATCCAGACTGAGCAGAGCAGCGACGGACGCTCTATCATCCGAATGATTTACATCGCGTGTTCCATGATATTCCCTCAACTTTATGACAGAATTGGCAGAACTTCCAGATCAGCAGAATCAGCACTCAACGACAACATCGGCAAGACAGCAACATAACCCACGAAACATTCTCGTAGGCTCTCCGTCTTTTTAATTTTCCTTGGCAACCCGAATAACTCATTTGTGATGTGAACATGCACGATTTGATTTCAATTGGGAGTTTAATGTAAAGAATTTTGGTTGAGAGTATTAAGTAACAAGATTACTGTGTAAATCGCAAATGAATTAACAGATTGTGTAATCTAGTTCTGATTCAAACTTGCGAGGCAACCATGATAACTTCTTTGCTCCGAGTAGGGGAAAAATAGGATCCCCTCATGACGAATTGAATCCGTGATAATTCAAGCAGAATTCCAGTTTTTTCAGATTCAGTCTGATGAGGCAACTGAACCTTTATAGTATATTGCTTTGAGATTGTAGGCTCACTAACAAATAGTCCCTGCTCAGGTGGGCTCACATGACATTCATCAAATTCGCTGTCTTTCTGACAAACATCTCCCTTTCATTCGTACAGAGGGTTTTCTGGGACCCCTTTCAAACAAGTATTTAATTACGTATCCCGTTTCTGAATACACAATCATGACTTTGAATCTGCAACTTTGATCGTCCGATCACGTGAATGACAAGGGTGGTACATTTGTTTCTTGCAAGAAGCTCGACCTCTCTCAATTTTAACGTGGGTTTGAGATCCAACAAATCCTATTTCGATTCACCCAAGTAGCACTTAATTGTAATGGCTCGCCGGGCGTTCCGAAAGCCTTAATAATCAGGATTTTCGTAAATCACCTCTTCTCGCTGATAATTTATTCATCCACCGGCGGACCATTAGACCAAAGTTGACGTTCTGACTTCAACTGAGAGCAGACTACCATGCCACCACTATTGTATCTCGTTCGGCACGCCGAAGCTGAGCATAATGTCACAGTAATCGCCCTCCCATTCGTGTATTTGAAAATTTTGCCTAACTCTGCCCACAGCACAACCCAAATACGCGTGATGCGCTTCTCACTGAGAAAGGGATCCAACAATGCGAAAAACTCAAGAAATTATCCGAGTCGTTTCATCACGAGATCGACCTAGTTGTTGCGTCGCCATTGCGACGTACCATCCAAACAGCTGTTTACTCTTTTGGTCCCGTGCTTGCTAAGACCGGGTTGATTCTGCTGCCTGATGCACAGGAAGTCAGCGGTATGCCTTGCAATATCGGACTGGATAGAAAGGACTTGGAGATTGAGGCTGTGACAATGTTTAAGGGTGACGAGGATGTCCTGGTTGGGAATATTGAGATTAACTATGATGGGCTGACTGAGGGGTGGAATTCAAAGGTATCGCTGCTTTCTTGTCAACAAATCTTTCTCCCTTTCCTATGGTTTTTCCAATTTTATTTATTTCACCAAATTCTTTATGGCAACTATTTGTCTTGATTCTTGATATCCTGGCCGCAACTAAGAACTTTTCCAGGAAGGAGCATACAGCACCACACCATCGGCGGTTAAAGCTCGCGCTGTGCGTCTCAGACAGTGGCTTTACGTTCGCCCAGAGAAGGTCATAGTTGTGTTTACTCATGGGGCGTTTCTTCACTACCTTACCGAAGACTGGAGCGGACCCATTTACTTTGGAAAGGAAATTGGATATGCAGTAGACGAAGAGGACGGGAGCAGTCCTCCACGTGGTACGAAGCTCTTTCTCTTAGTCTGGTTTCCCCGGTCACTTAAAAAAGTTCGCGGTGTTAAACTTGCCCCTATCTATGATGTTGACGGATTGATACAGGAACCGGATATCTCAACTGTGAGGTTCGCCAGTTTACATTTTCGAAAGAGTCTAGTTGTGACGATGCGCATTTAAATGCTACAGGATTCAAGATAGAAGGGTCAAGTATTGCCTGATTACTCTACAGTAGACTGTTGGGTTGTGCGAAGATAGAATCGCCCTTCTCGAGATAAGCAAGCAGTCCGTCAATTCAAAGGAGACTTGTTGCCGTGATGCTATTTCACGACGGCCGGGAAATATCCCTCCAACAATTTCAAGGATATGCCACTCACCTTGCGGCGTCAATTACAGCAGGTTTCCATTTCCGACAATATAGGGCGGGTCAAGAACAAACTACGTCCGCTGACAGGCTGCTAAATACCGCATCGTAGAACGCATGGTTTGAGCCACTAAATATTTATCTGAACGATCGCTTTTTTTGTTGATTTAAAATTCTGGATGATCCGCTCCAGGCATCATGGACGACTCATGTGAGTAAAAATCATTGGCATTTTGTCATGTTCGAGGACAGACTTCGACGGTTTGGAAGGTTCTAGGGTCTACCTGAAGACTGCCAGATAAATTCACCAGAGGTCATAATCAACGGATCTGTCAGGGTTGCAGGGATTGTTGAGATTAACCCTCACCGATTACAAGAACGATCACGGCAAGTCTCACCGAGTAGCTATACATAATTGATAAGGAGAAGCAGGACTCAAAATTTCCTCGCATCCATTTCGTCCACGTTCGCGTCATTTACAGATTGGAGAATCAGATTTGAAGGGGGGAATAAGTAAAGGCAAAGGGGACAGCCCGCTGTTGAATGCTAAAGCGAAAACCATAGGGAGTACCTTCAAACGCTGTTTTGGTTCGTTAATTTTAAACATGAGCAATAAAGGATTGCAACTTACTAACTGATTGCCTAAGACTTAATGTTGATCCCCAATTTCCAACACGATGGCCGATATCAGCTCTATCCAACAGGCCAAGACAATTGGCTCACAGAACAAGGATATTCGATACGAAGAGAGGAAAGCCGTTCGCCTTATTATTTCAAATAGTCAAAACCAGATCATTATCATCCATGTACAGAAAGGCAATTATTACAAGCTTCCTGGTGGTGGCATCGAAGACGACGAAGATCATGCGCTAGCAGGTGAGAGGGAGGCTCTGGAGGAAACTGGTTGCAAGATTTCGGTTGGAAACTTTCTAGGAGCGACGGAAGAATGGAGAAACGACCTTCATCAACTCTCTTACTGTTACAACGCCAAAGTTATCGAAGACACGGGCGTTCTTGAGTTGACCGAGTTGGAGATTGGAGAAGGGCTTACACACCAGTGGGTAGATGTTGGAGCAGTTGTGAACATGATGAAGGCTTGTGTTCCAACGTCTGAGCTGGGGAATTTCATCAAGAAAAGAGATCTTCACTTCGTTGAGAAGTTTATGAAGTCTTGATAGACTGATATTCGAGCTTTTCTTCACACGTGGTAGCATTGGAAGCCTTGGGTCAGTTTGGGCCTACTACTTTCACGACTCGTTTCACAAATTGATTGAAACTCAATCTGACGATATTTCCATCGTACAAAAGCCATGCCCCCCAGGGTTACAAATGCCCATTGAGATGCCTCAGCCAATAGGCGGCTGACTAGGGTCTTGGTGAGGAAGTACAAGCTGTCAGCTATTATTGGCTCAGCGCCACCAAGGTCATGCACGCCCTCGCCGCCGCCCTCGAACTTTATTCCGATATTTATCTGCTTTTCGGTGCCCTCGAGCCTGCTCAGGCTGCTAAATGAAGCCAGGGCCTCGCCTTCTCAACCACCTCCTGGTGCTTCGTATACTTTTTCTGAGAATTCCAGCCGAACTACAAGTAAACTCTCAAGTTTCAATACTCGCGATATCAAGCCATAACGGGTCAATATATCCTTGGATATGGGTGGAAGCTGGACCGTTCAGGCAGCAGAGCAAGATCAGATGATCGACCCGCTCCATGTGAACCCCCTGCTTCTGACAACAACAAAAGTCCCTATTCAAAACATCCAAATTCAAGATCCTTTTGAACATAGCACTATGATACCAGGTGCACACTTATTGAATTTTCCTGAAGAAAACCAATTCCACGCGCCGACATTTGAATCAACTACCTCTACTGATGAGTCACTTTGGCCAACGGTTCTGCCACCAAATCCATCGGTTTACGACACAACTCATTTTACTGGAGGTTATTTTCCGCAAACGTCGACAGAAATCGATTATATATCAGAGTCTTCCTTCACAGAATCTGACTGTTTCACCACTTATCCTGTTGCCTTTGGTACCATATCAACAAATAATGACTCCTCACAGCTGGACTTGGGAGAGCAACCAGGACTGGAAGCTTCTTTGCAGAAGAGAAATGGAAGGAATGCCTTACCAAGATGTGGGAAGAGTGCAAAAACCAAGGCTGGGGCGTCTGGTGAATCCATCAACAACCCGATTAAAATTCGAAAAGCTAGAAGCAAGATCATACAACATCCAAAAATGAATACATTAGAGAAGGCCTTCAAAGCATATTCAAATGCACCTTCGTTTAAAGGATTCAAACTGCTGATGGATGAAGCGATGTCCTATGGAGAGATGCACATGAGTGTGGAGAACACATCTATTCTGAGAACCCCTTCAGCTTCACAAGAGTCCGTTACCGGATCAGATATATCGGATATCAATATGTACAGCGATCATGGTTCGAACTCATCGAACGGCTGCGAAAACCCCGCTGTCTATACTAGTGACGGTCACGATAACTGGAACAGAACGACGCGTGAGCCTGATCAGGACACAAAACCACGATTTGCCTGTACGTTCAAGAGCTGCAAACAAAACTTCAGCGCTTACTCCGATTGGAAGCGACACGAAGAGAATCAAGACCATTACCCTCAGGAAAGATACATGTGCTTACAATGCCTCATTCCAGAGGGCGTTCCCACAGATAATACATTTTGTGAAATATGTCGTCATAGATTCTGCAGGACAGAAGATGTTGAAGCTCATTACAGGCTCTGTCTCCCAGACCAAGATAATCCCAAGTACACTTTCACCAGAAAATATCACCTCAACAGTCATCTTCGACGGCAACACAATGTTGGGATGGTGAGAGCGAACGAGCTTTCTGGGAATTGGAAGTACTCTTTGACCAATAACTGGCCACGACAGTGCCACCTATGCAATGTTTCGTTTACGAACTGGAAAGAGCGAATGAAGCATATCGCAAAACACTACCAGAGGGGAGAGGATCGACCTCCTGGTCCGGACCATCATCGAAAAGATGATGAAAGCGACGAAGACAACGACGAGGATGATAATGACAATAATGGCCCACCACGGAAGCGTATAAGGAGTAATGTCCAAGATACAGCTTCGTCAAGTGCGCAGCCCATAATGCGAGGACGGACCGCATCCGACAACAGTTTTGATGCGAATTCAAGCTCGAACTTCCATTCTGCTAAGAGCGGTACCCCACGTTCTTCTCAATTCCACCGTCTCTATAACCCACATAATTTCAATGCAAAATCAATTGCGTGCTATCCCGGATACCCTAGCTCGAAGCCGAAAGTATCGCAGAAGCAATTAGACTCACCCAGCGATTGTATCAACTGGAATCGCTTGTTCATGCTCAATAGGTACTTGAGAGATGCAGATGAAGGAGTACGCAATGGATGGAATTGGTCGGACGTGTCTGACTTCGACGACTTCATACCACCGCCATTACCTCGGTCATCATCACGCCGAATCCGGCGGTCAGTCAAACGAACGGTACGATTGAAGGCCACTCTCAAACTGGAACAGCTGACAGCGGCCATTGAGTACATTGCCCAAAATGTTCGTGCCTTGCCAAACGGGGTGTTCTGGTTCTCCTCGAGTATCAAGCAAGACGTGAAAGATAATTTCTGGGACATCGCACTTCAAGCGATACACTTTTCTCCGAAAGATAATCCGACAGTTTTCCACGTCTATGACAGTTGGTGGAGAGAAGAAGGGGCCGCCATGTCGCCGTCACCCACCATTGACTGTTCATATCTGGTCATTGCCGCATGGCAGGAAGCGGATGTCGTACACCTCGAATGGACTCTAGATCAGGCCTGGGAGAAAATTGATGCTAAAAACGAGACACAGGATCTTCAAAGTCTACAGGCTTTATTCCACTTATACACGATGAAATCACGATCTAGACCTTTTACAACGCCAGCAGTAGATAAGGTTTCCGCTGCCCATCCGTACAGAGCATCGACTCAAAAATTTGTCGATTTCTTGACACTTTATAAGAGATCCTTCGGTCGGAAGCTCACCACAAAAGCCCTCGGCGTATTTTTTGAGTTGGAGGCTGCACAACACTTTTGCACCGAGCAGTGGCTGCAGACGTTACTTGAAAAAGAAAGTTTGAAGCGAAGACTTCAATATTTGAAGAAGTCAGACTCGAGACTGTTCTCTGTAAGTGATGCCATTACAGTCTTGCGTGACTTTGCTAATATGGTCCTGCAGACGAACGCAAAGATCGCAACACTTTTTCAGGCAACATGCAAACCCAAAAGTCCGTTGTACATCTCACATAAGAGTCTACAGTCTTCTCTGTTTCCAGATCTGATGAAATCTCACAACATGTCAGAAACACGCCGCCCTTACGATTTTGTGCACAGTTCGTAGTGGTAAGAAATGTAAGATTAGGAACGAATTCAAGAAGTTTGATGGAATATAGATACGTTCGTAAACTGACCGGTTTAAACGATCATTATTGCAATGGGGGCCGGCGGCAATGGGGGGTTTTTTGTTCAACGAAACTAATACGATTTATCTAAGCAACATGTTTACAGTCTCAAACTTATTTGACAGCTGTCAGAACGTGACTTTTTCTTTGTTACACATTTGCTTATGAGACAATTGGACTTCTCGCCAATAGGACGCAGGGATCTCGGTGAGCTTGCCCTCTCACACTCACCACCCAATCACACCAATACCCATGTAACCTCCTGCACGCCCTCAGCAAGAGAGCTGCGCTTTCTCGGATTCAATATTCTCGCCCTCAGCCACACCAAGTATTGTCGCCCTCACAGGTCCACTGCAGCCCGATAAATCATTGTAACCCGGCGAGTGAAAACGGGTAGAACTCCCGCTCATCGTCCTCTCTACACTCAATCATTTTGGAACATCTCTCACGCAAAGCACAATCGGCGTGCAGTCACTGCTTGTCCCACATAGAGTTGGTGATCAAGATTGACAACTGTTTTACGATATGAACGGGGAGACAATCGACGACTGGACACGGCCACCTGGTCCTGCTGCCCCGGAGGCCGACATTTGGTCTGCCAATTCATTCAATCCTAACACACGTTACCCCACTAGTCACATGGGGTTGCATAGCAAGTCCGTTTTGGGGTCTTTGACTGCTCCGTATAGGCTGCAGCCTCCCGCAGCTATGGCCGTTGAAGACTCTATGCTTCCAACTTACCTTGCTTACAATACCGGTATGCCGAGTGGTGCAGCTGTTTTCAACAATGCAACCGACCATAGGAACAGCTCTTCAAATTTAAACTGTGAGTAGATCTTCACGAACTACACATGCAATTGACACTAATCTGTGAAGTCAATGATAGATACCCTCTCCATTCAGGGGCGTTGAAAATAGGCCATCCACAAATGTTTAGCGAATCAGATGACTTCCAAACTATTGATGGCTCTGTCTCCACTCTCTATGGCCTACCAGCAAGCCAGAACCTCTTAGTTCCCTATGTTCTCAGTAATCGTCAACCTTTGTTCTCCAAACCGAAGTTCGATAGCGCGGGTATTCAACAAGGCACTACGATGCCCATATCGAATACTAACAGCAATGCTTTACAGGGAAGCATGCAAAAAAGAAAACCTGCTGGACGTTCAACTTCTGAAAACGGCATGAACACGTTCGCGCCAAAGGTGACAAGGCTGTCTAGCCAATCAGCTACAAAGCGTCCTGGCTCTACCCATAGACCCATCACGTCCCACAAGAACAAGAACCACAAAAGCTCAGCAACTAGAAAAACTGGCTTGAAACAGTTGTTCGCAAGCTATCTATCTTCCCCGACCTTCAAGAAGCTTCGACAATTGCATCATGAAGCAATGCTGTATGGAGAGGATTTTGACGATGCTGAAGATGGTCGTTCCATAAGCGATACAACCTCGTCCTTCAACTCAAACACTACCAGCGAGTCATCAGACAATGAGTCCCAAACTGATGCTACTTCGATTTCTTCGTCTGCTATTCTGGACGACCAGCCAATTGATTCCTCACAGGATTCTGATGCTGCAATCGCGGATGACTTGTCTGAGGGCATCACAGTATCAAAACCGCAATATCATTGCACTCTTGAAGGATGCAACAAAATCTCGCATAACGCTTCGGAGTTTCAGAGACACGAAAAGAACAAGGGTCATTACAACCAAGAGCGCTACATGTGTGTATCTTGTCTTTGCCCGGATTATCTATCAGGACCTTCGGTCTGTCAACTCTGCAGCAGCCCATTCACGATGCAAGAAAGCCTCGAGGATCACTATCGCCGCTGCTTGCCGGCTTTGGTCAATCAACCTTCCAAAGCTACTTTTACAAGAACTTATCATCTTACCAAGCATCTCGTTGAGAAACACGGATATACTAGAAAGGATGCAAACGCTGGTGTGAATGGTTGCAAGTACTTCCTCAACAATAATTGGCCAAGGGAATGCAAACTCTGCGACGTTATCTTCACAACTCTGGAAGAGCGAAACAAACACATTCTCTGGCACTATAAGAGGGGCGAGACTTGGCCAAAGGCTGACCGTGGTCAGGACGATGAGAGTGATGACGAAGATGACGATAGCCACACTGGCGGGAAACCCCCAAGCAAAGGACCCAAGACTTCTGGAAAGTCTACTAAGCAACGTGCTGGGAAGTCATCCACCAAATCTACCTCAAAGGGTAGTTCTAGCAGTTCGACATCAAAATCGGGCGCCGGTCAATCATCTGATCTTTGTGACGAAAGCAGCGACGGGCTTGCGGAAGATGAAGCAGAAAAGGAATCGATTGATCGACTTGTGGAAGATCTATCAAAGACACGACTTAGATCCAGCCTGCTACTCGACCCCGAAGGATCCCTCAAAGAGATCAACACAGGTTCTAATAAACTTGACTCCATGTGGGAAGGAAATCCCATATCGAGTGAAATGTTTGACACAATTCTGTCTCATCACAAAAGTCAAACAATTCCCAAAAAGCTATCCGTCTGGAAACTTGAAATTGACTTTAACGGAACCTACAGAAGAGGACCCTGGACTCAAAATGAGGACGCTGGCCTTCTTGAGCTTGCTGAGGAGGTACATCCAGGAGGAAGAAACTGGGTACAAATTTCACAACAGCTAAAAACTCGATCGGCGAAGCAATGTCGGGAGCGTTACCTTCAAAGTCTCAAATCTTCGACCTCTACCGGCGGGATAGATGTGACTGAAGAAGCTTCCAGCGAGACAACGACATTTACAGGAGATTTCAAGGAGTGCATTCTGCAACGATCCTTAAAAGAACAGCAGTCACGATATCCCAATAATTCATCAATGACCTGGCATACGAAAAATCATTTTACCACTTCAGCTTTGTGCTACATTCCCGACGAGCAAATTTCGAAGTCTGAACTGACCCGGTCTCCCCGTCTCTCAGCAGACGCATATATTAATGTGGAATATCAACCTTACTCTCCGCCTGCGTCATCAGCCGTGTCCTACCAGATGCGTCGATTCCTGAACGAAGACAGGATCGGAACGGAGAATGTCTTCTCCCAACATGCAGTCGAGAACATATCCACTCAATCTGCTGCCAGGGATATCACTTATTTCGCTCCCCCTTCCATTTTCTCTTCTAGATCTTCTCGTCCATCGAACTATGGCGGTCATGCAGTGAAGCAGCGACAACATAAACGCCAGCCGTACAGACCGGCACAAAGACGCTACACCTCCTCGGATGACATCAATCGGAAAACCAGCAGTCTGTTAAAGTATCCTCGGACTCCCCAAATCTCTATTGAAAAGAGAAGAAGAGCAGTGGAGACATATATCGCTTACCTAGAAGCAGGACATGCTGGCAAAAATAACTGCAACGGCGAGGAATCAAAATTGAAAGAACAATCGACTTGCCCTGCATGTGGCAAGATTTTGAAGGACTTGACAACGCATGTGTTGACCCAGCACAACGAACGTCCGGCAAAGTTTTCAACCCCTACCTGTAACTGTCACACTAAGGGCTTTGCAAGACAATATGACAAGGATACAGTACTCAGATATGACCATGATGAAGGCAATTACAACCGTCCCCCATGGTTGAATGGCGAGAATGAGCTTCAGCTAGGTGAGATCAACTTCAATGTCGATCATTCCGAATCTCCCGAACGGAACAACATGTTTGCTTCGAAGGATATTTATGCTGAAGGGCACACTGGAGAATTGTTGAGGTACGAAGGAGGAAAGGTGAGTCATCCCAACTCTGCATTTATTTTCATTTGGTTGACACATGTAGAACGACTGGCGTGCAACCAATTCTGCCCAAGGAATCGGGTCTTATTTTTTCAATGGTAGACCGAAGTCTTTTGCACCAGGAAGAATCAATCACCATTTAAGGATATCTGGACCTAGCTTGGATATCGACACTGCTTGTTCGTCGAGTGCTATATTACCCCAACCCGAACAAATTTCTCCAGTCAATCAAAGGTTCAGCTCACTAGGTAAGCATCAAGTCTAACTTAAATCCCCCAAAGCCCCCGCTAACCATTTAACATGAAGATGGTGGAGATGTCACAGGTTTGGCTTCTCTCATCATAGCGGACTCCATAACCAGAGCGGTGCAAGGTGCAGCTCCGTCGGACGAATTAACACCTCGTCTTAGCGAATACTTTGATATGATCGGCGGAACGTCAACGGGCGGGTAAGTTATTTATAATATCTTAATTACTACATTACCATCCACGCTGAGTTTCTAACTGTCCCAACAGGTTGATAGCCTTGAAGCTGAGGCGGATCGCGTACCCCGCTAGTCACAAAATAGTCCCGCGAGGTGATATACAGAGACGCCGATGCATAGCCTGTTTAGAACAAGATGGCTCTGCCGTCAAGAGGAACTTCTGTTTGGTTTGTAGTAGCCGGAACTCCGCACTAACAACAGATTTTGGGGCAGTATCCTTCATGGCTTCACAGATGTTTAATCTCTATGTTGCTTTGAAAGCTCTACATGGCGCTACGACTTCTTCTGCTAGGAATCCGGATCAACGACATGGAGATCTGAAGCCAGAGAATATCATCTTCCATCCAAATGGCCATGGTTCTATCAGCCCAATGTGCTTTGATACGGGATCTAACAGCACCTTCATCAGCAAGGACATAGCCAGGCTACTGACTAGAGTCACCAAACCTCTCGTCAAGCAAACATTCGAGCGCATTCAATTCAAGACTTCGAACCAAACACCAAATCAAGGATATATGTTGCAGAATCATCTTGGGAAAGTCTACAATTCTGCTCAATACCCTGCCTCAAGAAGACTCTCGGGTGTAGATAATCCTTCTATCTCGAAGCGAAGAAGAACTCCTGGTTGTGACACTGAACCCGGATACATTTGGTGGACCTTCCCGAGGGAGTATGTGCATTCCACGATTCCAGCTACTAATGAGCCACAACGGGGTTTTTGTTTTACTCCTTGGTTTTCGCCACCAGAATGTTTTCGAGAAAGTTTTAAAAGTTTGGAAGAAGTGGAAATCTACCAACAACAACCGGAAACCTGGAATAATATAACACAACCCTATACCGGATCTTCTCCCGGATTTGTCAGTCCAGTTATTATTGACGCAAACTCTCTGGACAATTATGAAGGCGGTTACAAGGATTACTGGGCCAACATCAATCATGTTTTTGATGACCTTATGAAAGTGCATGGATATCGAACCCATCAACGTGGACGGGCTCGAAATTTTGGCTCGAAAACAAATGCAGGTGGCTACAGCTGCACGTAAGTCATCCTAAATTTGCGACGTTATCTTGCTGACGGTGATAGTTCTATTCCGACATCAAGATGGGAAATCATGGGTCGCATGACTGGACTAAATTCGAGTGATCACACTATCCCCTACACCAACCATCCAACAGACTCTGCGAAAGTAATAGAGGAGTTCTCATCACCTATTGGCTATCATGGTGCTCATGGCGACGATCCTAATCGAAATCATCAAGAGTTGCAAGACCAAAGCCCCCTGAATATTCTACACCATAACTCGGAGAACTCAAGTTGCAATGATCGAAAAGAAAGATTCGAAAAGATCTTCAAACCTGGCAGTGTCTTCAAGGTTCTATGGTCTGAACCCTCGGCCAACAAAGGTGTCAACCGAGTGCTCGGAAGTTGTATCAAATCCAGTGACACGGTCTATACCAAGCCTAGGAGATTCGTGGTGCTCAAACCTGGAAGAGCCCCACGGCAGGCTACATTCATGGAGAGTCGCAACGGCAAGACGACCACTTTGGAAAGCACTTTTTCAGATACCATCGATAACGTAAAGTCAAAGACACGAACGCGAAAATCTATGCAGCGACTGCTTTTTTTTGAATCAGGCAGCAGTACCAAGAACGATATTCCCCGGCATTTGAAAGATCAGCATGGCGCGTACTATAATATCCTATCACCACCTACCGCTACACCAGCTGAGCACTACCACCGTATCAAGATCAACTACACGATCAAAGACTCCGCCTTGCATTACACGATCAATCGTGCATCATACAACTACAATATCCTCAGCTCCTCATCAAGATCTCAACCCTCAGTCTGGCTTCCTTGCTCATGCAAACACGCAGACTATCCCACTACCTTCAGCACCATATACGAATGGAAGCGTCATGTGGCATCAACGCATACTAGCAATGCTGAAGTGTCGTTCAACCGCGCTAATATCTTCAAAAGACATCCTGCGTCCCAGCAAGATCCACGACCTTCAAGCATCATCGCAACAAATCACATCCATCGAGCCTTACACTTACTGCCATTTCAGCATTTATGTCACGCTTTAAATCTACCGATCTTTCAGCAATCATCTCACATCTCTCTCATCAGCAAGCAAAAATCTTTCTTATTTTCCTTAATCGACGATCCCGACGCTTCTTTCTTACTACATCATTTCCTTTTTACGGAACATCACCACACTCTTTGATATCCTTTCAGCTTTAAATAAACCATAAAAAAAAACACCGATTTTTTTTTGAACCACTCTTTTTAACAATCAGAGATTTGGATGGAAGGATTGGGAGTGGTTTTGCTGGTTCAGGGCGTCTTGGAGTTCAGGAGGAAGGGTTTATCGGGCATCGCCAACCAGTTTGAGGGAGATTGGGACGAGGAGTTGGGAGTTTGCTTTTACGATCACATCAAAACTTCAGTGAGATGATTTGGGAACGGGATTTGTTATTGTTATATCTGGCGCTTGGAACTTATTTCAAGAATTATGATATTTTCCAATTACGTTTAAGGAGTTGGAGTTTTGGATACCTTGGAGTTACCTTGGAGTTGTTCTGATTTGTTTGAAATCAGATATTCGTCATCACATAGACCTTTAAAATCCTATGATATTGACGATAGACCCAAAATTACCACTGAACTTCCCAATGTTAAGAGGATTTGTAAGTAGCATAACCGTAGCTCACCCCGGTAGGATTTCAACATCTCCGTCGATATCAGAATCCCGTTATTAGATGTGGATTTGGGTGACCTATGACTGTGAGCGCTGAAGGAACTTCTTACGGTAGTGATCTTTGTAGGATGGAAGTGTACATTATTTGGTAAAGTGATTGCTTGATTTACTATCGATATTCAATGGTATAGTAAACCTCGATGTAAGTATGTGGGGAGGAGACGGGGAGTTATATGATTGGAAGGGTATAGTTGTTAGGAAGGACGACTGGTTTAGAAATAAAGGGACATCGTATTAATTGGAAATTGAGGTGTCTCTCTAGATGTTCTTTACGAAAATGTAATCTCTTACTTCCTCGGAAAAGGCTTCGTGGAATGGGAAGGAGGATTTTGATGAGGAAGGTATACTTCTTTTATACTAAGAATAGGCCAGGACCGCTGAGTATGTTCTTGAATGTAAGGTCATAATGCTTATAACTAGGATGTGATTTACTGTAGGAGTGAAATGGGATGGTGTGATACTTGTAGGTGGGTTTAGGATGCATAGGGTAGAGGATGGTATTTGATGCTTTTATATAAGAGTGGTATAGGTATTTGGTTGCGATGAAATGGGACTTAATATATTTTTGGCTACCTGTTGATGTCAATGACCCTCTGATCTTCGTCGTACTCACCTTTGTCATCCCTACCTAGGTATCGCGAGGTATACCGTTCTGTAAATCATCACATGATATAATTGCTCCTCGCCTCTCCTCATCTACCTTTATTCGTTCCCCTTCCTTCGAGGGTGCACTCGAGTATCCTACCTATACCATCACATGACACCCTTCCGTCCCCTTACACCACCCTCCCAAACCAACCCCGCCTCAAACAATCAACACCACACCTCTACCCCGCCTCCGCCTCCCGGCTATCTGCATACACAAACCTCCACTCCATCCAAACCCCATACAAACCGGGCGTGAGCCAAGCCTATGCGCCTTCAACCACTATCAACACTCTCTCAAAATGGTCTGTCGCAGCATTGGGGGCGAAACAAAACCGCGAAGTCGAGGCCGAAGCCGAACAAGAAGATCGACTCGTGATACACTCCACATTTGAGGCCAGCCAAACAGATCTTTGGCCAATTCCCGATACTCTGGTCTCGCAGCCCGCGAAGAAGCAAAGAAGGACCAGAAAGACGGAATGGTGGCGGAATCAAGAACTCATATCAAAAGGCGGTGAAGAGAGCCTTTTGAGGGTGTGCTGAACGGGAAGATCATTTGATGTTGAGTCGTTGATGTGGTATATAGCGCAATCATGTTTGATTTTCGAGCTAGAGATGTTGGTTTTGATTGAGTGTTGTCCCCACTTTGATGAGTGATGAGTGGAATGATACGGAGTATCGAGGAATCGCGGATGTTTGATTCTTCAGCCCTGTGAAGCTTTTGTTACCCCACTTCCATCAGGGAGGTGGTACTAATGCATCATTTTTTCCATTGTCCCAATCTTGCCATCTCGGTCGGCAACAGACAGGACAAAGGTCGGACGACAGCAGGTGTGACGCGTCGAATTTCTCTCACGAGTCTTTCACTGATCCAGTATTCATGGCGATGGTTTGTCGTCGACGACACTATCGTGAGGCCGGACAGGGATAATGGTGGTGTTCGTCTGCATATTTTGGATGGTCTGCATATAATGCATAATACTTCGTCACCAGCGTAATAGCTACGCCAAGTATGCATAATCATTCGCTTGACGTGATTGGCGCACGGGACTTTCGAAGGATTCGGAGGGAGAAACACAGCGTCGACTTCGTATTCCACAGAGATGACTCGATGGAGACTTTGTATGGCTTCTTTGCGATGTTTCCTGTGTGCTGGACTCGAGTCGTGGGCGAGTTGCAGGTGATGCGGTGGAATTGCGATCCTTCTTGTGGTCTGGTCGGAGATGCCTTGGATGGTCATCGATGGTACGACTGTGTAAGATCGTAGTTGGAAGTGGCCGACCTCCGATAAGTGCTAAGTTTGGATTTAAATGAGGATATACTTTGTTTTCATCCATTTCAGTCCATCCAGAGAGTTCCACATCCCACGACCCCGATGATGTGCGATGATGACCCGAGTCCATATCCGTCGGATTCCATCCTCATGATAAGGTCGCCTGAAACACGGGATGGAATAATAGTCCTGCTTGCAAATAGGGAACTGGTATATCAGATCTGATGGAGGGTATAAAATGCCGGCTGGCTGCGCGCCGGCGTAAGCACTCGATACACAACAGCCATGAACGACGAATCCGCGAGCTGAAGATGAGACCAGTTCGTAGGCAAGTTCGCACACTGGATGTCGTTTGGTCCCTTCATCTCGAATGCATGAGCCTCCTATGTTAAAGCGTACAAGATGGCGTCAAGAGAGATGCAAGAGTGATTTCGTTGACCTATGAATTGACGACAAAGAGAGGCTTAGGAGGTTATCCATGCCGCTCTAGCTCGTACTGTAGACAGTATTCGATTCTCTGCTTTGCCGATGATTCTTCCCCGCTTGCGAGCAGAGGCAGGAAAAGGCAGAAGGCATCAAGCAGCAGCAAAAGAAGCATACGTAAATTGGAAGCTTGGAAGGAGTCATTCTTCCTGTTTGCAAGACTGCCACATATCTTTGTACTCTTCATGGCGTAGATTCATCTACCTGGCTATGTATGCGTGGCTGCACCATCTACCGGTCGCCGATGAGACGGATCGAGTTGCTGCTGGCGCTGCATCGGCAAGACGTCTGCTCCGTTTCCCTGCCAGTGAGATGCTCGATTCTCGGTCTGTGGAAAGGAAACACGGAGTCGCTGCTGCGAGCGGTGCGGTTCAAGCATTGCCAGTCATCCTGACGTTGTTGCTATTTTTCCGTCATAGTGGCAGCTTCGAAGGCGCAACCAGCAGCCAGTCTCGCTTCGCGATTTCGTCTGCTCCCTCCTTTCCCCAGACAGTCGCTTGCAGGACAGCAAACGTCAAATCAACCACCAGCTAGCTAGCTTGAACAATTATTTGTTTCTTCCCCTTCGACCAGATTCGAACGTCTTCGTCCCCCCTCTTTTGCTTTTCTAGATTCCTCTTCTATTCAATTCCCGACGTGACTTGGAAGAGTCATTTCCATGCAACACCGCCGTGCCTAACGAACCCACCTCTTCATAAGGACATTGCTACCCAACTCACTCTCCCGTACGACAATTAGGCTGAAGGACAGCACAACAAGCAAAATACCGTCAGCGCGGAAAGGACAGGAGAGAGAAAAGTTTCTTGATTCCATCTCTCATCTTCTCCGTCGAGTACCACTTCACCTCAGCTCAGCACGCCCGAGGGTGCCCGTTTTGTCTCTGACTGCTTCGTGTTGAATCGTACATTACATTACAGTCCATACCACACATCCATACCACATCCCATCCCACCCCAAGGTATAGACGCACCAGAAGATCAGACTGCCCAGGACTGGTCGATCCAAGAGCAAACTTCATCCAGGACTCCACCAGAGGAGGCTCCGCCCATTGCTGCATTGCTCCCGCCCAGGTCATCCACCTCATCTACCATATCCGGTCAAGGCCAGTGCCAGACTGCGTGGACAGCAATTGATTGACATTGTCGGTGTCGCTGTCTTTCCCATTGTCGTATCGCCCGGCTGTTGCAATACCATACGCAGCACGGTGGATAGTCAAGACCTAACCAGATCACTCACCAGACGTACCCGATCCTCGAGCGACTCGACCTATTCCCAGGACCAACCTTGTGGGAAGGCCGTTGCGAGTAACGATTGTCCGGCTCACTGCAGCTGGCAGTGATTGCTTCGCCGTATTCTATCTCATTATCGATAACAGAAAAAAAAAATATCCCGGCAGCTGGATCCTCTCAGGTTGCCATACCCATCCATACACACACACAGGCCCGTGGTCCCGCGCCCGCATCCCTTTCCATTCTCGCTTCCTCGCTTGCTGCTTCCCTGGCGTCACTCCGTTGCTCAGTCGCCGGTCGCCCAGTCGACTCGCCCTCCTTCACCCTCTCGCATCCACACCTTCCACCCTCGTCCCTCCGCGAGCCTCCACCATCCCATCCGCCCTCCTCCCTTCACCCACTTCGCAGCCCACTTCGCCCCTCGCTAACAAAAAGTCTGTGAGCTGCTCTTCTCCTCCCGATACTATCTTTTTTTAAATCGCGGCCCATCCCACCACCAGACCACATCGCTCCCAGCAACATCAACATCCGCATGCTAGACCACCCGATGCGACGCTGAGAGTAAACACTCAAATACCGCTCACGACCCCGCCGTCGACACCTGGCATTGCGCAAATCCAATTACTTGCTCCGCATCAGGTCCTGACGCATGCCAGCCTGTCGTCGCACCCCACGCATCCGATCGCAACATGGCTCCGCAGCCCGCCTACGTGGTCGACTACGACGATGAAAAGAAAAAGGCAGTCAAGGGAACGAAACAATCTGCAAGATCATCAAAGAAACTACCCAAGATCTCCCAGCGGGAACCCGAAAAGGATAGTTCTAAGCGGAGGAAACAGCTCGAATTTGCTCCGGAGCGAAGGCCAGAGAAAAATGTCGAAATCATCACCGAGCGCGAGATAAAGCACGATCGACGAAGCTCATTCTCCAGCACCAGTCCCAAGTCACCGCGAAAGTCGGCCAGACCGCCGTCGGCGCACAAGAATCAGAACTTTCCGAGAGTGAAGGAGGAACAGCCTCGACATTTTGGCATTCAGCCAGCACAGCCGACACCATCAGCACCACCACTTGTGTCGCATATGACCCAGCCGACGATGTCGCAACCCATTGCTCGTCCTCGTGCACAAACAGCATTCACCTCGCCGTATCCTTCGAGACCGACAAGTTATCATGCTGCCTATTCGGGTTCGTATGGTGCTGGTCCTCCGTTGTCAGGTTCAGCTTGGGCAAATTATGTACCGCAACCCCAAGCGCCAACGTATAACCCTCCGACGATAATTGCTCCGTCGCATTCACCTTCTCCGTATGCTCAAGGCCAGAACTATCAATATAGTACTCCGGTATATCATGCTCCTTCAGTTCCTGGCTCAGACTACTTTGGATCGCAAGCTTCATCGGCACCGGAAAGACCAATGTCTGCTCGACCGTTATCATCCAGATTCGACACACCCGCAAGAACTGCCTCTGGATATGGTATGCGCGATACAACAGCACATGAACAATCCATGTCCTACGATAGTCTTTATCACGATGACGGTTATGCCTCGCAGGCTGAGGGCGTAATTGCAAGGCCAAGAAACAGCATAAGACAACCATCCAGAAGATCCCAGCAAGCATATGAATCCGATTACGATAGAATGCCACCACCACCTCGCCCATCGGATCGACCCGAACGACGATCATCGCTACGACACTCAATGGAACACTCTCCTGCGGAGTCATATCCAGATGATCGAGGTGAGCGAAGGACTCTTATTCGTGACGACCCACCGAGAACTCGGCGTACCAGCAAACACCGGAATTCAGTCACATATGATCTTCCAGACGCTCCCCAGGAGCGAGAACCTTCCCGGACTCGACGACCTGCATCTCATCGTAATTCCGCTTCATACGACATTGCCGATTCGATGAGTAGAGTAACTCTTGAGCCACAATCCAACCAAGGACGGAGGAGGTCTAGCTATTACGGTCCTTCCGCAGCTACCTCAGGGCATACCTCGTCGTCCGCAGCTAGTGGTTTGGAGGCCAAAATGAACGCTGCGACCCATTATCAGGATGATGTTGGCGGACCAACTCCACAATTGACTGCAGAGGCATTGAAGAAACAGCAACGAAGACATCATGGTGGGAGCAGCAGAAGCAGTGCTAGCCGCGATGAAAGCGATTATCGAAAATCTGCTACAACACGAACCACTCGAAGTGGAAGTGGCAATGACGATGAAAATGTCACGATCAAGGTCACAGGAAGAGCTCACGTTAATGTCGGTGGAGCTCAAATTGATTGTCCTGATGGAGGAGAGATCGAGATCAAGAGACAACAGAGAGGCAACCGTGGTGGGAGTGATCGATCCATCTCGGAATATGGCCCATACCCTGGCCAAGCACAGATTGATGATCGACGAAGCAGAGTCGATCAACCCGCCGGCCGATCCCGCATATCTTCACAACATTCTTATACCCGTGCGACGAAATATGTTGGGGAAGGTTATTTTTGATCTGGAAAATACTTTTCTTTTCGTGGTTCCATTCTTCGGTTGCAAGCGAGCGTATTGATTAGGGTAGGATGACCCCAGTTTTATTTTTTGTGCATTTATTCATGGGCGGCTTGTCCTTCGACTTTTTTGGTCTTCTTAAAAAGGGGCGAAGAAGAGGGAAAAGTATATATACCCCAAAAGCACATTTTGTTCTGAGCTTTAAAGCTTGAAGTTTTTCTTTTGTCGTTGGAATTGACTTGTATGAAGGAACGATTGTATGATTGATGACCGGATACCTCTTTTGTAATTTCTTTTGTCCTATCTAGCGGGTGGGAATCTGTAGGAGCTGGAATTTCTCTGAAAGCATTTGGATTGGGACAGGGCAAATTGAATCGCTTGAATAAGTGGTGGATTTCTCATTTAGGGCTCATGGCATGGGTTGGGTGGTATTCTAAGATCTTGCATACGAAGTGCTAGCAATGGCCATGTACTTCTATTCTATCTTGCACATTGGGATATTCTTTGTTTCGCGATTTTGCGGTAATGCATAGATGGCGGGAGAGAGGAAGATGTGTGGATGTGGTAGATGGGTTGTACATGGGATGTGCGGATGGCATGATCAGATGTATGACGATGTGGAATGGCTTTTGAGAAGTGTCATTATCAATCTGAGGCTTGTTAGGGACTCAGTGGATGGATGTCGCTGAGGATGTTGGATTTATCGATGAGGAGGTGGAGGGATGCATGTCAGAGCTGATAGGCTTAATTGAGCGGTATCTGGCAGGTTTCTAGGAAGCAAGAAGATAGTTAATGAGCACTATGATACCCTAATTTCCAAAGCCTCATTCTGCCTAACTTTTGAAGTCTCTATGATGTATTTTTGATCTTATTGGTGACGGTCTAGGAAATCGAGTCGTCACAGAAGTGTAGGTATAATGGCGCTGTTAATATTCCGTGTGATACGGTTGCTTGTTTTACATTTCCACGCTTGGTATTTCAAACTCGTAATAATTACAAGGTCCCAATGTTAATGTCCAGGTAACGGCCGTCAAGCAACAAGAAGTGGAAAACAGCCACGTGATTGTGAACCTCGCTTAATTTTGGTCGCGGTGGAAACGGGTGGGGCGCAAAGTAAACAAACCAGCCTCCCGCCTTTTTCAAACCTCCCAACCACCTTCGTCATACCTCCAAGTTGCATTTCTAGTCCAGAATCTGGACTAGTTCTCTTTCTCTCTCATACTCACGATACAAACTTTACGACGTTTATGAAAGCAAGATCACGATAAACTAAGATCAAGATAATTATCTTGTCTCGACGAGCTATTCCCGACGTTGTTGATATCGCTTTAAAGATTGGCACGATCAAGAGAATTGTGACGAGTTCCGTCACGATTGACTAAGGTCGCTTTCACAAAGTTCAAGCTCACGAGAAGCGAAATACATCATGGCACCTCTAAAAACCTACCTCACAACTCTCCTCCGCCGCGCCCCCCTTCCCACACCCACACTCATCGCCCGAGCAGACCCTCAACCCGTTCCCGGTGCGGACGGCGTCACACCCTTCGAATCCATCCCCAACAACGCCGTATTCGCACTCTTTGGCATCATCGGTGTCGGATTCGTGCTCACGGGTATCTGGTTCTTCTTCTGGGCCAAAAATGGCGGGTTCGTCTTTAAAGAGAACGACTGGGATGATTATAAGAGTACGGTACTCAGGCGGAAGGGTCCGAATGGAACGACATTGAGTGGTGCCACGGAATCTACGGATCTTGGTGGTGGAAGTGTGGTGCATGGCGAGAAAGAGGGACGCAGTATCTGGGGTGGACGGAAGAAGAAGAGTAAGAGTGGAAAAGCGGAGAGATATAAGGATTTTGATGAGGAGAGTAGAGGATTTACTGAGATTACGGGGACGACTGAGAGTACTGAGAAAAGTCGCTGGAAGCTGCGCAAGGATAAGAAGAAGGCCGCAAAGGAAGCACGTCTTCGTGGCGGGGATTTGGCTTCTGAGATGACTGAAACTACGGAGATGCTTGATGATGATGTCGATCACAGTGTCGTCGATGCTATGCGTGCTTATCGTCATGAGAAACCTGCCCGCGTTGGTGGATTGAATACTGTCAGCGAAGGTAGTGCTTGGGATGGAAGTATGGGCGAGAACTCCACTACCGCATCTTCAGATGCTCTTCTCGCCAACAGAGAACGCACACCAACAAAAAAGAAGAAGAAGGATGATTCCTATACAGGCGGCATCCGCAAGGTCGTCTCCACCTCCAAAGAATCAACTGGTTTCTTCGGCCGTACCACCACCACATCCCGCAAGCACGACGACGAACGCATCAAAGCCGAAGCCGCCAAACTCCAAGCTAAAGGCCGAGCAGCCCAACGCCGAGATTTCAGCTTCCAACACGGTGACGATGCGAGTACCGTTGTTTCTGAAGAAGATCTCGCGAGGGAGCAGAGAAGAGAGGCCAGACGCGACGAGAGAGAGCGTAGGAAGAGTAGGAGTCCGACGAAGAGGGTTCCTGGCGAGTACGCTGGGAGTGAGAGTGTAGAGAGTGATCTCGGTACCAAGAGTTATCGACATGTCATCCCCGGGTTGAGTGTTAGTGGAGGCGGGAGCGAGGTGGCGAGTACGGTGGGTAGTAGTGTGGCGGGGAGTGAGGGGTATAAGGAGGAGAGACGGCGGAGGAGGGCGGAGGGTGGTGGGAGGGAGAAGGGGGAGAGGAGTGGGGGTTATAGGAGGGGACGGAGGGATAGTTTGGAGTGAGTGTGAGGTTTGGGGGGGGATGAGTGATGTGGAGGGATGGGAAGGAGTGAGGAGGGGATGACTGTATGATAGTGAGGGATCGTGGGAATGGGGATAGTTGGTGGTATACATGAGGGATTGATGATATGTCTGGAAATGGGATTGTGGATATGGATACATGAGATGATAGCATAGCGTAGCGTACAAAGATTGTATCGTGGTCTGATTTGGGGATCATATGGAGTAACAGATAGTAAATAAATGAACATTTGCTACATACTCCTTTATTTTGCTCTCTACGTCCGTTTCTTTTTACATCCGTGTCAAAATCAAAACTCAAAATCGGGTCTCAATGGCGAATTCTCAAGCCCGTTAAAATATTACTCTTATAGAACATATCTGGTCATTGAACGTCTTCTGGTATATGGCAATCATCTCCCATCCCACGTCTACTTATGCGATATTGTGATATTTACAAGCACCCCTACCACTGTTCTTCCCGGACCTAAGTATGGCAATTATCGCAGAGGACTTCAGCTTGGTCGTTGTTGGACGGGGTCAATCTATCCACACAGGGAATGATGTTTCGGGCTCTTTAAGTGGAAAAAAATAGTGAAGGAAACCTTGAGAATAGTTGGTTGCCTGGTAGAATGTTCGTATACGATAATTCCAGAGAAATGATCAAGTGAATGTTCACAGTGAGGTGCAACAATTGTTTCTTCAATATTAAACTTCCCAGAAGCATAAACCTTGTAAATTGTATTAAGATATTTGATTGGATATCTTGGACCAGTGTCTCATGTTCGAGAGAATTGAAAGAAGCGAATACGACCTTCGACATTAAAAGATGGAAAGAACTTAACCCTATAGTGGACGACAAGAAAGTAATTTTCACCACCAAAAGAATCCTGATCCGTGGCATACACATCCCTCAACATCGCTTCCTCACTGACCCTTCACCCCACCCACCTCTCCCATCCCAACCCTAGCGCCCAACCCATTCTTCTCATACGCCAAATCAACCATCTTCATCGTCCTCACCGATTCCTCCCCCTCAATCCAATACTGCGTCTCCCGTCCCTTAACCCGATTCACAAACTCCTCAAGCTGGTACCGGAAAGACATCCAATCCTTCCCTCCCTTCAGCCCAGTAAACTCCCCACCGGCTTCATCGAACGTATAAGCCTTGCGTGTGCTCTTCTCTTTCCAAGTTTTTACCACCGCTTTGGTAGTGCTGTCGCGGATGGTGAACGTGTCGATGATGTCAATTCGATGCCAGAGGATCCCGTGCATCATGCCCCAAAGCGTGAGGGTGCGAGATTTGATCTGCTCTTGTGATGCTGGGAGCGAAGGGGTAGGAATGACTTTATCATGCAGCCGAACGGTAGTGAAATCGACTTTATACATCTTCCCGCCCTTTAAATCACACTTCGCTTCTCCGATCCCACCACCTGGGAATTTGAATGTTGCATGGCTTCGAAAGTCGCATCCCTTCTGTGGGCCCTCAGTGAACGAATCGGATTTGCAACTCACACACTCCTCAGGCTCAGATCCGAAAAGTAACCGCAACGCCGCGAAGTGATAAACACCTAAATTCATCATCGCGCCGCCAGCTAACTTATAATTCAGCGAGATATCATCATCTTTGATCATCCAAGCCGGTAACTGCGATTCCGAACTCACATATGCGATTTCAGTTGAGGGGATGAGCGAGCGGAAGAGCTGCCAGGAGGGGAAGAATTGGAAGTGGAAACCCTCGAGGATGACAGGGGCGTTAGGGAGGGAGAGCGAGGAATGGGAGAAGAGGGTTACGGCTTCGGCGGCGTTGGAGACGGAGGGTTTTTCGAGGAGGACGTGTTTCCCTGCTGCGAGGGCGCGGAGGGCCCAAGGGTAGTGGAAGGCGTTGGGGAGGGGGATGTAGATGCAGTTGATTGTGGGGTCGTTTATGATTTCTGAGGTGGTTAGCTAGGGGTTGGGGTGAAATAGAGGTAACAAGGAGTTTTGAGAAATGAGGGGATGTTTTGGGCAATGGGGTAGAGGCTTGGTACCTTCGTAAGAGTCTTTGACCTCGGGAATACCATGTTTCTTTGCAAATGCTTCGGCTCTGGTGCGGTCACGAGCAGCGATTGCTTGGACGATGACTTCTGGATGGGATTTGGCGGGGACGATTAAACCCATGGGACTGTTCTTAATCAGAATGTGAAGGTCCAAATCCCAAGAACTCTGGAAGATACTCACACGATCCTTGCAGCCCCTAAAATTCCGAATTTTAAAGCATTCTCACTCTTTGGGACCGGTGCAGCAGGACTGATGAAGATGTGCCAAATTCGACTGATGAAAGCACCCATCTTCGTAAGATCGTTATTTCGACAGTGTGTTTGACGGGTAAGATGCCAAGCCGGTTGGGTACATCCAGTGCAGAACAGTTGATTCCGTTCAAGTGTATGTAACAATATCTCGAAGACAAAGATCTTGTGGAATACCAAAGTATTTTGTATTCGAGCCTGCTCCCAGCACGGGACATATTACCAATCTATAACATTTTTTCCGCCGCATCTGCGGCCTGACTAGTATTGATTTTTCGCAATGTTGCATATCGCAAACATGTTCGGGACGACTCGTTCTCCGATTCTTTGTAATAAGTCACTGCCACTCTCTTCATCTTGACTTGAGAAAATTCAACAAGTACAATTACCCCTGTAATCTTACCTAAATTATACGACGCTAAAGGCGTTGTAGATTAGCGATGAAAGCACATTGCATAAGTGGGGCCGTGGCGTAGCGAGCTTCCTAGGGACCATGGACATCATCTCACCTCCTCCGTGCCCTCGTTTGCCTTTCTCTTCATTTGAGAACAGTCCTATGAAAGCAGACTGCATACTGGAGATTACTCGAATTAGCACTTCAGAATGAAGTCCACCGAGAGCGCCGTTGGATCTGTAGCCCTTGTCCCCATGCATCAGCTAGCGGAAGCGAGATGTTTTGAAGATGATTGGACAGGATTGAAAAATCAGAAGGAGAGGCGTAAGAGACAGACTCGTCTTGCATTAAGATCCCTTCGTAAGTACTACCAAGTCTTCTGCAAGCGGCTCGTACCTGCGTAGAATAGTCCTCGCTATACGACAGAAACTGGCTGACAAACTCCAAGGCAAGCGTCAAGCAGCTCAAAAGCAGGCCAAAATCCACGAGTGTCCCATGAATCAAGTCCCGGCAACATATGCACCGGAACTCGATTCACGAATCGATTCAGAACAGGGATTCCTGATTGCTCCTTCGTCGGGTGCATATATTCCTCCCTTCCGTGATCAAAGCGGGTATATAACTTCCCAGCGATTACTTGATTCAATGTCTCGAGATCACTTGATGCCACTTGTTGAGTATAATCTCTTCCGCGCCATCTCGACAAACCTCCAAATACTGGGAATAAAGCTCGTCGGCCCGCCTTGTAGCTTTGGGGGAAATGTCCCTCTTTTTCCTAGACGATTCAACGAGGCAAACATTCCTAAGTCTTTGAGAGCAACTCCTCTCCAGCAGTCCACCCACTACGCAGAATGGATTGATATTCTTCCGTCACCAAAGATGCGTGATAATGCAATTCAAACGCAGCATATGTACACTCCACATGAGTTGTGTGCTGACCTTCTTGGCGGCTTGATGGGACGATCGAACGAGGTTGACGCCGGTCTAATAGTTTGGTCGGATCCATGGGATCCGCGTAATTGGGAGGTCTCTGAGGGGTTTCATAGGAAGTGGAGTTTTCTGCTTGAGGGATGCGATGACCTTCTAAGATCTACTAATCGATGGAGAGAAATTCGCGGCGAGAGGCCTTTATTCGTAGCATAATGTTTTTGTTCATTGTGGGGAAAACTTGTTGTCTAGTCGAGCTAGCAGTGTGCATTCGTGGATAAGACCTGTCCCAGTTACACCCTGCTCTTTTACTGCCTCCCTTGAACTCCCTTTTAGTCTTAACCTGCCATATCAAGTGAGCGAAAAGATGTATTAACAGTCCCGATTTTCTCTATCTCTCGGGTCTCCCTCTCCATGAACTCGAAAGCGTGTCGCGTAATACTCTTTTGGATACTTTATCCCCAGTCAGTGCTCTTTCTGACCTAGTCTTTCTTCCCAGAATGCCCTTCGAGGAAAAGCTCCTTCCCACAGCTCGAAAAGACAGGTGTTTTCATCAATAACTACCGAAGCTCGAATGCGTTCGTTCTTTGCTGTAGCCCACGCAACATTGCTCGTGCCTTCGAGATCAAGATTCGATTCGCCCCATTCCCCAGTCAAGTCCATGCCATCAATCAAATCCTCGAGATCTGTGCCGCTGGCAGTGTCAAGAAGACTTTGCGCGTAAACCGGAAGGGTGGGGTATGGTATCCCAGCTTTGCTGCGTTCAATATTTTGCGGTACACACTGAATGTGGCAGTCAAGTGCTGGAACTAATTTGAACCACAGAAGAATACCATTGCACTTAAAACGTGGAAACGTATGCATTAGCGATTCGGGGTGAAGTCCAGGAACCTCTTCCGAGATAGTGTAGTATTTCATATTCTGTGGACCTTGCAGAAGACGGGAAGCCTCTTCGAGTTTGTCAGTTGGTACACACACCTGCCAATCCTGAATTCCCATCAGCGTACGTTGACTGTTAAATCTTTGCCAAATCTTACCCTCGTCCTCTACCAGCGCCATAATATATCAAGGCAGAAGGAAGTCCCAACCATGCAGCACGTGATCCCAGCCTCTTCTAATATTGACGCGACTCTCGCTATCTCAGGCGCAGCACCTCCGTTTGAAATGAACCTGTCTTCTGGGAAGCCATAGATAATGCCTGGATATCTGGGGTCAGCAACTCTTGGAGGAAGCTCTGACCGCGGTGAGACGACGACAACAGGGAACGGGAAATCTGAATCTGGGATGTCCATTGCTTCACCGTCGCAGAAATGGTGTTTTCTGGAATTTTCTTCCGTTCGGGATCATTCCATAATGATTTATCACAGTGTTGCCTAGAGGTTTCCATTACAGCTTGATATTTGGGGTGGTTGGTGACGTGTTGGTTGTGTTTGGAGGAAAGTCCAAAGCCGAGGATGTTGCGCCAAGCTGCTGACATAATTTTCTAGTCACGTACGCTTGAATTCTGACAGGTATTACAACGAGAAGAAATATTTAAAGGCAAATCTAACTCAAACTCTGTCATTGTCTGAAGACTTGAGTATTCACGTTTTGTAAACTAAGTTCTAGTGGCTAACCAAACTTGAGGAAATTAAGGCATGTTTTCGGAACAGTCCAAATAGACGACATCGGATGAAGTGAATGGTGGTTTTATCTGTCTCTATTTCAGACGGCCCATTTCAGGCCCCAACGAGGAAGAACTTGATGTATACTGGTCAGAGTCGGTAAAGTATATTGAGAGAAGTAACATCGATCAAGGTTTCAGAATCGTAGAAAAATTAGAAAATTGTACTCCCCCACGCGTGAGATATCTCGCCTCTTTGATTCTACGACAGCAAGGAATCTAAATAATTCTTTTGCGACATTCTTCTATAAGGATGTATGCAAAACCATATCTATTCCACCGACTGGCAATTCATGGAACACCAAGTATATGTTTCACCTTCCTAACATAATTCGGACCACTACCATCACTGGACGCAGGTTGCTGCTCACAGTGGTCGATGAACTTCTGACGATGCACCATCTCCAACTCAGCTCTAAACTCATATATCTCCATACCGTATTGGGCACAAAGCCATTGCAGGTCTTTGTAATCTCTAGATTCATTTCTGGTGAAATGAGCCAGTAGCTTGCTTCTCATTGCGGAAAGCAGTTTCAGGACTGGAAACTGGTGTACGCTTTCTGATGGTAAGACGGTATTAATTATCTCGACAGAATCGGTGAGATCGATGTTGAGGCCGAAGTTTCCTTCAAATGTTAAAACGAAATTTGTAGGTTTGAATGATAATTCTGTACCTGCTAGTAAAAAGTCGACTTCAACGAGCTTTTCTAGTCGCCCAAATTCTACTACACGAACAAAACTCCTCAATACACCCGATGTAAGACCTAACGGTATTATAATACTACATTGAAATCAGAGACTATCCCCAAATATGCTATTTATCAGGCAAACTCACAACTTCTGTAGGTCTAAGACTTGCTTAAGTTCTAACATAGTTGCACCGACTGCCACATCAATATCATTGGCCCTACGATCACTTCCCCTAAGACTGAGCGAAAAGCCACCCATGAAACCAAACACGATGTTATTAGCGTTGAATATGTCTTTGATGTACATTGCTGCCGAAAATAGGCGTCCGTTGGTGGGGTTGTTTGATTTGGCGACGAGTTGTTTTAACTCCGAGTAGGTGTAAGTGGTACACATGTTGAGTTCTGCCGATCGAGTATGAAAACTGTCGCGATCATGAAAGTTAAGATTTTTTACAGGTGTTAGAAAAATGAAGGAAAAGTATTTAAATATGTTTAGAGGAAGCAGGGTTGGAAGGCAGTGCTGTATAGGCGTCAGGTTGTTGGAGTGTTGGACTTCCAACATCTGCTGATACATAATCCCAAGACCGGATTTGCGGCCTCCTCATTTTTAGCCAAACCCCGAACAACGTTTATGAGAAAGAATTCGACACATAACGATCAAAGGTCTCCATCAAAAAAACTTAAGACAGTAAGATTTTTATAACATTGATAAACTTACGATAGTTAAAGTTTTTAGTACTTAACACTTGACACGATACTTCTAGTCTGAACTTTAACGTGTAACGACTGAGTATCAGCATACTTTGAGAGAGTCACGTGCTTGAAATCAGGGGGCAAAAGGCAATTTTGTCAGTGAAATCGTCAATATGGCTATACCACTATAAACACAAAGCTGGTCTGAACTATGACCTTCTTAATTCGAAATATCTTCATTATGATCGCTTGAAAACTTGATTTATATTTCTGTACAAATAGATCAATATCAATAATATGTGGTACAGTATATGCGGGTCTGCAAAGTGGATCTCGCTTAGAAAGACAACTTCACTTTTTCAACAGGTATCAGGTGGACTTCACGAGTAGACGCTGAGATTTTGAGAAGCTGTAATTTTGGGAACAGTATAAATATTGGTATATAATCAAGGACACTATCGCACTTAAAGTCATTCGCTTCAATACCATTCGCTTTACGTGCCTGCTAAGTAATTGTCTTCGCCTGTAATCTCGAACAATAATTTGTAAAATGCACACCTACAGTCCTTCAACATTAGCAGCACGGATAATACTGCCCTCAAGAGATAGATGTCTGTGTCAAAGCCACCAAAATGCATATAGAAGAAGCAGCACGAAAATTTACATTTAATAAATCAAGATACCGAGAACGAAATGAAATGCCTCAATCTAACTCATTTTTGTAGCTCGAAAGACCATATTTGAATTTCCCATAAAAAGAATGAAGTATTAAGACGAATTGCTCTCGTTGCTTGAGAAATTTTTGCGCTCGTAATTCTTCGTGTTGCACAATGCGTCCGCGAAAACTTTGCTTTTGGACCATTTGATACAGATAAATATGCTCATGAGTTTGCCTAAACTGCAAACCTGTAAATTTCAAACTCCACTGATTGATTTTATTGAAGACCTGAAATTGCTTTCCTGGTATTTGAGTGCTATTTCAACGAAAAATACTGCTTGAACTCCTGTGCACTGACTACATTCTACTTCCTAGGGGTCACTTCCTTGCGCCAATGTAACTCGTGAACAAATATTGTACAAGATGAAGTAGCAATTTAATAAAAGTATATATCATGTCAAGTTCCATTCCTCAACAGCCTCGAGACCGCTTCTAATGTATCGCTCAAGGCTCTGGTGACCGGTGGTGGAGTCTCGGTAGTATCTGGGAGTGTATTAAAATCTGCATAGGGTGTCGCAGATTGTGGAGGCTGTGAGGGGGCTAGTTGAGCGAGTTCGAGGTGGGTCTCTGTAATAAAATGTTAGTTGTCGCTTTTGGATAAGGTAAGGTTTGAAATGTAGACGACAAGAGCAGAAATAGTCTTCGAGAGATTTACCACTTTGTCTTCTATCCGTGTTTCTGCCCTTCCATGATACAAAAATTGCGACGATTGCAAACACCGTGGCTGTGATACCAAAGCTCAGAGTGAGGATATCATTTTCTGAGACTGAAGAAGAGCTTAGTAACATTTCTGCAAGGGATTCTTGGGTATAATACACATGATGATGGTGGGTGCTTTAATGACGAGATAATGAAACGTATTCCAAGCAAGAGTTGGCACGTCCAAAGTTGCAAAGGTTGAGATTTCCAAGGCTCGAACGGTACGCCAAAGCGTAGAGAGCAGTTTTCTATCGGAACGTATTTGTGCCGACAAACAATGTGTTTAAACGTATTCAAGACAACAATCTGAAGCATCAGAGGCTGCAAATAATATTCTTCTAAAGCGCGTATGAAAAGTCAAAGACCAGACCACTGTAGTCTATGTAAACGTGTTTGTGCCGACAAGGACTTTGTTTGAACGAATTCGGGACAGTAATTTGAGATCTCTTAGTCTGCAGAAGTTTCTGACCAGAGGCTCGCAAGAAGTGTCAAAGTACAGAGCGCTTTCGGCTGCGTAAACGTATTTGCTCGGATATACGATGTGAGTTTCGAGGAAAAAGTTGGGTGGTCATGACTTTATAATTGACGTTGAAAAGTATTGCTGTTGTGAAGAAACAAAAATACGAAATGTACACTGGTAATAGTTGTTGGTTGTCTTAAGTGAGGCGGACCGCATATAAGACCTACAAATAGGATAGAATCAGCCTGCAGGCATACATTGAGAGATATGTTAACTTAGACTGGGATCCAAGATACATGCAGGGACTTTCCTCCTGCAAAGTGAGGCTTACAAGCGAAGTTTCGCTAACAGTGCCACACTGCACCACCCTAAGTGCCCCTCAATGCCCCGGCCGGCGGCCATAGACCTACACTCCCAACAATCCTCGCCGAAATATCTCCTTGCGGGCCACTTGCTGGGATTTCACGCACCTAACACAATCCGTAAAAGATTTTGCCGGAAACACACGGAGTATCCCCATAAAGTTACCTACAATTCTTATGATCTTCAAGGCACACTTCAGCCTTCGACTGTACCCGACGCCACACCTCACCACCGACGGTCACACAATCTGTCACACAATCTGACGGTGCATTATCTCAGAATCTAATACTTTGATTGACGTTATTTAGTGAACGGGCTTGTGACCGTGAAATTTACACAACCAATTTTGGTTGTTAGGTAGAATTTCTATTTTCAATTTAGTACATAGAGAGGAAAAGCTCGAGGACATGTAAAGTAATTATTTTTGCTCGATGAAGCGAGTGAGAACTGGAAAAGTTGTAAATTTCCGAGTTTTACGAGTTGCCAAGGAGAACTTCTCGGCTTGTGCGTATCAGTAATTAGGAAAATATAGCCCCCAAATGGCCTTGCCTGTTATTGCCATACACCAAGCTGAAGGATGGCTATTGGTTCAGTCTCAGAATTGCCAGCGTGGGATAGTGGCCGCTGCAGCACTCGGCTCCACGGCAATTATTGCTTCCGCATTCGGGTGGGGGCTTGCTACTCGATCTTGTATATGAATCAATCTGCTTTCCTACCTGCGAGACACAGCTTATGTCATATTGCACATGGCAGTGATTACACGATAATGGATGTTATTAGCATACAGCTCTCCAACACCACTAGTCGGACCCCGTACCCCCCGAAATCGCTCGCTTTCCAACCAAGTTGTTGAACAGGAAATGATAAATCGGATGACGCGGCTCTTATATGCGATGCGGTCATGCGGCGGTGCACTTTCAGATATGGGAGGACCTTGGGGATGATTTAACTAACCACAATCACGTTTCTGTCAGTAGCAACTGGAATGCCTGTTGGATGGGTATCATAACAGAGATAAGCGCTGACTTGCACATACCGAAGATCCTTATGACTTGCGCTCTTCCCCAGATTCGGTGTCCGAAAGCAGTTCGTACTGACTCCCTTGTATGATGCCAAAGATTCCAAAGATTCGGATTCTTTTGGGAACCACAATACAGTCTGAATATTCTTATTCTCCCTTACATCCGAGGAACTCACTCATACCATACTAGAAATTTGTTCCTTATGTTCTTCAAACATGAGTCGTGTAGGCTCTTTTGAAGTTTCACAAGCGTTTTCTCACAGAACAATTGAGTAATCGTCCGTTATCAGTAGAGCACAAAGTTGTAAATTGACAGAATGTTAGATAGGAAGTTTTAAGATATGAGCTATTAATCCAGGTCCTCCGTTAAATTTCAAATTGCATTCATGCATGTGATGTTGAACTCAGTAGTGGTGATTTGCACTAGCCACAGGTAGCTTGTCCCCCCTTTTGTGGGTCCTTCGACAGCCGAGAACAAACGACCATGGGGTTTCCAACAATACACTTGGCTTCCGGAAAACTCTTGTAGATCTAAAACCGACATTTGAAATCGTTTTAATAAATGTCATTATGTAATTCATTGGATGCACGAAAAATTTCGCAGGTTTTCAGTACCTCAACCTAGAGAAAGATGACCCTCGCTTGGGATAGAGTTATATACCCATTATCTTACAAATTTTGCCAGGCCCTTCTCATCATATTTATCTTCTTTAGTGTCTTTTTGAACGAGCTCAAACTCTATACCCTTCTTAAAACTCCCAACCCCATTTATGACTTATCCAAAGCCTCTAACCAGTCCCTGGGTCAAACACCCTGTGATAGCTGAGCTCATATCGTGATTGAAGTGGAATCCATGTCAAGTACCATTCCTTACAACTCTGGCTACAGCTTCGAAGGTATCGGTCAAAGCTCGGTTTATTGGTAGTGGGTGCGAAACACTCTCGGTATAATTTAGCGGAAGAGTACAATTGGCGTATGATGATGGCGACGGTGCTTGTAAAGAAGTGAGGTGTGCGACTTCAATATCGTTGTCTAAATCGAGAATGAATAAAAAGTGAAATTTAAGGATAAATAGGTATAAGAGAGGAGCGGAATATGAAATAGGCATACTCTGTGGATTACTAGTCGGATGACCGGCACCACAGGATGCGTAAATAGCAATAATTGCGAAATATGTTTCCCTGCGAGACCGAAACTTAGAGCTATAATATTGTTTTCGGAGACTAAAAGTCCAGATAAGCAGGTAGCTTTCCCGAAAGATAGTTGGGAGCAGTAATGCGCACGCATCGTAGCTGCTGTTGCAATTAAGTGCGGAAGATATGTGCACGATAAAAATAGAGTAGGAGTAACGTACGTAAGCGTAGCTAAACGTTTACAGACAGTAGTTTCCGATTGAATTGTAAAAGTTTCATGGTCTGCACTAGAGAGCTTCTCTTTATAGAGACGGAAACCCAAGATGAAGTAACCTTGCTAAGAGAATTCACCCATCGAGACGGCGCTCTCTTCCCTAATACTCTAATACGGCTTATTTAATCTCATTTCTCCTTCTCCTTGGCGAACTTCGGGTAAGGCAGTTGCCAAACACAATGAATAAAGTTGGGACAATACAAGCTAGGAAATTTATGTCCAGATATTGCTCTCCAATCCAGGAATCTGGCGATGGCCAGCAACATTGAACGATTGAACTATTTTATCCAACGCCTCCTTATCTTCTGCGGATATTTCAACGGCTTGGGAGTTCTCTCTGACCCTTGGTACACCTGTCGCTCCAGGAATAGGTATAATGGTGCCGAAGACACCAGTATTGGAGTGGGCGCGAATCCATGCTAGCGCAAGCTGGGCAGATGTGAGATTCTTGCTCTTCGCAAACGCCTCGATCTTCTCAGCCAACTCGAGATTTTTGTTGAAATTCTACGACCAAGGAGGTTAGCAAACAGGAAGCGTTGGGTGCTCTTTCCATCATGGGCTATCAACCTACCTCGGGCTGAAATCGACCAAACATATGACGGGTGTCCCCTTGAGGGATATCCTCAACCTTCTTCACGGTACCCGACAGGAACCCATAACCCAGCGGAGCATAGCTAAGCAAGATCACGTTGTGTTCCTTAGCTGCTGCCGCCACGCCATTATCAATGATCTCGGTGCTCCAGAGCGAGAATTCTACTTCGGTGAATTTGATAGGGGCCACCGCAGACGCGCGTTTGATTGTTTCCGCCCGTACTTCCGAGAGTCCAATCGCGCCAATTTTGCCTTCTTCCACCAGCTCCTTAAGCGCGTGGATTGTTTCCTCGACTGGGATATTTTGATCCATGCGGGCCGGGCCGAACACGTCGATCTTCTTGACTCCACCCAGGATCTGGTTGCACTCATCCCAGCTCGCACGGACACCATCGCGCGTGGTGGTTGGGGAGAAGGTGCTTGGGTCGTAACAGGCTCGGATGAAGAGTGTCACCTTGAATGCATCCTCGGGATACTTCTCAAAATACCGTCGCAGCAGGAGGAGACCAGCCGTCGGAGGATTCGGAGGCATCCCGTATATCGAAGAGCTGGACCAGATCGTGGCTCCACTTTCCACAGCAGCCTTCATAGCGGGGAAAGCCTGCTCATCTGGCACTTGTTGCGGACGCCAGGTATATCCCTTTTGCATGTCAATGTGAGCAACAGTCCCTCGAACGCCCTTGAACGACCCTTCGAGAAACTCACTAGTAGACCGAAGCCCGTACGAGGTAGCGACGTAGCTGCCATGTTGACGACCGGCGGCGAATTGCTGGTGCTGAGAGTGTAAGGCAGCGAATCGTGCACATAATCTGACTTGTAGATGACAGGCAAACCGAGAGAGGACCTTTGAATAAGAGACAATCCACAAGGTAGTAAATAACTGACATCGCCGGACGTTCATTTTCGGCGTTTACCTTATGTCCATGGACTGAAGCAACCTCCGCTCTTGGCGGTGTTGGTTAATTCTATGTCCATCCAGAAGATCACTGCCAGCTCACTCGCTTCTTGGTGCTTGGTACTGATTGGAGGAGCTTCCATGCATGGCTAACTCTGTTCATAAAGAACGATCCGAGGATGGCTAGTGTACAAGAAATGGAGACTGTCGGACCTAAGTGAAGGAGTAGTAGTGCACAAGGAGGACGGGAAGTGAACGTATGTGATAGCATACTGCCTTATTTACAGAATGCGCTAGCTGGCGGTGATTCGTCTCATGGAGTATGTGATAATGGGTTATAAGAAGAAATGTCTAAAGTTCGCTTTAGTAAGACTAACAGGGATTGAACCGCTCTTCGAAATCATAGCCGTTCATATATAGCTCCGATCTCAGTATCGATAACGGAGATGAGATTGAGTCGCAAAACTTATCTGAATAGCCTCCTCTCCTGGACGTCTTGAAAGATCTAGCCTTATTTTCTTTCACACACATACATGTTCGATGCAGAAATACCGACGCAATCTGCTCAATATCGTGGATTGGGATTTAACTACAATTAAAAGCCCAACTCGCCTTAATTCAGCTGCTCGATCTGAAGAAAACTCTTCTGATCTTAACTCCAAAACTGCTCGCTAAACGAGGGAAGCATGATGCTTTGCTGGAGTGCATATGACGATCATTTGTAGTCCACAATTATGTTCTGGATGAGTACCACTCTAGTCGTATGCGCTTCGAAACTGCAAACGAGCCCCATTAAAAAGGAGGCAACGTGAAAAATGCAGAATTTGAAGGTGTCCTTGTCGCACTGCATAATGGTTCCGGGAGATCCTGCAACGCACAAGCAATTGTGCATCTGCAAGAGCCCCGAACATCCCCTCACGGCCCGCGTCCACGGCGTCGGTGTCAGATGGATTTATTGAATTATTCCTAACGCACGTACTCACCCCTTCCAGAACCCGCTTCAGCAAAATTAGAAATTCCCACGCTTGCACTTACAGCATCTTGTAGCAAGTAGCAAAGTACGCGATTTCCTTCTTATATGGTTTCTACGTATACAATTATACAACCAATTTCGTTCAGCGGAAGGCAAAGATAGACGAAGTTTGTGGTGAGCCAGTGACATCAGCAGTTTTTATCCCTTTAAATCTGCGCTGCTGCATTTGTCTAAACTTGTCACAGATAGGGACGATGTAATGGTAACGAGGCGATACAATGTTTGTGCAATGTCACAGCAGGATATAACTATCTATGATAGAGAGGCAAGAGCTTTATCAAGGTCGCTCTGATGAGGCTGCAATCCATCTGCTACCATAGCCTGCTCATTCTTGACAAGACTGTCGCTCTGACCCTTCACCTTCTGACAGTATTTGAGAAGCGCAGAACGTAGGGTATCCAAATCCGCTGTACTCTTTGAGTCGTTGAAAGCCTTCAAAGCTGGTGCCACCGTATCATTGAGCATATCCGTCAAAGCACCACAGTTGTACTGAAAGATTTCGAAGTGCGTCATTTTGTGGCCCATCACATCCACACTGCCGTATGAGCCTTTTTTGTCGTAATGGGCTGTCGACCAGTCAGACCAGTCGTGAGTCGTAGCATGTAGTGCAGCGACCGCGACGTTTGTCTTTTGGATTTTGGCTCCCATGGCAGTTACTGCGGGATCTTTGGACGAGCTGGAACTTGCATGGAACAGTGCTTCCACTCCTTTCATGCCAGCGTAAAAGAGGGCCTGCTTGATTGTCTCCGTAGCCGCCCATTTTGAAAACGCAACTGCGCCATCCAGGATAGCCTGATGTGCTGCGTTTGCACCGGCTGTTGTGCCACTGGCGGTCATGTCAAAGACAGGCACCTTAGAAGCCGTCTGGAAAACTGCGCTACCAGCTTCCCCGCCAACCGTGCTAGTGTCTGCTCCGGCAACGGTAGCGTCGGATACTCCCGTGGCAAGATCCGTAACGGGCGCAACGACCTCAGGCGTTGCCTCTATCACGACTGGGGCGGCTTCTATCACGACTGGAGCGGCTTCTATCACAACTGGGGCTGCTTCTATCACCACCGGGGCTGCAACCTCCACGGCCTCGGCGATGATTGGTATGAGTTCAAGCAAGAATGCCATGTTGAAGATCGATCGAAACTGTTATCAAGTTAGTGGTGGAACACAAGGTGCGGGGAAATTAACGCTCTTCCCTTGAGAACTTTTGCAACTAGTAGTGATCTGTCACGGTACAAGCGGACGTACTATCTTCGATCAACGCCTGGGTTCGCTGAGGAGGTTCACTTATATTGTAATGTGAGCGCCACAAACGAGAGAAGAGTTCGACATGATCATAGAACATGTCGGATTGAGACACCCAAAGTCCAGATTTTCAACCTGGACATCTAGACGCGAGCCGTAAACCTGTTTCAGACTTCTGCACTCTTCAGCTCAGTTCTTTTGCACACCGCTTCCCCACGTTCATCATTGACACTCACATAACTCAATAAAGTGTTCTCATACAGGTGCACACTCGACATCCCTTGTAGAGGTCCAAATTAGGAGTGGTTATTGGGTAGAGTACCCTACCTCGAGCCGACAAAACCTACGGTCAGACCTCGACGAGGGCTAAGCGAAAAACGACATCTATCAAGCTCAAGGCTGGTGGCCAGAAGTCCGTAAGCAGACCATGGGCAGGAAATACGAACAAGCAAAATTGGCAATTGAGGAATTCTTGCAGACGCTTGACGGTGACTACGCTGATCAAGAGATGCTCATCGAAGGATTGAAAGGGCTGCAAAAGTGTTTGGGTTAGGGCGGGCTGTCATGACTGAGGGGTGGATTGAGTCTAGGTACCTATTAGTCGGTTGAGTCAAACATGCTGCAACAAGTATTGCTTTCAGCTTTCCTGTATCTTCTTATGCAAGCCACTCAATATATTGTCAAACCCTGTGATCAAAACGAACATACCTGTGGATGGCCAGACCAAGCCATTCCTACGGCATACCACCTCCCGAGCCATGAGACAGCACATATAAAACAGTCATCGGTTCTACTGTTAACGCAGAAGAACCAACATATTCTCTGCTCATTGTCTTTCAGAACTACACGTTGTAACACCTATTCTTCTGTCATCACAAAATCTACGATCGAGAAAATGAGTTTTCTTGGAGAGATTGTTGAAGTGCTTGGAGAGGGGAGCGCTGAAGCTGGAGCCAGAGAAGGAGTCGAAGTTGCAGCTAAGGAAGGCGCCGAAGTAGGCGTTGCTGAGGGCGCGAGCTCTGCCAGCCAAGTGATCGACGAAGTAATCATCGATGGAGCGCAAGGAGCGGGTAAGGAAGTCGAAGGAGGCGGCGCCATACAGCAAGAAGCACAAGAGGCTATGGAGGCAAGCCAGAAGGAGATGAAAGACGTCGTAGAGAAGCTTGAAAAGGGCGAGCCCGGAGCACTTGAAGAAGCCAATGCAATCGAAAGTTCATGGAAAACCAAATTCAAAAACGTGTGGGCTGGAGCAAAGACATTCGGAGGTTTTGTAGGCGTGGAGCTTGCTAAAGGAGCACTCTTCACTGCGGGTATGAAAGCGCTCGAGCTCGTCTTTACGAAATTGACGCATCCAAGCGTTGCTAATGTAGCGGGAGGACCTGGAGCTCCCGCCACCCCGGTCGACGACCGTCGATTGAAGATCATCCAGGTTATCAACAAATCCGGTCAAATTCTCCAGGAAGCTTTGGACACTTGGTCAAAATGGCAAGCAGCCCACTACGACAATCGTGATTCCTATGGCACCATCTCCGCTGCAGGATTTGATCTATCAATCTTTCAGATACTCCAGAATGGTATCTCTTCCCTTGGCGACCAGCGGGACAAGCTCGTGCCGTTGGTGAGCAAGGCCAAACAGGACAACAGTCTCGAAGCCGTCAAGACGCTTTTGACGGCTGACATCGCTTATGCAAAGGCTGTGGCCGACCTGAACAGCCATATCAGCTCTAACATGAAGACCATGACGGATGACGGATTGCCTACTAGGTCGACGGAAGTTCAGGCTGCTTACTCAACTTTGGTCGCAGCCAGCGCATAATCCCTTCAAGCAAACCACTCACACCGTTTGAAGGCTTCGTGTGTTTAGTGGCAATGAGTTATCGGAAGATGGCAGAAGGGAGTGGGAAATTGAATGGGCGTTGAATCATTGAGGTCAAGATTGATGGGAAGGCAACATGTAGTATTCGTAAATACATCCTGATGTCTAGTATATATAAGCATTCTATCTTCTAATATGCAATGTCATGTCTACCCGAACTTGAGGTGGAGGGCGGTAAAAGTTTGACAGTACCTTTTATTTTTTTATATTTTTTGCTAAAGAAATTTTAGATGTTAAAACCTTTCTATTTCTAAACCCCCTTAAATTGAATTTTAATTTCACTGGCCTGAATTTATTATTATTATCTTATCCTATTACATTGGCTAAATCTCTCCAATACCTCCGCCTTCTACTAATTACCTCGTACTTAAAGATTATACTTAAATTTAACTCAAGATTAGAGTTACTATCATTTCAATCGGTGTTCGTCCACTCTATACAATATTTACTTAGCTTTATTCGCGTTCAATAGATGATTAACCAGATAAGTGACACAATTTTATTTGCACAACTGTATTCACACAACACCTTTCCGATTGTAAGGCTGTCGCATGTCACTATGTCTCGTTTCTTGTAGCACGTAATTTCTTCAGTCCTGTAATATACTTTTCGGCAAAGGTACGTATCTATGTAATTATACATCGTTACATTTTACACTAATTCCACTTTCCAACTCTTATTCAATACTTAAGGCTTTTTTTTATACCTGTATGTTAAGCTGTTTAGAAATTTTAAGTAACTTTCTTACAATATTCAGCTATCTCTCCACAGGACAATACTACGCGTCTACGGCTAGGACTTTGAGAAGCTAAAGAAGAGGCATTTAAATGTAGAAAATAGAATAGTTATAGTTAGAGAGAACTGGTAATTAATTAGGATCTAAGCATGTAAGATAACCTAAAAGTGTTTTGAAGTATTATGTGTTTTTAGAGATCACTTAAAAGAAGGATTAGCTAACTATGACCGGGTGCTAGGCATAGCTCGGATTCTTGTAATCCCGCTCAAATACATTTAAACAATATCAGAGAAGAAATGAAGCTATCTACAGCGAGACATAAACTGTATAGCTTTCGATAGTGGAATTTCTAATAGTTTTAATGTCGGCGGGAAACTAAATCGGCAAATTTGAGGCTTATAAATGACTATAATGCCACACAGATACTGACCTCTTTTTCATATCGGCAAAGAGACACGACAGGCATTACAAACAACTGAAAGAAGATATCGAGGTCCTAGAGCTCAAAATGGCACTGATCAGTGACCGTTCTGACTTGTACCAAGATTGAAGGCTCAGTACGAGATTCTTTGGATGGAAAAAAAAAATGATGTGAGCTGCAAGACCTGATAGTCAGACAAGAGGGAAGTTTCTCTGCCGAATCCAAATTCGGGGACGATCTGAAGATTACATTTATCTCGATACAGGCGAGAAAGCCTACACTACCTTTCCTAGATGCACCGATTCGGCTCTCCTCGTTGCATGAATCCACCCCTTTGTCTTACAGCAAATTGGGAATAATTGTTCCCGGGCTTGTATCGTGCTTTAGCAAGTGGCAAAGTGCACTATTGTTTCATCCCAGAATATCTTAACCGTCAGCATTTGTGTAGACATTACTCGTGTACACTAAAATTTTCGCAAGGAAGGTTCCCAGATTGATATCGTGACGATTGATCAAAAACAGTTTGTTGTTCCTTATCCACTGGAAGCACGAAAGGAAGAATTTCATATGCAAGTGACAGGAAACTTAGTTATTCCTTCCAACTTACGCAATTTTATTGCCAACTGTCGCGATCTATGAGGAACGTACGCTTACTTCTGTCACTATTACGGTACTTGTATATGGAACAATAGTTTCCTCGCTTAGCTTTCTGTAACAATTGTCGTGAAAGATGGAATATTGTAGATATTGTGTCGCATCTATATTCAGCTAGTTTTGATCTCCTTCATTATCTATTCCCCCATACGCATAACGGATATAACTCTACTTGAAATTCCAGCATCCATTTCCCAACACCTTGAGTGTTTCCTTACGCCACACCAAGTTCTCATACCCGCTGTATCGAAGCCAAACTCTGGATCGAACTTGACATTATGTCAAGTGCTATTCCGTAAGACCCTAGCAACAGCTTCAAATGTGTCACTCAAAGCTCGATGAATTGGTGGTGAACGGAGAGTATTTTCGCAAGGAGTTGAGGTCATAGTAGCATCGCTATATAACACTGGTGTGGAGGGACGCGGCGGACTCTGTACTGCGAGGGGTTGAAGCTCGACATCGGTGTCTGTTGGGAAAGTAGATGGTTAGAATGTGATACACGACTGGATAAAATTGGACAAGAATAAATAAACTAAGAGAATGAGTAACATGTAGATATTGCATACTGTTATACGACTGTCTAGACAGATTTCCGGATCGCCATGCCACGTAGATAGCAATAATCGCGAATACAGTCGCTGTGATTCCGAAACTCAAGGTAAGAACATCGTTTTCTGAGACTACGTGTTAAGTTGAACATATTTCTTTTTTTATTTGAAAAGGTAGTTACGGTTGTCTTACGCATGATGAAGATAGTAACTCGTGTCTAAGCTTTGTCCGGACGGAGAGTTGTGTTCGCTGAAACAAATAAGGATTAAAAGTCAGATAGAATCAGAGTAAAATGGACGTAGGCGCAGTTCGAGGTTTGAAAACAGCAATCTGCAGTAGTATTGTGGAAGATTCATGACGTGGAAAGAGACTTCTTTATAAGGGTGGAAAACGAAGAATTAATGGTAGCACAGAATGGCCTATCTACTTTGAAGCCCGAAAAGCAATTATTACTGCCACACACACACCGTACGTCAATCGTAGAATGCATATGCAGGCGAGGGAAGTCGTTCCAAAATGGACATTAACGGTTGCAAAATGTAGGGCGAACAGGCGGGGACCCTCCACGAATAAGGATAGGAGGCGTCTTTGGTCTGATACCCATCGCTTTATAATGTGCACTGCCACGCCAACGGCCCAACTAACTAATCACTACTGCCCATTCCAGACAACCATCCAACCACTAAATTGAATTCCGATCCGCCATAGCAAAAAGCCACTTGTGGTGCATCTGCTGGGCTGACCTAGAGATGCTTTTTATTCCGCTTGACTTGACACACCTCAGCAGCATGCTTGATATTTGGTGGTCCTAGAGTTCCCGGCAATTATGACCGCCCATGTCCTGCATGAATAGAGAAACTCCCGAGGCACACCAGCCCCTCAACATGCCCTTCAACTTTTCATTGGTCACGTCACGTTGATCTTGCACCTCTACGCCCGGGTTATTTTATGGTCCATGTTCGGTGCGCTGTGTAAGTAACACGATGACAAGGAACTCCCGTGTTCTTTGAAGTGAAGAAGCATAAGCTGCAGTGAGAAAGCAAGAGTTTCCGCTCTTGTCAAGCAAGAAATGCGCGGACAAGTCTGGAGAAATTTAAAGGGTTCTGCGGCTTCTCGTCCGATGACGCGCGAATCCATGCTGTGACTTTGGTTGGCAAGTTGCAGGTAGGAATTTCTTACGCTCATCTTTACAGTCAGGACATGTGAGTGAACAAGGCTATTTACAGGACGCCACCTCACACCCAGCAGTTGAGGTGGTCAGGAAGTCTTTATTTGCGTAAAGTTTTGTCATGTGCCGTAAATTCATCACTCAGATCGCGAAAGTCGACCCAAATTATACAGATACTTAATAATTATTAACAAAAAAAATAAGAAGTCCACAAAAAGTCTTAAAGGTAATCTCCCTCTGTACCACATGCAAATATGCAACCTTTATTGACCCAAATTATCACACCCAGAACTACTTGATTTCATCAACCTCCCTTCAATTGAACTGGTATAAAAAATATTTGTTTTTCCAGTGGGATCTAATGTTAAATTCAACTCATACACCCTAAGGTGTTTAGCAAATATTTAACTTTCACTTTCCCCAAAAAGATTTGTGTAATCAAACATAGTATCGAGATCTTTTTGCGTTAGTTACATCAAAAGCTTCAGTACCCACATGCGTAAAATATCAAAAGCACACTCCGTGGTCCCAAATAAGTATAAATAGAGTACCTTCAACACAACTATACGCGATGTCTAAACCACCTTGAGGAAACTAATATTAATCCTCGCATAATGCAAACTTTACAACCAAGCAATTGTAATCGTCTTAATAGTCTCGCGCCTCATTCCTCAACTTAGATATTATCTCGTGGCTGAATTACGACTAAATACTTGCATTCGAAACTCGTAAAGTCACTACTAACCACAATGAGGTTGGTGGAATTTTATTATATTACGCCCGCGGTTTGATGGACAAAGGATTGGAGCATATTAGGAAAGTCAAAAATCCGAACTTGCATCTCATTAACATAAATTCGAGTGAAAATGAACGTGTTTAGACCTATCTTTTCTAGGTCTATTCTTCGCTCTACCACTTGACTTCGTTACAAGCTAAGTTAATTTGAAATTCTAAACTTCCAATTCCTGACATTTCGACTGTTGTTCTTTAGCAAACACAAACCAACGTTCGTAAGGTGGTAGTGCACGGTGTGTTTTGTGCGATCGCGGTACTTTTATTTGGAAAAGGAGTGACTTCGCTTAATTCCAGGGGGGGGGCACTTTTCAGGCCGATTATCTCCGATGATCGTACAACTTTGTGTCGGCTTTCCTTAGCGGAACTAGCTATGTTCGTCGGCATGTGGGCCTGTAATAATATTTTCCGCTACACAAAGTGTTTAATGAGAATAGTGCAGTGCGCTTATGAAAAAGGTTGCCATAAGCAAGAACACATGAATTTTCGGTTGTTGATTCTGTGACATTTTTGGATTTTGTCACTATACATACATCAAGAACAGACCCCTTGTGAAAACTCCCACATTTCATCATCCAAAACAATAATCCTGTCCTTGCGTCGTAACCACCCGACCATGGTACACAGTTCGAAAGTCTAAGTCCAAAACCAAGTCGGCATCGAAGTCGAGACTAAGTTATGTTCCAACCCTTAAGGCTCTTGCGACAGCCTCAAAAGTATCACTTAACGCTCGATTGATTAATAGTGGGTGAGTCGTAGGGCCAGTGTGGGTCATAGTATTAGGTGCATCGGCAAATCGGGGTGGTGGAGATGGTGGTTGGGTTAGATGGGCGAGTTCGATATCGCGGTCTAAATAAGTACGGAGAGTCATTAATTCTGTTAAACAATGAGAGGAAAAGAGAAAGAGTTTTTTTGAGAAGGTGAAATCAGATAACGACATACTATTTTGGGATTGTCTACTCAAGTTCCCACTCCGCCACGCAACGTAAATAGCTATGATTGCGAGTACCGTGGCGGCTAATCCAAAACTTAGGTTGATAGTATCGTTTTTTGAAACTAGCCGAAGAATGAGATAGAGTAGTCTTAAGCTCGAGAGATTTTATTACGCATGATGGAAAAGTTTAGGTCTAGTTATGGGCGACAGAAGCACGTTTCTTGAAAGGCTGTGCAACAGTAAGTATGAAGCCGATAGTCTTTTGTGGAAATATTTTGTGATGGAATTAATTCTGGAGATCAAATGAGGATAGAAGAGTAGTAGGTTTAGAAAATTATATGTGATGATTTTGCTAGGTTTTTAAACATCTTTATACCCTCCACGACCAGGGGATGATAGATGCCAATGAGGCATGTCCTATGAGGTTTGCTTGTGTTACTGTAATACAGGACCAGGCGGCACCGCAAAAGGCATCCTGGTGGGGAAAGTCGTGGGTTAACTACTGCACAGCGGGTCAAAAATGCGAGACCGACGCTGATAATTGGCTGCGATGTCCGGGGAGCCCATGAGGGTGCATGGACGGTATGATCTTTGAAGTGCCACACGACAATTCTGTCGTCTTCCCTGGGACCGCCACCACTTGTCACAACATGACATGAGCTTAATCCTTGCAGGTTTCACAACACAGGACTGTTGACACCACAGGCAAGGCTAACCAAATCTTTACAACCCGACAGTCGTTAATTAAAGCTGACGCATATTTTAAAATATATTTGCTCTGCTCGGACGCGAAGTTCTCTAGATGTGAAGAGTCAGGGGTTGAGATAAAATTTATCCACATTGAGTAGTTGTCGTACTGGAACCCTTGATGTTGCCATGCGGTTGTACCAAAGTATCTCAATTACGGCTTTATGGACACAATCGATTTTCCACGTAGCCTCGTAGACTACCGAACTACTTTGGTTGTTCATTGTTTCATGGGCAAAAATGGAATTCTTCGCAAGATCAAAATTTCTCGATTATCAGATTACTTTAATGCTCGAAGGTTTGGAATCTTACACTCTCGAGGTACTTGCTACTCAGCTGTACAGTGTGCGCCAACGAGAATTCAATCTTGAATTGGTAAAAGATTGCTATCGAATACCTGCCATTGTATTGAAGGAAGAATCAACTTATTCAAATTACACTGAGATAGGACAGATGGAGAAGTCAGAATAAATCTCACTTATACTCGTTCTATCAAAATAAACTAAGTAGACGTTATCGCTTCCTTGATGCGCACATGTCCAGATAGACGCGCCAGGCCCCGCCCTGTGCGACAATGTACAAACTCTATCCCAAACTCAATAAACACCTCTAAGTAAAAATCGTTTAGCACAGAGAACAAGCTATATTCAGACATTTATTCGCTTTCTGAACAGTCTCACAGTCTATCTATGGGTAAAATTTACGCCTTAGGACACAATTTCAAGTCCACTCCTAGATATAAACTACTTGGACAAATTCATTGCAAGAAGCTATAACAATGTCTACTGTTACTGAAATCCAGCAATGACTACATAGACTGGATTTCTCTAATTTAAGCAATTTATTGAAACAGAGAACTGATATTATGTGCAAAGATGTCGCTCCTAGATATGTTGAGTCTCGTCTTGGAAAGTTTCATCAATTGGGCCAAAAACCTCGCTTGTGATTCTGCGACACTTGCGACAGAAACGGGTGACAAAATACTGGAAGTATCTAGGTACCTTTCATCTTCTTACATTCTCTAGCAAATGACATTTTGAGAATTCAAAACTTTCTATTTTTCAACAAATCTTTAACCTGTCTGGCCTAAAGCAATTATCATTCTTCCCTACACTAATCAACCCACCCTCTACCTTCCACTACCTTCCACTCACTCAAACATCTAGTTATATCCAGTCAAGATCAGCGTTACTAGTGTTTCACGTCACATTCCTCAACACTCGAGCCACAGCTTCGAAAGTGTCGCTCAAAGCTCGATTTATCGGTGGTGGGTGGGAAACGTTCCCAGCATACGTTGTAGTTGCGTCGGTATATGGGGTTGGCGGAGAAGGAAGTTGCGGGGCTGTAAAGGGTTGAAGTTCGGTTAAGTCCTCGGAATCTAGAGATAGTAGAGTCAATGTTTGTTCATAAGCGGAAGAGTACATTAAATAAAAGAAAGAAGTGGCTAATAAACACGACTTACCATTCCGCGATGCTCTGTTTAAACGCGCAGCCCGTAATGTAGCATAAATAGCGATAATTGCAAATATCGCGGCCACGATTCCAAAACTGAGATTAATGGTATCGCTCTCTGAAACTAATAATTGTGTGAGATGATGTAGTTTGAAAGACAGATGAGCTTTTTACGCATGTTGTAAATGTTGTGAATGGATGATTTGAGCTTCAGCCACAGCGTGCGGTGAGGTCCACGGGTGTCTAAAAGTCGATGAGGCTGTGCAGCAAGATGAACCCGAAGGGATGAAGATACAACGGAACCCAAGTTACGCAGCGAAAACGGTAATGTTAGCGGAGAAAATGATGTTAGACTTTGCGACTTAAGAAGAGTAGTTGTATGTGAACATAAAATAAGAAGGAAATGTTTCTTTGGATTCTATCTTGCTTTATACAGTTTAGCACAACAGGTTCAACATATACTTGTTGCGCGCACGCCTCACCACGTCCCATCCCCTCTTTGCCTCTGAGTTCTCAACCCTTCCTACATTAACTGTACCATTGCTGCCCGCGAACCAGTAGCTACTCAGTAATTCAGCCATCCCCATGCACGTACATTGCCAGATCCCACACTAAGCCAGATTTGGGATGCAACGAGTCTGCGGTTACCAGCCTTTGCGCACACATAATAAAATATACCAGCCTTTACGCACACATAATAAAATATCGCGTGGGTTGAGTTGACCATCGCGTCTTGGTCGGCAGGCGAGCTGGTCGTCGGTGGTTGATCCGTGATCCCTTGCCACTGAGAACATTTCTTGCACTCGCCAAATGCAAGGCTGTTGTGTTACATCAGATTTTGTTTTGAAAGCACGTGTTGTCTCGTGCCATGATTTTCGGCAAAGGTACCTACGTACCTAGTAGGTAGGTACGTATACAATCACATGTCCATAGGCCTCATGCCAGGACTACTCTCTTTCAATGGCTAGCCGCCTCTTTACCGGACAATAATAAGTATATAAAGTTAGGTATTTAAGGTAGATTAATAATAACTTATAAAGTACTATTAAAATCCCTAGTATATACACTCTTGCTCTTAAGTAAAATCTTAGCGGTCCTTGCTAATTTATAGTACACGATATCTTTTTACTCTATTATAGTACTTTAGTACATTCAAAAAGGGTGATCTCGCTTAACTAGACAAGGCGCTTTTGAGGTGGATTATCTCCGATATTTCGGGGAATGCACTCCTTGACCTTGTACAGCTTCCTCTAACGAAGCCGGATGTGTTTTTCGGCTTATAGGCCTGTTAGCTCTTAAGCTACAGGAAGTGCATTGTTACTACAAAGGAGTTGAGCTTATGTAACAGGTGCTGCGAAAGGTACATGAGCAAGATCATAATTTAACATTATCATCGAGTTCTTCGCACGTACGCTTCAATTATTTATCCCATACTTAAACTCTAAAATCTATCGAAATCTTTACTCCTTTTCCTACGCCACTCCAAGCCCACATACCCCATGTACCTAAGTCTAAGTCGTGATCCGAATATCATCTCACGCACCAACTCTCAACACTCTCGCAACGGCTTCAAAAGTATCACTCAGGGCTCGGTTTATGGGAGGTGGATGCGAAGCCGTCCCAGGATGCGCGGCTGCGTCGGTATATGATGTAGGTGAAGCCGGTTGCGGTTGCGGTGTTGTGAGGGATTGAAGTTCGATGTCATTGCCTGTTGAGATAACATAGTTAGGTTTTGTAATGTGATTACAAAAGAATGGATTGGAAAGGGTAAAAAATAATTGAGAATTATGAGTGACTGAGAGGTATGTCTTACCATTCCGCGATCTTCTATTCAATTTCCAGGAGCGTATTGCGATATAAATAGCAATGACTGCGAGTATTGTGGCTACCATCCCGAAGGTAAGGTTGATAATGTCATTTTCCGAGACTAATAAAATTGTGAGATTATTCTTCTTTTAAAGATAAAAAACTGGGAATTATTACGCATTCTGTGGTAGAAGAAGATGGTTACACCAAACTCCGATAAGAGAGCGGGCTGTGCTGCGGCAAGGCTCCGAGGTAGATACAAGGAATAAGATATAGTAAAATGATTTTCGCGGCGTAGACAAAGATCGAAGTTAGAGCAGAGGAATAAAAACACGTTATTAAAGGAAGGCTGTTTGGAAAGATTCTTTGCTTTATACACCTTTCCAGTCCAAAAGACCCGATACTTTCTTCTCCATATTACGCTTCAAAGGCGTACTCAGCAGTCGTTGTTGTCCGCCAGAGGTGCAGGATCCTTGTTGGTGCGTAAAAGGCTGGCTGTGCTATTGGTACGTAGCCATAATCGGGCTGAGGAGAAACTACCCAGGGTAGGTCGCGACTTGAGTGGTTGCATGAAGAAAGCGACCAGTAATAACGGCGGTCTTTTGGCGTAAAGAGAGTTGACATGATCTCACATCTGTATTCGTACTAGCGCCCAAAAACTTGCTCCCGGGTTGGAGGATTGTACTCCCTGTTGTCATCCCTGGACCCTGGCCCATCTGCTCCCATCTACCAGCGCGCTGCCATCTGCTGCCATCTGCTGCCATCTGCTGCCATCTGCTCCCATCCCCTCTCCCGTATGAACGCTAGTCTCTTCGAGCCGCACGTGTGCATATGGTGTTTATGGCCAGTAGCCGGGAGAGGCACCTTGTCTTTGCGGCCCCTCGTCTTTGCGGCACCTCGTCTTTGCGGCCCCTCGTCAGCCTTGTCACACCACACTATTATGAGGTGTAACAGCACTGGCGACTTTTCTCGTACAATGTCTAGAAGCCGAGGCAATATTCTAGATAGGAGCACGTTTCGCGTATAATCCGCCATTTCGAGTTTCTCATTGTAGCAGAATTAATGGATTTCATAATAATAGGCTCATGAAAATGATAGACATTCGGTTGTGCATTTGTGATCGTTTAGTCGCCGGTAAAAAGCATTGCGGTGGAATCAAAGTGATCTAAACTCAAAAGTTTAATACCCAGGAGAGACAAAGTTTACTGAAGCAATCAGTCTCTAATAAAAAGTAAACAGATCATCCTCAGAGAAAGCAAGCATTTAATCACGATTCAATCACACAAAAAACAAGCCAGAGTACTCAAGTATCGACGATTCAATTCATGAATCTTATCCCTCTACGCAATGCAATGCTATCCGTGTGTATGTACCCTAAAACCAATCGCTGTCCCAAACGCCAATTGTGCATCCGAATCATCTAACGACTCTATTATTACACCTTACTCCAATCACAAATCCCATCATTTACTCATCATTGACCTTGATCAGCAGACTTCCAACACCACTTCCCTTGCCCCAGCTGCGATGCGCATTCTGAATCTCCTCATCATCCTTCATGCCATAGATCGCCTTGATAGGAACCGTAATCTTGCCTGACTTGGCCAGCTCAAACATGTGTTCTAGCGCTGGGAAGAAAGTCTTGTCGTCACGCGTGATGTAGTAGAATCGTGTGGCGCGACCTTCCCAGACCTTCAGGTAGTTACGAGCATATAGCTTGGAGACGGGAGGAATCATAGATCTTGGCTTTTCACCGGTGAAGTTTGACATGTTACCGCCGTATCCAACGAGCATGGAATTTTTAGGAGCGAGGATGCTGTACGATTCGTCCCAAGACTCGAATCCGATGGGGTCGAAAACGGCATTGACACCTCCGATCTTCTTCATGGCGGCGATCCAGTCTTTGTTGGAGTAGTCGAATGGAGTAGCGCCTGGAAGACCTTGGCGAACAGCATCGTGGTTTCTTGGACCGGCGGTACCATAGACTTCAGCACCTTCGTGAGCAGAGAGAACGGAAATAGCCCAGCCGACAGCGCCAGACATGCCGTGGACGAAGACCTTTTGACCGGCCTTGACGTGTGCGGTGTCGTAAACCATACCGTGGGCAGTATTCCAGTCGAGGATGAGAGCACAGGCAGCTTTGATATCGATGCCTTCTGGGACGATGACGGTGTATTTTTCTGGAAGGTTGGCGAGGGTTGCTTGGGTATCGTAAACGGAAAGACAGCAGACCATGTCTCCGATCTTGAATTTCTGAGCACCTGGTCCGAGAGCGATGACTGGTCCGACACAGCAGTATCCTGGTGTTAATGGTGCAGGACGCTGGAATGGGTATTGGCCGAGACGCATGTTGATATCTGAACCAGAAAATCCGGAGTAGAGAACTTTGACTTGAACTTCTTCTTTTGCTGGTGGTGGAAGGACATCGTCGACGATGGTCACGTGCGACTCGTCTCCATATGAGGCGATGAGAGCTTTCTTGATTGGGGTACCTTGAGTAGGAGTTTTGGATTTCGCCATGTTGGATTCGCGGAGGGCTTTAACGTCTTCTTTGAGAGCGGCTTTCTTGTCTTGCCAGATGTCTTTTCGTTGAGATGTGGTGAGTCCAGCAGCTGATACTTCTTTGACAGCTTCGTTTCTGGCGTTGTTGCGGAGATTTGCTTCAGCTTTAAACTCGTCGACGGTCGGGAATTTCATTCTCGGGGATTGTAAGTTGAGTGTTTTGCAAGATTATACGAGAAAAACAATGTACCGATTAGCAGAGATGTATCTGTTGGTTGACTTGGGAAGGTATGTCAATCTGGCAGATGAGGCAGTGATGATTGTTGTGATGTTTTTAGGTTTGTTGAGATTTCTGAGGGAAGGAAGCATCGTATGCTTTATGTAGCAAGAAGGGAAGGTGAATGTTTGAGGTGACTCCAAAGTCAAAGGACATTGCCCTTTTGGTTGGTTCTACGGGCGTTACCGATAAGCGACCAAATAGCTTACGGCCGAGATGTGCGGGGCGCATCATGTTCCCGCGATCTCCACACGTGGCTCGTGGAGCAGATCTAGCCAATCACAATTGACCCGATCGGATAGTCATCTCTCCATAAGGTAGCCAAGGAAACGTCTCGGGGATCGTTTTGCAAAGTGTGGCTGGTGAATTGTGCCTTGTGAGATGGGGGCGGGGAATGATTGGAGAGGATGCTGAGTCGCACATCAAAAAGGGCTGAATTGGGTGGATGCATCACTCGAGTTTGTCCGCGTCTATTCGGAGAGCGTACGTATGGGAAATTGGAATATGGGAATCGATAGTGGGATGAGGCAATTGGGTTTAAGAACGAAGGTACTACTACTACGACCCCTTCAACCAACACATCAATTTGACCCTACCCAAATATGAGGATTCAGGGTTGAAGTAAACATTGTTCAAAACACTGACTTTAATAAAAAGCAAAAAGTATTGGTAAAATGGCAGCTAAATGTATTATAACAGATCTATATCCGTACAATATACACACGCGTCGTCAAAATATACATCTCACCCCTGCCAAAACCATGACGTCCCTCTTCCCCACCATCTCAACCACCACAACCTCATCCCCAAAAAATTAATGCCATCAACAACAACCAGCACAAGCACCATCTCTCTACGCACAACAGTCCTCCTAACCCTCGGCCTCCTAATAGCATTCTTCCCCTCCCTCTTCCACCACCTCTGGACCTACCCCCTCTCCTTCCTCATCCCCTCCTCCTACCTCCCCACCTCACCCACCTCACCCTCACCCGCACCACCCTTTACCTGCCATCCAGCAACCATGTCCTGGGCGCAAACAACCCTCACGCTGCCCTCGCGCAGCCGGGGCTGCTACCTCATCACCTCCACCATAACCGACCAGGTCCCCGCGATCAAAGACTACAAAGTCGGGTTGCTGAACCTGTTTATCCAGCATACGTCGTGCGCGCTGTCGTTGAATGAGAATTGGGATGAGGACGTACGGGCGGATATGGGGGATGCGTTGGATAGGATTGTGCCGGAGGATAAGGGAAGGAAGGGGTTGTATAGACATGATGCGGAGGGGAGTGATGATATGCCTGTGAGTGTGCTCTACTTCTTTGCTCCCTAGCACAATCCATTTTCTCAGTGGACATATATCTGGAGGGGAGTTATTTTCGCAAAACACGGCTGACGATAAGCAGGCACACGTTAAAAGCGCACTAGTGGGCGCAAGTGTCACGATACCTATTAAAGACGGAAAACTAGCGACCGGCACATGGCAAGGGATCTGGCTGTTGGAGTTTAGGAATAGTAAACATTCGAGGAAGTTAGTTGCTACCATCCAGGGAGAGAAGTATTAAAGGAATCCATGAAGCGGCTGTATCTATGGATGGACGTAATTCGGGGACGGTCCTTGCTCATATACGCACGGATATTGCTCGAGATGAAAACCATTCTTGAAGGTCGATGCTAGTATTTTATATGCTAGTATGCCACTATGCTATTAGACCATGCGGGCCATATCAGAATTAGCATGCGTATAAAATGAACACTTATATCTCTGACATGTCTGACGACGCCTTCTATGCCACAAATTGCTGACCACATAAGACCGTAGCCGTATGTAACTTTTCGCCATACCCATCCCGCCCAAACGCCAGTTTATTGCGATTTCGCTATCTCTCATGCAACATTTCTGCCTCATTTTCATCATCAAACACCATTCTCCTCCTTAACATCACCCTCCTTCATCTCCTCATCTCCACCTGCAAGCACAAGAGTCTTTGGTGTCCATCCATCCGCATTCGGTCCACCACCCGGAGTCACAGCCACAGGATGACCCTGCTCATCCACAAACTCAAAATTGTATCTCGACAACAAATGCGGGATCGCACTTAGCTGCGGTCCATATCTCGCCGTATTATCGTAAAGCTCGAAAAGTGGAACCGCTAATAATTTCATGTTCTTTGGAACAGACAGAACCTCTACACCAACACATTAGTTTGCGCCATATCTGAGAGGGAGAAAAGAACTTACTCTGCCTAGGCAACTGAATAAAATACAACTTCTTACACTCCTTCGGCCTTGTCACATGCGCCGGAATAAACGGATACATGAACGTCTCAAAATTAGGTCTCCACCACTGCGCAAGCGTATCCCCAATCTCCCACTCCTCATTCACGCCCTCCCCACTAAACTGACTGCCCACAGGCGCAAGCCGCTCATTCAACCTCTCCTTGAACCCCGAAATCTCTTCGTCCTCGGGCTTGAGATAGTCACCAGGGAGCTTGAAAAACGCATTCGCGATCTGCAGCATGAGGATGTGAGGATGATTGTGTTCGTGGCAGACGAGGATACCTTCGCAGGTGCGGCGCATGCCGTGGTTTATGTAGTGTTCTTCGAGACGTTTGAGGCGCGCCATGACTGAGGGGTCTTCTTCTGGTTGCGTTTCTTTGGTGCCGAAGGTGTAGTTTGAGAGGGGGTAGAGGCGGATTGTTTTAGGTTGGTTGCCATTGAAGGAGTTGGGGAGGTGGGGTGGGTAGGAGGTTTGGAGGGCGGTGGTTGTTATGGTCGACATCTTGACGGCGGGTGTGGGTTATGGTTGCGAATTGGAGAAGGCTGTGAGAGATGAAGTGATTGATTGTTGTGATAGCTTCGTGGCAGAATAATGAGGGCGGTGAGAGAGCTTTGATTCCAGACCGCCCGTGTGTTTTCAATCATAAATTCTAATCGATTCAACCAATCGTATTAGGAAAGGATTCATCTGAGATCCAAGAAACTGACATTTTGTATATGAGGAAGGAGAGAGACATTGTTTTATCGCAAGGTATATTTTACTTTGTTCAACACTGTCACGCTACCGCTGATTCGTCCGAATCGTCCCTGACTCCCTTGCGAAAAAAAGTATGCGGCGTACAAATCTCGCCCAGAGCTAAGGCACTCTTCTAGAAAATATCGAGGTAATGAAAAAGAAAAACCGATTCGTATTTTACAGTCCAGAACTGTCACATAACTGGCCAGCGTCGAACACCCCCCTTCAAGAAGTTGTACGGCGTACAACTTCCTTACAAAGGTCAATACATCTCATTTTCACACACCAATCCGCCATCTGATCGTCACTCGGTTAATTGTAAAGCTACGGCACTAACAAATTTCGAACTAAACACGTTACTACTAGTTCGTCGTAGGTAGCTGGAGGTATAAAATATATGGCCCAAAACTTCCTTATACATAATTTGATATATGCTAGTCAAACCAAGTAGAGGGAGTCATAAACCACCGAGGAAGTACCTAGGTACTACCGATCTAATTATTGGGTGTGCCGAAGGCTTTTACCGTCGAAGTCTTATCCCAAAAAAAAATCGGCGTACAATTTTCTTACAGGGGTAGACAAGATACTCTACGTCCTAAGTAAGTAAAGTGCACGGCAAAAGGAAGTGCTAGTCACAGACTATACTTTATCTTCCAACCCCTGCAGCAAAAGTTGTACGCCGTACAAGTTTCGAGCAGGGGTCGACATGAGGCCCTCAAGTAGAATATGGCAAAAGGACGGGAAGTACCTCATTTTCGAACTCCTGCAGGAAATTTTGTACGGCGTACAAGTTCTATACAGGGGTTGACGCATATATATCATCCCACCTGGTCCCCCACACAATTTTAAGAATCATACAGTTAACATAACACAGCTACTTCGACTGGATGTGCCTCGAAATTTGGCAAGTTAAAGTTGCACCGAGGGTACACATGTAAACAAAACTAGAAATACGTAAAAACAGCTGGCAACCAACTTATAAAGATCGAGTTTAGGTTTTCGCTAAAGCTTATAATCTTTGCTTGCATTAGAGCTTGTCCCCTAAAAGAGTGGTATAGTCCTTAACACGGTCTACGGATTATGGATAAAAGGTAGAAGAACTGATAGCCGGTCATCTTTGTGTCAGTAGCACTATTCTTTCCATTGCAGGAGGCAACCGAATGTTAACACCTTTCGACATAATCACATTATTCCTAAATTTCTACCGATGGATAAAGGAAAGTTATGTATATCGTATCGGAGACGCTACTTACGTGTTTGCAATAATACCTAGAAAGCACAAGATGTGAGAGTAACAGAGTATATCATGATCTAAATCCTTTCATCCAAGAGGTCAGTTGCTTCCTCTTTGATTGCTTCAAGTCATCACGGTACTTTGCTTTCGATGATCCAGTCAAACTCAATGCTGACGTGGTTTCCAGCGCCCTGGAAAGCTGCATGACCTCTGGGGGAATGTCGTCACCCAGTGACATACACATATGTTCTTTAATATCATATATCAGACGTTGTACTGAGTACAAATGGCCATCAACCTGGATGTTGACCTGTGGATTTGCTCCACCATTTAGCATACATGCCAGGATTCTGAGCACTTCAGCCTGCTCAGGCCACGCATCGTCACGGATTAGCTGACCTCTTGCATACGACAAGGCTTGCTGCCAAGGGCTTTTCAGATCGTACACTAAATTTGGGTCGTTGCCTGAGTTGAGAAGTAGCTCAACGGTTGTGTATTGCGGCACCGTAATATGCCGGCGAGACCAGTCCCTCGGAATAGCGTAATGCAGGAGGGATGTCTTATCTCCAGGTGAGCTGTTTCTGGTCTGCACTGGTTTGCTACTCAGGTAACTTGTCAACCCGAACATGGCAGCAATCGGCAAAAAGGATTTGGCTTCTGGCAGTTTCTGTACTTGGGTCCATCCTCGGTTCCAGGGTGTCTTTCCCACCATCCACGCAGGCTTCTTGCTTGGCATCATTCGATCTAAATACTCCAGCACTTCTGCTGGCACTTGGAGAATCGCCTTTTCAGCTTCATGAGCATGGATGATGGCACCAAGTGAGATGTCCCATTCCCACGATCTGGATTGATCTTGATGAATTTGATTTAGACCCAGCTGGAGAACGTAAGACCGAACAACAAAGACGTCCGGGTTGAATGTAGAAGGAGAGGCATACGAGAGAAGGTTTTCCCAAACGGAGGGCTGCAAAAGGTAATCGTGAGCCGTTCGGTGGAGAAAGTGTATCTTAGAATGAGGACCCGGAGACCTCGCATGCCACACCTCTACCAACCCAGCACACCTAGCAGTCAGCTGAAACTCGGTATCATCGCAATGAGATGAGATAAGTGACGGCGTCCAAGCTTGAATTATTACGAGATCTAGATCGTCGTTCATCGCCAAACACAAACCTAGGATGGAAAGCGTCCACGAGTGCTCACTGTCTTCAGTTACTGTTCCTTCAACTGCCTTCTCTTTTTCCTCGCCGACGCGTTTAGCCTGGTCCGTGAAGGTGAAAACATCGCCTTCAATGGAAAGCTGTTGTGCTCTTCTTAAAACCTGAAAAGCCTTCGACGCCCACGGGAGATATTCGGGTTCAATCATGTCAAGAAGATGGTCATACAGAGGCTCTAGCTCGCGTGGCACACGACGTAGTCGTGATTGCAAGTCCGGCATTGAGTCGCGATTTCGGATCCCATGCAGCAGAGATCTGGCGACAAGGACTACCCATAGAAATACGCCGTCAGCCTTTTCAACGATTTCCTGTATAAACTCCATAGTCGACACAGGATCACGGGCGGCCAATCTTTGGAATGCGCTATTACCGGCCAGAACTTGTTGAACGTACAGTTCTATGTCTGGTCGTGAGAGATCTTGCAATTTCAAACATGGAAAATCTCGAAAGCATTCCTCAAAGACAACCCATGGCCGGCTCGAAACACACACCTTGACATTCGTGGACGTGATGCCTTTGAAAAGCTCAGAGACTTCCTCATGATCTCCATCGAACTCGTCAAGGCCGTCGATGAACAGGCACAACTTTAGAGGTACGATCTCCTGATTGACCAGAATCCTGAAAGAATCCTTGAGTGATCGTAAACTCCAGGACTCATTCACAAAGCCAGCTTTGTCAGACACTACACTAGTGTAGGTCCGACACCATAACGAAGGCAATACAACAGGTATCAAGTCCGGTTGCTGGTTGAGAACTTCAAATAAAAGCGCACGTAGTAGGCCTTGTTGTGACTTCTGCTCCCGAGTCCCGGCAACCCAGAAGAAGAAGGAGCCAATGTAGAGCGGAGTCTCAGAGGACCATTCGCTCAATAGGTGACGAGTTCTGGGATCTTCATATATAAACTTCATTAGAGTCGATTTCCCAGATCCTGCTTTCCCCTTCACCCAGTATACGCTTTCTCCATGCTGGAGCCACTCTGAAAAGTTAGACCACGGCAGTTGCTCGTCTGTGGTCTTGTCAAATATCCAATCGAAGGTCTTTTGATAAGCCTCTGCAACTTCCTCGAAACGCTGCGTCATTGTAGCAAAATGCAAATCTTCAAGTATCTTGTTGCCGACTAATTTGCGGGTCTTGACTTCCTCATCGTATGGAATTGCCTGGACTTCAACATTTGGCACGATCTGTCGATTACCAATGCTAGCAATGATCTCACGGGTTCGGCGATGTTCTTGATTATTATTAATCTCGAGTCGGCAAAGTAACTTGGTTAATGTGGAAGTCTCCTCAAGACTAGAGGGCCGGTTTGCTGCAGAACTACTGTTTGCAGCTAAAGCAGAGATGATATACTGCGTCTGTCGATCGAGATTGTCAAATCTTTCTGTCACTTTGAGTGAGAATAGATCGAAATTTTGCCTAGAAAGGTTAGAATGAACCCCCGGCTCACAATGAAATGCTTCACCTTAACGAATACAGAACCCTCTGGTCCAGAGTATCCTTCAATGCCCTCAACTTGGTATTCATGCCCTGCAATTCATCTTGATTCCACGCACTTTTCACTGCTTGGAAAAGACTGCTCCATGCTCGGTGAGGGCCTCTGAGATTCTCATTGATTTTCAAGCTTTCAAGCCTCCGTAGAAGTTCCAAGGTTAAAGCTCTGGCACTATCCAGCACTGGTATGAAGCCTTCCTCAAAATCTTGCTCCTTGGAGACGGGAGTGCAAGAAAAGTCATAAATTCTTAGAGTTGGGGGTTCAATCTTGAAGAGGACATCTCGAAGGTCTGAAATAACGAGCTCCAGTTCTTCATTTACTGATAGCGATCCAGACGTAGATTTATAAAGATCCCGGGCTCCCAAGATCAATTTGGTTCCGAAATCCACAAATTGGATGACAGTCCCAGCGAGAGAGAACGCTGTGAGAGGGTCCATGGCAAGCGGTGACGGGTCATCGCTACATTTGCGTATTTCATTTGCTGCGTAGCTTCACAACGTATGGCCTAATTTGACGGCCTCTGTCTCGTTGTGAAGTTCCGGCCGCAATACGATTATACGATTATGTTGAGGTTCGTGACAACTCGCGCCGTGAGGTTGCTTTTTCTCAGCCTCAGCCCCTTGCCATTTTAAAAGCGATGCTTTCACGTGCCGCAAGCATAAAGCAGCATCATGTATCAACTTTTTTAGGGTGCTCCCAGTGTTAAAATCAAGCGCTAGGATGTACTTAGTGAATGCAGTCTAGAAGTATATTTATTGTGAGGTATATAGGTCGAGAGACAGGAATTTATTAAACTAAAAAAATACTAAGAAAATAACATATAGCTAATTATAGAATAGACGCTTATTTTAAGTTTAAAAAGAAACCTTAAACTTTATAGATAGTAAAAGTGAGGGGTTCATTTTCTAATAGATTCGGCTGTCCGATTCTGATTCCTCGACCTTAAATTGTAGGTCATCTTCCCTCAACGGTGAGGTTGTAATAACTATATTACAACCCTCGAACACGATGGTATGTACTACTAAGAGCAACCAAAAGATACAACACTTAAACAAAGTAATGAGTCGTTAAGGGCAGACACTGAATATATAATTAGCCTAAATATAGGCACTATTTACCATATCAAAAACACGCAATCGAGCACACAACGTAACAGCCAAAGATCTGCAAAGTGTATAAATCGATGTATGCATTATAATTACCTATGACTTTCTGATACTGGAGCACTGGTCGTACAAGCTACATCTCCCCCTTTTGGCTGTGGCGCCGCCACCTAGGCTCGAGCACATGATAACTTCATAATTTGCAAACGTATGTTAACACATGTTCATATCACATCATACCATCCAGCCATAATTCATTAGGTCCCATTATGTTCTTCGGAATTGCACCACTTGTATGGCTTTCCTTTACTAAACCCCACACAGCTGACAGATGCATAATGCAAGTCTTAGCCGAGTGACTCGAGTCGCAGCGGGTTTCTCCATCGCTTGAATATATGGCTTTTATGGCTTTAAGTAGACCTCGTCTATTGGACTCTCTTTGCGCATTTTGAATTCGTGTTGTCACAAATTCTAATAGGGCTGACGTGACTGGGACTATTCTGCCGGTTTTTCCAATAACAGATATCAAATACGAGTCAAAAGAAACGCTTTTCCAGCTGAACTTATATTCTGTGATCGTCGTGCAATACTTCAATCTTCAGTTTATGGCTGTGGCTACCCATTCTTCTATAAAGCGATCATTTCCCGCTCTCAATATTGTGTTTCTTTCTTAACTTTCAGACAACTTTAACATTTTGACTGTTGCCACCAAATCCCAGAACCCCAGGTATTTCACGAAAAATACAGCCAATTGAACAATCAAGTCGTGATCCACCTCATAATCATGGCGATAAAACAGGCAGCATGGACACACGGCCTCGGTGTAGAACTCGAATTCTCATCTTGGACCGCCTTCCGCCAGGGTTTCTTTACGACAGTCCGCCCCTCCGCCGAGAGCAAATTTGGATGGGTTCATTTTGTGATTCCCACACCAGTTATTGTTGACGGTACGCGATTGAGGGCCGAGTCTGCTATGGTACGATTCTCTACTGGCTCAGGTGCTAAGATCACCAACTTCCACGTATATGGCGGCGAGACCAAGATCGCAAATTATAATGGACTCTCTCTGTCTGGAAATCTGCAATTCGTGAGGGAAGCGGTGCCCAATAGCCATCGGGTTTTGTGGGGGACAGCCATCTCTTTGGGCGTGCAGTTCACTGGTGCCGGACCGAATGACTTCATCCAGTTCATCTCTGCGGGCATAGATTTCTATGCTCAGAGAAATATCTATCTTAAGGTAAGCAATACCTAAAACTTACCAGAAAAGTTCGGGTCTCAGTTGTTTAACAAAACTTAGATCCCATGCAAACCAGAAGTCAACTATTTCATAACAGAATTAGTCAGCTCAAGTGACATCGTGGTGGAAGCATGAATACTCTCTCAATAGGTTGAAATTGGAGATACTCTACATTTATAGTTTCCAGCTTTCATACTTCTTGGCTCCGGGCTTACCTGGACGATTCGGCTGAGATTCTTTCTCACTATTTTTAGCTGCTATTATTCGAGAATACCAAGGCATGCAACCCAATTTATGTCATGACAGCTGACACAATACCAACTTTGTTATTTCTTTTCTATTCTCCATGCATGAAAGAGTTTGATGACATACAGTGCAAAAATTCTCATTACACCTAGAGACAGTGACAGGCGTACCCAGGAGCTCTCGTTACTTTCTAGATCTGCTCTTCTCAGACAGACCCACACCAACCAGCTTTAATAGACCCTGGGGTGTCTTGAAGATGTGCATGTAACCTCGCTCCCGCTCAACGTATCCTTTCCTACGGTTACGCACATATAGTCCTGAGAGTGATAGTTTCGTTTTCATCAAAAATCCCATATAAATACAGTTGGAAACTCCCCCAAATGACATTCTATAAATCATTACAGCATAAATGCCTTTACGAAAACAGGCTGAGCAAAACTTTGAATTTCCCCGAACCACTATTGTGAATGAAGAGACTTCCGACGCTCACTTCTTCAAGGAAATTCACACCTTTTGATGGCATTAATCGACAACGACCCTCCAGGGGTATCAGGCTTCAGCGTCTAGCTAGGCTGATGAGGCGTTCTATTCCTACAAACCGGTTGCAGTCTTTGCGAAAGCTGCGGCATCTCCCGCATCTCTAGAATACTAAAACGTGTCAATTGATGGGTCTTTAACAGCTGGATTAAGATGACTTACAACCAAGTGTGCTGCAAGAATCGTAGCCCCACCCTGGCAAATATTGTCGGTCGCATTACAGAAGACCTTTGTCTTTGCAGCCCCAACGCTTCCGACAGCTTTTCCATTGTCTGGATCTCCAAAGATAATCGCTGCGCTAACTTTTGAAGCGCTAGCACCAAGCATATCAGCCGCATTATGTACAAGTTGACCTACCAAATAGTTAATATCCAGAGTGTTTCCAAGTTTTTTTTATAACTTACCTCCTTGGCTGTAACCACTCATCACAATCTTTGTATCTGGACACTTTGCCAACGTCTGCGTAACCAATTGGGCCATCTTTGCACTTCCCGTCTTATCACCGCCTGCCAGGAATCCCGGGATGTCTGCTGGATATTCAACTCCTTGAACCGCGACTTGTCCTGCTCCCATCGCTGAGTCAAGAGCGTTGAAGAATGGAGGGCCAGTCAGTGTTCCGACATTTCCTGTTTCTGTCGTGCCTCTCGCGAAAATGACCGTCATCGCTTTGCATCCAGAAGCATTCGTTAGATCATTTCGAGTGTCTCCCGCGGCACGAGGGACAGCGACTGGGCTTGCGCTGACAAGTGATAGTGACAGGACAAAGAGTGTAAGAAATGGAGGCATGATTGTTGTATATGGTAGTTGGTACAAGTAACTGAAAGCAATCCTCTTATTATGAGCTGGCTTTATCAGTATAGAAAGAGATGATGTGTGAATGAGAGTCAAGTACATTCCTAGAGCAGGACGATATGTTCAATATATAGACATTGTCTAAAGCCAAGTTAAAACCGCACAGCTGGAGTGTGACAACAAGATCCATGCCAATGACCTCAAATAAGGACGGAAATAGGCCAATCGTATGTGGTAGGCATAAAGCTTCTGACAGAATCCGGGAATACTATGGAAACTTTTCCACAGAAGACAGGAACTGCAAGATCAGATGGGTGCAAAAGTAATCAATTTCCTAGAAATACTGCTATACGACAAAAATGATGGTTGCGATTGGAGAAAAGATGAGACGTTAAGTAATGGTGAAGCAACGCCAATAAACGAACGTGCCAAGGGTACACCCAGTCGCAAAGCATCGTGGGGTACTAGATGATCTGTTCACGCAAAAGGTTCGAAACAACCTCAGGAACGAGGAACATTGTGAAACAGATGACTGCCGAATTGGTCGGGCTAAGTATTTGAGTATTTCTGAAGCCGAGGTAATGAGGATGTTTAGATGATGAGAACCGAAGAAGCAAAATGGAAGTCGATGAAACGGAAAGACCTCCGTTAAGCGAGCACGTGCTCAGGAGGTCGAAGGAGGCTAAGCCTGTTTCATCTCCCGTGGCCTGTGCACGCACCACTCTCCTTGGTGTTTGTCGCGACTTCTGCTATTCTTCAAAGATCATCACACAACGATGTACTCGTTTTTTTCTTATCAACAATTTCAGCTTCTTTACTTCTTTCTCCACAAAGTGACCGCATTCACAGTCCTATCAATCGAAGGCTGCAGTACTGTAGCAGTTTCCTAGCACTGCGACTGCAATCTATTTCAAGGTGTATTTCTCAAAGGTTTGCCTACATCACTAAAGCACGCGATTATATCACCGGAAAACACATTCATTCGTCACACGCTGCGCTCGAACAGGCCAATCTGTGCAGATCAAAAGCCTAAATGGAAGATGTCAACCTAGCTAAGCGAGCTGGCTTGATTACTCCATGCACCGAAACTGACATTTTAATAAACTCTATTACAGAATTGGTGATTGCCACGCCGAGATTCCTACTTTCATCCTCTAATACGACTCAAAACTCGTTAGTCGAAGAACAACAAAAGAGGTGATCTACATGGCAAGCTGATTTGACAAATTTGGTTTCCAGAAAATAATTTACTTAGCATTAGAGAAAAGCTTCATGGACAGCGTAACCAAGTCAAAGTGTTAACCACAACAAATGAGATAGTCTGTACATTATCATCTCCTGCGTGACGGAAAACCCGTTGTGGGTCCCTTTGCTCAGCGGTGACAAAGGTGTGCAATTGTAAGATAAAGTTATAGCTCTTTAGTATGTTTTAGTCGTTCTATAAGAGTATTCTGATCAAGTGAATGAATGGACATCAATATATAAAAGTCATACTCTCCACAAGCGAGAGAAAGTCAAGAGACCTTGCTGGTGGGTCCTTTAACGCGCTACGTTTCTCGGAACGGGCCGATTTAGTGGGCGATCATCGTGGAATCGTGACGGGTCCAGCTCTTTGTTATGGTCTTTTGATGATTTACTTAGTAACTTTTTTGATTAATTGACCAGATAAACGTGTGTTAGAATAGACATTGGTTCAATTCTTTTTGGTAGTCGCCCGAGGCGGATATTATGTTTTATGATGTGAGATGCAACAACTAAACATTGAATACAGTTCATATTTTGGGTATCTTTCTTCCCATCCAGGCAATCAAAAGTCAATCCCAGCGCCCTCAGAGTCTATACCAGCACATTACTTACAGATTTCAACGAAAAACACACCAGACCCAACCCCGGACAAAAACAAACGCCGCTTTGTGCTATCCCTTGAAATTCAGGAGACCATTTTATCATACCAAGTCATCCTCGCCTCTGATGCTTCGCCACCACTCACTCTGTTGCACAAGTTCTCCTTCCTCACCACCCAAAAAATCCCAGTATTTCTTCAAAAACCACAAATTGGCCTCCCAACTACGAACATCCCACGGTGTGCCCGTAGATACAGATCCAGTGGAAGCATCCCGATCCCGTTTCCCGATACCTGCTCCACCCCAACACTTCAGCCCAGTGAGCAGATCTTCGAAAAATTGTTCTTCGTCAAAATTGGCTTGATTCATGATCAAATTCTTCCGAAGAGTCGGAAACGGTAGGATGTCTATACAAGCGGCGTGTTGAACAGTAATCTGTTCGATATTCGGGCGTAGATTTGGTTTCAGTGTCTTGAACAATTTCTGGACAGAGGAAATCGTGTTTGCTCGAGACACGTAATCAGATGAAGCTGCACTGGCTCGGAAGAAAGGTGAAGAGTCTTCGTTACAAGCTACCTCTTCTGTGATGCCAATGTACATCCCAAGAGATTGCATCGCGGCTAGAATACATATTGTTTCAATACGAAGATTGTTGACGTACGGATTGGGGGTCTCGGGCCTCCGGCCCATATTGATTATTCTGATTTGGCCGCGTTCAAAGTGGGCTGGGCTTGGAGAACCAACCTGAACATGAGCGCTAGAGCAACCGCAGTTGATGGTAGTCGTCCATTCTGAGCAGTTTTCATCGTCATGTTTCTCACGGATGAGAAGAGTGGGATCAAAATGAGTGGTAGAATCCCAGTCACTTAGCTCTGATGGGGTTACATCTGAGTGCGAAGGGAGATCCGCTTCTGGAGTCGCAACTGATGAGCTGGCGATTGAGACATCTGATACATGGCAAGGCTGGACGGTGGGCTCAATAAGTTGATCGCGGTTCTTATCGATCGAGCATCTCGTGGCAATAACATTCGGTGAGCTTGTGCTTACAGCCGCAGGTGTTTCAGCGACACGGCTCTGTGTGGATGCTGCAAGTGCTTCAAGACGCTGGAGGCGCTCACGAAGCTTTTCTCCTAGGTGGACGTCAACACAAGGCATCCGGAAACGTTTTCATTCATTCATGGTATGATTGTTCACATGCAATCAGCCAAGTGGTTGGAAAGTGTGCACTAACTGTACTTTCGTTGTGCTTGAACGTTTTGTTGGCGTCTCTTTTCCAGGTCACGTCGTACAGGTTTCCGCTTTTCGGCTCTCGCTCTTCCACTCTGTTGATCTAAATCTCGCGCTTGGGAAGACATGGGATGGGCGTAGAAGGATGTATTATTGAATACTTGTGCATGGTGAGAGAAACAGATTCCAGGTTGGTGGAGTACGTGGCTGTAGCTAGGCTAGGTCAGCGGGGAAACATCGGCAGCTGGCTGACATCAGCCACTTCTTTTCGTCAGCTGACATGCACCATGCTGACCCGTAATTTATTTTGTGATGGTCAATAAAATCAACCCGTCAACTGTCTAAGTCGTTTTATCCTTCATCTTCCCATTAACTGTTTAAACACATCCTCTCTCCCCTAAACGATGTTTGTATGAATTTCCCCGCCGCCCATCCGAGTGAGTTAAGGTTATTTGCGTTGCCCAAAGCATGCAGCTGCCAAGGACCAAAACATGCTCAGGACCCTGTGAACACGAGTGGCAAGCAACGACTTTTGGCGGCTGAGAGCCAGCCTGGAAATTATGTACATGTCTGAAACGGCGAGCAGAGATTGAAGCGGATGGCTTCTGCGGCCAGTAAGGCTAACGACCCAGGCAAAGTTGTGTAAGGTTACGGTTGGGTTGGCAAGGCGTCACGATGGCTGAACAACACAACCTCTTTCTTTGCGGCTCCGCTATCCTGCCATTCACTAGGAATACCTATCTTGGAAAAATACTACCTAATTCACTGCGATAACAGGGGTGGAGACCTCTTATAAGTAGCACACCGATGCTACCCATCATTACTTCTGCCTACATCCTCGGTGAGCATGAGCCAGTAACATCGGTCTCCCACAACCATAAAATTTCGCAAGGCTGCGGTAGTACGAGATCAATTCATAATATCGCGACTTGTCGCACAGCTAGGAAATTGCATTTATCTGAGGTAGGGACTATTTTCCCACGCTCCAGCCGTTACCACAAGGCATCTAATCATTCTTTTAGAAAGACTTACCACAATAGTCGGTACAATGTCACTTCCCAAGAATGATTCGAGCGGGTTCAATGATGGACGACGTGGCAGACAACTACGACCCTCAGCGTCTCAAAATGAACAAGAACCGAAGTCAAAGAAGAAAAAGGTTCCACAAGAAATTGTAACCAACATATGGACCTCATTCGCTGCGCCGAGTTTTAGCAAAGTGATGACAATACTTCCGCCAAAGGCTGCGAACTCGGCGAAAGTGAAGCCCTCAACAACAGTAGACAAAAGTAACATCTTGGTTTCTGAAGGCTTCGAGCTCGCCGCCGAGGAATGCAGGTCAAGGGTGAGGAAGCTTATCAAAGAGTCCAAAAGAGTCAACACGCGGTATCGGGATGCAGAGTTCGATATAGACTGGGATCTCAGATATAAAAAGGCTGATTTTCTGAATGGTCTGGTGAAAAAGCCGTTCGATATCAAATCCTCGAGTTCCACAGCTCCTAAGGCGGTGAAACGCGTGCATGAAATTTTTGAAGAGCCAACTTTTTTGAAAAATGTTCTTCCCTCGGACGTCAGGCAAGGCCGTGTAGGGGATTGCTGGTTAATGGCCAGCCTGACGGCTTTAGCAAGCATGGAAAATGGCATTCAAAGGTTATGTGTCGAGTACGACACGAAAGTCGGCATATACGGCTTTGTGTTTTTCCGTGATGGCGAGTGGATTGTCTCCATCATAGATGATAAGCTGTATCTAAAGTCTCCAGATTGGGATTCCCTCTCAGCTGAGCGAACCCTACTTGAGCGGTCCGAGGTAGACGATATTGAAGCAGAATATCGGAAGACGTACCAAACTGGCTCGCAAGCTCTTGCCTTCGCGCGTTGTCTTGACAAAAACGAAACATGGCTGCCGTTGTTAGAGAAAGCCTACGCAAAATCTCATGGCGATTATGGTTCTTTGAAAGGAGGCTGGAGCGGAGAGGGATCTGAAGATCTAACAGGGGGCGTCACGACCGAATTTCTCTCCTCCGATATCTTGGATATTGACGACTTTTGGACTAATGAGCTTATGAAGGTCAACAAAGAGTTTCTGTTCGGATGTTCCACAGGCTTATTTGATGGCGGTTACGGCTCCAGAGACGGAATAACAGAAGGCCACGCTTATGTTATCATGGATGCTCGCGAATTGTCCACGGGGGAGCGCCTCCTCAAGCTTCGGAACCCTTGGGGGAAGGGAAATACGGGTAACTGGCATGGTGCTTGGTCAGACGGGAGTAAGGAGCTTACTGTGGACGCACAGAAAGAGCTAGATCATAAGTTTGGAAACGATAGCGTCTTTTGGATCTCATACCCCGACTTCCTACGAAAATACCAGCACTTTGACAGAACGAGACTATTCATGGATTCTCCTGACTGGCGACTGAGTCAAAAATGGGTCAGTGTTGAAGTACCATGGAAATCCGAGTTTAAACAGATGTTTCACATTGTTTTGAAGAAGGACTCACCAGTTGTTATCGTTCTTAATGAACTTGACGAGAGATACTTTGCTGGTTTAGAAGGACAGTATGATTTCAGGCTTCAATTTCGTCTTCACGATGTGAATACTCTCGACGAGGAAGATTTCATTGTCAGAAGCCACGGGAATTATCTGATGCTTCGGAGTGTGGCCACTGAACTCATAAGTCTCTCTGCAGGTACTTATTCGGTCTCGGTGATGATCGTTGCTGAGAGAATGAAATCGCAATTCACTGTGGAAGAGATTATCAAGGAACAATGCGAAAACAAGGGCGATAATGACAAGTTAGCTCAAGTTGGCGCATCTTACGATTTAGCTCATAGCAAAGTAACAGCACACCTTGAAAATCAAGCATCCGCTCAGCTGGCGCAAGCTAAAGCTGATGCTCGAGCTCTTCGGGATTCAGCGCGCAAGAGAATTTGGGAGAAAAGACATCTGTTAAGAAAGATGAGCAAGAAGCAAGCTAAGAAAAACAAGAAGAAGCAATGGAAGAAAAGCAACGAGATTCGTGAGGCTTACAATGCCAAAATGGACGCTGAGCCTAAAGATGTGGGTGTCCAGACAGAGAATACCGAAGAGCTACAAGAAATCAAGATGGAAGATAAGTCATCGCAGACGATGGCGCCAGAGGAGCTCACAGCAGAGGTCGATAAGCTCGCTGAGTTTGTTCCTCAGGAAATATCAGACCAACCCGAAATTGCAGTTTCCGACTCAAGTAAAGATTCTCCTAACACACCTGAACCCACAAAAGGCACTCCTGCCGTCACCACTACTGAGACAACTTCTGCCACCACGACTAAGACTGCTTCCGCTACTCTGATGACCAATGAACAGAACTGTACCCAGCATGTGAATTATGCAGCTACGCCTGAATATTCAGACGACGCTTCGGAAGGGGCGTCAAGTGCCAGTCCAGTGTCTGAAATCGAAGACCTATACAGCGATGATGAAGCGGCTTATGCGGCTTTGTTTCCCAAACCCGCCAATGAAAAACCGGGCACAGATCCGAAGTCAAAGCCGGCTGATGATGATGATGACATTGAGCCTTGGAACGCAGTTTGTGTCGTCGGTTTTAGAGTTTACAGTAAAGACGAGCAATTGGAGATCAGACTTTGGGAGCCTGACTTTAATGGGATAAAGAAGGAGCCTGTTGGTGAGGAATTTCAAGGCGATGATGAGGGCTGTGAAGGTGATGATGAAGATGAGAGTGAGATTTGTGGAAAGAATGCCTCCAAAGGTCAGAAGAGTAAGCAACCGACGACTGACACGAAGACGCAAAGTTCGACTGTCGAAGTGAAGACTGAAGTGACGGTAGTCGAAACGAAAACTCGAGAGCTTATGATCAATACCAAGATACAAGACCCGATTGTTGACATGGAGGCGCAAGCACCAGCAATTGACGCAAAGAATCAAGAACCGACTGCCGACACGAACGCAAGCGAAGCGGCGAACGGCACGAAGACAGAAGAATTGACGTCCGAAACAAAAGTAGCAGAAACGGCGGCTGGCACGGAAACTCAGGAGTCCGCAGTTGATACTAAAACTCAAGAACCGTCTACCGACACTAAAACAGGCGAAGCGGAGGCCGATAAGAAGTCACAAGAATCAACTGTTGATACCAAGAAGCAAGAACCAACCACCGACACAAAGACCGAAGACCCGACGACTGACACCAGCACGCCAGAATCGACCGTCGACAAGGCGACCCCGGTCACAGAAGACGACAAGAAGACAGGAGACGCGGCGACTGAGACGAAAACCAAAGTCATTGCGTTTCCAGACAATGCAGAGACACCGCCAGAGGAAGATACGGTAGCGCAGACTTCCAATGAAGTGACAGAGCCTCCTAAAGATGAAGATGAACTGTCAAAGGAAGATTCGCAATCCGACTCGGCTGAACGTCGCGACTCAACAGAAAGTCCAACAGATTTCGTTGTGGTTGCTGCTGAGGGTGAGTAGATTTTGAAACTTAGCCTCAAAAGCAAGGGATAAGCTGGCTTGCTTGGACCAATACTACTCGATTCAACGCCAGTCGACCCATCTGATAGCTGTCGATGCTCATCGGTCGTATGCTGTTCCGCCTTACTCCAACCGACTTGCAGTCATCTGATTTAGCACGCTCAACGACAGTCCAATCCTACTCTTTCGATTTCATGCTCTATACTATCCAATCCCGTTGAAGCATATCATGTTCGACTCTACCTCCATCAACCCTATTTTGTTCGGCCTGACCACATTCAACACGACGTCAATCAATTTAACTTCATCTGACCGTACTTCTCTGTTCAACATCTGATCTCTTTAACAGTTTGACCTTTGTATCAACCACGACAGCCAATCAATTCTCGAACTCAGGCCCAGGCTTCAAACCGGTTTCACACCAATCTCATTCGCAGGCTTCAACAACCTCCCGCCCCCTTCCCCCACTCCACTTACACTTCTCCCATTCCAATAATTCGGATATAGTTTCAACATCTGTAATTGACGGGAGAAGATCTTTTTATTTTGGATAACAAGCCATTGAGCTTCAATATGTTGACAGGATATAACATGATTCAGGATATTAAATAGTAGCAAATAATTATTAGAGAAGATAGTTGAGAAAGATAGTTAGGAATATTTGATAGATAGATAGTTTGGAATATACGAAGGTGTAAATTACATGTGTGCTATATGTTCTCGTGCGTTGATGTGTGAGAACTGCTAACAATGCTGTTGACGTGAGGTGACAAAGAAGAGACGATCATCAATCCGTACTCAGCCAAAAAGGATCATAACAGTATAGCTCCCCTGTCTTCGTCCAAAACTTGACGGTAAACGATAAATGTGACTAACAACTACATGGTAAGTCTTTTTCATATACATTGTCGAAGTGGTAGAAAAAGGTAGACTGTAAAGTGAATGCAGAGGTAGTGGGCTGTATTAAATAGTAGTATTGAATATAAGTCGATGTATTGTTACCCGATGGTTTTCAAGGTCTTTACTCTACAATTAACAAATCGGCTTTAAAATATGAAAGTTGCAAATCCACAATGGCAACTTCAACATTAACTTTCCTAACCGCCTGAAATCTCAACAGTGAATGATATCAGAAATCCAGCGCAAAAAGGATCGAACATTCACACCGACAAAGTCACTGATTTGGTTATTATTGTCATATATTCCTCTAATCTTAAGGTAACAAAATCATCGAAGCCATCTTAGCTATCTATATATGCTACCTCCACTCGCCGCAAAGCTGCTAAATAACTACTCATCCTAACATCTCTTACTTTTTACAATTCAACTCCACCCCTACAAATCAAGCAAGACTAAATGGACCGGAATAGAACATCAGGTTAAAGCAAAAGCAATATCTAAACAACTCCCTTACCAACCACCATGATTACTAGCCCCACCAGTCGGCCCAGTATTATCATTACCACCACCCCAACTACCAGCAGAGACGGCCGTATCATTCTGCCAAGGTTTGGAATTATTGTTGTTGTCATTCCATCCTCCGCCTGAGTTGTTATTGCCGTTGTCATTGCCCCAGCCTCCACCACCAGAATTCTGGTTATTGTTGTCATTACCAGAACTCTGAGCTGCAGACATATCACCCCAAGGTGCAGGTGTAGGAAGGCCGCCCCAGTTGTTACCGGATGACTGTTGAGGATTGGAATTATGGTTATTAACGTTGTGGGGTCCGAAGTTGTTATTGGAATTTTGATTGTTGCCCCATGGACTGCCTCCGCCCCCTCCAGGGTGGTTGTTATTATTGCCTCCGAAATTGTTGTTAGGGCTGTTGGGTGGAGGATTTCCAAGTGACCTGTGGAAGTTCTGGTTGTTTGAGTTGTGGTTATTTCCCCAAGATCCTCCATTGCCGCCACCGCTTCCGTTCGGTTGATTGTTGCCATTCCAGTTACTACCTGCCGCAGGGCTGTTTGGATGATTACTACTTGGTTTGTTGAAATTCTGGCCGCCAAAGTTATGGTTACTGCCACCCCAATTGCTTCCTCCTGCGTTGTTATTGCCATTGTTGTTGGAATTATTGTTGACGTTCTGTCCACCAGAGTTTGCATTGTGGTCATTACTGTTCCAGTCATTCCCGCTGGAGTTGTTGTTGCCATTAGCATTCCACTCGTTCCCACCGGGGTTGTCGTTACCACCAGAGTTGTTATTGCCACTGCTATTCCACTCATTTCCCCCGGAATTCTGCTGGTTAGAGTTACCACTCCAATCTCCTCCCCCACCCGAGTTGTTATTATCATTGTTGCCAGATGAATCGTTCCATCCTCCGCCTCCAGAATTGTTGTTGTTATTCGACTCATCATTACCCCAACCACCGCCACCAGAGTTGTCGTTATTTCCCCAGTCTCCTCCAGCGTTGTTGTTGTTAGATGAATCGTTGAAATTCTGCTGTTGAGAGTTCTCTCCCCATCCTCCACCGGTATTGTTATTGTCTCCACCCCACTCATTACCTGATTGATTGTTGTTATGATTGTTAGAGTCATTGAAATTTTGATTGCTGCCGTTTGAATTCCAAGGGTTCGTTGGACCCAAAGAACCTTGCTGTGGAGTGTTGTGTTGATTGTTTTGAGGGCCGTTGGTGTTTTGGTTTTGCCATGGAGAATTGTTTCCACCATGAAAGCTGCCCGAAGAGTTGTTGTTTCTTTGATTCTGGTTTCCGCCGTTTCCGTTACCGAAGCTTGGAGCAGAAGAATTGTGGTTATTACCAGGAGTCTGTTGATTGTTAGCGGGGCCTGAGTTCCAGTCATTTCCAGAGTTGGTAGTATTGCCATTTGAGTTCTGATTCCAACCTGACCCATTGTTGTCACTGTTCCAATTTTGCTGCCCAGAATTTTGTTGATTGCCATTTGAATTTGAATTCCAACCGGAGCCAGAATTGCCGTTGTTGAAAGCATTATTGTTTGAAGGACCTTCATTACCCCACGAACCAGGCATATTATTTGAAGACATGTTGTTCCCATTCATATAGTTAGCATCTTGAGCCATCGCACTTGGCCAGGCTGATGGTGGTGATGGTGGTGGCGGACCCGAGTTCCCTGCTTGAGGCGCATGGAAGTGAGAGTTGCTTCCGCCTCCCGTGAAATATCGCTGATTGTTACTGCCTGGGCCACTAAAATAGCGGTTGTTTGCCGCAGGAGAATTCTGGGGTTGGCTGAAGAGTCGCGGACCAGGAGTTGGGACAGGCGTGGGCATTGGCGGAGGGCCACCATGCACCTGTGCAGGACTCGGTCCAACGAACTGACCAGCATGTGGAGGGTAGGTACCAATAGGAATAGGAGGATGTGGAAGAATTGTCGCGTATGGATTACCATATTGAACGCCGTGATAGACTCGCAAAACCCCGGTTTTTGCGCAGAAGAAAGCATTCGGGCGTGGATCGGTCGGAGTCTCAATAACATCTTCGCGCAAGATGACTTCGGCTCTGGCCTGCTGTATGACTTGTGACTCCGGATTCTGCGCCATTGTGGCTAGCTCGTGTAGCTTCGCGCGAGGACGAGCAGAGTTGGACGTGTTTGGAAGGTCGTTGGATCGAACTCTGGAAATTTGCAATGTTGTTGTTTGGGGATGATGCGATTGTGTGCTTGGGTAAACTCCGTTGCCAGGTCTACCTGCGGTACCGTAGACGTGCGAAGTATAATATCGGTGCGCTTGGTTTTGCAGATGGTTATGGGGTGAATGGATCGAAGTTTTGTGGGTTGAGATAATTTGCGGACTTTGCGTTTTGTGGTGACTTTGCGTTTGGTCAGTCTTAGAGTTTTCCGGCCTCACTCCTTCACCTCTGTTTCTTAGCGTGTTTTCCTTGGTAATTGAGTCCATGCAATTGAGCTTCTTGGTCTCTTCCTTGCACCCACTACCCTTAGATGTATCGTTTCGCTTGAGGCATGGCTTCAGCTTCCGCTCTTCAGCAAGAAGCTCCAGCTTTTTGGTCAGCTGATCGGCCGATTCATTTTGTTTTGGGGCTTTCTTGTTCTGCTTCTCCGCTTGGCATGGCTTACTCGCTGGTACAAGATTGGCCTTTTTCATAACTGTAATTTCTGTCGTTCGAGATATAATCTCGCCGGAAGATGATGATGTTGAAGAATCATTTTCGGTATCTGAGATCTCTATGTTAATAATACGTGTTTGGGTGGATATCAGTTCAGTTGCCGAAGTCTTCGTTTCTGGTGTTTCCTTGGTCCCAGAATGGTTACACTCCTTCTTCTTCTTAGCCATATTGGCTACAACCGTCTTTTCGGTTAATTTGGGTTGGTTTCTTTCACTCCTCTTTTACATCCATTTGAGTCTGGCAGTGTAATAAGTTTTGATTCCTTCTTCGCGAGAGCTTTCGCTTTTGATGCTCTTGCGAGTGCGTGGACTTGAATTCCGGACACCCAATCTAATATCGACTCTGCATGGGCAGGATGCTTCACTCCCATAGTTTAACTAAAATATGATATCTGATTTTCCGGTTAGATTGTTGATAATCTCTGACACCTAGGCTGCTTACGAAATAATAATGGATAGGGCTGCTGCCAGATGTTTCAAGATGGCGGCCTTAATCCGGATACAGGAACGGATGATGTTTTCTGGATAGTGGTGTAAACGATTGACTGCCTCGTACGCCGCAGAAGGATAATTAATGGAGATAATAAGTATTAAAATTTCGAGAGTCCAGTCTACTGTAGGATACTTTTGGACTTAACGAAGGGTAGAACCTTGGTTTGATTTTGGGTCTCGACCAGATAGATCTATAAAGTGTCAATGGGTGATTTATCAAAACTGCCTGACAGTCAGAGCGAACATACATGCTCTCCATAACCCGACTTGAGTTGATCAAGATAGAAACATAACTGGTAGGGCTGGCAGAGTAACTTTATAGGACAGACAACAGCCCACGCTCAATCCATATGGTATTGATTTTTGAAAATGGTCTAATAGCTGTGATTCAAAAACATACAATACTGTATGTGTGAATCACTCGGAGTGGGCTATGTCAAGACAATCGCACGTCCCAGGTGATCCAAAATCTAGAACTAGTAAGCTTCATTCACATATGAGGGCGAAATGCTTACGATGTGACCGGAACATTCACGGTTTTCGGTATGGCGGATGATCAACGGTATATGTCGAACATTCTAACGAGACATCATTCGACATTCGACATTCGACAAAAGAGAAAGTAGACCACTTCAGTGCCTGCTGTATCCGGGATGTTGATTCGGAATCACCACTCTAATGCATCTGGGGCTCAAACACAAGTTGTTCAAAGGTAGTAATATACATAAACTTCGTGGAGTTCTTCTGGACGACCTCGACTATCGATCATCAAAAGTTTGAACACAGAGTCCGGATTTCAAAGATTTCGAAGTGAGAAGTCGGATTTGTTGACTTAGATAAGAATTCAGAAGTTGGGCTAAAGTGGGTCATGGATGCCCGATCGCTCCTTCCTCACCAGAAGCGAGGAGAGTGTCACGAGGAAACTCATGATGAACTTACTCAAAAAAGCTTGAAATCCTCTTCTGATGCTGCAAAACATTAAGATCTTCTATTTGATATTGGAATTCGACCATTGAGCCAGAATATGCCTAACCAACAGCTACCGATGCGTAGATGCATAATCCTCGGCCTGCGCTTGCAATATGGCTTCGAGCCCGCCAGCGCAATCGATTGGGGAGCCTTCAAAGCAACGCAGTCAGTGATGCGCATCGACTCGAGCCAGGGAAGGGCTGAGTGCCTTCATAGCACATAGCTGATCAAGATATCTTGATGCCAGCGGACGCATAACACATGTGTCGTGTCAAGCTCTACACAAAGCGATTTGGTCACCCGTAGCGTACAGTTGCTTTCCGGATCTGATGATCGATCGGTCAGTGGATCGTATAGTTCCCAGGTATGTGTTTTGATGTAAATCTCACGATGTACGCAGGTCGTTTATCCTGAAGTAAATCTCGGGAAGATGTTCGAGTATTGAAAATATGCCATCAGCAACATAATGTTTCAAAGCTTCGCACGTTCCTTGAACTCTTGATCGTTCCATCTTCGACTTATGACAGTTCCTCGCCAGTAACTCCATACCCCCAGCAAACCTCCAAGGGGTGGACAGAGAAGCAGTAACCACGCCCACCATCTAGGACTCCTCCCTTTCACGGTTTCCATTACCTTTTCGAGCTCTGTTCGCAATTCTTCTTTGCCTTCGTCATTCCACACGACTACTCCTCTCCCCGCTTCTTTCTCCATGAACTCAGCTCGCCTCGCCTTGTCTCTGACATCTCCTTGGCTCCGGACCCTGTTCTCTGCGTCTTCGGCACTTAGGTGTGGATCTCTTTCTCTCAACCTCTTCATCTGTATTGCTGGGTCCCGTACAGCAACGACGAGTACGATTCCGCATAACTTGTCGAGCCCGCTCTCGAACAGCAAAGGGACATCAAGGACCACCGCCCAATCACCCCTTAGATAGCACCTTAGCAGCTGTCTGTACATCTCCCACCTCACAGCTGGGTGTACGATTTCGTTCAAGACCTGTCTGTCCTTCTTCCTTTCCTCGCTATCTCCAAAGACACGTTTCCCTAAGGCTGGCCGATTTAATGGAGCTCCGTTTGGGAATTTCTTCGTGTCATAGTCGGACTCTGAGAGGAGGAGATCTGGAGTCGTAGGAAGGAAATGTGCGCATATTTTATTGTAGCCTGCTGTCCCAGGTTCTACGACTTTGCGCGCGAGGATGTCTGCGTCAATTATAGGAAGGGAGTAAGGTGGGGAGGAAAGGATAGAGGAGACCGTCGACTTTCCAGTCGCGATGGAACCGGTTAATCCTAAGAGAAGCATTGTAAGTCTTTGGGAAGAGCGAGCGAAGTGCAGCTCAGCGCGATCCCATAAAGAGGTCAAGTGAAATGAGGAATGTGAGCATGAGAGTGGAATGGTGTGAGGATCAACGCGTGGTTGCGATGATGCCATGCGACTTGCCGAGGGTCGGAACTTCTTCGGGGTTTTGAGATCACCCTGTTCTATGTCCATGTCCCTTCAAGAACATCCGTCACTCGTCACCAACAGAAGCTCAGTCTTGAGCACACAACAATACAGCAACTGGACAATTGACGCGTTATCATTCGCAATACGCAATGGCCTTCCGCATTTGCGCCCAAATACCCAAGAACTTACAATGTCAGCTAGCTTAAATTAGCTCGCCTAAAGACAGACGCTGTAATAGCTGCCTTAGTGCTTAAATCACTTTCCTAATTCTCTTCATTTGTATAACAAGTAAGAGCTACTCACGGTTATTGAGATCTTTTTACTTCATACATAACTGAAATAACCAGCCCTCCACATCTGTGCACTCCTCTAAAATAGTGTAAAACTAGACACATCTAGCGAATCATTGTCTAAGATTAAATGAGACTTTATCTTATTTGGTAAAGTTGCTATATAGGGTGGCGGCGGCGAAAGCTGGTTATTTCAGTCATGTACGAAGTAGATACTGAATAGAATATAGTAAGTCTTCCAAATAAGTAAGCTAAAGTTTCCGGTTGTCACTTGCTAATAATTTATAGTATTGCCAAAGAATTATGTTTCTGTCCTCGACATTGATGAAAAAATCAAAAACCAAAAAGGAAGAACAGAACTTAACGAGCAGTCCTATGCTTCTTTCATATCACTCTCCTATATATGAAGTATCCTCTAGGTATTCGGAGCCAAAAATATATGCCGAACCGGAAGCATTTTGCCGGACCGAACGCGCGGTTTCAGCGTCATGCCACGACTAATTTTATGATAATAATCAAAACTTTTGCCAGTAGAAAATTCTTACTTCAAGTTTGGAACACAATATGACTCGTTCAATTCATTCCCCTGGTCAGACCAACGACGATATGGATTTTGTGTCTTAGATCTTCTTGATATGGGCCAGATGCTTGTTTACAAGACTAACAACAGCTTTTGAGACTAGGTTTGATAGCACTTCGTTAACGACTGTGTTAAGACTCTATTTTGGGAAGATTAAAATGGAGATCGGCTAAAGAGGAGAATCACTGTCCCACTTGAAAGCTTGACAAACGTCTTTGAGCACCACGAAATTACGACTCAGTGGACACTCTGTGGGACGAACCGCGTAACAATGTCTAAGCCTCGCCACAGCTTTATATTGTGTAGCTGACTAGATGTATGTTAAAAAGTATGTATATATCATTGTTGAGAAATCCCAAGGAATGCTTTTCATCCGAACTGTCCTCCACGGTCACTATCCAATCATTTCGACCTCACATTCATTAAGCTCGTTTAAGCACTGTATATACTCACCATGAGGCTTCATTATCTTCTAACTGTTTTCAATCCTGTCTTTGTCACAGCAACCTGCTTAACCTCCTCAGCATCCCCAATCATAAACACGACCCTCGGCCAACTCCAAGGCACAACCTCTCCCTACCGATCAGACATCACAGTCTTCAAAGGCATTCCCTACGCCACACCACCCACCGGATCCCTCCGCTGGAAAGCACCTCTCCCAGTAACTCCATGGACCGGTATCAAGAACGCGAGTACCTTCGGTGCAGAATGTGCTCAGATGGTATCGCCAACCGCATCGATCTTCGGTTCGGCAAACGCCACCGTCTCTGAAGACTGCCTCTACATGAACATCTGGAAACCTCAAAACGCGACGGGTCTCTCGAAACTACCAGTCTATGTGTGGATTTACGGCGGGAGATTCACGGGTGGTGGGGGAGATGTGCTTACGTATGATGGCTCGGGACTTGCGTCCAAGGATATCATTGTGGTCACGTTTAACTACAGGATGGGTCCGTTTGGATTCCTCGCCCATCCGGATCTGGCTGCTGAGACTGCTACGAATAGCTCGGGAAATTATGGATTACTCGATATGATGGCCGCCTTGAGTTGGGTGCAGACTAATATTGCAGCCTTCGGAGGCGATTCGGGAAGAGTGACTGTTGGTGGACAGTCAGCCGGTTCGGCGAGTGCTTTGGATATGATGTATAGTCCTCTGTCAAAAAACTTAATCCATGGTGTTATTGCGGAGAGTGGTGCGAGAGGGCCTCATGATCCTGAGACTGCTGGTATGTCTCTCATCCTCAACGTTCCAGCCTTCGTGACAATATATTACCTAATATCACCCTAGGCCTCGCAACATCCTACCGCCAACTCTCAGCCGCCTACGACGACGGCATTGCTCTACTCACCAAATTGAACGTAACATCAATTTCTGAGCTCCGAAATGTATCCATGGCAGTCCTCCTGACCGTCGACAACGACTCCGACCCTCTCTACGCCAACACCCGCTTCGCCAATATCTCCTCCTTCATGAATCCCCCTGCGTGGCGCCCAGTAATCGACAACTACGTCCTCATCTCCAGCTACGCCGAAGCACTTCTCAGCAACTCCCACGCCGACGTTCCCATCCTAACCGGCAACAATGCCGACGAATCCGGCGCATCTCCCGAACCAGACCTCACACTCGCAACCTACACCTCACAATTCACAACCATGTTCGGCAATCTGTCATCCACCTTCTTCGACCTCTATCCCGCATCCAACGACACCTCCGCAAACACCCTAAGCAACACCCTCTTCCGCGACCTCTCCCGCACCTCGACCTGGAACTGGGCGAAAGACTGGACAGCCGGCGGCGCCGCCTCAAATGTATTCACATACTACTTCACGCACGCGCCGCCGAACCAGACGGCGGGCGTGTACCACGGCGCCGAGCTGAACTACGTGATGAACAACCTGCCGAACACGAATGTAGTCGCGGACTGGAGCGCCGAGGACTACGCGGTTGAGGCCGTGATGTCAGCGTACTGGGCCAATTTCATTAAGACGGGGGATCCGAATGGGGAGGGGTTGGTGGAGTGGCCGGCTATGAGTAATGCGACAAGGACTATGTGGTTGGGTGATAGTTGGGGCGCGGGGGAGATTGCGGGTTCAGCGGAGAAGGTTGCGTTGTTGGAGGAGTGGTTTGCTGGATTTGAAGAGTGGTGAGGGTGGTGACCTGCTTTCGTGATTATCATTTGGTATTTTTGTATGTTCTATTTACATTTATCATGTTAAGACATTTAAATATGTGGGCAGCAGCTACATCCTGATATTACATCAACCGAACCTTCGCTTTGGCCTAGACGAAAAGGAGCTCAGGGTCTATCCTTCTCAGCAAATGTATCATTTGAGAGGCTATCAGTTCCAGTTAAGTAAAAGAATCTATTTCTTGTCCTTTTCCATCACAATTACATTATAAATCCAGAAATCGTGAGTTTTACGTAACGGCTATCCTAGTAAAAGTACAAAAATGAAATCAATTCCCTCCACTCCGAACTAACATATCAAACCTCCGAGTAGTCAGCTATCCCAAGTCGTCATCCATGATCCAGGCACTCACCCGAGTATCCTTCATAACACATACAGAATTGACCTCGTTGATTACTATATAGATGTTGTACTGATGTTTACTGTAGAGGAATGAGGTAGCTGAAGTGTAAGCTATGTAGAAAATTGGTGAATATGTATGTTATTACGATGAAGGGTTAGAGAGCTGAAGGTGCGATGATGGTTTTGTGTGCTTGAAAGGATGTGAGTGTCTTATATTGGGGATTGTGGTTGTATCGTTAGTTATGGCATAACAGATCAAGGCTTGAAGATAAAATAAGCAGACACTGGATCGTAGCTTGTTGAATTGTGAGTGATGAGCTCAATCTTCTAGGTGATTTGAGAAACGACGGTCAGGAGTTTGGTGAGGACTTGACTGCCAATCAGATTCACTGCTTGCGGTGGTGTAGAAGTTTTCGCTTGAAAAGGGGTTCAAGCGATGTTGATTGATTCGGGAAGGGGGAGGCTTGCTTTGGTGACATATTTGGGGTAAAATGGGGCTTAGGTATGTTTTGGGGCTCGGTTTCAGTTAGATTAGATTTTTTAAAAGCTGGTGGGAAATGGTGAGTGATTAGAGGTATATAGTCAGGTGACATGTGACCATCTTATGTAGGAGAGTTTGCTGAGTTGCATGCATGTTAATTATCTGGAAGAACGAACTGATCTTATCTTGAAATACTTTACCAAGGTAGATGATCAATCTTTCAATCTGAGTATCAGATCGTGTGGTAGATCACGTGTTCCTATACTTGATTCAACAATCTTCATCTCGTGGTCTCGCCTTCTCACAGCTTCCAGATTCCCGAATGTAACGGTTTCAAGGCTGCCTAGGTCGAAAATAGAAGAGCGTTTATTATCTGCTGCATAAATTGTTGATGAACAGCGCAATGAGGTTTCGGCACTAAGGCAAGTGTGAGTTGGCAGATCCAGGGCCGATTCGAAGGAAAAAAGAACGTGCTGCGACGAATCAAAGTAGAAGCGCACGGGATTTGATATCAATCATGGTTTTGTAGTATCGATTCCTGGATGTGACCATTTCTGCAACCAACACATCGCACTCCACTTGAGACAGGAAATTCCGCTGCAGACTGCGCTGGCAAGGACCGGGTAGGTAATGAAGTTATCTTGTCCTGTCGCCAGATCGCTTGACCAGATTTCCGAGACTGAGGAGGGTGAAGGTGTGGTGGGTGGATTGGATGGTATGGTTTGCCATCTCATCTGTCTTTCGGGTGGTGCCACAACACCAGCTGAGTAAGAGCTATTGCCATTCATGTACTGCGTATTTCATCCAGCTTCGGTGTTGTCCTACAGCTCGAGTCGCGTATCAATGGTGTCCTCGAGTACGACTGTGTACAACAGCAACGCAGGAGACAAGCGAAAATGACTGCTCACATCGACTAAATACCAGCTCCCAAGGGCATCCATCCAGCCAGACGACGTGCCACCCGAAAGGCTTGCTCAGACTTGCTCGGCTCATCCAGTTCTCAGCACTTGCTCCAGTAGCTGCAGAAGCACGCTGTGGGAGGCTGAAAGCGGTTGTCGCTGAGTCTTCGAGTCGTCGTTTGAACATCGCTTCTGCACCTCAGATTGGTGAAGCGATGGCAAAAGGGGAGGGAGATGAGCCACGGCACCGGCACCTTTTACGGTGGGACGCTGAACAGCTCCAGCGTCGAATCAGTCGACGTCTGTGCTGGCTGCTGATCCTGTCGCTCTGGTCCATGGGTCTCGTGATTGGGCGTTGGGTGCTAGCGACGCATGCAACTGCGTGGATTTGTTGGCAGTGGCAGTGGTGGCCAGCAATGAACGTGGAGCACTGGAGGCACCACGACGACCGGCGAGACGGGTTTTGGTCTTTTGCAGAACGTTCCGTCTATTTTCGCGACAGCTCTTCATCTCATACTTTCCTTTTTGATTCTTTGCCTCTGATCTCGACTTCAAATCGCAGGTCGCGATAGTTGTGGCATTTCGCTGTGTTGATGTTGTTGTTGTAGTAGATTCAAGCTTCTAATCAATCCTCCCGAGATCATCCCTCCACCTCCACCTCCACCACCCGTCACCTCAGCCTTCCTACCCGCCTCGTCAGTCGACAGAACAACAAATAAACACCACGACATTCATTATATTCATATCCAGCTCATTTGCCACAGCATCATCTATATCTAAACCACCTCTACCTCGAGTCCAGGCTCGCGATCGCAGCCACCATACCACCAGATGGAGCGATGATATCGATGCAGCGTTCTCTTTCCCTCCCGGGGCCTGCGCATGCTTCCCCTCGTATGTTCTGTCGCATTTGATGGTTTAAAAAGAATGGAGCTACGTTAGGAGTATCTGCTAATTCAGAGAGTATCCAGCCGCCTCTCCTACGATCACGCAGGTCTCCTCGAGAAGTCCAACCCCATCTCCGCTCGATAACCACATAGTTCCACCAAGACTACATCGATATTCCTCTCGAAGTCCTAGCAGACCCCCAACTTCCTACAAAGAAACTTCAGACCGCGATCGACATCGAAGCCGCTCTCGTCAAGCATCTCCTACTCCAGTTCACAGACGATCAGAAATCTCCCAACCTTCCCCACAACACAAAGCCGCTCCCGAAACGATACCCGTTTCTTCTCCTGTCAAAGCTCCCCCGCGTCCCCTCCTCCAGGATGTCTCACAATATTCAAATCCCCAGATTGCAGTAGTTACTGCATCTGCGGCTGCCACAACTTTGGAAGAGCTTGCCCATCTAGTCCGGTTGTCAACGTACCAGGAAAAGAAGAGAACCCATTCCAGGGTACGACTCCAACGGTCTTTGGTTTCCACGGCCCTCTCCGCACGGCTGGCACGATGTGGAGAATTATCGCATCGCACTTTGGTTGACAATTTCCGTGGTGACGAGAAGAAAGCTTTTGCTAATCTCTATAATGCCATTCATGATGTTAGAAATTCGTGTGATGCGACCAGGAGATATGCGCTTTTGGAGCCAGACTTGGATGGAGTACGGCCCAATGGTAATGGCGACGAGACTCTTTCAACCTTTATGCATGATATTCCACGGCGTTCTCGAGAGACCCTTACCAGATTTCTAACCCAGATTAGAACCAACCCGGATTATTTGGCCAGTCGTTTAGCGAGTCTTTCTCATTCAGAATTGTCTGCGTTGACGATATTTCATCAAGGATTGGAACCAGTGGAATCTGTTTTGCCATTTCATACCAGATCCAAGAGCCATCTTCCAAGTGCCCATCGAAATTCTCCACAAGCCCCTACAGCAGTTGAGCGATTGCTTTCCTTTCAACGTCATGATCCGTTATCTGCTTTGATTCATACGTGCTTTGCCAATTCAGCAGGTCCAGATTCTTTGGAAGATCTCAGGAGAACCGATGTTTGGGCGACGGCTTGCGCAAGACTGATCAATGATAGCAAATCTGGCTTGGATCCTTTCGTTTGCAGCGTTCTCAATGTTTGGACAGCCATGCGTGATTGGTCTGGTCGCAGTAACATGGAATGGTATCTTATGAAGATCCTGGAAGATGGAGCTTTTCTGTTGGAAAAAGCCGAGGACCAAGCTGGAACCCGGATTCATGTGGAGCCTCGAAATGCGAAAGATTCCATTGCTGCTGATGAGTTTTACGCTTCGGCTATTCAAGGTCTTTTCGAGATTGTTGATGATCCAGGAGCTGGTGGAATTCCGGAAGGACTCCTCGAACTTGGAAATGCGATTCTTCGAAAGGTTGATGATCCAAAGAGGAATGCGTCTACCAAGGTTTTCTTGGTGTCAAAATGGCTCTTTTCGACATTCTTACTTAATGTTATTGTCCATCCTGAGGTGAGTTTGATAAAGGAGTGCTATGGCCTTTGCTAATTTGACTAGGCATATGGTATGATGTCGGAATATCACATCACAGAGTATGGAAGGCAAAAAATTCTCAAGGAAGTGGCCATGCGCTCTTCCAAATATGTGGTAGATCTTGTGTGGTATGTGGGGTTTATACTGGATTTTGGGATTCAATACTAATCTTACCAGGTCGAGAGCATCTGCGCCCTTATCAATCAAAGGCCATATTGAGAATATCATGTCACGGTTCCGTAGCCGACCATCCAAATCAAAGGCAAAACTCCTTCCAGCTCGATCAATCACCTCATTACGGGAAACTTCAGAAGTACACCCTTATCTTGTTCTTGGACCATCGGATCTGGTAACTATGGTAAATGCTCTTTTCCCAGAGAAACGTCCAGTTTCAAGCTCGTTAGCCAGGGACATTCATGGATTACGTTCCTCCGCTTCTTCTGTTTCCGGTATGTCTGTAATGACAGCGTCCATGCCAATGCATGCATCTCGATATACCTTCGACAATGCTTCCGTGATAAGCAACAGTGCATCTTCAGTCACGAGCGATATCACAACTTCACGTGAGCCATTACTGGATGATGGATCAAGTGCAACCCAGAGATATCCCAGTGGGACTCATTACCACGGTCACAACCAACGGTTGAGTTACTATGAAGATGATGGTTATGAATTACGAGTTGCCATTGACGAGATGTCTAATGCTTTGGGCTTAGAAAATATAACCGGAACCTGTCATCCGTGCGCCGAAAGGTGGGCGGTGCTGTTTATCTCTCCTGATGGCCAAAGTTTGTCGACTCAGATGCTTCACGATCCAGATGATGAAGCTGAAGAGGAAGAGTTTACCACAAGTAGCGACAGCGAGGATGATTCTTACAATTCTCGGCCTGATCTGGACAAAGATTATCATCAGCTTCGAGACTCGATACTGAAGTTGCTGGAGGATTACGAAATACCACAGTCTGTGCATTCGAGAGAAGAATCAAAAACTTTCAGCAATCGAACTTCGACTTTGGAGAGTCCTCGAAAGAAACAACGCAGCAGACCTGGCTCCTCAGCCAAACCGCAATCAAAGAATCCATATCGAGCGCGCGAAAATAGCACAGATACAAAGGCAATCGATTCCAAGTTGACTCGGGTTCGTGGTGACTCGGAGAGTGGCAAACAGACTGATGACGAGTCTCAACCAGTACTTGTGACGATGCTTGAAGCTGCGGAATCTCAATGTCAAGCTCAATCGGATTTTGTCAATGCTCACTTGTACTGGAAGACGCTGAATCAACTTCATCAGATATCTTCTCCTTCCCTGAGACGCGATGGCTATGCTTCTCTTCTGAACATTTTCTCACGTGGACCAAGAGATTCAATTCGGCGGTCAGCGGGTGCTATTGAGGAGTACGACGCATGGCTTGTTTGGCTGAAGCAGTCTCAAGAAAGACATGATACCACGATTGAGTCAATGATGAAGAGATTGAAAGCACTTCGCGACAAGATGTGGTATGTCAATGATGTCAGAAATTCGGCCGCGTACGAAACGGCACGAAATATCGCAGTGGCTCTGAAGTGTATGGCAGCACCAAAGAAGGCATCCTATCTACCTCCAGCAAGTGCACGACCTCGCAATATTTCTAAATCGTCCACGAACAATTTTCTGCTAAAGACGGAAGCACAAGTGATGGATATGATGGCGGCTGCTGAAGATCAAGGCGGTCCAAACAAACTTTCGGATGAACAATCCGAGAGGACATTACGTTGGCTATCACAATTTGGGATTGAAAACTTTTGCAAGGGAGAAGAACGTATTCACCGTTTTTCCTTGGAGATCGAAGCTTGCATCAACAAATTAGTTGGCGATAATCTTATGGATGGGCCTGTTCTATGGTCTAGCGAATTGTACTATCGAGATAAACGCATTCTAGATAGCGGAAGACAAAAGGGGGATTTGTACATAAATGGATTTGGAGCGCTGAATATTTCCGGCGATGATCTTACCGACCCCGACGCTGGACGACGGAGTCTCAGAAATACCGACTTTAATAGATCAGGAATACGGGATCTTCGAGCAATGTCAGCACGAAATCAATCTCAGCAAAGCTTTGACTCGGGTCGGTTTAGTAGTATTACTCGATTGAGCACGACTGGAGATTTGATGGACTCGCAAGATTATTTCGGCATGTCTAGTCCTGTCTTGACAATCGATTCTGCAACTACGTTTTGGTCACCATTTCAGACCAGAGCTCAGTCACCTACAACGAGTATCAGCAGTCATAGGCCTGGGACAGCCTCGTCTACGAATGACACGGTTATGATGAAGGAGGAACGTGCAAGTGAAGCGAAGCAGAAGTTTTTGACAGAGCTGAAGCAAACTCTTACGAGCTTACTTCTTAGTGACTTGGGAATGCTTGTTTTTGCTCGTGGTAGTGAGACCGATTCATGGTTTGCTGGCGATCTTGGACAGGATTGTATGGAGAGACGTGAGCGTCAAGAGAGGAAAGCTCGTCGAAAGCACAAGAGACGGACGTTGGAGAAGAAGAAGAGTATGAGAGATTTGCGAGGAGCTCAGAAGAGTGATTTGCCTGGTGAACGACCTGATGCATTTCTCGAAAGAGTTGATAGGGCATCTCCTATTTCGACAAGAGCGTCATCTGATCGTGGATCGGTTGATTTTCAGACGGAGGGGTCTTCGACGAGTGAGACGGCTATGCGGGTTTCTAGGAAAATGGTGCCAAAGGATTTGGACTCGCCTGATTTCCCGTATCGTCAAGCTTTTCAGCGATTGTTGAGAATGTTTTCGGTGCATCCGAATCCTTATGCTAAGCTCAATGCGCTGTATGAGCTGGAGCATCTCATCATTGCGTTTCTTACGCCGTCGGCACCGAGACGACCACGGATACGACAGGAAACTTTGACTGCAGCTCCTCCAGCTGAAGTCCAACATATCAATGCATTTGGCCACAATGATAATAGCACCGCGATGCCGCGTGCTAAAAATCTTGAGGAGGCTATTGATAATTGCAAGGAGCGTCGATCGCATACTCTGAATCTTCCTGAGCCGACTTCGCCTGTTCATCGAACTACGGATCGAAATGCAAATCCGGCAAGCACTGATATGATTGTGGACGTTTTACAGGATTTGTTTCGGGATCCTGATATTCGACCAAAGACTCTTTTCCGAGATTTGCAGTTTATCGCCTCGTTTGTTCCTGCTGCCGTTTTGGATAAGACTGAACGTGGTAAAGCTTTTTGGGATGCTGGGCTTGCCGCGCTGGGTTTGAAGCAGGATGTCTGCCAGACGCTGATTCAGATTGCGGATGAAATCATCGTTCATGACAGCCAGACGCGAAAGACAACAACCTCCCCGGAATTACTCCAACCAGCCTCATCCGGCGAGCATATGAAATATAGCATGCAAGACGCCGGTAAGATGTGGACCATCACCGCCAAAGAAGGTGATCCAGTAGCTGAGAGGGAGCTTGCAATTTTCTACCTCACTCATCCAGAGTTGGTCGAGCGAGTCACTGCGCCGTTGAGTAAACCCCGCGAGACGTTCAAGGCGCAGGTCATGGAGATGCATGGGGGGAGTAGTGCGGGTAAGGAGGACCGGGATAGAGAGAGAAGCGATCCGGCGACGATGTGTGTCGCGTATCATTGGATGGAGTTGAGTGCGTTGGGTGGGGATGGGCTCGCGAAGACGTATTTGAGGCAGAGGGAGGAGTTGAATGCTATTCCGTAGTGGGAGAGGGGGGGGGGTTTCTTGTATATGTTGGGTTTGAGTGGATATATCATTGCGTGGGATGGATTTTGGGGGTAATTCTTTGAATGATAGGATGAGGTTTGGTAGTTTGCTGATTAAGCTGGATGGTGGAAGGACTTGTTAATGATGGAATTTGGGATCTGGGATCGGATATGGGGATTTTGAAATGTGCATGATTA